CTTACCGCCTGGAGTCTGAATGCCGAAAGTCCTTTAAGGAATAGGAAATAACATTATGGGATATAGTACATAGGTAGTTTGTGACATATGTGCATAAGATCGCCAGGAAGGTGGAAGGCGAATTAGATGGGCCTTGGTCTGTTTACCGTCTAGGGTTTCTTGTGTTCTTATGTTTTCTAACTCCACTTTCTATTATCTAACATCTCCGGGTTAACTGGCATCCAGCTAAAGCAGCTTCCACTGTCTATATAATATGATCAATCAATTCGCGACTGTTTGTGGGACACTGCTCTGCGTTTCACCTACAAAATCTGCAGTCAATTCATTTTACAGCATATTCTGTGAAGCGCTTTGAGACGTCTCAACGACGTGATAAGACGCTATATCAAGTGCAAGGATTATTATTATTATCTACAAGACTGCATTGTAAGTAAGCGCTGAGCACTATTAAAAAGTACTGTGGAAGAGAATCTCAGCGCGAGCTTAAAAAGAAGCCTGAGTAGTTTTACTTTTTGTCACTTGTTCTATCCTTGCCCAACCTTACACTGCCCGATTCAGTGGTTGCTTCTCTGTAGGTGTCGATTCCCTTTTAAGGTAAACTTTGATTAACCCAGCAGATTCCTACTGTGTATTGCTGTGGAGATCTGTGCTGCTCAGTGCAATAATAAGGATCATTTTTTTCTTTGAAGTGTATAGTTTCACGGCCCACACTGTGATCATTAGCATTGCTAAGCCCTTAATTGTTCATTTATATGCCAGAGTTTAGCCAATATATAAATAGCCACTTTCTCTAACCATTCCTAACCTAATCATATTATTGGGGATTATAAAAACAGATCCCCCACCCCCCCACCTACTCAATCATTTTTCTGGTGCTGAATCATTCTATTCTCGACCTCTCCCTCTGAGTCATAGAATCATACAAATTTACAGCACAGAAGGAGGCCATTCGGCCCTTCTTTGTTGGGCTGTCCACACAAGCGAGGAGAGTCAGGTTTGATTTCTGGGCAGTGAGAAAACATAGGCAAGTTTCCTTACTCCACACACCTCTGTTTACCGAGCAGTAATTAGGAACCTGGTTGTTAGTCGTTTGACAAATTGCATTCCAGGGGTAATAATCTCTTTAAAATAGCTAAATAATAATAATTTGGTCACTCAATCCACGACTGTTTGTGAGACACTGCTGTGCGCAATTTGCTCCTGCGTTTCACCCACAAAATATACAATCAATTCAGTTTACAGTATGCTGTGAAGTGCTTTGAACGTCTCAACGACTATCAAATGCAAGCATTATTATTATTATTCATCTCTGCTCATTAAGTAAAGGCTTTCATCCCTGATATCAGCCATGACCATCACCTTTGTACCCTCTCAGTGGCTTTGCTAACCTTCCCACCAGAACTGAGCACAATGCAGTACTGTGTCTTAACCAAATGATTTGTGGTGGATTAGTATTACCTCTTTGCTTTGAACTCTATGCTACTATTTATAAAACATTTACAGCCTTTACAGTTTTGTCAACTTGCCCTCCCACTTTTAAAATAAATAATTCTAAATAAGCCTTCCACTTAATACAGTGCCTTTCATGTCCGCAGATAGGTTCAAAGCGCTTCACAGGATATACTGTAAAGTGTACTGAGTGTGTACTTTTTTGGCAAACACAGCAGCCAATTTGAGCACTACAACGTCCTCAAAAATGTGCATACGTTAATCCCTAGGTCTCTCTGCTCTAAGGTTTTACCTTTTCATATATATTTCCTCACCTTATTCTCCCTCTCAAAATTTATCACCTACAAAGTGGGCTTCAGATGATTGTGCAACAGTGTAGGAAGATACTGTTTGGTTGGAATCTTCAGTAGATACCTCTGCGAGCGGTCGGATGTGATTTATAGAGATTAGCTGCTTTTGAACTGAAAGCATTAAAATAATGTCAGATAATGCCCTTTTAGCGACCATTTCAAAAGAGTTCAGCAGCCAACCCTCCCTCTCTCTCTGAGCTAAAAGGATCCTGAATATGATTGTGTTTTTTGGTAACAAATGTTGGAATTCATCAAAATCCCCTTGGGGGTTTCAGTTCAGTTTGCCAGTCTGCCTCCTGTGTATGTGTCTTAAGTAATCACGTCCATTGTTTGAAGGAGATAAGCTATCAGAGGTACCACAGCAATTACATTTGCTTTCAAAAATATTGAAAAAAAATCACTCAACAACTTTTGAAAGAGAGAAGCTTTTTCTGTTTCTTTTTTTTTGGACCAATTTTCTCCCGGCTCTTTCGTCCTCCCCTCCGTCCTCTCTTCTCCTGGAAATATAGTCAATTCACTTTACAGTATATGCTGTGGAGCTCTTTGAGACGTCTCAACGAAGTGACAAGGCGTTATATCAAATGCAGGGATTATTGTAACTTTGACACGCGTGAGCCTTCCAGCAGGAGACTCTGGTTAAAAATCCCGAATGGGAACATCTCCAGGCAAATTGTGGTGATCCAACAGCTGCCCCCAACCAGCCCATGGAATACTGAATGTGTTTCCCTGTGTCCTTTAACTCCTTAGTTTTCCAGGTTTGTACCAGTGCTTGACGTGGCCTTTACCTGACATTCACTCAGCTACCATGTATACAGGGTTCAGTAACACAGGGAAGCTTCCTCTGACAATATCGGTAGAATTTGCCGTGTGCTAGAATTTAATGAGTACAATGGATATAGAAACAGGAAAAAAACGTTAAAAATGTTAATCGTAATTTGTGAGTGTTTCGTTGACTAAAGAAGCCCAAACATCAAACATTAAATAGGAAACTTACGGAGGTCCACATTGAATAATAAACTCTAGTTAATTCTCCACAGATATCTGGTGAGCTATCATATCACCCAGCGTGGCAAAACTGCATTAAACAAAAGTGTAAATGGTAATCTTCTTCCATAATTTAGGTCTAATGAGCTTCAATTCCAATGTCGTTTGACATGGTTTGAGTGTAAAGAGCAGTGTGTGGTTCCCACAAGCTCTGTGGTTCCCTTTCTCTCAGAGCTCTGGGGATTGATATGAATCATCAGATCTCAATCCTGGGCAAGAACAATGCTTTCATTGATTCCTGTAGCTCAGTGGTTAGAGCACTCGCCTCGCAAGCGAGAGGTCTGGGTTCTATTCCCGGCAGGGCGAAATGTTGGGCAAGTTTCCTTACTCCACACACCTCTGTTTACCCAGCAGTAAGTAGGAACCCGGTTGCTAGTCGCCTGGTGGTCGCTTTAATAATTCCTTCAATATTTTTAAAAAATCGGTCGCTCAATCCACATCTGTTTGCGGGACGCTGCTGTGTGCAATTGGCTGCCACCTTTCGTCCATAAAATATACAGTCAATTCACTTCACAGTATATACTGTGAAGCGCTTCGAGACGTCCCGAGGACGTGATAAGACGCGATATCAAATGAAAGGATTATCCTGGGACCCAGAGCTCCTGGCAGGGTCACGTTTGTGGGCACATGCTTACACGCTTGTGGTGACGGGGGTTGAGTCCCCTCTGGGACTGACATTTATATCTGCCAATCATATGAGCTTAGTTGTTTGCCAGGTAGCTTAATCGCTGGCAGTGCCCCTGCATAGGAAAAAAAGTGAGAGCTAGACCATCTGGTGCTCCAGTGATTGTGCTTTTGATTGCCATTAGCAATCTATAAGTTGTGCCTTTTTGGATATATTTGAGAATTGTTTGGAATTGAAAGATTCCTGTTATTCGTCATCATGGTAATAATAACAATAATAGACTTTGTAGTTCCTATAGCACTTTTCATGTCAGGGGAGTGACTCAAAGTGCTTCACAGATGTACTGCAAAGTGGAGTGACTGTGTGCTTTGTGGGCGAACAGAACCATCTTCTGGAAATAAATGGTAAAATTATATATAATACGAGGGGCCATTATTTACGGAAGCGTGTAAGCAATGTCGAACCAGCGATGTCTCGCAAAAACAGAACAACGTGTCAGGTTAAAAATTGATGGAGAACAAAAAGAAGGAAATGCAATAAAAATTGAGTTGAACTGGGGGGAAAATAAAATGGACGAGAGAGAGGAGGAGAATGTGGGTTCTGAGGTGACAGACAGTCAGGTAAAACAACAACAACAACAAGATTGCATTTGTATAGCGCCTTTCACGTCGGGAGGACGTCCCAAGGCGCTGGTCAGAGAACAGCATTTCAGACCCGAGCAGGGATCGGGGGGAGAAGGGAGTGGAGGGGAAGGGGGGGGGGTGGCTGATGGTATGGTCGAAGAGGAGGGTTTTGAGGCGGGACTTGAAAGAGGCTAAGGAGGGGGCGAAGCGGAGTGACTGGAGGATGGAATTCCAGAGGTTGGGGGCAGAGTGGCTGAAGGCTCTCCCGCCAATGTTGGGGCGGGTGGGTTGGGGGACGTGGAGCAGCCAGAGCTGGCTGAGCGGAGGGAACGGGCGAGTTGGTAGTGGGTTAGGAGGTCACAGAGGTAGGGTGGGGCGAGGCCATGGAGGGCCTTGTATGTGAGGACCAGGATCTTGAACTGTCTTCATCAACCTTTCTTTTTTGTTTCTGTGAAACCCAGATCACTGAGGTGCGTCTCACTCAACATGACACCCAGCACTGGAATGTCCAACGGGACAACAGCAGATTACATTTGTTTAGCACCACCCTTCATGCTGGGAGGACATCCCAAGGCGCAGGACAGTCAGGGATTTGGATCCGAGCTGGGGTTTGGGATCAGGAGGGATAGAGGGCAGGGAGGGTAGGGGTAGGAGGGTGACTGAAGGCACGGTTGAAGAGGTCAACACCTTATCATTTATATAGTGCCCTTCACTTGGGGTAGCATCTCGGAGCACTTAACAGTGGCAGAGCCTGATGCCAAGCTGGGGTGGGGGTGTTAAAGAGGAGGTGATTGTAAGCAAGATCGATGAGGAAGGTCTTCATTCGATGGAAGGTTATCACCGGTCAAAGGAGTTTGGTCGACGTTGGTCACTCGTCACTTACGCTTCTTCTTTCATCTTATCTTAAAGGGCCACAGCCACACAGAAGGGTCAGATCATATTCAAGGACGCCCTGGTTCAACAGCTTTGTGAGGAAGGAGGTAAGAGAGCAATGTTTTGTAACCATAGAAACCGAAATAAAAGCTGCGGTTAATTCTCTATCCTTGTATTTAAGGCATTGCACTGTTCCTTATTGCAATATTGTAATGATGATACCAAGTTGTGGTGAAATGATACGGGGAGGATCAACAGCCTTCAAGAAGATCCCAGCCAATAGAGCAGATGGACCAGGGAATGGCAGATGGATTTTAGTGCAGATAAATGCAACGTGATGAATATTGGAACAAGAAATTGCAAAACATGTACACAGCGAAGGCGTGTCCGTTGGCAGAGTCGGGGAAAGGAAAGGATTTAGACGTGGTAACAGTGTCCAGACAATGTGACACGACTTTCCGGAATCATCCATGTCCAGAAATAAATGTCAGCTTAAGTTGAATTTGAAATTAACTCAAATTGATGGATGACTCTGATCGATTGATGCAGCTTAATCTGAATTTTTCCATTGGAATCCTGACTGCATGATATTGTATTGCCTCTCTCGCCAGGCACTTATGTACTTAAAGTTTTCAGAATAATAATACTAATAAGAATGTTTGAATTCGATATAGCACCTTATCACGTCGTTGAGAAGTCGCAAAGCGCTTCACAAAATATACCGTAAAGTGAATTGACTGCGTATATTGTGGGCGAAACACGGCAACCAATCGCGCACAGCAGCGCCCCACAAACAGTCGTGGATTAAGTGACCAAATTATTTATTTATTTGTTTGTCTGTCTGTCTGTCTGTCTGTCTGTCTGTCTCTCTCTCTCTCTCTCTCTATCTATCTATCCATCTATCTATGTCGGAGGGATTTATTACCCCCGGAAAGCGATGCGCCAATCGACTTAAGAAAAAGGGTAAACAAAGGAGTGTGGAATAAGGAAACTTGCTTAAGGTTTCAGGGAATCAAACCTGGGTGCTGACGTTTGCGAGACAAACAGGCTAAACACTACACTACAGGACACCGCGCTTCACATTAACGTAATGATATTAAAATTGCAACTGCTCACACGTGGAAATAGTGCATGGTGAATAGTGAAACGTCAATCCTGAGAAATCCTGTCATTGACATCCACCTGCAAATGAACTGAGGACCAATAAATGAAGTCAGGCTTTTAAACATTACAGACACAGAAGAAAGATGTCCTGACAGGCAAGTGTGGTCTTTCACGGAGCCTTTTAATCGGAAAACTCTGTATCCCCGATTACTCAGCTTGATGAATGTTTGAAAGGCCAGTGTCAACCAAATCCAGCATTATGAAGAAAGGATGTAATATTTTTACAGGGATCAGCAAACAGCCTGCCATTGAATCCGAGCTTAATCCGAGCTGCTGAGATGGTTATTCCCTCGTTCAGCTCAAGGCAAAGTGAAAACCTGGCTCAGATCCAACCTTCCATTTTGCAATGGAAATCTGTGCGTGCATCTTCGCTGCTCTTATCTGACCTTGATTTGTGTCACTCTTCCAATATTGTGGTGTCCTGTAGCGTAGTGGTTAGCGCGCTCGCCTCACAAGCCAGAGACCCTGGGTTTGATTCTCAGGCGGGGAAAACCTTAGGCAAGTTCCCTTTACACGCGTCAATTCACTTTACAGTATATTCCGTGAAGCGCTTTGAGATGTTGCGAAGGGTGATAAGGCACTATGTCAAATGAAAGGATTATTATTATTATTTTATTTCCTCTGTAAAATATATTAATGGAGTAGCGAGCTATGTTCTGGCAAATTCAGTGATTGTTTTTGGGTTTGGTCAGCCGGGTGCCTGATCCACATGGAAACCCATCACCGTGTTTAATTGTATTCAAACCTGACTGAAGGTTCCACATATGCGTGCCACCCATACATGGAAATTTCCCTGTTTCTGGAATGGAATGCGCACTCCCTCCTTGGAGAAAAAACACTGTGAGTACCTAATCCAGGAATGTATTAGGCAATGGCTTGTAAGAGTCTAGACTTGCTTTGGGGACCCCAGAGTTAGGGGTACAACTGGAGGTACAACTAAGACTGCAGGGTTTGACAATGCGAGCACTCTCTGAATAGGTTATAAAGGGACTTCACAAAAGTGGATTGGGAGGGCAGCATAAAAAAATTCTTACACTCTTGTAACAGCCGTTGCAATACAGCTAACTGTTTGTCACAGTCAGAACTGACGCCCTCACAGTCAGAATAAAACAAACCCCAAAACTAAAGAAAATCACTAATAGAACAGCAGCGAAGATGACAAAATGTAACAGCGATGTGGAATGATTTCAACACAGCAACAGTACACTTAATCTGCCTCCTGATCCAGGGAGACTCCTGCCTCAGGGCCTGACTGGTTCTGTGTGTTTTCAGCTCACGCACTGTACCACAGCAAAATACGTTAAGGTTACACTCTTAAAAACGACTCCAAAATGAACAGCTTTTACTGCTGTCTTACTTGAGCCTAACTCACACAATTATGATCTATGCCTATGTCCCTTGGTGTCCCTGAATTGCTACCTACAGACACCGAGAAGACATTGAACACAGACAAATGTAGAGACAAATGTTGAGCAATGTCTTGGTTATCAGAGTCCTGCAGCTCAGTGCTTAGAGCACTCGTCTCACGAGCAAGTTGAATTGGGTTCGAGTCCCGGGCAGGGTGAAACCTTAAGCAGGTTTCCTTACTCCACACGCCTACTTCTTACCTAGCAGTAAGTAGGAACCTGATGGTCAGTTGATCGGCAGATTGCTTTCTGGGGGTAATAATCCTTTAAAAAGAATATTTAAAAAAATAATAATTCAGTCACTCAATCCACATGAGACATTGCTATGTGCAATTGGCTGCTGCGTTTTGCCCACAAAATATGCAGTCAATTCAATTTTACAGTATATTCTGTGAAGCGCTTTGAGACGTCTCAACGACATGATAAGGAGCTACATAACAAGGATTATTATTATTATTATCGCACTGTTCATGTTTCACACCAATTCAGTACGGAGTTTTAAAAACTCCAATGCAGCTTCTTATTTCCACTCTCATTGTCAATCCTGAACATCGACATGTGGATTAGTGCAGGTTTTCCAGATGAAATGCTGGTTGGAGCGATCACCGAACATTGAGTAATATTTTGTTCCAATTGGAAGACACACTTTTTTGTAAATGCAGTAAATCTTGATTGCCCCCAAACCCACATTTACCGACTCGTGTGTTAGCCAGTAAGAGGCCAGTACCAAGTGTTACCTCATAACATCATAGAGAAAATAATGGCAAGCTATGCGGTTTTAGCTGGTTAAACTCCAGTAGTTACCCTAACGCACACTCTGGGGTCTCCAAGCCTTGGCTCTTGCCAACCTATGCCTAGACACCCAGCTGACCCCCAAAAATTGACAGAGTGGAAAACTCTGGGACCACTGAACACATTCATTTATCATAGCTGCCTGCACTTGTTGGATCATGTGCAATCCCGTTGCAGTGTTAAACAATTCCAGCTTTAATAATAATAATAATAATCCTTGCATTTGATATAACGCCTTATCACGTCGTTGCCCTCAAGTTTACTTCAATAAGGTTTAAAAGGTTTGAAGCAGTTCACTGAATATAGCGTAAAGTGAATTGACTGTGTATTTTTTGGGTGAAATCTTTCCGTTTGCATCTAACGCGTGGTCCAAGCCCACCATGAGAATACTCCTCTGATTTGCAGCAATTGAAAGCAGGATTGTGAATAAGGTCAGAGATAATTTTTTGCGGAGCAAGTTCACACTTGAGATACGACCGCTTCAGGGTCCTGTCTCGTTGAAGACCAGCCCACCGTCGCTTAATTTTCAAACATTATTTGAGACTATTCAATATGCCTGAATGTCAAATTATTCAAGGTGATATTCTAGTGCAGAATTTCCTAAGGGCCAATGTGGGGGAAGATTTTGAAAATTTATCCCTGCAATATTAAACTTTGATATTAAGGGCTGATTTTTTATATTTTGGAATATTAATAAATCTACACTGGGCTGAGCCGTTAAAAAAAAATTCGGTCATAAATATTTCAATATTTCCCCCTGATCATAATAGCTAATTTCACAAGTTAATTATTTAGCAGAGCCATAGTATCTGAAACGCAATTATTAAACCTGCCCAATAAAACATTAACGATTCTGACCCCCATGTTAATAATATTTCTCTGGAAAAATGTAAATGCTCGGAGGGATGGTGATATGTTTTATGTCTCATGCTAGAGATATAGCTCTCAGCGCTTACCTGAATGTCCCAGTGTGTTCCGGTGCACTGATGTTACAGGAATATAGGAGCAAGAGTAGGCCATTCAACTCCTCAAACCTGTTCCGCCATTCTACCATTCTATTAGATCATGGCTGATCTTTATCTCAACTCCAATTACCTGCCTTTTCCCCATATCCCTTGATACCCTGACCTAACCTAACAAACAATCTATCAACCTCAGTTTTGGAAATTTGAATGGATCCGGCATCCACAGCCTTTCGGGGGAGAGAGTTCCTGATTTCCACTCCCCTTTGCGTGAAAAAATGTCTCCTGATTTCACTCCTAAGTGGCCTGGGTCTAATTTTAAGATGATGCCCCTTTTGTTCTGGATTCCCCCACCAGAGGAAATAGTTTCTCTGTAGCTACGCTATCAAAGCTTTTCATCATTGCAAAATCAATCAGATCTCCCCTCAACCTTCTAAACTCAAGGGAATACAGACCATGTTTAAGCAACCAGTCTTCATAATTTAACCTTTTAAACCTTACTGAAGTAAACTTGAGAGCAAGTAACAAGTTATCTGTGTGGCATTGTATCTCCAGTGCAAAGATGGGCTTCATGTCTGAGTGTATAGTTTGCTGGGAATGACTGTTCTAGCAGGGTTGCTGCTTGTATTTGGCAAATCCATCAGGGAACGTCCTCTGACCCAATGTTTTATGGATCAGTTATCACTTTCGGCAAAATTCCCTGCGGACTTTGCCTCATGGTTCATGAATAATTTGGCTTACGGCTGAACCTAGTTAATCTGAACCCATTGGGACTGAATGGCATTGCAGCTATAGATTGGGGGGGGAAGGGGAAATAAAAAGGCAGATGGATCAAGTTGAACAAAGATTTATAAAAAAAATCACTGTCCAGGTCATCCAAAGTGCTTTGATTGTTAGAGTTCGCAGTTTATTTTGTTTTGTTTTACTTCTCTACCAATTTGCTTGTCTTCCTCCTATGCACATCCCCTCTTCTCTCCTTTCCTGAAGGTTTTTTTTAAAACTACTTTTTCTTTCTATTGAGTTGAGGTTCCATAGATGTTCAGTGGCATCTGGTACACACTCAAGTGACCATTATTCATGCGCCAGTGAGTGTTGGAGGCAGGTGGGGTGGGTTTGGGGTGGTGGGGGTGAGTAGTAGTTGCAGCCCAGCTCACTAAGAACATGTAAGGAGCATATTGACAGGAAAAGCCATTTGACCATGCCATCCTCTACCAATTTAGTAGATCGGGCAGTAGTTTAGTAGATCGGGCCAGTAGATCTTTTTCTCTCTCACGTGTTTCAACATTAAAGAGGAATGTTACTCCAGGGGTCAGCACAGAAGGGAGCCATTTGGAGGAATGTTTAAAATTACTTGAAACAGTGTCGCTTCTGAGAATTCGACCACTTATAGGGAATGAAAGGGAGTTGAGTGGCGGGGGGGGAAGGAAATCGAACTTTTGAAGCAAGTTATTTCAATGTGTCCTTAAACATGGCCTTTAATACTCATAAAACACAGGAAATTGGCTTCATTTTGAATGTGCAATTGGATCGTATGGAACAGAAATATGCACCTTTTAAGCTGAACTAAGCATAGTGAAAAATGTAATGGTCCTTTTATTATTACTTTTTTGTTATTAGGAGTTTTATTTATTTGACTCCTTATTTTTATGTTTCCAGATATCCCTGTCACCTGCACCATAATAATAACAGTAATAAAAATGCTTATATTTGATATAGCACCTTATCACGTCTTTGAGACGCCTCAAAGCGCTTCACAGAATATACTGTAAAGTGAGTGGACTGTATATTTTGTGCGTGAAACACAGCAGCCAATTAGGTACAGCAGTGTCCCACAAAAGGTCGTGGATTCAGTAACCATTTTTTTTCACAAATTTTTTGAAGGGATAACGACCCTCAGAAAGCAATCCGCCAATTGACTCACTGGCTGATTGGCAATACTCAGAGAGGCAGACCAGTCACTGGGGCCAGGGATTCTTGGCTTCTGTTAACCACGCAAGCCAAAGTCCTCATGGGAAGGGTGGTCCTAGCTGGACATCGGCAGGAAGCTTGCAAGACAGTGTTCACAAACTATTGCAAACTATGCAGACTTCGGTGGTTAAACTCCAGCAGCATCTTACATTTGATGTAGTACCTTATCATGTCATCGAGATGTCTCAGAGCATTTAAGAAGATTTTACTCTAGGTGCAGTTGCTGTATTTGTAGCCAAACATGGCAGCCAATTTGCACAACGGTGTCCCAAAACAGCCACAAAATGAATGACCAATTTTATCTGGGGGGATTATTGTCTAGAACATCGAGAAACTCCCTTCTGTTTTCGAATAGTGTCATGGGATCTTTAACGTTCACCTGTTCAGGCAGACAGGAGCTTGGTTTAATGTCTCATCCAAAGCACGGCACCTCCAACAATATAGCTCACTCGCCTCAACATTGCATTGGAATGTCAGCCAAGGCTGTGAATTCACAGTCACGATGTGTGGACTTGAACCCACAACCTTCTGACTCAGAGCAAGAGTCCTTTCAACCAAGCCAGGGTGACAGCTGTGTGTCTTCACCACGGTTTCTTGGCTTTTTTTAAGTAATATTGAGTCCACGAAATCCTGTAGCATATTGGGTGAGAGCATTCGCCTCACAAGCGAGAAGACTCAGGTTCTATTCCCGGGCAGGGTGAAACCTTAGACAAGTTTCCTTAAACTACTCTGTTTACCTCGCATCAAGTAGGAACCTTGTTGATAGTCAATTGGCTAATCGCTTTTTGGGGCTAATAATGCCATCAATAAATAAATAAAATTATAATAATTTATCCCTCAATCCATGACTGTTTGTGGTATACTACTGCGCGCAAATGGCTGCCACATTTCACCCACAAAATACACAGTCAATCCACTTTACAGTATATTCTGTGAAACACTTTGAGACGTCGAGAAGACGTGATAAGACGCCATATCAAATTCAAGGATTATTATTATTACTGTTATTATTATTAGGGGAATGCAGCAAAAGTGCAGTAGATGCAGGTCTGCATTGAAAATGGAACTCCATCATTTTAATGCAAAAAGCTTTAAAGCAGAAGCGTTATTCGGGCTGTGTATCTTCATCTGCATCTTAAGTACAGCTACAGAGGGAAGGGGGTAAATAATGCAGGACTGTACACCGATTGTTATTAATGCATGACTCTTCCAATGCCTCAGTACAAATGTTATTCAAAACATTGCGTTTGCCTGAGGCAGTCAATAAGCCAGTGGTTAATTTTTAATATGTGGCGCTACAATACTAACTGACTGTCAGCTGACTGATCACATTCTGATCTGTACGAGCTACATGTGTAATCTTTCTTCTTTTTTTTTTGCATGGGGGGGTGGACCGTTCTTTTTATTTTTACCGAATTAAGAAACAACGGTGTCTGGGAAATAAAACAATTTTCTACTCATGGCCCCCAGAGTCAGATAAGTCGTAGCTTATAGTTGTATTTGTTATAGGTCAGTTATCATAGAATCATAGTATTTTACAGCATAGAGGGAGGCCATTTGACCCATTCTGCCTGTGCCGGCTCTTTGAAAGAGCTACTAACTAGTCCCACTCCCCCGCTCTTTCCCCATAGCCCTACAGTTTTTTTTTCCTTTTCAAGTACCTATCCAATTCCCTTTTGAAAGCTATCAAATCTGCTTCCACCACCCTTTCAGGCAGTGCATTCAGATCATAACAACTCGTTGGGTAAAAAAGATTTTCCTCGTCTCTCCTCTGGTTCGTTTGCCAATTATCTTAAATCTGTGTCCTCTGGTTACCGACCCACTCGTCAATGGAAGCAGTTTCTCCTTATTCACTCTATCAAAACTCATAATTTTGAAATCCTCTATTAAATCTCCCCTTAACCTTCTCTGCTCTAAGAAGAACAATCCCAGCCTCTCTAGTCTCTCCACATAATTGAAGTCCCTCATCCCTAGTATGGTAGGTAAGCTCTAAGACTTCTTTTCACACACACACAGTTGTTAGGATATGGAATGTCCTGCCATGAGCAGTGGTTGAGGCTGAATCCGTATTATCTTTCAAAAGGGAACTAGATGGATAGCGAAGAAGCAGTAAATCACAGGGGTTTGGGGGTTGGGGTGGGGTGGTGGAAAGGCAGATAAATGAGACTAATTCTCTATGATCAGAAACAAGAACAACAACAACTTGCATTTATATAGCGCCCTTCACATGAGGTAGTGTCCCAAGTGGTTGACAGTGGTGGAGTCTGATCCCGAGCCAGGGGGTGATGGAGGGGGGAGGTGACCGTAAGCACAATCAAAAAGGAAGGTCTTTAGGCGGGATTTGGGAATGGGGAGGGAGGGGGCAAGGCATAGGGATTGAGGTAGAGAGTTCCAGAGTTTTGGGACATAGTGGCTGAAGCACGGCCACCGATGGTGGAACGGATGAGCGATGAACAGGACGAACAGAAACACCAAGGGGAGTGCAGAAATCTTTGGACCTAATCATCCTGCCAGGGGATGAAAGATAAATAAGTGAATTTACTCTGTCGTGTCATAAATATCTGATCGTGAAGTTAACAGCATGCCTTTTTTTTTACATCTGGCCAACAAATGGGGCCTATTATCAAAACATAGCGTATAGGTTGTCACCAACATTCAACTCTACATTTGATCTGTAAAATGGGCCGTTTTGGTCATTCACCCACAAAACACAGTCGTTCCACTTTACAGCATATCCTGAGAGACGTCCTCCTGACATGAAAGGCACTGCATCAAATGTGATAATAATAATAAATGTAAAGATTATTATTGTTGTTATTTTAGCAAGTGAATTGGAGGATGAGGTTACGGGTCAACTTGCAAAGGATGTCAGCGGGGGCTCTACACTGAAGCTTGCGGCAGTATAAGCATAGCAATAAAAAAGAAATGCGCATATTTAGAATATTATCCTTTTGTGCGGGAGCCCTTACTTACTCAAACGCTAGCCGTTTAGTTAGTAGGTTCACTATCTTTCATATCCTTGAATCCGCTGATCATGAAAACTTTACATAATTTGGTGTAATCAGTCAAAGGGTTTCATTTGTACACAATTTTATTCGTTGCGGTGTTCACTGGATTTCCTAACTTTATAAAAGTATACAGGATGCTAAATAAGGTAGAGAGAGTAAACCCCAGGACAGTGCTTCCAGATTTGTCAGATGAAGCAGAAGAAGAGAAGGGGTTTCAGGATCGTGAAGGTTAATTTCAGGATAGACATCATGAAGTAAGGATAATTAACAACTTGAATGGGTTACTAACAAGGTGGTGGCCAGGAACTTGGCCTCACTTAAGAGAGTAGAGATTGTGAGGTTGGGATTCTAAAAGATGTGTTTAAACACTTTCCTCATCTGAACCTCTCGTGTGACTTCTGTTTCTCAATCTGGTTTCCTCATGAAAAACAGACCTCACTGTGGATTCTCATCATGTACTGAAATTAACATTTCTTTTCCTGACATATAAAGCTTATAATCCTTGCATTTGATATAGCGCCTTATCTCGTCATCAAGACATCCCAAAGCGCTTCACAGGATCTATTGTAAAATGGATTGACTGATAGAAACTAACATTCACTAGACCAAAATGCTAACTTATCTATTGTTTTGTGTTCTTATCCGCAGCTCCAACTGAATCACCCCTTCGGCCCAAGTTGGGTAAGTGAGCAAAAATAGTGTCCAGCTGTGCACGAATAATGTCCTGAGTCCTTCATTTGCTCTGAGTCTCTTGAGCACCATCTGAAACTGCTGGAGGAACCATCAGATTGATGAAAATAGGCTGTCACCAATAGCTCAGGTGTTTATCCAGGGAGTAACCGAACCATAAAGGTTTGGAAGGTCCCAATTTGCTCCCTGTTGTGTTTTAAGGTAGCTGATCTCAGTTAGGGCAGCATTTCAGAGCACTACAATACAGAAGGGAAAATAAGCCAGGACTCCCTCTGTCGATCACTATCCAGAGACCCCATTAGAGATGGAAATGTGTGGATGTTAGACAAGGATAGAGTCAGGCTTGGCTCTGTTGCCCTCTGCAGCCTGGATAGCCACTCAATGCCGAATGCCAAGGATCACACAGACACACACCAGACATATATATAAAGGCAACTTAGGCATATAATGGTACCAAAGGGGAAAATACACGATGGCGTTCATTGAACCAAACTTCAGTGGAAAGTAAAGAGAAGTCAAACTCCTTCAGAACTTCAACCTCTCTCCTTGTGTTTTCTCATCCAGAGCTGTCAGAAAAGAAAAGATTTTGATATCAAACGGCTTATGTTTGTGGTGTGATTATGACTGATCTAGAATTTAATGCCCATCCTGTCTCGCATGAGGACTCAGCGTGTTTTGAAAGCTTTTTTTGTATTTAAGGATACCCAAGCAACACATTATTTTTTTATTAAAAAGAGAGAGAAACAGCACTGACATAATCCAGCAGAGAGAGAAGAAAGAACTTTCACAGCGAATGACAAATTATTTATTCTGGTAGTTCTCTGGGAGACCATAAGCAGTAGAATGTTTAATAAGAGTTTTGCGGGCATCAGGGCAGGGACTAAACAGCACAACAGGAGGCTTATGTAGTCACGCAGCACTGCATAACAAGATGCTAAAATATACGATGTGTCCCTTGGCAGACTGCAGGCTTTTACACTGGCGACATCCTTTGGAGTCGCCATTAACATTCATTTAAATTTTAAAGGAATAAAACTGTAACAAACGTATGTTGCCGTGGGGATGGCAAGGCAAACCTCCTGCACCTCTGTGGCCAAAGTTGGCACATGTTTCTGTCCTTGGCTTTGAACAGGGGCCAAACAGAGGCAAGCAGGGCTCTCCAGAGCATTGTGCTGAACACAAATGTGCGTGATGCTTTTTTCTTAAGAAAGAAAGAGAGAACGAAAGATTAACTGGGGCTCTCCATCCAGTGTTAGACAAGCTAAGTATTACATTGCATAATATTTTGCTGAGTAAATTAGTTTGCGACAGACTGCTTATTAACTAGGCATCGTTTGTTTCCTCAGCTGAAGTCCACGGATCCAATCTTATTCTTCGGGATGACTTTGATTCATATCCACAAATGGAACTCAATCCTGACGTATGGTAGGTGCCAAGTGGTTTGCATTTTTGTCTTTTAAACCCCACATCCATGCCATAAACCCTTTCTGCCTTCCCGCACCTCCGCAACATTGCCCGCCTCCGCCACTACTCCTCCCTTCGGGCTGCCGGGACCCTCATCCATGACTTTGTGACATCCAGGTTTGGCTATGCCAACTCCCTGGACCCTGGTCTTCCCAACTCGTCCCTCTGCAAGGTGCGGATTATTGTGGACTGTGGAGTCCTGTATCTTCGTGTCCCTAAAGTGTTCATAAAGAGTCCCAGGTTCTTGGTCTAATTGTAACATATATAACATTAGCTCTGTATCCAGTGACATGCCCCCTGTGGGTTGAACAGCTTGACTGGGAATACGTGCTCATAGTACGAGCAGGTCAAGTTACTGCATCGCCCTAAAAAGCACGTAAGGTTTGCTGTTTAAAGAGAGATGTTGGGGCCAAGGATTCAACAGGGGAGCGATGACTTGTGTTAATGTGGAGTTAGCATCTCAATGGAGAGTTTTCCACGTCACAGATAATTTGCGTTAACTTTTTAACGAGACTCGGGAAGGAAATTGTGATAGGGAGGAGCAACCCGCACGATGTTCATTCCATTAACTAGGAGTTCTTGCTAAGGAATCTTATTATGTAACACCGCAAATTAGACCCTTGTATATGTGTGTGTGGTGTGTGTGTAGTGTGTAGTGTGTGTAGTGTGTGCGTGTGTCTGTAGTGTGTGTCTCTAGTGTGTGCAGTGTGTGTGCAGTGTATGTAGTGTGTGTAGTGTGCGCATGTATGTGTAGTGTGTGCGTGTGTGTGTAGTGTGTGTGTGTGTGTGCGCCTAGATTCTGACACAGCAGGAATAGCCTGTTCGATAGCTCTTGGGTCACCCGCCACCAGCGTGCTCATGGCTCTGGACAGCGAGTGACACCCCAGCAGCCGTCGTGTCAAAGGCCGCACATAGTTTTATTGAAAGAAATGATTAAAGCCGGGAGAGAAGACACGAGGACAGGGGCAACTCCGTCACTGAGTCACGGGTCAACGTTCAAAGCAGACGCCCTGTGGCCCCGTGGTCGCGAGAAGTTTTACGCCTGACTCGTAAAACAAAATGGTCGACTTACGGGTCATCAGGTCGCCCACTGCTGACATCGCTTTCCGTCGCGCTCCACGTGTGCGTTACGGGTAGAAAGTGCTGCCGATGTCACTGTTCGACGGCGGGTTATGTTTCTGCATGTACCCAGCGTTGGCGCAACGGGGTAAGCAGGGATGTTAGTGGTGATCTGACTACCCGGATGTCAAATACTTTTCGCATACCTTTTTAATGGGGCATCTGAGATATTGGACTTGACACAGTTGTGTTGTATCAACACACACACACACACACACACACACACACCCTGTGATGGAATGACAGCATCTGTCACCAACTATGCCGTCTCTTCCTCTCTCTCTCCCGTTCGCAACCCCCCTCCCCTACACTCCCCCAACACACAGCCCCATTTGCAAATGCGTTCAAGGGGATGGAGAGCGACTTTGGTTTCCAAATGAAGGACACACATTGACAAGATTACTAAACACAGCAGGGGTTTTTTTCCCCGAGTTTTTGTGAATCTGTTTTTCACACAGTAACATATTTTCACACGCCACCGGTACATCGTGAAGCATTTACACATGAACAGACGAAAGCCCTGTTCATAACGGAGGGAGTCTGAAATATGGCAATTTCTTACAAGATTCCTTTTCTAAGATACATCTGCATCTGAAGTGTCAAGCCAACTAGCGGGAACTCCACTCTTAATGCAATCTGCTTTCAGAGCAAAGTGATATGCCTGATGTATTTACTGGAAAGAGTCTCCATCGTGTGTGTGCTAAACTCCTTATTTAACATGAACATGTCACATCTTATACAGGGGATGTGTGGTCAGTTGGATCCTGTTTCTGTTCTGTTACACGGTGCATTGATTCCTGTCATCGCCACGGCTTAATGATAATGCGTGAACTCACTTGCATCTCCCTCTCTGTCTGATCTCTCTCTTAAGGTTCGAATGCAGCCACTGTGCGGTGGGAGGCCAGTGTGGTTCCATCATGCACGGCCACGCAGTTTCCTTTTGTGAGCCATACGGGGCACGAGAGCTGGTAAATGAACAACAACTTGCCTTTATATTGCGCCCTTAACGTAAGATAACGCCTCAGAGCGCTTAAAATAACAGTGTCAGCAAGGGACTACGGGGGGGTGATCATAGGCGTGATTAAAGAGGTAGGTTTTAAGGTGGGAATTGAAGACACCTGGAGAGCGAGGGTTTAAGCCGCTTTTAAATGTAAAGCAATTGGAGTCCTGTAGAAGGGGGTTAGCACGCTCGCCTCGCAAGTAAAAGGACCCAAGTTTGATTCTGGTGCGGTGCGAAACATGAGGCAAATTTCCTTACTCCACACACCTCTGTTTACTTGGCAGTAAGTAGCAACCGAGTTGTTTGTCGATTGGGGGATCGCTTTCCGGGGGTAGTAACCCCTCTCTTAAAAATAAGTAGCCACTCAATCCAAAACTGTTTGTGGGACACTGCCGTGCGCAATTGGCTGCTGTATTTTGCCCACAAAATACATACTCAATCCACTTCACAATGTATTCTGTGAAGTGTTTTGAGACATCTCAACCACACTATATCAAATGCAAGGATTATTATTATTATTTATTAATTTGCAAAGCTGAACTATAAACACTAGTGGTGCTTATCCTGACTGCGGCTTAGTACATGAATTTAGTTATTTCTCAGACTGATGTAGTATATTGTCAATCACATAGCATCGTCACTACAGACCTGCTCTGAAATACAAGGCACGATATTAAAATATTACATTGAGATTATTGTCGTGACTTTAAAGCCTCTGCAGAAAAAGCCATGAAAGTAAGCAGTGAGAAATGATGTTGTGTTGTCTTGTACATGTTCCTCTTTGAGGGAGCTGATAACCGAATACAAAGGTTTATTATGAGCAAACAATAAAGAGGAATGATACCGGGCTGATTAGCTGAATGCGTGGCAGTAAATTTAAAACTGATAGCCAGAGAGTCACTCCAAATCCTGATAGTTTAGATCTTTCTCTTTCTAATCATTTCCATCTATCAAACTCTGGTCTATTCTGGCACCATCATTGATTTCAGTCAGTGTGCCTGGCTTCGGGGTAGCTCATAACTCAGTCGGTGGATATGAGATTTGTGGGATTTCCTCAGTGCAGAGGGAGACAGTGATGAGTTCTGAGTGCTATACTGTTCACTAATTCTAGTACATTTGACCCCTAATACTAAACCACTGCAATGTCATCTTATATTTAATCATTTAATTTACATTCAGAATGCAGTGTTTCAGTATTTATAATATTATTATTATTATTATTTACCATTTAGAATTGCGTTACACGAATTGCATCATTTATAAACGACAAATATGCTAAAGTGAGCCAACACGTTGGGATAATAACTTAGACACAAGCAGAGAGGATGAGGGACGGATGTTTTTTTTACTGGCATATTCAGATGTATATTTATGCCCGTGATATTCCACATAATGATTTCCTGGTCTTTGCCAGGTTCAACATGGGAAGGGGGGGGATGGGGGGGGCAGAGGGTGTTGGGGTGGGGGTAAGGTGAGAGCAGATGGAACGCACTTCCTTACAGAAAAAGTAATAATAATAATAATAATCCTTGCATTTAATATAGCGCTTTTCACGTCTTCTAAACATCTCAGAGCGCTTCACAGAATATACTGTAAAGTGAATTGACTGTATATTTTTTTGTGGGCGAAACACGGCAGCCAATTGTGCACAGCAGTGTCCCACAAATCGTCATGGATTAAGTGGCCAAGTTATTATTTTTTTTTACTTGAGGGCTTATTATCAAACGTGTGGAGTAAGGAAATTTTCCCAAAGTTTTGCCCTGCCGGGAATCGTATCCAGGTCTCTCGCTTGCGAGGCCAGTGCTCTAACCACTAAGTTACAGGATTCCTGCAGTGTCAAAAGTAGTGTCAAAAGTCAAGGAGCATATGACATATCTGCCCTCACACCCAAAACATAGTGGACGGGTCCCACGTAAATGGAGAAAGTAGCTAAAAGTCTATCATTTTACAACCCCCGCCCCCCCCACCCTTCCCACCCCAGTGCTGTATCACTGAATACAATTATTTTGTTCTCCTAATTTCTAGTCATTGTTAGAATTCATAGAATCCGACAGCACAGAAGGAGGCCATTCGGCCCATCATACCTGTGCCGGCTTAGTTGAAGGAGCGATCCAACCAGTCCCACTCCCCGGCTCTTTCCTTGCAAATTTTTCCGTTTCAAGTAAATATCCAATTTCCCTTTTCAAAGTTATCATTGAATCTGCTTCCACCATCCCCTTTCAGGCAGTGCATTCCAGACAGTAACAACCTGCTGTGTAAAAAAAAAACCTTCTCCTCATCTCCCCTCATCGTACACTCAAATCTCTTTGGCAGATGCTTTGCGAAAGTCAAGCAAACGGATTGAGAGATCGAGAAACAGATTGACTGCTCAAAAATGTCAATGCATTTGGAAGCGTTATCTAAAATCACTGTCAGATTTGAGCGGTGGAGATTAACAGACACTTGACTGTCACCCTGCTGTTAGCACCGAATGATACTAAGAGAATCTTGGATCAGGGCTTCAGATCTTAAACTGTTTCCGTAAGAACGTTAATGACACTTACAATCTATAGCTGGAATTTTTCTGAAGTCTCACATTCAATCCTCTGTTTGGTTTCTGGACCATTTAAGATTTAGTTTAAGATTGTAGATATTTCTGTTTCTCCCTTTGAGGCTAGCTTTATCCCGTCTTGTTGGTGGGGGGGAGGGGGTGAATCATTTTCTGACGTGTGCTTTTTGTAAATCGTCTGCAAGATAACACTGGTTGTGGTTCCCATGAAGAAAGTACAATCCCACGAGTTATTGAAGTGTTGTGGTAAAGTCAACTCCCTTTCTGGGTTCAGAAGTCCCATCCGAACAGAAATCGGCTTATTTTAGTCGGCCTCTTTCAATGGAGACGCACTGATAAAATTGTAGAGTGTGTGTTTCTCCATACGATAAATAATAATCATCTTGCCTTTGAAATAGCGCTTTTCGCATTGGGAAGGCACCTCAAGGCACGTCACAGGATTTTTCCATGCGCATTACTATAGGCAATGTCCCACAAACATCCGTGTAGTAGATGACCAACTTTATCTGGAGGTTGTTGGCCAGGGCACCAGGAGGAACCCCCTTCTCTTTGGATCCTACATAAGAACAAAAGATTCTGCAATTCTATTTGTTCACGAGAGTAACTTATATCTCGAATTCCTTTCCCCTTGCCTTTTCTTCATATTCCTTAAGATCCCAAATTCCTGTGAAAAATCTCTTAAGATTGATTCTGTCTTCTGGGACTGTGTATTACACATTCTCACAACAACAACAACAACAAGATTACATTTGTATAGCGCCTTTCACGTCGGGAGGACTTTCCAAGGCGCTGGACAGTGTACATACAGCATTTCAGACCCGAGCTGGGGTCAGCAGGGGAGAGGGGAGGGGAAGGGGGGTGGCCGATGGCATGGTCGAAGGGGAGGGTCTTGAGGCGGGACTTGAAGGAGGCTAAGGAGGGGGCGAGGCGGGGTGACTGGGGGATGGAATTCCAGAGGTTGGGGGCAGAGTGGCTGAAGGCTCTCCCGCTCATGGTGGGGCGGGTGGGGCGGGGGACGTGGAGCAGGCCGGTGCCGGCTGAGCTACATGTGCTACATGCCCTACATGTGCGCTGTTCACAGACTAGTAGGTCTGTCTAACATTGCAGTGTGTCAGCAGTAGTCTATTCTCCCAGGAGTGGGAGTGAGCATTTTGGGGAGGGAAGGGCAGCTCAGGTCAGAATGGGGGGTGGATTGAAGCTTGGAGACTAGGAGCAAGGGATTAGCAGGGCGTGGTCAACCTATTGGCATGGGGGGGACGAGGGACGGGGAGATGAAAAGAGGAGTCAAACATTTTCAGGACAGGAGGAAGAGGGGTGGGGGGGAGAAATCCTCATATCCTGCTCGGCTTGTAGATTTTTAAACGTTTTGATAACTTGTAACCGAGCAGTGCAACCCTACGAGACACATTAACCGAAGGGAACATGCAAGGAGCGATGTTTGAGCAGACAGCAGCTTGCTAGTTATTTTTTCCAATTACCATCTATCTCTCTGGTCTGAATTTCAAGTGATAAAGCTGTTGTGTGGGCAGTTTGTAAATTGCGCATCTGTGTCTTGAGTTTCATTTTGTTATTCAAATTTCAACCGTGCTACCTTTTAATTTAATAACATCTTATTTGCTCCACAAACACGCAGAGGGTAATCAATGACCGGAACAGGTTGCCAGGAAAGGTGGTAGAGACTGAGTCACTGGACTCATGTTATAAAGCAGCTTGATGCAGTGATGGGGGTGGTGGGTGGTGGGATGTGGTGGGTGGGGCGGGAGGGGAAATGGTAGAGTGGGCGTTCTGGGGGGTTGAGATCAGATGGGCTGAAGGGTATCCGTCACCCGGACTGATCTTATGATCTTGAGGACTTCGTGTAAGTAACTACGTTAAAAAAAATTCCCCAAAAAGTTATTTTGTGTGGTCATTTCTCACGCTGGCATAGAGAGAAGAAATTTGGGAAAATGGGACGTGCAGGATGATAGAAGGCGAACGAGACAAACCTCGGTCTTTTTCATCTCACAATTCCTACGTTTCAAACCCACTGAGCTTTCCGTCCTTCGCTGTGTCTTGAAGTAGAGTAGAAAAGATAGCATTGCAACATTTACTGACCACATTCCCGCTCAATTCCTGTGGTCGCACGTGTCAAATGAAAATCATAATGCAGGGCAAGCAATGGGGAGCTCAACAGTTTTCAGAAACCCATAGCGATATGAGGTGGAGGGGGTGTGGGGGCGGACATATAAAGGAGAGAGACCTAAATGCAATGCAGAGAGAGAGAGAGAGATGAATATTTTTTACCACCACATTATCTGCTCCACTGGAAACACTCTTCACTCTGGTTAAGTGGGTCTGACTGCTGACCCCTGGTGAGGATCAAACCTTTCATCCAGAGCCTACGAGACAACCATTGGCAGCACTGTGAGTGCTCAGAGATTACACTTTAATTTATCCTGTATTTGCTCCCTGGATTCATGAATTGTGGCTGCTGCTGGCAATGGGATGTGCATCACACTATCCTGTAGGATCTCTATTCAGGGAAAAGATTGTGTTGGAGCAGAGATCCACTTCCATTTGCCAGCCTTTGGCAGGGGTTCAGTTTGGGCAGCAATACCGAGGTGGGGGGGGGGGCGCGGTTGGAGGCTAACATGCTCGAAGTCCCTCTATGTAGCTGATCAAGACCTGAGGCTAATTGTTTACAATTCTGATCACCACAACTTAAGCGGTCTGCCCAGGCTCCAGAGGCAACATGTGGAGTCCTGTAGCTCAATGGTTAGAGCTCTCGCTGAGAGCTGGGTTTGATTCCCGGGCAGGGCGGAATATTAGGCAAATTTCCTTACTCCACACGCCTCTTTTCACCTAGCAGTAAATAAGAACCTGGTTGTTAGTCGATTGGCGGATGGCTTTTCCGGGGGCAGTAATCCTTCCAAAACAAATAATAATTTGGTCACTCCATCCACGACTGTTTGTGGGACACTGCTGTGCACAATTGGCTGCCGCGTTTCGCTCACGAAACATACAATCACTACACTTTAAGGTATATTCTATGAAGCGCTTTGAGACGTCTCGAAGATGTCATAGGGCGCTATATCAAATGCAAGGATTATTGTTATATTATAAGTTAGGGCTCTTCATTTTTGAGCGAAGACAACTCAGAGGAGATTGGAGGCAGGTTGATCGGGAAGGATTAGATCAGATGTGCCAAAGGGCCTTCTTCGGATATTTTAAGAAATGGGGGGGAAAATGGCTTTGAAGTGAAAATTGAATTGCAAGAAGTTCCATGCTATATAAAACTGTAAGACAAGTGGCTTAAGGTTCAGACCATACGTTTTTTCGGGCCTTTAAAGGTGCGTTGGACGAAGGATCTTTCAAACCAACTCAATTATTTTAGCTGCTGAATCAAAACTTCTCCCTCTAATTGTCTTCTCTCTTTTTCCAGACCACTGTTTTGCTTAATACAACCACAGCATCTGTTCTGCAGTTCTCTATTGGTAAGTGATCACACATAACAACCACTCGTTCACTCATCAGCAGGAAATGAAGCCCAGACAAGAGAACAAAGCAGATATGCAGAGGAGGTTTGAACCATGTTTGGTTCACGAGACTGCAGGAATCTTGATTTGAAATAATTTTCATCCAAAACTAATTTAGACATTTTCCATTAAGACATTGACCTCAAACCAACAGTGTAGTAAATAGTCCTGATTTCTTCCTGCGCTATCTCCAGAGGGACACATTATCCTTTCAATTAGACGATTGGATTGAACGACTATTGAATTGTTCTGGTGTTAATTAATTTATGAATGAAACAATTCCTTGAAAATTCCTTCTTGGTTGGAAATGTCTTCCCCAAAGATGCTCGGGTCATTTCAATCCAGTAAAAAAAACGATGCCGTTTGTTCTGCAATATGCTGTGGTAGATAACAGAATTCAGTTAGGGACACAAATGGAACGAGCGCAAGCTGTTTAATCTGACCATTTTTCATTCCACTCTGTAAAACGCTCCCACCATAATATTTCAAATAATAGAGCAAACCTTGAATATAGAGCTCGGTTAGACTGCAGGGTGCTGCTATAGGCTGGTTGACAAAGGAATAGGGTGCAAGTTTCTCTCTCCTCTACCGCCCGAGTAATGCATTGCACGGTAGATTGCTAATCTCAACCAGGTCTAAGGTGAAGATGAGGCAACAAGAACAACAACACAACTTGTACTTATATAGCGCCCTCCACGCAAGGGTAGCATCTCAGAGCACTTAACAGTGGTGGAGCCTGACTCCGAGCTGGGGTGGGGTGGGGGTAGGCGGCCATAAGCACGGTCGAAGACGAAGGTTTTCAGGCGGAACTTGGAGAAGGCGGAGGGATTGAGGGAGAATGTTCCAGAGTTTGAGGGCGTAGTGGCTGAAAGCACGACCTCCGATAGCGGGGCGGAGGCGGCCATGCCTTCAGTCACTATGCCCCGAAGCTCTGGAACTCTCTCCCTTAATCCCTCCATCTTGCCCCCTCCCTGCCCACTTTCAATTCCCACCTAAATACCTTCCTTTTTGATCGTGCTTACCGTCACCTTCCCCCTCCCTCTCCCCCTGGCTCGGTGTCAGACTCCGCCACTGCCAAGCGCTCTGAGGCGCTACCTCGCATGAAGAGCGCGATATAAATGCAAGTTATTGTTGTTGTTGGCATAACCCCAGCGGATCTAACTCAAAATTCTTGTCCTCACTTTCATACGCCTCCATGTCCTTACCCACCGTAGCTCCAAGACTTCCTGCGACACTTCTCCATCAGGAGGGGAGGGGAAAAGTACTAGAATCATAGGATCTTACAGCACAGAAGGAGGCCATTCGGCCCATCGTGCCTGTGAAAGAGCTGTCCAATTCGTCCCACCTCTCTGCTCTTATCTCATAGCCCTGCAAATATTTCCTTTTTCAAGCACAGGATGGAACGATAGAACTAGAGGAGGATAACATTGAAATGGTTATAATTTTAATAGCCTACGTGGCACGTGACCAAAATGTAATCATTTGCGACAGTGGGCAGTGCAAGACGAAATATTAATCACTCGCTCGCTGTAAGCTGTAGGAATTTCGTTTCACATTTTAAGGTGATGATTCATAAAAGAGTCAAATTTAAATGAAAGCAATATTTTCCGGTAGTGAAAATGTCACAGAATATATGAGTGAATTAAAGATAAGCGCTCCACGAGATAATGGATGGATGAAAGTAATGGAGGAATCCGTTCAAGGTACTCAATGTGGGAAACAATCCAGGAAAAAGTTAACGTTCAACACTTTCAACAGGGTTTAAGGGCCCCCACCCCACAACCCGCTCCCCATGACATTTAGTTACCATGTCCAAACAGCCATGTTTCAAATAGCCACTTTTCACACAGAATTGGACGTATTAATCAAACAGAAATGGATAGTGTCCTATATTTAATTAAAATTTTGGCTTCCTTTCCAATGAATGGTAATGAGCAGGTTGTGGAGCCCAATTCCTCGGGAGCAGGATAATTGGATTTACACACGATCCCTTACTCCAGCTGCAATCCGGGGGTGGGGGGGGGTTGGAATTCTCTAATGCCTGTGAATTTATTTATTTATTTATTTACTTTGTCAGTCCAGCAATGGCTCATTCTCTCCACTGAGTTCATACATTTACCTGATCTGTTAATACCTCCACTGGTTGGTACATTTGCTTCATTTGGTCAGGCCTTCAGCCTTTCTGCCCCCACCTTTTGGAACTCCATCCCACAGTCCCTACATCTTACTCCCCTCCCTCGCTTGTTTCAAGGCCCATCTCAAGACCCTCCTTTTCGACCGCGCCTTCGGTCCCCCGCGTACCCCTAACCTCCCTGCCCTCCACTCCTCCTGAACCCAACCCCCAGCTCGGGTGTAAATTCTGATGGTCCAGCACTTTGGCAGGTCCTCCCGACCTGAAAGGCTCTATACAAGTATAATTGGTTGTTGTTTTTGTTGATTTGATAATGAAATATCTCACACTGCTCACACACAAAAGTTTGCTCCGATCAGAGAATCACCCCCTACATGTGCAATATCCTTTCATTTAAATGCATTTTTGTTTTAAATATCCCATATCCTGTTTTTATTGAACCTGCACCCAAGGAACTTGCCTTTGAATCGATACGTAGCTCTTTGATGCTGCGTGATTTTTCCAGGTTTGAGAAACTGCTCGATTTTACTTTATTTTGTCGATTCTGCCAGGGTGACGTCCTTCATGTTTTGGATGTTATTGTAACAGTTGTGCAGAACTACAAAGCATCTAGTTCCCAAAGCCCCCCAAACCCCACCTCTCCATTCTTCCCTTCGTGCCTTTGCATTGACGTCCTTCTGCTAACATGATGGATGGTCTGGTCTATGGCCATCACTTCAATGTTGCTTCATACACAGCAATGGACATGGTGCGAAGGGTCTCCCTAATGTTATTCTGTTTCACATGATGGAGGGTTCATCATCCAGGGTCAAACAGACGTGGAGATCAAAGAATGTTAAGGCTCAGAAAGCTTTGCTTCATTATTTTGTGTGCTTTTGTTTTGTCTTCAACATGCAACAAGTTCCAAATAGTCACACGTTATTCTCATGGCACAAAGCACACATGGTAACAGTGGAATCTTACTTGTTTGCAGTGCCAAAGAGCCTCATTTGTAACGCTGCCTCCAGTGTCAGGGTTACCAGACCTTGACTCCGAATACATTCACTCTACATTTTAGGTTGTGTGCTATGGGACACTCATCGTGCCCAACGCCCAAGCTCTGCAGTCTAATTGGGGCGAAGAGATTCATGTCTGGTGATGGCAAAGTGCTTCTTTCATCTACCTCACAATGTCAGATAATTCATTCAGAAATCAGCCACCAGTCAGAAAGCTGTGGTCAGCGGTCTTTCATTATTCCTTTAGGCCCCCGTAACCTGGACATTAACAGACAGCCCAATTCTTCAAACAATTGTGTAAGGGTGGAACTCTCCCTCAATCCTTCCATCTTGCCTCCCCAACCCCCTTCAAACCTCACCTAAAGACCTTACTTTTTGATCATACTTACGGTCACCTCCCCCCTCCCTCTCCCCCGGCTCGTTGTCAGACTCCACCACGTTCAAGCGCTCTAGAACACTACCCCAGGTGAAGGGCGCTATGTAAATGCAAGTTATTGTTGTTGTCGCTATTGCTAGAACACGCTTAGTCACTAAAGCAAGCAGTTTGCCTTTTAACACACTGCAACCAGATCTGCAAGCAACACTCCTGTCCAGAGCGCTGTTGGTGAGGTGCAGCCCGTTATGTCCTCTCTAGTAGGATAGAAGTCCCAAAGGGTGGCTACCAGAGAAACTACTTCCTCTGGTGGGGGAATCCAGAACAAGGCGGAGGACATGATCTTAAAATTAGAGCCACGCCATTTAGGAATGAAATCCAGATAGCATTTTTTCATGCAAAAGGTAGTGAAATATCTAGAACTCTCTCCCCCCACAAAAGGCTGTGGATGCTGGATCCATTCAAATTTTCAAGACTGAGCTGGATAGTTTTTTGTTAGGTCAGGGTATCGAGGGATACGGGGCAAAGGCGGGTGATTGGAGTTGAGGTACGGATCAGCCATGATCTAATAGAATGGCGGAACGGGCTTGAGGGGCTGAGTGCCCAACTCCTGTTCCTACGATGCCAGCACACACAGCTCACAGGAAGGCTTTCAATGGAGAGTTGAAGGGACTCAACCGTCTCCGTTGGTCTTTGCCAACTGCTCTCTGGTTTAATGGTGACCCCTACCGGGGTAACAAGCTTGTTACCTACCAGCCAATTAGTGGGGGGTGTTATTATTGTTAAAAGACCGTTTTAACGTGCGATTGAGAACATTATACTTCGGCTTTCATCATTGTTGTCGGCATTGCTGTAGTGCCTGTGAGTTACAGAACAGCAGCATAAAGAGGTCACTTCTGCTAACCAGCTGTTACCACAAGAACTTCCATCTGACAGAGAGAGAGAGGAGTTTCGCTGCATTCAACTCTTTCATGAACTTAAAGTATCCACCACACCACACATTCCATATTCCAGTCTCCATCACATCTCATTGATCTTTAAAGACTTAAAGGCATGCGTGTCCATGCTGTGCAAATGGCAACAGCCACTGTTACTGTGAGGAGAAGCCATTTTGCGCTCGAGGCTACTCATATTCATTCAAATGTATTCAGCCTGCCCTCGTGGGAAATGTGACAGATTACTTTGCTCTAAAACGTGATTTATCATCTATATATCACAGGTGCCCCATATTTACACTTAGCCGCAAATCAGACGATAATTTCATCATAAATCAAAGCCTGAAGGTTTGGAGACTAATGGAGGTGCTGGAAGGTCGCTTGATGATGGATATGTCAGCCCTCCTTCTGACGTTGTTTTCCTCTGCTCCGGTTTGCAGGGTCAGGAACGTGTCGGTACAGCTACACCGATCCCAGTATCATCGTATCCTACACCAAGAACAACTCCGCAGACTGGTTTGTCCTGGAGAAAATCAGGTTTGTACAATAATAATAATAATAATCCTTGTATTTGATATCGCGCTTTATCACGTCTTTGAGACGTCTCAAAGCGCTTCACAGGATATACTGTGAAGGGAATTGACTGTATTCTGTGCGCAAAATGCGGCAGCCAAGTGCGTACAGCAGCATCTCACAAACAGCCGTGGATTGAGTGACCAAATTATTTTTTAAAAATGTTTTAAGTGATTATTATCCCTGGAAAAGCAATCAGCCAATCGACCAACAACAGGGTTCCTACTCATTGCTAGGTAAACAGAGGCGTGTGGAGTAAGACAACCTGCCTAAGATTTTGCTCCACCCGGGACTCGAACACAGGTCCTCTTGCGAGGCGAGTGGTCCAACCGATACACTGCAGGACTCTGAAAAGGACAATAAGGTTCAGTTAATAAGTTGTAGGTGGGGGCAGCAGAAAGAGACATCAACGTCTAAAGACATCCCCTCCCCATGTGTAAACTAAATACTCTTTTCAACAGGATTGAGGCTTGGTGTTTGTTTCAAAGTCTCCTTTTCCCCTTTCCTTTGGTTTGTGGACTTGTGTCTAGGAAGGGGGAAAGGAGTAATATATGAAGTCTGGCTTAGAAACCGGGCTTTTGTTGGCCTGGATGCCAAAGGAAACTCCCTTCGCTTTTCAAATAGTGTCACTTCTGACAGTGCAGAGTTCCCCCAACACTGCACTGAAGTGTCAGCTGAGGCTCGAAGCCCCAATGTGGGACTCGAACCCACAATTAACACCAACTATTGGGGCAAGTGCAGCCTGGACTAATAATCCTTCTCTATGTAAGTAGATTGTGCGATGTGGGTAGAAAGCAAGAGAGCCAAATGAAATTGCGTTTAACCCCAAAAAAACGACAAGTGATCTAATAATAATCCAAATAAAACCTTACGTTTGAGATTGAGCCTTTATCGTGCAAACGTTTCAATGTTTAAATAAATCAATCAATTTTTTTGTAAGTGTTTAAACGTTTTGTTTTTTTAAACCCACCGACAGGGCTCCTTCCAACACCAGCACGGTCATCCACATCATCTACCTACCCCAAGACGCCAAGGGTGAAAATATCAAATTTAAATGGAAACAAGAGTTCCTTCTGGCGAGTGACATGTATGAGGCCTGCTGGGCCCTGGATAACATCCTGATCATCAACGCTGCCCACAAACAAGTGCTCCTGGAAGACAATCTAGATCCGGTTGACACGGGCAATTGGCTCTTTTTCCCCGGAGCCACCGTCAAGGTTGGTTTCAATTTTAAACTGCTTATCCTCATCCCGTCCCCACATTTCGTCCCCCGTGTTCCAAAAGCTCCGAGACATTATCAAGCGTGAAGATTGCTATATAAATGCAAGTTGTTCTTGTGGTTGTAAATTACGTTAAAACCTGATTGTCATTAAAAAGCAGTCTCTGTTGGAAGGAGCTTGAAACCTGCTCACGAATATGAGTAAGGAAAGGAGTAAGGAAACTTGCCCAAAGTTTCTTCTCCCCCCCCCCCCCGTCTGGCTATCAAATATGTCCTTCCGTCTGGATGGGTTGAATGACACCTCCTTAATTTAGGAAATTTATGACGTTCGCGTGCTCCGCATCGAAGGTGTTGAGGGCAGATTCCTCTCCATCTGTTCCACCAGCCATTTGCAATCTGCCGTTGCCCAAACTGCAGTGCGTGCGTTCCGATCGGAGAGATCCTGAGAACACGCGCGGGAACCAGCTGTCGGGAAATATCAGCGCAGCAGTGTAAGCCTTGGGGAAAAAATAGTGATGTTATTTTTCTATTAGCCCTTGATGTATATTGAACTGTGTGATGATAAGAGTGATGAGAAACATCCTGGCCACGTGGAGGTGAGGTTGTTGGCGATGCGTGTGGTGTTGTGATGGGACCTCATTGAGATGCACTTGTTCTCAGCTCATCCCAACAGCCAGCTGCTGGAGGAAACACAATGTGCTGGGGGTAACTACTGCAGTATAACCAGTTAAACCTGCATAGCTTGCCATAGAAAGCACTGCGCAGCATGTTTACCTCTGTTTGACCAACTGAGATTGCTGTACCCATTAGGGTTTTGTCTTTCAAGCTTAATAATAATAATATTAAATAATCCTCGTATTTGATATAGCACCTTATCGCGTCTTCGAGACATCTCAAAGCGCTTCACAGCTATACCATAAAGTGACTGTATATTTTGGGGTCGAAAAGCAGCAGACAATTGCGCAAAGCAGGGTCCCACAAACAATTGAGTGACCAATTATTATTATTATTTATTTAGTTTTGAAGGGATTACTATCCCCGGAAAAGGGATCCCACAATCGACCAACCGGGTTTCTACTTACTGCTCGGTAAACAGAGGCGTGTGGAGTAGGAAACTTGCCCAAAGTTTCCCCCTGCCCTGGAATCGAGCCCACGTTCTCTCGCTTGCGAGTTGAGTGCTCTAACCACTAAGCTACAGGTTGCTACTTGACTGAATAAGAATCAAGCGGGAAGAATCCATGCCCCCAGTGACTGTCCTGCTCCTCTAAGCCTTGTGGCTGATCAGTCATTAGCAATACTTTGAAGTCCTGTCTAGCTGAGCGAACCGAATGAGCGAAACCGCCACAGAGACTGGATTTCATTGGCAGACACATCACCTTGAAGCCAGTTCAGCCTTGAAGAGACCCTGCTTACTCAACCATTTCCTCCTCCTCCTCCTCCTCCCCGAAGGACAGTCATTAGTTGGTCATTAGACATCTGACAAGTGCAGGTCTGATTCTTATATATAGATATATAGATATATCGTGGAGTCCTGTAGCTCAGTGGTTAGAGCACTCGCTTTGCAAGCGAGAGACCTGAGTTCAATTCCAGGCAGAGGGCGAAACCTTGGGCAAGTTTCCTTACTCCACACAGAGCCTAATAATAACCCCTTCAAAATCCCAAAACAATAATACATTGGTCATTTTCAATCTACGACTGTTTGTGGGACATTGCTGTGCGCAATTGGCTGCCGCGTTCGCCCACAAATATACAGTCAATTCACTTTACAGTGTGTTCTGTGAAGCGCTTTGGGACGTCCTCCCGACGTGAAAAGCGCTATATCAAATGCAAGGATTATTATTATTATTATTATATAGTAAAGGTCCAGACTGTCCATTGCATCTTTCTGCATATTATAACTGTTATTAGAAAATATAAGGCTAAATTAAGTAATAAAATATTTGATAATTTTGAGTGTCACTGAGGCTGCAGTCCAGATTATTTCCCCTTTCACTACCCATTTCTTCTCTTTCCTCCAATGCGATTTTTATTTAAAGCAGATATTATTTAATAGCCATGTTTATAGTCCTGTAGCTCAATGGTTAGAGCACTCGCCTCACAAGTGAGAGACCTGGGTTTGATTCCCGGCAGGGTGAAACCTTGGGCAAGTTTCCTTACTCCACACGCCTGGTAATAATCCTTCAAAAAAAAATTAATAAAATTGGTCACTTCCATCCACGACTGTTTGTGGGACACTGCTGTGCGCAATTGGCTGCCGCATTTCGCCCACAAATATACAGTTAATTCACTTTACAGTCTATTCTGTGAAGCGCTTTGAGACGTCTAGAAGATGTGATAAGGCGCTATATCAAATGCAAGGATTATTATTATTATATAATATATACTAGAAACTCAGCAAGTCTGTTGGGGAACAGCACAGCTCAGCATGAAATGTGTGAGTGCGTTGCCAGCACAGCGAGGACCCGCAGCATGGACACACAACGTGCTTAGAAATGAGGCATCTTAACACTCGCTTGGCTGGCATCTTTCATCCCAAGTGTTAACCGGGGTTATCAAGTTTCTATGCAGTTGATGCATAGTCTTTGCAGTCTCATGTTTCACGATGACCCCAGTTAACGCTTAATGTATTTCCTTTTTTTTTTACTTTCTCCAGTCTGTATTTACTGCTTTTGCTTAGCACAGAGTTTAAAGAACTGCAATTCCCACATTTCGCCCACAACATATACACCCAATCCACTTTACAGTATATTCTGTGAAGCGCTTTGAGAAGTTTCAACCACGTGATAAGTCGCGATATCAAACACAAGGATTATTATAGCTATTGTTATAAATGTAACAAACACTTTGGTACAGTACAGAGTATCTTCCGTATGCATAATACAAATTGACTGTCAAAAAAATTCATCTGAATGATTTTTCAATGAGTTTTAAATCTATCGATTCCTTGCACACGTACAGCAAAAAATCATGACCGATTTGATTTGTTTTACAACATGAAATGACATCAATAATTATTGATACGTTCTGAAAACTCATGAATCCATTTCAAACAGCGTTGCCTAACACTTCTGGCAATTTGCAGAGAAAAGCTGCCGGTGTCAATTTATTCCAGTAATAATAATCCTTTCATTTGATATAGTGCCTTATCAGGCCTTCGAGACCTCTCGAGCATTTCACGCAGTTTAGTAAATGTCTTTTGTAGACAATTGCAGCAACTACTTTGCACATAGCAATGTCCCACAAACAGCCATGAAGTAAATGACCAATTTTATTTGGGGAATTACTGACGAGGTTATCAGGCAATGGGGGAAGGGGTCCCATCTCTTATCAAACAGCGCCATGGGATCTTTAATGTCCACCTGAACAAACAGCTGGGATCTCAGGTAATATCTCATCTGAAGGACGACAACTTTGACAATTCAACATGTCCCAGCCCAGCACTGGAGTGTCAGTCTTGCTTAAAGTCCTGACGCGGAACTTAAACTTGCAACTTTCTGACTCATCTGAGCCAAACTGACACTGTTAAAGTAGAACTGGATGGATGGTTAAGAGCAGAGTGAAGCACTCAAACTGGGGAGTCCTGCAACTCAGTGGTTAGAGCACTCGCCTCGCAAGTAAGAAAACCCGGGTTCGATTCCCAGACAGGGCGAAACGTTGGGTAAGTTTCCTTACTCCACAACGCTTCTGTTTACCTAGCAGTAAGTAGGAATCTGGTTGTTAGTCGATTGGCAGATCGCAAAATAAGGATAATAATCCCTTATAAAAAAAAAGAAAAAAAATTATTTGGTCACTCAATCCATGACTGATTGTGAAACACTGCTGTGCGCAATTGGCTGCCATGTTTTTCCCACAAAGTACAGAGTATAATTCACTTTACAGTACATTCTGCGAAGTGCTTTGAGACGTCTCAACAATGCAATCAAAATGCAAGGATTGTTATTATTATTATGTGACGCTGAAATGGACACTATCATACTTTGAAAACTGCACTGGTTTATTTTTGTATTTGGGGAAATGCTCTTAAAATGGTACCAAAGCTCCCAGAGGATTAGCGTATTTGAAATGCGAGCACTTAATTTAATGAATAGCTATGCACTTGACCTAGTTTCTCTTTTTTTGTGTGTTGTGCGTATATCCTGACTGGAAATCTGGTAATTTAATTTGTAAAATTACATTTGAAATCGTTAACATTTCCAGTCCCAGCCTGAGGTTCCAAAACAGCATCCCTCCAGAAACTAAACAGAGAATCCTAGTTCATTGCTTTATATTAGGGTGAAACCTTAGGCACGTTTCGTTACTCCACACGCCTTTTGTTTACCTATCAGGAAGTAGGAACCCGGTTGTTAAGTCGATTGGCGGATCACTTTTCCAGGGGTAATAATCAAAACAATAATAATAATAATTTAGTCCCTCAATCCATGAATGTTTATTGTTGTGCACAATTTACTGCTGTGTTTTGCCCTCAAAACATACAGTCAATTCTCTTTACAATGTATTCTGAGAAGCGCTTTGAAACGCCTCGAAGGCATGATGAGGCGCTATATTAAATGCATGGATTATTATTAACTGTGTTTCGATTCAGAATATTAATGTTTTGATATCTCTCTCAAACACATAGACGTTATGTGTGATTGATGTGCTGAATGTGAAGGTTTATTTTTCGGGAGGGGGTGAGAAAGGGGAATTAAGTCCCTAAATACATTTATTTCAAAAGGCGGAAAATTACTCCTTTGAAGATTAACATCAACAATTCCAATGTACTAATCCCTTTCCCATTCGTTCCCATCGTGCAAAACTCTTAACAACGGTTCTGTTCCCATTTCCTCCCGAGTGTGGAATTTCAATGTACCATTCCCATTCTCCCTGAGATTAGAATTCCACTGGACCATTCGGTGTGAATTGCATTCCCATTCAACAACAACAACAACAACAACAAATTGTATTTGTACCGCGCCTTTCACGTCCCAAGGCGCTGGACAGTCAAGGATTTGCACCCGTGCTGGGAGTTGGGATCAGGAGGGCTGGAGGGCAAGAAGGGTGAGGGTAGGAGGGTGACTGAAGGCACAGTCGAAAAGGAGAGTCTTGAGACGGGCCTTGAAGGAGGCAAGGGAAGGGGTGAGGTCAAGAGACAGTATTATGGACGTCCAAAGGCTCAAAGCCCGACCTCCTTCTCTTTCACTATTAATGCTTAGATATTCCTGGAGATTAAAATTCCTTAGAAATCAAAAATGAGCCCAGTTTGTAACGCTTAGTGCAGTGAGTATGGTCATCGTACATCCAACATTTTGCTTCAAGCAAATGTGTGCTGTAGAATCCTCACTATCTGATGTTATGAAATGTGTTTTCTACTTGTGTAGCGTGAATGACTGAACGAATTGGCTGCGATGCAATGATTTGCAAATTGCCTATTTTTATCTGCAGTTTACAGAAATCCTCCTCCGGGTATAATCCCGATCTAAGCGTAACACTTCTTTGCAAATTTAGTGGTGGTCTGATCGCGATTCAGCTGTACACCAACCCCCAACCAGTCACACGCCCGCAAACCCTGTTCCCATCACAGTTGTTACCATTTGCTAATAACAAACACTTGATTGTAATTGCAGACAAAGCAATGGAGTGAAATGGCACAATGTTTCGCTGCACGTCAGAATTGCTCTACGTGACTGTTTGCCACTTTTATGCACTTCTGTCTGTAGATCACTAAAATGTACGAGATCACTGCATTATATTTCACAAAATACGCTAAAAACTTAATAAAGCAAAGAGAAGAGGCTGCCAAACATACTTTTGGGTTTATGGCAAATTGTTCAGAAGATTGGCTGCTACAATACAAACTGTTTTGTATACATCATCCTGATGTGATATTTAACATTGGTTAAAAATACACACCTTGTACAATCAGGCTGCAGTTCTAAACGTGTAAGTACACATTATAATGATAATAACCTATGCATTCGATATAGCGCCTTATCATATAATTGAGACGCTTCACAGAATATACTGTAAAGCGGATTAACTGTGTATTTTGTGGGTGAAGCACAGCAGCCAATTCCACACAGCAATGTCCCACAAACAGTCCTGAATTGAGTGACCAAATGTTTTTTATTACTCTGACGTGCAGCCTGACATGGTTATATTGCCTGTAATCATGTGATGCTGGATATTACTCTGCAGGTCAAGCCACCACTGCAACTTGAGAGGCAATAATTCATCCGATAGGACGGGTAAACTGCAATGGGTAGTCAGTTTTATTGTACCCTTGAGCTAGATTCATTGCAAGAGTAGGAAACATGTTTTGCCCATTCAGGCAGCCTGCATAATACTGTGTTTAGTCTTGGCAGTGGAGAATCACTGACATCAGTTTCCCCATTCATGCTAACTTTTTTCATGTGGTTCAGATTATAGTCGGGGTTTCAGCAAAGGGACGATAACTTGATTAATCAGTTGATTGCCTTCAAAGTTCTCCTGGGTTGATGTGTGCGGTGATGTGTTTAGATTTCCATATAAAAACAATGTGGTCACTCAATCCACAGCTGTTTGTGGAACATTGCTGTGGGCAATTGGCTGTCGAGTTTCACCCCAAAATACAATATATGCTGTGAAGAGCTTTGAGGCGTATCAATGACATGATAAGGCGCTGAATCAAGTTCAAGGATTATTATTCCATTTCCAAAAGGCACCAAGATCAATTCCTCTGCACTCTGTGAAGAGACATCGTGGGGTGATATAAAGAGCAGATAGAGTCGCAATAAATGCTGAGACTGATACCCAGCACTGTGTAAAAAAAAATACATTCCATCTTTGCAAGAAATTATATTTCATATTCCTCTAAATCTTGTGAAAATAATAACCCTTGTATTTGATATAGCGCCTTATCATGTTGTCGAGACGTCTCAAAGCATATCATAGAATATACTGTAGTGTGAATTGACTGTATATTTTGTGGGCCAGAAAATAAGGTTTAATAGATTCATACTAAACACAGTACTAGATTAATTAGTAACACTCTGATTCCAAATGGGAATTATTTCAATTTGTTTCCAGTTAACCGCATGTGTTTTTTGGTTTTGAATAGTCATCACTTATCAAATCATCTGAACAGAATTCCTGAGCAGTGTTCCGTGTTAGGAGATAATGCGATAACTTGCAAACCGAACGTTGCCAGACTAAATGCCTGTTCAGGTGAGCGTTGAAGATCCCATGGCACTAGTCGAAAAGAGGAGGGAGTTTCTCCCGGTATCCTGGCCAACAATCTCCAAATAAAATTGAGTGCTCACTCCATGGCCGTTTGTGGGACATTGCTGTGCGCAAATTGGCTGCCACGTTCCGCCCACAAAATACGTAGTCAATCTGCCCTACAGCAAATCTTGTGAAGTGCTTTGAGACATTTCGACAATGTGATAAACGCTATATCAAATTGCAGGGGATGTTTATTATTATTATTTAGTATTATTATTACTCCAGTTATTATGCTGGTCTGCGAACGGCCTTCTTTGATTTTATATCAAACAAGGGGGGAAAAAACAATCCTAATTCCGAATGTCTAACAAAGGCTCTAGTTCAGCCAATGTTTTCGGATCTTTTGCCAGGGTTTTGGGGAATTTTCTCAGCTGAGAAACATCCCAAAACAAAATGCCAGCAAACCCTAAAAGTCACGGTCATATAGACTGAGCTGATCATCTTACTCAAGGCTTTCATCATCAAGTTCACTAGTGTATAGGGGAATGCATTTCATAAGTTGGTCAGGTTTCTGATATGTGTGGAAACCCTTTCACTGTGCTCCCACATCTTTAGTTCCATCCACTAGTAATAATAATAATCCTTGCATGTGTAATAGCACCTTATCGCGTCGAGATGTTGCAAAGCGCTTCACAGGATATACTGTAAAGTGTGGGCGTTTTGTGGTCGAAAAGTGTTAAGTCACAGAGGCAAAGCCTCCGTTTGCCAATTCTTTTTAAATAAAAACCTGCAGGAAATTGGCTCCTAAGACTGAATGTAAGAATTATTAGAAAAGTCTACGTTTTTCGTAATCCTGCGCAATCTCAAATATTAATGCAATACTAATCGCTCCCTCGCTGCCCTATTTCAAGGCGAGTCTCAAAACGTATCTCTTTGACCGCACTTTTGATCATCCTTCCCACCCCCAGGTCAGGTGCTCAACCTGCACTGTGAATGCGCTTTGACAGTCCTCCTGACATGAAAGGCGTTATATAAATGTAAATTGTACTGCATTGTATTGCAATGATCTTAAGTCTAACATCATGAGAAATTTCAGGGGCTCTGGAGTCTGTATTCCCTTCCTAGTGGGACACGTGCACTTGTCTATACCCAGAGATCAAAGTTAAATGATGGTCCAATTAGGTAAATTCAATAGCTGTCTGGTGGTTTTATAAGGATTTACACTTACATTGTGATGACTCCAATGTAAGATTATTCATTTATTCTGAAATTATACCTTTTTTTTAAAAAAAACATACAACTTCACAAACAAAATCCTCGCCTAATTTTTTATATCCATAAATTCACTCCAGAGCAACGTCTGTGAGCCTGACCTGATTTCAAATTCATTCAATAGGTTCTCGGAGCGAAATGCAGAAATTGTAACAATTCTGAAGCTAAATAATTCAAATGAGGACCGGGATATGTTAATTCTGTTACTGCTTTAGGAATCGGCCTTTAAGAGAACCGTGTTAATAAATTAGTGCATTCCACCCTTACCTCAGTGGTACCTAGACTTAAACGCTAAGTTTCGCTCCCCCCAAAAATAGTTAATTCAAATAATAGTATGTTCTGTGAACACTTTGAGATGTCTCAAAGTCATGATCAGGTGCTAAATCAATTGCAAGGCTTATTATGATTATTATTATTATTATTATTATTCATTTCTGTAATTGAGGACTTAGTGGTATTGTGTTCAACCGCGATGCTGCGGCTTTCAGAAACAGTCAGAGGCCTCGATGGTTCAAGAGATAAAGAATAAATAATTGAAAGGTTCTCTAGGCTCGAGCCTGCGACTGAGGATTCCTGAAAGTGATTTAATAGCAGCCTGAGCTGGGGTAATACTCTCTCATGTCTCTCTCTGCAGCATAGCTGTCAGTCTGACGGCAATTCCATGTATTTCCACGGGAATGAGGGTACCGATTTCAACTTCGCAACAACCAGGGATGTTGATCTTTGGACTGAAAGCATCGTCACACAGTGGGTGGAAGGATTTGAGAGTCAGCCTGCAGGGTAAGTGCTTGTTATCTCCAGGATGCTGAACGTGCGTTCATCAGTCATCTTAGGATAGGTACGGTTCAAAGGAGGGTTGCATTAGCCCTGCACATGCATATTTAAACCGCAGAGGCTAATAAAATAAAATTGACCGAAAGAGAGAAAGAGAGAAAGAAAGAGAGAGAAAGAAAGAAAGAGAAAGAAAGAAAGAAAGAAAGAAAGAAAGAAAGAAAGAAAGAAAGAAAGAAAGAAAGAAAGAAAGAAAGAAAGAAAGAAAGAAAGAAAGAAAGAAAGAAAGAAAGAAAGAAAGAAAGAAAGAATCACACATTCTAAGCGAAACCTTAGGCAAGTTTCCTTACTCCGCACGCCTCTGTTTACTTAGCAGGAAGTAGGAACCCGGTTGTTCGTTGATTGGCAGATTGCTTTTGCGGGGGTAATAATCCCTTCAAAAAAATAAAACTAAATTAAATTAAAATGTGGTCACTCAATCCTCAGCTGTTTGTGTGGAACACTGATGGGCGCAATTGGCTGCCGCGTTCCTTCCACAAAATATACAGTCAATTCACTTATTTTCTGTGAAGCGCTTTGAGACGTCCCAAAGACGTGATAAGGCGCTGTATCAAATGCAAGGATTTGCATTTGTTTTTATTATTACACATTTATTTTTATTCAATAAAATGTGTGATTATCAAATTTCCAAAACATTGAATGAATTAGATCATATTTTTAGATATTGAATAAGCCACTCTTCTTGCTGTTGAAATTCGATGATTGTAAGTTTTGGGCTAAGAAATCTCTTAGGAAATGCCACAGAATAACTGCTCCTTTTTTTATTACCTTAACTTAAAACAAAGAGCAACACCGTTCAATTCCCAGCATTGAAAAGCTGATGAATAAAGCGTCCTTTTCAGCTCACTGTTACATAATCCACCTCTGAAAATGTGATCTGGAGAATTTGGCAATAAATTAGGTACATGGCAGCACATAGAATAAAAAAAATTTGGTCACTCAATCCACGATTGCAAGTTGAACACCTCTGTGGGCAATTGGCTGTCACGTTACACCCACAGAAATTACAATCACTACACTTCACAGTATTCTGTGAAGAGCTTTGAGAAGTCTCAATCACGTGATAAGATGCAAAATCAAATGCAAGGATTATTATGATGATGATTGTTATAATCTGGTTCCTTCAATCCAATTCCACCTCATTCAATGGATATAACTTCAGGTGAGTTCAACAGATTGATTAATTCCTTCTGAACGCCACACTGTACAAGACATCTGTTATTTTAATCTGAACTATACAATGGTGAAGTGGTCTTGTATTTCGTTCTTCTGCTGTGAAGGATGTGAAAAGTTACAAGTGGAGGTGATCGCAAGAGTTTATAGACCTTGTTGGCAGGCACAGCATTTCCATTTGTCTTCTCTACACTCGTCAAAGGGCTGTCTGATTTTCATAATAGTGAAACAGATGGGATAAATTGCTGCAGGTTGCAACTTTAGACAACTGTTTTGACAACTGGATTTTAATGGGCTTTAAATCTAATCCTATGTTAGCGTGCGCTATCAGAATTAAAATTGCTTTATTTCGACTGCTCCCCTCAAGGGACAGATTGATATAAAGTCGCATAAGAAGATTACAAAACACATAAATGTCATTCAGTTCGTATGTATCATTTGCAAAGCCAAAGGCTGATACAGAACTGGTCAGTGCAGCCACCAGTTTACATTACTCAAGTGAGAGGACCCGGGTTCGATTCCCGGACGGGTCGAAACGTTAGGCAAGTTTCCTTACGATATCAAATATAAGGATTATTATTATTATTATTACTCCACACACCTCTGTTTAACAAGCAGTCAGTAGGAACACAGTTGATGGTCAATTGGTGGATCACTTTTCCGGGGGTAAAGGGCTTCAGTGAGGGAGCTGGTATCAACAGAGCCTCGACAGGCGAAATGGGCTCCTCCTATATTGTAATTTCTCTGAATGTATCCTTCAAACATAGGACTTGATACCAGCAAAAAAAAGAACGAGTTTTATAAGTGGAGCGGTATGGGAGTGAAGCCCAGAGATGCTGTCGTCTATTTGTTTATGCCTAAAATTCACTGGCACATCAGAATGTGCGCTCAGCTCCAATCAGTACTGAATTATATATCATAGTTAAGTGCAGTCTAAGGTATTTTTTGTCTTATTTTTGGAGCAATATATATCTATAGTGAGACTCACCAAACCGGAAAGTGATCTTGTTAAGAGCTTCTCTGTGAAGCAGGGCAGCAGAACGTCTGATAAAGGCAAGGTCTTCCTCTGGTATCTTGAAGGGAGGGATTGAATGGATATTGTCTATCAGGAAATATTGATTGCACTATAGATTGTAATGCTTACACGCCTGCGCTTTTACTAACTAAAGGAACAGCCAGGTCAAGGGATTTATAAAAGTCAATACATCAAGCAACCCCATGTGTAAATAATTTATACTAATCACTTTGAAATAACCTCATCTTTTTATTTATGTGTTCAATCAATCAATCAATCAATCATACTTTTCACCTGCCTTTTACTTATTATAACCTTCAATAGCTCCTATGACAGTGGGTTGCGGGATTGAAACTCATATTACAACCGTTTGGGTCGGGAGACCAGGGTTCTTTGTCCACTGGGACACCCTTTTACCATCAGGAGCGGTGGGACTGAGAGGAGAGTAGGATTGTCAGTGATGACCTGTGACTACAGACAGTATCTAAAGAAGGATTCAGTCCTGTCTGTGTTCAAGCTGTATTTCCAATTAGCACTTTGTTTCATGGTGGGGATCATTGACCCTTGTTCTCTTCCAACCTGGGAGGACGCTTTAAATCCCTAGTAAATGCAGACGTTTGTTCTGAGAATTATCAATGTTATTTCACGGTAAACACTTTCTGTAGACATCTCCTTTTTTGTTAACAAGTAATTGGGGGGAATCTGTGAAAAGTCACATTCCACAAGACGCAGTTTATCAACCGTTCCCTGCTTGGTGCTGCATGGAATAAACTGTGGCTCGGAATTGTTTTTTATCAAGTCGTTCAGGTCAAACAGGGGCAGTAGAATTTGCTGGTTGAGCTTGAGGTCCAATTTACTTTGAAAACTTAAGTGTTTCCCGATGATGTTTATTATATTAATAATAAAAATAATCCTTGCATTTCATATAGCACCTTATCACGTTGTTGAGACGTCTCAAAACGCTTCACAGAATATATTGTAAAGTGGATTGACTGTGTATTTTGTGGGTGAAACGCAGTAGCCAATTGCGCACAGCAGCGTCCCACAAACAGTCGTGGATTGTTTATTATTATTTATGGAGCAAAGTGGAGTTTAAGTGTTACCTCTCTGCTCCTTGACATATGACGAGCAGAGAGATAACAGACAGCCAGAGAGCACTTGCCATTTATCAAATTCTGTCTTGATTTCTCTTGCTCTCTTTCTCTCTCCCTTCCCTCTTTCTTTCTTTCTTTCTCTCTCTCTGTGTAGCTGGGATATATCAGGAGCTGTCATTGGCACTGAGTGCGGGAAACTGGAATCCGGTTCATCTCTCGTGTTTCTCAAGGACGGAGAGCGAGGCTTGTGCACACCCTTTCTGGACACCACGAGTGATGGAAACCTCAGGTTTTATTTTGTCATGGGTGAGTGAATCAGACCACCAGCTCGCAGCTCCCATTGTGTGTCAGAGTGGCGCAGTGGTAGTACTCTCACCTCTGAGTCAGACGGTTGTGGATTCAAGCCCCACCAAGGACTTGGAATCACATAGTCTAAGTTGCCGTTCCAAAGCAGTGCTGGGGGCGGTGGGGGGGGGGGGGGGATTGCATTGTCGGAGACCCTGTCCTTCAGATGAGACGTTAAACCGAGGTCCCGTCTGCTTGTTCAGGGGGACGTTGAAGATCTGTGGTGCTATTCAAAAAGAGAAGGGAGTTTCTCTCTCCCGAATATCCTGGCCAACAATCCCCCAAATAACACCGGTCACTGACTCAGTGGCCGTTTGCGGGACACTGCTGTGCGCAAACTGGCTGCTGAGTTTTGCTCACAAAATACACAGTCAGGTTCACTTCACAGGATGTCCCATGAAGCGCTTTGAGACGGGGTTCGACAACATGATAAGGCGCAATATCAAATGCAAGGATTATTATTATCCCGGACACACGCTCCACATTTGCACGTCCGCAGGAGATTGACGTTCCAGCCGGGGGTCAACTAACTGCAGGACTTTGTACATGTTTATGCCTGCTGCTGATGGAAGGAAGGAAGGAACAAAGGTTACTCACTGTCGTGTCTGCTACATTATCGTTCTCGGAGGCTTAGACAGCTCATTTTGAGCCCAGTTAAATGTTTCCATTCAGAGATAGAAGTAATTACTGTCTTTTAGCTTGATTTAGTTTGTATGCCATTAACCTCGGGCAAATTAACTCTCGAGCACTGCTCACCTCTTATTGACGATAAATCACCACAACAATCTGCTACTTGAAGAAGCCATGTGGGTGTATTGATTTATCAGTCTGAAGAAGGGCAGAGCTGGATGAAGAAAAGACTTTGTATCCAATGTCCCCATTAAATAATAATAACAATAATCCTTGTATTTGATATAGCGCTTTTCACGTCTTCTAGACGTCTCAAAGCGCTTCGCAGAATAGGCTGTAAAGTGAATTGACCGCATATTTGTGGGCGACAATAGTAATGAAAGATTTCTTTTAGCTAACATGCAAGTTGTTCTACGTGCATCTTACATTATCCAAGAATAACTAGGCAATTTTTATAAATTTTGTGGAACAGTTTCTCATCTCAATGTCACATGGACCCCAATGTGAGCTACAATGTGCGATCGGATTTTATGCACCAACCAATTCTTTTTACTTGAGTCCAATGTCCTGGTCTCGACCACTCATTCCACGATCATTTGTGGGTCACTGCTGTGCGCAATTGGCTGCCGTGTTTCGCCCACAAAATGTAGTCAATTCACTTCACAGTACCGTATGTTCTGTGAAGTGCTTTGAGACGTCTCAACGATGCAATAAGGCTCTATTTCAAATGCAAGGATTATAACCACCCTTCCTGGCAAGATAAGCAAGTCGTTAATTACCCTCTGGGAAAAGAACAACTTCCCGGCATCTGAAATTGCCCTTTGCAATTCCAAACCTCCAAAGCTTGTTCTACTGTCTTGTCTCATCTTTAAGTATTATTCTGAGTTGACTTTTGCAATCCCGTTTAAAATGTTCCACACATCTGCTTGTTCTTATTAGGGGGTGGCTCTTGCGATTCAGGGGAATCACATGAAAATGACGTCACACTCTACGCCAAGGTGGAAGGCAGAAAAGAACACATTCTGGAATTGTTGCCCTTCTCATCCTATCGGGCAAGTAAAACAAAACTGCTACATCGCGATCATTTCAGCATCAGACCACTCTTTATTCTCTTTCTCTTTAACAGCTTTATCCAGTTGTTTTCAGTGAGAGACTTCCACAAGCCTTTTTCCAATCAAAATCACTACAGAATGCTCTCGACTTCAACAGAAATTGGGCTGGACTTTTTTTTTCTCCCTCTTTCCCCCCCACAACCTCTTTCCACTCTCCAGAGGATGTATCTCAAGTATTAAGAAGAATAAGTAATGATTCTTGCTTTTGATAAAACAACTTATCATGTCATTGAGACCTCTGAAAGCGCTTCACAGTATATATTGTAAAGTGTATTGACTGTGTATATATTTGTGGGAGAAACACAGCAGCTAATTGCACTCAGCAGTGTCCCACAAACAGTTGTGGATTGAGTGAACAATTTTTTACCTCGCGGGAAGTAGGAACTCAGCAGTTAGTCAATTGGCGGATCACTTTCTGGGGGTAATAATCCATGGAAAAAAAAATATAATAATAAATTGGTCACTCAATCCACGTCTGTTTGTGGGACACTGTTGTGCGCAATTGGCTGACTTGTTTCGCCCATAAAATATGCAGTCAATTCACCTTACAGTATATTCTGTAAAGTGCTTTGAGACAACTTAACCATGTGATTAGGCCCTATATCAAATGCAAGGATTATTATTATTATTTTTATTACAAACTCTGCAATTCTATAAAACCACAGTCATGCTCTTCCCACATTTATTAGATTAAGTTAAAAGACGAGAAGCTTAACCAATGTATCTCCATTTGCAGAAACCCACCCTGGTTTCCATCGCTATCCCCCCAGAGCTGCAGACTCTGGCTACCAAGTTCTGCTTGAGACAGAAGAGTCACCAAGGACTGAGGAGGAACGTGTGGTCGGTGGACTTTTTCCACATTCTACCCGTCATTCCGCCGTCAGCTTCCCACTTAATAGAGTTTTCCATCAATATGGGCTGTGGATCACATCAACCAGGAAACAGGTAGTGTATCAGTTGGTCACAGGGGTGAGATCCTGATCAAAACATGACATGAGGACAATGCAAGTCACATCCTTGTCACTCTCACATCCTCACAAATGTCCTTGTAGTTGAATCAAAAGATCAGGTACAGTGTCCTGTCCTGTACTGTTCAATCAACGTACTGTGTGTGTGTGAGTGTGTGTGAGTGCGTGAGTGTGTGTGAGTGCGTGTGTGTGTGTGTGTAAGTGCGTGTGCATATGTCTGTGTTGGAGACCTAGGTAAAAATGATGTGGTTCGTAGTATTTCTCTGTGAGATTCCTTACCATTACGTTTTCGGTTGAATTGCCGGGACTCCGCTCCAGAAGTAGACCAAGCCAAGTCGCACATTACAGTGTGATGTAACTCCAGTTATCAGAGGGAGTACCCATTTGCGTAACTTGGATTACTTTTCATATACTGATGGGAAATCAAGACATTTCGAGATGCAGTTGAACATAGGAGCAATAGCTCAGAGGCCTTTGAAACTGACCGAGCAAAAAAAAAAAAGAAACAAACAAACCTGCTTGTAACTTATCATGATTTGTAAAACCAGATGCGCTGACCATCTTCTTGTTGTTTGTCCGGCGCTAGCATAAGTTTGGAATTCTCCACCAACCACGGGCGTTCCTGGTCCCTGCTCCACATGGAGTGCCTGCCTGTTCTGTGCTCGGGGACACACCTCCCTCACAGCACCATCTACTCGTCTGAAAACTACAGTGGGTAAGGATCGAGCTTTCGTGCTTTTAAAATGGTCGCTCTCCGAGACGCTACCCAGGTGAAGGCTGCTGTATAAACGCAAGTTGTTGCTCTAACTTGCATCTTATCCCGTGCTCAGGTGGAGTCGTATAACTATCCCTCTGCCATACGCAGCACTAACCACTGAGACCAGGTTTCGTTGGAGGCAGACAGGCTCGACTACAGGAAACATGTGGGCAGTCGACAATGGTGAGTTGCGTTGATGTGCTGTTGGAATCGAGGTAAAACGTTAGTGCCTCACTGATGTTTCGGTGGATAATTGTGCTCCGTGTGCATGGCTGATCAGTAGGACTATCCTTGGTCTGTGCTGAATTATGCAGGAGAGGCTGGCATTAGCTGTCAACGACTGTACTGCTGTGTGCTCGAATGTATCATTGTCTGGTCAGCTCCATAGCTGTGTACTCAACTCTGTTGCTATGCGTGTGGTTGACTCTGTCGCTGTGTGCTCAGTTATTTATGAATCAGGTAACATTGGCTTCTAATGCCTTGCCCAACCTGTTGCCCAAAGCAGCGAGGTTTTACGACAATACAGGCGGTATCACAGACAAAGACTCGCATAGCAAAAGGTTATTGTATTATTATTATAATTATATATTATTACTAGAGCCTTTATTCCAGCCAGGTACAAAACTGTGTTTGTGGAAAAACAAATCTTAATTCAAAGGAGCTTCATTTCCCAACCGGGGTGGTTCATTGACTTCACTGAATTTGTAAGTTCAGAGTCCTGACGAAAGGTCATTACCCTGAAACGTTAATTCACTCTCCTCTCTCCATACATGCTGCCTGATCTGCTGAGTCCAGCATCTGCAGTAGTTTGCCTTTAGTTTGTTGTAAAACTTGATTTTGGTCCAAACTGATACTGTGGTAGCATCATCTGTGCTCATCTCTAATCTTCTCTCCTGTCTTGCAGTCTATATTGGGCCTGCGTGTTACAAGCTGTGCTCTGGTCGAGGTCGATGCTCTGTTTCAGGATGCAAGTAAGAGGACACCTCATTAGTTTCTATCAGTCCGCGTGAGTCTGAATTAGACTTTATAATATCCGTCCAGTGGATTAAAACATTATCGTCAAAGCCGATCCCTTTGCTGCTAATTAATCTCTGACAAGGTTCCCCCCTACTCAAGAGACCAGCTTGTTTGTCCAGCTGCGAACTGCTGTGATCTCCGAGTAAATGTCCTGCCGACCGAGCGTGCCTCGTGCTAGGAATTCCACACTAATCATGTCAAGTAATTGCAAGGACCAGCGAGGTTAAAGGGTAAAGCGGCTGACTGAGCCGAGCTGAGCTTTACTGAGGTCTGAGTGTCTGGACAGGAGTCCGTGATCCGAGGCCACATTAAGAAGTAAATTATCCGTAATTTGAACCACCCCGGAAAACAATTGTATCGAAGATTGGAAGTTGTACACAGCGGAGACCAGCAGGACAGCAAAGCTGACACCTGGATCTGGGAAATCTGCAGTATTTTTTTACTGATATAAATGCTAATTTGTAGGCAGCAAATACACTAGAGATTCTAATACGCCTGTTAAATCAGACAACGTACATGACAGGTACAATTGCGCTGCAATCTGCTCGTGAGCTGCCAGACCTTATACCAACTGTAAAGCACTTTTTTTTAAAACAGTCTGCCAGCGTGTCTGACGCATGCAGGAACCCATCACCGCGCTTAAGAGTATCCAGTCTATACTGAGAATTCACGTGTCTGTGCGACCCACACGTGGAAATTTGCATGAACAAACAATCGCATGATGTGAGAGAATTGTAAGCTTCTAAACTTTGACTCAAAATCCAGTAAACAATAATAAATTGGTCATTTCAATCCACAACTGTTTGTGGGACACTGCTGTGCGCAATTGGCTGCCGCATTTCGCCCACAAATATACAGTCAATTCACTTTACAGTCTATTCTGTGAAGCACTTTGAGACGTCGAGAAGACATGAAAAGCACTATATCAAATGCAAGGATTATTATTATTATAAATTCTGCCACCTGCATACTCACCCACACTACACTCTGTACCTCCATCACACCAGTCTCAAGTAATTTTAGCCATGCTCCACCGGCTCCCTATCACCGAACGGATCGATTTAAAGATCCTCGCACTCGGCTTCATATCCCTTCATGCCTGATGCCTCCCTACTTCTCTGACCTGCTTACTCCCCAACTCACAACCCGCTGGGTCCACTCGACTGGCTCCGGCTTCCTGCTTATCCCTCGTGCCCCCTCCGTTCCACCATCAACGGTCGCGCTTTTAGCCACTGCGCCCTGGAACTCTGGAACGCTCTTCCTCTATCTTGCCCCATCTTCCCCATCTTCAGGACGTGCCTGAAGACCTTCCTGTTTGACCGTGCCTACATCTCCTCCCCCTCCCCCCGGTTCAGCATCATGCTCCACCGTTGTCAAGCGCTCTGGGATGCTATCTTGCGTGAGAGGCGCTATATAAATGCAAGTTGTTGTTGTCCTTCAAGAACAAATTAGATAGGTTTCAGTTAGAAAATAATATCTCGGGATACAATATATAGCTTGGGACACGACATGTTCATGCCACCACCATGATGGTGGAAGGTGAACTGGACGGACCTTGATCTTCTTTAGCCTAGCAAACTCTTATGTTCTTATTGTTGTTGTTTTGTGTCTAAATCTACCTGCTTGTCCCTTGGTCTCCAGGTGTGACCCAGGATTCTCAGGGCCAGGCTGTGACATGGCCTCCCAGACTTTTCCAACCATCATTTCCGAAAGCTTCAGCAGCTCCCGACTCTCTTCCTATCATAACTTCTACTCGATCCGTGGGGCTGAGCTTGGCTTCGGCTGTGGCGTCCTCTCCAATGGCAAAGCTCTCGTGTTCAACAAAGATGGCAAGCGTCTCCTCATCACCACTTTCCTGGACAGTACTCAAGCCAGGTAAATAACATGGGTGCGCTCATAATCGTGGACATACAATGGCCGTTGTATTGCGTGAAGAGTAATTGAAATTGGCTCCAGAAGTTCATACAAAATCGCCAACTGGTTTGGATGAAGAAGGGCCTTCGACCCGTTTGATCTCATCTATCCAGAATTGGTCTGGATTGCATGCATTGGTTCTGCGGACACATCCGTGAAGTGTTATATTGCAGTGCCTTTAACAGGAGCGGCTAACAGGCATCAGGAATAATTTTTGGCCAGGACATCTGGAAAAACTCCCTCCTCTTTTCAAATAGTTCCGCGGGATCTTCTCCTACCACAACTTCTGCGCAATCCGTGGAAGGACAAAACTTTAGGCAGGTTCACTTACTCCACACGCCTATGTTTACCGAGCAGTAAGTAGGAATCAGGTTGTTAATTGATTGGTGGATCGTTTTTCTGGAAGTAATAATCCCTTTTAAAAAAAAAAAAAAAAAAAAATTTGGTCACTCAATCCACGACTGTTTAGTGCGCAATTGGCTGCCGTTTTTTGCCCACAAAACATACAGTCAATTCTCTTTCCAATATATTCTATTCAGTGCTTTGAGATGTCTCGAAGACATGATAAGGCACTATATCAAATGCAAGGATTATTATTATTTTTATTATTAACCACCTTTGAATAGGTAACGAGATGTCAGTTTAATGCCTTATCCGAAGCAAGGGAAAGTAGTTTGATGTGTGCTCAGGAAAGATAAGATCGTATGGGCCAAGCCTCTCTAAATAGTGGAGAAACTGAACGACGTGTTTGATAGCTGGCAATTCATGGCTTCTCTCCAGCGTTTCAGAAATGCCAGGCAATGGCAGCCAAAAGAAGCATTAGGGGTTCATCCAGCTGAACCAATACCGCCCACAAAAGACACTTTCCCAGAAAGGGCAGGGCTTTGGGAATGGAGCAGATTGTACCAGTGGGAAAGTTTGCAGCAATTAATTTTCATCTTAAAGTGCCATGACTGTGGAGTCCTATCAAGGCCCATTTCAACACCCTCCTCTTTGACCGTGCCTTTCAACCACCCTCCCTATCCCCGCTCCGCACCCTCCACTCCCCACCGTCCACCCCTCTTGATTCCAAACCCCAGCTCGGGTGAAAACCCTAAACTATCCAACTCCTTGGGATGTCCTTCCGTCGTGAAAGGCGCTCTGTAAATATAATTTTGTTGCTGTTTGAATGTGTCAGGCAATATCACAAACGACTATCAAAGGTTAGCCCATAGCAGCGTTTAAAATGGAATTTGAATGAAACCTAAAAATGACATTAAAGTGAACAGAGAAAGGGCAGGGCTTTGGGAATGGAGCAGATTGTACCAGTGGGAAAGTTTGCAGCAGGATGAGCCAAATGGCTTCCTTCGGTGCAGTATAATCTCTGTGGCGTGTCTATATGGCTGTTGTCAAATCTTTTTACCTCACTTTAACTGGGTACTCAGTGTCTCAAACGGAACATCATCATTTAACTCAAAGGAATAATTGATAAGAACAAGACACAGATTTTTCTACATGAAATAGTAAGAGAAAGCCCGCGGTGAGTGTAGCTGATTTATCATGACCGTAATACAACAGCTTGTGCTTACAGAGGGCCTGTCACATAGAATAAACATCCCTGTTGCTAAGGTATACTTTCCAAATGATTTGAATGCCTCCTTGCAAGTTTGCTTCATTTCACTCACAAAATACACAGTCAAATTCACTTTACAGTATATTCTGTGAAGTGCTTTGAGACATCTCAATGACGTGATAAGGTGCTATATGAGATGCAAAGATTATTATTAACAAAATTGATCTTTAACAGGAGCATGTTCATAATTGAGCTTTGTTGGGAAAAATGATTGAGGCTGGGGCACTGAACTCATTTAAACAGCAGCTTGATGCCGTGTTGGGAGGACAGTAGGGTGGGTGTTCTGGAGGGATTAGATCAGATGGGCCGAAGGACCTTCATCCAAACCAACTTTGTGGTCTAATGAACATTCAAGGTTACAAATATCCTGATTCCCTGTCTCACTGTTGCTCAGGTTCCTCCAGTTCACTCTTCGTCTGGGCAGCAAGTATGTTCTGAGCACGTGCAAGCCCCCCGACCAGCCAGGAGAAGGGGTCCTTCTGCACTATTCTTCCGACAACGGGATCACATGGAACCTGCTGCAGCACTACTCCTATCAGAATTACCACGAGCCACGGTAAGGAAGGAAAATTCTCTGCAACATTTCTATCACTTAATACTGACAAACTATGGGAGTTGCTCTGTTTTTGTGTCATTCCTGTTTTAAGATCCTCCCCACGTGAAAGGCGCTGTATAAATGTAATCTGTGGTAATTATTGCTCTCAACAAAAATGTAATAAGTACAAGTGGGAATTGGGAATTCTGTACCTTCGTGCTTTCTTTCTGCACTAACGTCTCTTTTTTGGTCAGCCAAGTGACTGACACATGTGGTGTCTATTGCCATACTTAGCATGGCAATAGGTTGGCGGACATAAGGTTGGTGGACAGTGTCTCATCAAGAATAGAATAGGAACATCCAACTGGCACAACTGGTTTCTAAATATTGCGATAGGTTACTTTGTCAATGCAATCAATATAAATGACGGGTATAAGTCAATCAGCTACAACTGCCTCTTGAAAAAGGAGGTGAATGGCAGTTTTGACCTAATGGAAGGGAGATCAGAGTCCCTGATGTTATTCTCCATTACATAAAACAAGCTTCGTTGCTCTTTTCTCTTGAGACCGACCAAACTCTTTAACAGTCAACTAATTGACTATAGTTACCACAGATCCACAAGCCAACACATTTCAGCACAGCCATCTTGCCAAGTCTCCTGGGATTAATCCTCATTAATCTCCATGTCATCATCCTTCCTTCCAGCCATTTTGTTATTTCCGATGCTTATTGTAACCCTTTAAAATTCCCAAGATTCAAGCTACTTTGGACTTATCTGTGTTGTGCTTGTCATCTGTGTGCAAGGAGATGTTCACAAGTACACCTGCCTCGAGTCCTGGTCGTTTCGCCTTCAAAGCCCTCCATGGCCTTGCTCTTCCCTACCTCTGTGACCTGCTAACTCCATATAGGCCTGTCCACTCTCTCCGCTCAGCAGCGTCCCTAGTCTCACCCTTTGGAACTCCATCCCACAGTCACTTCCCATCGCTCCCTCCCTTACCTCCTTCAAGGCACGTCTAAAGATCCTCCTCTTTGACTGCACCTTTGGTCACTCTCCTACTCCTACCCTCACTGCCCTCCACCCCTCCAGATCCCAAGCCCCAACTCGGGGCCAAATCCCCGAATGCCAGCACTTTGGGATGTCCTCCCAATGTTAAACATGCGGCACAAATATAATTTGTTGTTGTTCTTGTTGTTTTCACTTTTCCCGAAATGATAAATGTTTGTCATAGACCAGCCAGTACAACCTGCAGGGGCAGAGCTTGTTTCCAGCCTGCCCGCCCACAGTGCCAGCTCTCTGCCTGTGCCAGGAGCAGCCGCTGTTTGAGCTGTGTGCGCAGTGCCCACTGCGGCTACTGCACCAGCTGTGCCAGGTTTTATTACTGCTCTCCAGCTGTGCCTGGTACAAGGCGTTTGCCAAGCACGCAGCCAATGCCTCATGTACCACCTGTCCCAATGCAAACACTGCCAGCTTAAGACAGCATCCCGGCCTTCAGTAAGACGCTTCTGCCTTGGCCGTTCCAATTAATCAGAGTTGCTCTTAACCCTTGAATGTCCAAATCACCTTCCACCACCATCTCTCTATTTCTGATTGGCTCTGATAATGTGTGAGGCAAATCACCTTTCGCATTTCTTGCAGTGAATGGTAATTTGAGACATGCCGAGTGTAGTAGACTTGGAAGAACTAGAGAACTTTGGATCTAAGGTTCCCAAATCTTTCCAACTGTGATGGTAGCGTAATCCGTATCAGAATTGATCACTATCAACATCTCCCATTATTGTAGCATGCGACTACCAGGATGGTAGAAGGTGGACTAGATGGACCTTGGTCTTTTTTCATCCAGCAATTCCTATGTTCCTATATGAGAATGGGAAATGGTGGAAGGTACCAGCTGTTAGCAGTGCCCGTCTTTGCTGAGTGAGCTCTGCTTTGGAAAGTCCCAGCAGCGATCAGTTGTGCCAAGGCACCTCCGTGCTGAACCTGGCAGGTGCAACACTGGGTGGGACCAATGCCATTGATTTATGAAGCCAGTCATGAGGACAGAGTATTTTCCCTGTGATTTCATGTCTTTCCTCCCACTCCATATGTCAGTAGCAGCTTTGTTAAGAATGGATTGTGTGCTCGAATGCAAATCCTTCACTGTCCAGTGCCTTGGGACGTCCTCCTGACGTGAAAGGCGCGATATAAATGTTGCTGTTGCTTTTTTTTGGTCAGCTGGATACCTGACACATACGGAAACCGATCACTAATAGGCAATTTGGATGCTCTTAAGTATCCAAATTGCCCGTTGACGTGGACGTTAAACATCTCATGGCATTATTCGAGAAGAGAAGGGAGTTGTTTTTTGTTGCTTTGCAGGACAGGGTGATCAGTCTTAGTATCTCAGTGTTTGCGTTTTCCCAGTACAAGGAGACCAGCAAACTCACTGTAATGTAAATACCGCTTGACAACAATACGCAGCACTTTGTACTGGTAGCATTCTGGGCAAAGGGGGCAAATTAATGCACATTCTCTCCTCACTCAGTGGTAAATGTGCAACACTATATACTGGACTGAACAGAACCCCAGAAGCAACAGTCTGCATTTTTTTACTGTTAATCCTGGAAATGTGAAAACAGGTGAGGAGAGGGAGAAGGATTATTTATCTAACCCCATTTTTTCTCCTCCCTTTTTTTGTCCCTCCCTTCCTTCCCTTCCTGCCCTCTCCTCCCCCTCCCTCACCTCCATTTCCTTTCAATTCACCCTCAGTTCCGACCAGAAATGTTTTATATGGTAAATTAATGAACACACAGAGAGATGAGAGCTTCACATTGGGGTAAACTGATCTGTCTGTGTTACAGACTGTAAATATTATGGCTGTAAAGCATTTAATTTAGGAATAGATGTGCACTTTGAGTCCAATTAAAATAAAAAGTCTCTGAGAGGTCCAGCAATCGGAGTGTCTTCTTACCAAATGCATTTTTCATCTTAGATTTGTATTTATCGATCACCTTCCAGCTTTAATGTAATGTCTTTCCCTTTCCCTCCCATCCCATTAACTTCCAGACATTAAAAATTACTTACTACTTTCCTACTTACCACCTTTCCTACTTACTTCATACACCTTTAGCAGGAGAGAGGTGAAAGTGCTGAGAGAACATTCAGAAACAACTACTTCAACAACAACTTGCATTTATATAGCGCCTTTCATGCGGGATAGCATCCCAGAGCACTTGAGAAAGAAAGCAGCATAAGCCATATATTGGGAATCCTTGACAATTGGTCTTCTAGTCCAGTGGACTGTTTGCCCATCTCTCCGTCATTTCTCATCGCTTCACGTATGTTGGTCGATCTTTGTGAGAGTTGCTTTATTCCACACGTGGGGACTGTCCATTTTCTGTAACTGTTGTAGGGCAGGCTGAACGTTTACTCACTGCATGTTTCCTCGTGACCAGGATTATCTCTGTGGAGCTGCCCGAGAAAGCACGTAAGTTCGGTATCCAGTTCCGATGGTGGCAGCCATACCACTCCGGCCAGGACGAAGACGTTTGGGCCATTGATGAGATTTCTATGACGTCCGTCCTGTACAACAGCATCGCTCTCAACTTCACCAACCTTGTGGACGTCACTCAGTCTCTGGGCTTCTACCTGGGTAATGTCCAGCCTTATTGCAGCCACGACTGGACCCTCAGGTAAGAAGCATCGCAGTGTTTCAGGACAATAGGGTTCAAAAAAGGTCCTGCTGATAAAAGCAATGTTACTGGTATCTCCTGACGTAAACTCCATCTTAACAGGGAATCTTAGAACATCACTCCTGATTGCAACCCATAAATAAAATAAATAAATCCTTGCATTTGGAATAGTGCCTAAAATACAAGGTGAACCTCCCTTCTCTTTTTGAATAGTGTCATGGGATCTTTAACATCTGCCTGAAAAGTTGGTTTTAATGTTTCATCCAAAGGACAGCCCCTCTGCATGTTACATTGCGACCAACATTTCCCAGTACTGCGCCAGAGTGTCAGCCAAGACTGTGAGCTCAAAGTCTCAATGTGGTACTTGAGCAAACTAAGACAGGGCTGGCTATCCAATATATCTCATTGGAGCTGATATCTTGCGAGTCTGTGTATTATAAAGGCGGTTTCCTAGCTTTACATGGAGTTCACGTCAGGAGGGGCACTTTCTGCCACTGTCAAAACATCAGTAATTGAGCTCTTTCAGTAGTTGAGAGCTTTTTCAACCCTACTGTTGCTAACATAGCTAATTGGATACTCGATAGTTGCATCTTGAGGACATTTGACTATAACTCTAAACGTATTATTGTAAGCTTGTGCAGATTACTAGGAAGGCTGCATTTGAAATATTGTATTGGGCCCCATTTGGGGCACCCAATCTGCAAATGAACCATGAATTTGGAGTCTACCGTGTGGATTAAGTTTTTAGAAACTCCTAGTGAATTGGATAGGAATAAACCAGATGTGCAAGACCCTGACACCCCCCCTCCCCTCCCCATCTCCATATACTTTTCTCGATGCTGCAATGTCTCGAAGCATTGACTCCTAGCTCACGGCTTTTGACTGGGAAAGGGACTTTTTGTTAAACAAGATACTTGGAGTCGAATGCCAACCCAGCTTTATGAACATGGCCATTGAGAATCAAAGATACACATAAACTTTCACCCACAAAATATAGTCAATTCACTTTACAGTATATTATGTGAAGCGCTTTGAGACATCTCAACAACTTGGTAAGGCGCTATATCAAAGGCCAATATTATTAGATTAATATAAAAAGGATCTGGAGGAAAGGATAGAGAAATGGGACAATATAGATAGCTGCTTCAGAGAACCTGAACAGGCAGAAAGGACTGAATGGCTTTCTTCTGTGTTACAAAAATCTATGATTCGATATGGAGGAAGGGGGTAGTAGGCACAGTCTTTCGCCAGCACATCTTGATATTTCCTATTTGATACATTAGAAGTTTCTACATTTAAACCACATTAGATCCCAGGAAACTAGGAGAGATTGCGGAGGAGAGCAAATTCCCGAATCCCGAATCTCTTATAAGGAAAGTCTCAGAACTGAACTGCTTTTCGTTAGAGAAGAGGGAATATGGAGAAGAGGCATGACCCAGGTCTTCAAAATGCTGAAAAGCACGGATGATGCAGATCAAAGCAATTTGATGTGATCTGTGAGGCAGGCTGTAGAATTATACTTTAAAATGTGCTCCCCATCTGCAGAGTAGTGCTTACTTTAAAGTAGTTTAAAGTAGTGCTTTAAGACATCTAGAAGATGTGAAAAGCGCTATATCATATGCAAAGATTATTATTATTATAACAGATGACCCCCAATGCAGGTGAAACTGTGTGGCTTAACATCTTCAGAAAAGTAAATAGGTTCGGCTGTTTAAATTGGAAGATAATAGGGATAGGTACAAATTCAAGTCAAAAAATAATGAGACCCAATGAGTTCTCCTGTGAGAGAAGAAGAATGAAATGTCTGATGTCAGAAGGTTGAACAACCGAGATATTGTTGGAGGAGCATTTTGGAGATTTTGATTAAGTGACTTTACGATTCAGTGAGCATCTCTACAGAACTTTCCACTAAGAGATAGAATGGGTGAGAGGAAGTTCACGGGGTTGTAGGTTTTAGGTGGTCTGTAGAGGGAGTGGGCACGACAAATCAAATCTTCCCATTCCCTGCTTTTGACGGATGCTGTTTTTTCGTCCTCATCTTCTCTCGGAAAAAGACTCCAAACACTGGCTCTGGGTGGCAAGTCCTGTGTGGATGTTCTGATGGATTCCGTGTTCTTATGGACTTCAGCGGCAGAAATGAGCATTAGACAGTGAACCACAGACCTAAAGGGCCCATTTATCTGAAGACAGTTCCACTAACTTCTAAAGCCAATAATGCTTTAGTTTTTGTTCAAAGTCTGCTTAGTAATCATAATAAACCGTGTATTTGATGTAGTGCCTTATCACGTCGCTGAGACATCTCAAAGAGCTTCACACGATATACTGTAAAGTAAATTGATTCATTAATAAATAAAGCTTAACAATAAACTAAGAGTGCATGACATCCCAACAGTGTCCATCTCATTGACAAAGAACTATGCCAACACGGCTTTTGTATGTCCAGTTTGTTTTAGCCCTAAATGTAACCATCTCATACATGACTCACTGCCCAGAGCCAGTGTTTGGAGGGTTTTTTCAGTAAAGAAAATGAAAATGAGAGGCAAATTCAGCACCAGAATTCCAGCAGTTTATAAAACACACTTGTCTGCTCCCCACTATCGCTGCAGTAGTTATCAATAGATAATAAGATTGTGTGAATAACCAGCACAGGCAGACCCATTTGTATTAAAGGCAGTTTATTTATCATCTTCAGTTGACAGCAGATACTGGTGTGTGTAGTAGTCCAACAAAATAGCACATGAACCCAAGACATGGTTTGTACGATTAACAGACGAGGAATGTTTAAATTTTTCCTGCCCCCTGGAGAAGTTTCCATCATTCCTGTCCGCATTTCTTTTTTAACCTATTCCCTCCTGTCCAGCTCCCGAAGGAATAGCAGGTGCTTTTCAGAGGTTAATGTGAGGATGATGGAGCTGATGGTGGAAACACACCGAATGTGGTCGATGCGATGACCTTCAGTACTCTTGCCAACATTCGTCCCGTGGGAAATCTCCAGAACTCCCAACTGATCAGTGGCTAAATTAATTAATGTTCACTGATCTCAGCTGGGCTTCCATTTGGCTTCATTACCTTCCTCTTGGCAATTCCCTGGCAATGAGTTAGGTGCAGTGTTGCTCTTAGTCATGGGGGAGTAATTGACAATGTTTTCCTCATTGCAGGAACTTGGGTTGAACCATCTATCATTCACTGCAGCCTATTCCCTATCTCATTTCCAGGAGCAAATGTAATGTGTCTAATCATGCGCAATGTTTCCATCAGTCACCTTCCTACACCAAACGAGAGGCCATAAATTTTGAGCAAGTTGAAGCGCTGTTGCTCGTAAATTCTTTAATTTTGAACAAATATGATGAAATTATCAGGGGCTTATTTTAGACCGTAAAGCCATATTAAAAAAAACAATTAAATGCAAGCCTCCCTTGCCAAACAGTTTACTCACGCAAGGTCAAACTCACAGCTATCTGTCGTTCTTCCAGAAACAAAGATCAGTTTTGCATTTTAAATGTAATTAATTGTCTTCGAATGATTTACTAGTTTGTTTTTTTTCAAAGCCCACCCTAGTAGCTTTACGACTAAATTAAAGATTAATCATCGGCCAAATCCACCGTCCATTTTTCAATTTTAATTTTCTCGTCGTTCTCAGCAATGCCAAAGTTCTGTAGCGCAGTTTCAGATTAATTTGTTTGTAGATGAGTTGATGGACACCCGGTGAACAGTGGAAAAACACCTTCCAAAACCAGTGCTGTGCACCTTTGGTGAATCTAGCCCAGGAAAAGTGATCAATGAGTGGAATAGTACCATGCTAGTGCTTTGATGCTAAAGGTGTATCACTAATGGACAAGCAATGGTCTTAGTGACCACTTTTCCTTTGGCTGGCATATCACAGAATCATAGAATTATACAGCGTAGAAGGAGGCCATTCGGCCCATCATGTCTGTGTTGGCTCATTGAAAAGAGCTATCCAAGTCAATCCCACTCCCCAGCTCTCTCCCCATTGCCCCGTAAACTTGCCCTCCCCAAATAATTATCTAGTTCTCTCTTAAAAGTTGTTATCGAATCGTCAATATCTCACAGTTGGTTTTAGTCTGTCTCTAAGAAGTTGACGGGCAATATTCAAACCAGGAACAACTCCTTTACTCAATGGAGATAACCAACAATAAATGATGTTGGGACCCAGGACACTGGGGATATTTAATAAATGGCTGGATTATGTCATACCAAGGTGGTCAAGTTGGTATTCCACAAGGATTCAAATCTTCATGTGGAACTCACTTGTAATTGGGTATAATTCTACAGCACAACATTGATATGAATTTGTCACCCACAAAATACAGTCAATCCACTTTACAATATATTCTGTGAAGCCGTTTGAGACGTCTCGACAACGTGATGAGGTGTATATCAAATGCAAGGATTGTTAATATTATTATTATATGGTTTTAGCGATGAAGCAGATTTGTGCCGCGATTCATTTTGAAGTTGTGTGAAATTCCAATGCCTTTCACCTTTATATCAGTAATGCAAGCACAATAACTAGGATCTCAGTGGAGTCCAAGTTTGGGGCTGTTACAGTTTGCAAATAAGTACTATCACCTCTTTCTTCAGGACAATAAAGTAATTCAATACAGTAAAGTATATAAAGTAAAGTGATGGAGGATTTCTGCATCATCTCAGTGATTATCGGTTAACATTGTAACTGGCAGCGCTGGGTAGTAATTGAATTCCAATGTTGTCGTATTTCGTAAGATTGGAGGAACGTCATAAACCCAAGATTGAATTATTTGGTTGTATGGCTGTCAAACATATTTTATTCTATATAATACATACTGGTTTAGATGCTCACTGCATTTGGCTGCCTTTTGTTTTGCCAATGTTGTTCTGTAGTGCTCCACGCGCTCTGAGACGCCGTCCGGTGTGGAGGGTGCTATATTAATCCAAGTTGTTGTTGTTGTTGTAATGGTGTGGATTGAGGTTCACAAATGGCATGGGTGATAGTACAAACTAGCACACAGTAACATTAGATCTGAAGTAGACTGACTTGACTGGGGTTTACCTACAAAATACACAGTCACTACACTTTACAAAAGCATTAGTTGGTCATGAAATGTCTTCTCCAAGCAGAAAGGATCACAGAAGGTCTTAAATCCAACACACATACAGACTGGACACTACAAGCAACAGATCATAAAGTAACAACATCCTGTGCTTATGTAGAGCCTCTCATATAGAACAATGTCTCTAAGTGCTTCTCAAGGACAGTGTAAATTGCCAAGCAAAATGAGAAAAGTATAATTTAAGGCCATTTAAACATTTAAACAAGCTGCCTACACAATTTAAACTACATCTGAACGGTTTAAGAAGCTGAACATGAAAGATATGATGGAAGTTTGATGCATTATAATATGAATGTAGAACTCTGATATGCAGCAAGCAGTTCTTCCTTTTTTTCTCTCTCTCTCTCTCTGGGACACAAGCAGAGTTTGTTTTTGAGGTTAGGGCAAATTAGAGTCAAACCTGGAGATTTAACATTGGTTAGTGATTGAATCAAATCTCTTCTTTACAAAGAACCTGCATACAATACAATACACATTTGTTTAATGCCTCGTATATCCATTATGAAGCTTTATTTCTAATTGCCTTATGAATGTGTTTTGCCTTTATTTCCATCCTTACTGTTTCGCCTACTCATTGCTTTGCTTCTTTTCTCACTCTTGTTACAGTTTCAACGGAGATTCCAAAACAAGCTCCAGCATGCGCTACGTCGAGACACAGTCCATGCAGATCGGGGCTTCCTACATGCTGCAGTTCAACTTGGTGATGGGCTGTGGGAAACCCTTCACACTGCATGTGGATAACCAGATCAGGCTGGAGTACTCCACAAACCACGGGCTGACCTGGCACCTTGTACAGGAGGTAAATCTAACAGCATGCTTATAAACAACAACAGCTTGCAGGGTGGGTCCCAGAGAGCTCGACAGTGGCGGAGTGCAACGCCAAGCTGGGACGAAGGAGGATGTGATCGTAGGCACGGTCGAAGAGGAAGGTTCTTCAGGCACGACCTGAAGATGGGGAAGGAAGGGGCAAGGCGGAGGGATAGAGGAAGAGAGTTCCAGAGTTATTATTAGACTTGGGTTCCACTAAACCGGTGTAAAGGGTAGAAATTCAACCCATGGCACAACTTTCTCTTGTCGTAATCTGATCCATTGTTGTTTGAAATGATTATTGATAGCTCAATGAAAGTCAGAAACCCTACATTCTCTAAAGTGACAACCTGGATAAACATTTGGAGGTTTTTGATGCCATTGTCCACTTTTCTGCCTCACTTTCTACACTAATTTCGATCCTTAACACAATCTTGGTTAATATAAGAGAGTTTCTTCCTGTATCTTGGCTAACCATCTGCCAGACAAAATTGGTCATTGTTTGTGGAACATTGCTGTGTGCAACTTGGTGCCTGCATTCACCTGCAAGTCACCTCACTTTACTATAAAATCCTGTGAGACGCTTGGAGAAGTCCTCCTGACGGGAAAGGCGCTGTATCAAACAAAATGATTGTCGTTATTATTAATAATAATCAAATAAGAATCATATTGTGGCATTGAACAAACCTGCGACAGTTGCTGAGATCGGTGCCAGTTCCTGGCATGAGTGAGGCTTGGCATTCCTGTGCCAGGGGGAAAAAAAGTTTTCAATTCACGTAAATTTTGATGCTGGCACTTCAATCTTTTGTTGCGAGGGTTCTATACTTTGTTTTTTTTAGACATCTGTCCCGGCTTTACTTAAACCTCGCAAAGAATCGTACCGCAGAAAGAAAATTCCTTTGTTTGCCCGTTACCTTGTGCATGTCTATGTTAATGACTGTGAGCCCTGTGTCACCACAAGCCTGAGAAATTATATCCTGGATAAATGTTTCTCAATACCCAGTTTGAGGACTTGGACCAATCTATGATACCCTCATGACTGCAACAACAACAAATTACACTTGTATAGTGCCCTTCACGTCAGAATGTCCATATCCCAGTCCATATCAGAGATCTCTTGATGAACCTGATATTTATTAATTTATTAATTAACGTCTTATCCGAAGGACAGCACCTCTGACAATGCCAACCTCACCCCCACCCAGGACTGCATTGGAGTATCATCTTAAACTACGTGAGTTCAAGCCCTGACGTGGGGCTTGAACCCGTAACGTTCTGACTCGGTGCTAACGACTGAGCCAGGCTGACGTACAAATGTTCATGGAAATCAGTGTGATAAACATCTGTGTCATTGTGTTTCCTTGCAGGAGTGTTTCCCCAGTATGCCCAGTTGCCAGGAATTCACCTCAGCCAGTGCCTACCATTCCTCTGCATTCTCTCACTGGAGGAGAGTAACTGTGCCTCTGCCACAGAAAACATGGTAAGAACGTATTCTGCCTCCTTCAAGACCCATCTCACAACCCTCCTCTTTGACTTGGCTTTCGATCACCTTGCTTCCCCCCCAGCCCTCCACCCTCCCCAATCCCACCCCCCAGCTCGGGTCCAAAACACTGCCTGTCCAGTGCCTTGGAACATCCTCGCGATATGAAAGGGGCTTTACAAATGTAATTTTGTTGTTGTTGCTGAGACAGAGTCCATAGGTACTTTTAGAGTACCAGAGGCTAGTTCATTGGACTCATTTAACAAGCAGCTTGGTATAATAATAATGATAATAATAGCATTAATAATCCTTGCATTTGATATAGCGCAGAGTGTCCCACAAATAGTTGTGGATTGAGCGACCTCATTATTTATTTTTTTGGAAGGGATTATTACCCCTGAAAATCGACTAAAACCGGGTTCCTGCTTACTGCTAGGTAAACAGAGGAAACCAAGAAATGTAGGAAAGCGGATCTAAAAGGGAGTTTAAGAGGAACTTCTTTATGTAGAGGATGGTGAGAATGTGGAAGTTTTGGTTGAAGCAAAAAGCATTGATGTACTGAGGAAATTTGATGTAGATTTGATTTAATGAGAGAGAAGGGCATTAGAGGCGATAGGAGAAGGGATTAGGAGGAATGGAGGCACATGTGGAGAATAAGAAACCTGCACTGACTATTTGGGCTGAAGGCCTGTTTCCGTACTGTAACGATCCACAAAATTCTACATGGAGAGGTGGCTGAAAGTGAGGAACATTAAAGAGGATGTGGAGCAAGCAGGAGAGTGGAGTTAGATTAGACAGCTCACGTTCAGAAAGACATCAGTGCAGACTTGTTGGGCCAAACGCCTTGTCTCTGCAGCATGCTGTGGCATTCTCTGATTCTGCGATGTGTAAAATTAATCATTTTCCTCCCACCAATTGTCTCCGCTCATCAATCCACCAAATGCGAAAGGCTCCATCCAGATAACTGGACAGCAATGGGACTCCTCCCCCAACCTGTGACTGCGGATTTAATTATCTTAACAGCTGCCAGCGGCAAAAGAAATTATTTTTAATCTGCCAGGCAACCATAAAGGGGGGAAATAAAGTAACCCGTTTCTGTTTAACGCTGATTGAATATGTGCGCTACTCCGCTGTCTCTGGACGGACATTAACCACAAAGAAGATTAGTGTTTAAAAATGGGCTCAAAAACGGCCTCAGGATTTAACTAACGTCCGTGCCAATTTCATAAATTATTTGCAGGAAATTTGATGCAATCTGTGCGTATCGGGACAGTTCATCTCTTCCAATTGTACTAGGTATTGAATGTGGTTCAAGACAAATTGCATTTGTTGCTCAGCCTCCGATAATGAATATGCTTTTTATGAGTTACATATTTGCATATTGCCCCCCGCTCCTTAATGGAGTGCGAGCAGCAGTCAAATGCAGGTTTTTATTTATCCTATAAAGCAAATCAAGAGTGATTGCCACATTAATGTTTTTGGAATAAATAGGAAAACGTTTCCACGACACCTGTTTTAGAGCAGAGAACCTGTTTCTCTCATATTCGTTTGGAACCTTTCTCATTCACTGACCTTGAAATGTATCTGAGGCAATGTTATAAATTCATGCAGTAAATGGTGACAGATTGAATACTATTAATTCAAGCGCGGGGCTCTCCGGGTTAGGAGAGTACTAAAAATGACACTATTGCATATAAACTATTGAATGATGTACACATTATAATAATAACAATAATAATCCTTACATTTGACATAGCCTATTATCACATCATCGAGACGTCACAAAGCCCTTCACAAGATTTTATTGTGTGGTTTATTGGCCATTTATTTGTAGGCAAACGCGGCAGCCAATTTGCGCAAAACAATGTCCAACAAATTGTTGGATTGGGGTTTGTTGATTAGAACATGTTCATTCTCTTTTCAAAGAGTCCATGGAGTCTTTAAAGTCCACCTGAACTGGCACATCACACTAAAACACACACACTTTCTTGTGGTAGACCGTACATGGCACTCAGAACATTGCTGTGACTCGTTGAGGTGCAGTATTAATCTACAGTTGCCAAAAGCAATACAATATTTGAGTTATACTAAAGCATCGTTCAGTCAAACCTCAATATCAAAACTCACGAGGATCTCGAAAGTAGTTTGGGATAAATGACACTGATGTTTAAGCTCCTTGATCACAATTATGGAGCTTGACCCGGGATCAGGAAAATCCTTTTGCTAAAAGAAGATTCCTGTCAAAACAGGTTTTGTAGCAGGGCTGCCGTTGCACATTTATATTCCTGTTTATTTTACAGGTAATAATCCCTTCAATATATAAACAAAAATGCAGTCATTCAATCCATGACTGTTTGTGGGCCACTGCTGTGCGCAATTGGCTACTGGGTTTCGCCCACAAAATGCACAGTCACTACATTTTACAGTATATTCTGTGAAGTGCGTTGACAGTCTCAATGATGTGATAAGTCACAATATCAAATGCAAGAATTATTATTATTATTATTACACTGTGACTGCCAGTTACAGATTAGGTGTTTCTTCTTTAACAGTCTCCAAACTGATTCTGGAGCAAATCATCTCACGTCCCCACCATCGGGAGGTAGCGGGCGCTAGAGGTTAGGGGTACAATGAGTAAAGACTTGACCACCGATGGTGGCACAGACAATAGCAAAGACGCGTAGCAGCTCTGTGTTAGCTGAGCATAGGAGTCCGGCAGACGAGTAATGTATGAGGAGATCAGAGATACAGGGAGAGTGCCAGTGATTTGTATGTGAAGGTGAGGATCTTAAAGTGGATCTATTCGGAGCCGGGGAGCCAATGGAGCCTGGCAAGAATTGGGGTGATGGGCATGCACTGAGATAAAAACTGGTGGATAGTAGCTCACACAATGGGAGGAGGGGTAGGGGGGGGGATTTCAATCTCTTTTGGATTTCAGGTTATTAAATAAATTATTTACTTACAACTGGTTTATTGGAAAAATCAGAAATGTTAAGTAAAGAATCAACCAAAATCCCCCAGCTCTGTTGCTGTTAATAATAATTCTTGCATTTCATGTAGCACCTTATCACGTCGTTGAGATGTCCCAAAACGCTCCACAGAATATACTGTAAATCGAATTGACTGTATATTTTGTGGATGAAACGCAGCAATCAATTTTGCGCACAGCAGTTATGATCTCCACATCATAAGAATTGGCACTTTTAATTACGCTCACTCTTATCATAACTTAACATAATAACCCTCACGTTTGCTAGAACACCTACAATGTTAAAAAGTCTTAAACAGCTTTCACCCATGAATGCCGTTAAGTTAGTTACTGTGTATGTATAGACAAATGGGGCAACCAATTTGCTCAAAGCAGCATCCAACATACAACCATGATGTGAATGACGAGCTCTTTTAAGGGAGTAAATTATTCAGACTAACAATTGTTTCAAATTATTCAGGTCAAGTGCGACACGATTCCGCTGGAGCCAGAATTACTACACTCCTCAAGATGAATGGGCTTTAGACGATATTTACATTGGCCAACAGTGTCCTGAGATGTGCAATGGCCATGGCTGGTGTTACGATGGAGTCTGCAAGTATGCGGCTACAATAATATAGCATCATTGATTACAGGAAAGAACTAACAGGGGGAAACATCATTTCATAATTAGAGCTACGCTGGTTAAGTAAATCCTGACATTTTCTTCCCACAAAGGGCTGTGAGCGTGTGAAAAGTACTGACCCAGGAAGCCATAGGTCCAGAATCAATTGAGTTGTCCACAAATGAAATAGACAGAAAACATGGGAAGTAAGGGATATGGGGAAAAAAAAGGTGCACACGTGACATTATAAAGAGCTGTCAGCATGACCTAACATATTGTGACACGGACTCAATGAGCCGAATAACTGACTTGCTTGTTCCTAACCTATTGATCAACCGATTGATCAGTCTGACACTCAAAGAAACCCATCACCGTGCTTAAAGAGTATCCAAACCAGACTGAGAGTACCACATATCCACGGAATTTTTTTTAAAATTCATTTTATGGTCAGCCGGGTGTCTAACACATGTGGAAACCTTAAGAGTATCCAAACCAAACTGAGATTTCCATGCATCCCACCTGCACATGGAATATGCAAGGAAACACCTATTATCCCTGGGATCAAAGAAGTGACTGCGATTGTAGGAATTTAACGTCTGACAGTGTTTTGCTTGATTATCTTTGGTGATTGGGGAATATTTATGCAGACTTTCCCCTCAAGAGATTAAAGAGGGCAAGGTAGGGTTGATTACTCATGGCCTGTGAACCTAACAAGCCTGGTGATATGAATGGCATTTTCTCAGCCCGTGCGTTCTGTCGCTATACTCTTCAGGTTACTATGTGTAAATCTACAGGGCGTTAGTTTGAAAATCCCAGAGGCTGTATTTATTTTGTACGATTACATCACTTGACGTTACCAACCCGCCCGCTCCCTCCGCTCAGCGGGCGCTGGCCTTTTCCATGTTTGCTCCACCATCGGCAGTCGGGCCTTCAGCCTTTCTGCCCCCATCCTCTGAAACTCCATACCAGAATCCCTCTGCCTCGCCCCCTCCCTTACCGCCTTCAAGGCTCATCTCAAGACCTTCCTCTTTCGCATCCTTCCAAGGTGCTGGAAAGGCGCTACATACATGCGATTTGCTGTCGTGCTTGTTGTTTGGTTTGCCCCATTCTGCACAAGCAACAAAAAGAGATCGCTACTTTTTAGCCGGTAGTGTGTGATAGACCCCGTGGTATAGGTTAAAAGGGAATCAGATAAATGCTTGAAAAAGAACTAGATTAAAAGGTTAATTAATTAAACTTAAACAGCAGCAATGGATTAAACTAGGCAGCGCATGCAGTGGGGAGGAAAGACCAGCGATGTCTTGAAGGGCCTTCTTCACCCGAACCTATCGTGTTGATCTTGTGATTGTTTCTCTTTGTAAAGATGTGACCCAGGGTACGGGGGTTTAGTCTGTACACCAGAGTCAACGCTGTCCTCAACGGTGATGTGCGACTTTGAGAATGAAACTGCAATGAGGAACGACTGGCAGGAGGTCATTGGCGGAGAAATTGTTAAACCAGAACAAGGCTGTGGAGTCATCTCCTCAGGGTCATCTCTCTACTTCTTCAGGGTAGGCTTTTTGCTCCTTTGTATAATGTCTTTTTCCTTGAATATAATAATAATAATTCTTGCATTTGATATAGCACCTTCTCACATCATTGGGACGTCTCAAACTGTTTCACAGAATATATCGTAAAGTGAATTGACTGTATTTTGTGGGTGAAATGGTTGCCAATTGCACAGAGCAGTGTCCCACAAACCGTCATGGATTGAATGAACAATTTTCTTTTTTTTTGGAGGGATTATTACCCCAGAAAGCAATCCGCCAATCGACTAGACTAATAACCGGGTTGCTACTTATTGCTAGGTAAACAGAGGCATGTGGAGTAAGGAAACTTGCCTGAGTTTCATCCTGCCCGGGAATCGAACCCGGGTCCTCTCGCTTGGGAGACGAGCGTGTTAAAAATTGAAGTCCCAAAAATTATTGATGAATAACCTCTGGTGGTACAGTACTCTGTCCAATAAAAAGGGAAGAGTGCTGCTCTTTGCTGGACCTATTGTAATCGGGGGACCTCCTGGAGGAAGGAATCATTCATGACTGTCGTGTTAAAGCCCTGACATTGACCCATTTTTCTCCAGCACGGGGTGAGGCAACTGGTCAGCTGGGACCTGGACACCCAGTGGGTGGACTTCATCCAGTTCTATATCCGTATCGGAGGGACCACTGGCTCCTGTAACCTGCCCGACAGCAGAGAGGAGGGAGTCTTACTGCAATACAGCAACAACGGTGGCATAACCTGGCACCTGCTCTCAGAAATGTACTTCTCGGACTTCAGTGAATCCAGGTATGAATTCCTGGGGGAGGAGAGGAGATGGGGAGAAAGGGTTGGCAGCACCAGCACACCAATGTCCCAATATTATAATAATAATAATAATAATGCTTGGAAGCAGATTCAATAATAACTTTCAAAGGGGAATTGGATATATACTCGAAAAGGAAAAAGTTGCAAGGAAGTGGGGTAAGAGCGGAGGGCGTGGGACTAGTTTGATAGCTCTTTCAAAGAGCAGGCACAGTCACGATGGGCCGAATGGCCTCCTTCTGTGCTGTGCTCATTATTATTATTATTACGTTGTAACCACTTGCTCTTTCCTCAACAGATTTGTCTACTTTGAGGTGCCTACGGCGGCTCGCACGGCCTACACTCGTTTCCGCTGGTGGCAGCCGGTGCACTCAGGCGAGGGGTACGATCAGTGGGCCCTCGACGATATCATCATTCTGTCAGGGCGGCAGAAACAGATCATCCCTGTCATCACACCAACCATCCAGCAGGTAACACAGCAGTGAGAGCGAAAGGGAATGCACTTCCCAATCACACAGGCTACAGCACAGATTCCTTGGATATGATACAGCGTCTTATCAACGGCGCCGAGACGTGTCAAAGCACTTCTCAGGATATACTGTGAAGCGAATTGACTGTATATTTTGTGGGCAAAGGAAACTTGCCTGAGGTCTCGCCCCGCCCGGGAATCGAACCCGGTTCCTCCCACTCCCATTGAACTAAGGACTCCATTTAGAAACAAAAGTCGGTACAAAATTTAATCTGTAATCCACTGCCAGAGAGTGTGTAGAATTCTCCCCAGTCCAAAAAACACCCTCTGCCAATATGATAGTGCCTTTCTCACTGAGCGGCACTGTACATTTCTCTCTTCTCTCTCATGATTCTCTCTTATGAATTTCTATGGTTCCCCTTACTGCAAAGCACTTTGAGATGTTTCATTCAGATAAAAAAAAAAAACTTTTTAATCCCATGTTATTTTCCACCAGTTCTGATACTTTTACCTTCATCAGCCTCGCGTGTAATTTTCAGAGCGTCTGCTCAGTTACATCACTAATAGCAATAATATGATAATAATGCTTGGATTTGATATAGTGCCTTATCACGTCTTCGAGATGTGTCAGAGTGCTTCCCAGGATATACTGTAAATTGAATTGACTGTATATTTTGTGGGCGAAAATAGCGAAGAAACAATCTGAGAGAGAAAGGACAAAAGAGTTGCTTCCACTTTTAGGACCACTTTGCCTGGCCGATTGCACACGGCAGTGTCCCACAAATAGTCCAAACAAGACTGGAACGATGCAGTCTTGTTGAGCGGTGAGTGCCAGTGAGTTAGATAAGATGCACAACTAGAATGAGTGGAGTTACCCTTTATCAGATGCAATAGTTTTCAGCACTGCTAACTTTCCGTTGGATTGGTTTTCGTGCTCCATTGAAATTAGATTTTTTTTAATGTTTATTTTAAAGATTTCTATCTGGAGCAGCCCGACGAGATGGCAGGTCTTGTTTGCGTCAGGAGCTCCAGGGAGGAGAGTAACAGGGGTCCCATTGTAACCTTGCACCACGTCCCCACCTCCCCTTCCCCAGCCTCCCCCCGAGCTCCCTCAAGTGACAGTCTTCCAGTCCTTTCTGGGGAATTCAATGCTGGATGAGGCTAATGGAGCGTCAATCACACTCCACTTCTGTTGTTATAAATTCAGCTACTTTAAGTACTCTTATGATGCATGTACCAGCAATATTCCATAAAAATACAGATGAGATTCCCCTGATACACTGGAAACATTGACCGAGAGACTGAAATTGCTTTTGGCTATAGGTCCAGGAAATAGATTTGAATTATTTTTTGCACACACATGGTCTGACCATAAAACCTAATAACCAGAATGTAGCAAATTTTTTTTATATATGTATGTTAAAAAAAAGATTAATTCCTCGAGGTGAACTAGTGAAGGTCACGGTTCCATTAAGAACTCAGATTTGCCTATTGATAGTCTGGCAACATCACTCACAAAATAGTCTTTACACTTCGCCCAGTGTATGAGATGCTATCCTACACAAAGGACGCTATATAAACTTGGGTTGTTGTTGTACAGTAATTCCTGTGAAACGCTTTGAGATGCCCTCCTGTGAAATTGCATCTACGTCAGACGCAATAATTACTACATTTTATTATTAGGAAAAAATGGACACTTCTAAATGTTGGAAGGGAGAGTTGGGAGAGGAAACAACCACAGAGATCATTCAGAGGTTGAACAAGTCGTGTGAGAATTGAATAGAGACAAATAAGCTGTTCTGAACCTTCTGTTATTTAAGAATGATTTATTGTTTTAGGAGATTAAGGCGAGCAGTTTTGATTTCCATCGTGACCGGTGTGTGTTTAGTACAGTTTGAACTTCCTTTGACCACCGCTTCGGCAGGCTTCGGAGCGAGCTGCTCTCTGCCTGTCCCAACGACTGAGGCCAGCCTGAGATCTCCTCGAGAAGGTGACCCGACCCTTTCAACAGGTGGCCACCGTTCCCCTCCAGATCCAGAACCAAATCATGTACAAAGTGCCAGGCAAAGTGAGCTCTTGGCACATCTTTCTAATTTAGGAATAAATTTGTCATCGCTCGCTGTCCGGTCTCAGTTAACCCGGATGCAAGGGTTGACGGTGCTCAAGGTAGATAAGTCACCCGGTCTGGATGGGATGTATCCTACTGAGAGAAGTAAGGGTGGAAATAGTGGAGGTTCTGGCCACAATCTTTCAATCCTCCTTGGATACCAGGGTGGTGCCAGAGGACTGGAGGGTTGCAAATGTTATTCCCCTGTACAAAAAGGGACAGAAGGAGAAACCCAGGAACTACAGGCCAGTCAGCCTAACGTCAGTAGTGGGGAAACTTCCAGAGACTATAATCCGGGACAAAATAATTTTTCACTTAGTAAAATATGGGTTAATAAAAGACAGCCAACACAAAAGTGATGCATTTTGAGAAGAAGAATAAGGGGCAATATAAGCAGATGGTACAATCTTGAAGGGGGTGAAGGAAAAGAGAGACCTGGGGGTTCATATAAGTAAATAAAATGGCAGGACAGGTAGATATAGCTGTTTTTAAAAAAAAGCATATGGGATACTAGGCTTTATAAATAGACACAGAGAATACAATTGTCAGGAAATTATAATGACCCTTTATAAAACACTGGTTAGGCCTCAGCTGGATACTGTGTTTAGTTCTGGGCACCACACTTTAGGAAGGATGTCAAGGCATTGGAGAGGGCGCAAAGGAAATTTACCAGGACGGTACCAGGAGTGAGGGACTTCAGTTATGAGAAGCGGCCAGAGAAGCGAGGATTATTCTCCTTGGAGCAGAGAAGGTTAAGATGAGACTTAATAGAAGTTTTCAAAATTATGAGGCAATTCGAAAGGGTGAACGAAGGGAAACTATTTCCGTTGGCGGATTAGTTCACTGGCGGTCACTCAATCCACGACTGTTTGTGGGACACTGCTGTGCGCAATTGGTTGCAATGTTTCGCCCACAAAATACACAGTCAATCCACTTTACAGTATATTTTTTAAGCACTTTGAGACGTCTCAACGACATGATAAGACGCTGTATTAAATGCAAGGGTTATTATCATTAATAATATTTTCAACACTAGAACGCTGAAGATGTTCAGAAGTGGGGAAATAAAAGCGTTGGGTTCAGTGCCATTATCTTAAACACAAACCATCTGATTCAGCCAAATCAAACCAGATTTATTCAAATCATTCCAGTTGTTATTCAGATTGCCAGTTTGTTAGGAGTCCGTCCCCGAGTAAAGATACACACTACTGTAATCGCAGTGATTAGAGGCTGAGTATGGGGGAATGGTCAACAAATAAGTTACAATAGAATCCAGAAGTAAAATACAAATGTGCTTTCAATTTTCAGAAAGCCGAAGAATATCAATTACATTTTATGTCCAGTGCGTCCTTAAAGTGAAGAGACAGGTCACAGTGTGTCAGGCATTCAGAGCTAAGCACCAGTAGCTGTCTATGGGTAACAGACTTAGGGTTAGGGTTCAGCTTATCTGGATCTCCCATCAAACCTGGGCAAAATAATTCAATGTCAAATTAAGATGAATAATACAGGAATGAGTGTACCTGGATGTCTCTATTCGCAGTGATATTATCAGAAAATCATGAGATTGTAATCCATTTGCAGGGTTTCCGAACTCAGCCTCTGTGTTTGTTTTCTGATCCTGCAGATTATTTTGCCGCCTTCAGTTCAGTTACTGCCTCAGACACAATAATGAGAGGAGAGCGATTTTGTGTCTTATTTGAAGGATGGCACCTTCTACAATGCAACACACCTCCCAGTACTGCATTGGAGTGTCCGCATAGACTATATGATTTCCAAGTCCTGACCTGGGGCTTGAATCCCCAACTTTCTGACCCAGAAGTGAGAGTGCTACCAACTGAGCCGGCCTGACACACACATGCCAACAATCCACTTGTCACGGCTGTTTGTGGGACATCGCTGTGTGCAAATTGACTGCTGTGTTTAGCTACAAGTATACACTTGTAACTGCACTTCACAGAAATGTTGTGATATTATTAGCGCTAAATCAAATGCGAGGTTTATTATTATAAAAACAAAATTAAAATTGTGCTCCTTGCAGAATTTCCTTTCCTGATGGGTAATTGGGCCCTTCTTTATTTTTAGAACGTGGATTTATTGATATGGAAATGACTTGTTCACAAGGATGAGACTTTCTCTCAAGGTCGCCTGACATCCCCTGTTGGCTGGAAACATATGTTGTAGATTAACCTTAGTATCCAGCCACACTCCGGCACAAGGTTTACACTGTGCCAGAGACATGTCACTCAACTAAATCACTGAGCTGTCTTATTATCTACATAACAAAAGTTCTACAAACGAGGACCATTAATGTCAATTTTCAATCGTTTTCATCATTAAATAACCTTTTTTTTAATTGGGTAAAAAAAAACAATTTTCTCCCAACTTTTGCTAGCTTTAAAAACAATGAATTAACTGTTTTTTCCCCACCGTGTTGCGATTTTTGCTTTGGTCAGCTGGGTGTCTGACACACGCAGACACCCGTTACTATACACCATACATGTTATATTGATGTCCCTTCGTTATGGATTTGCCAATAAGTGGAAACAACCTTTGTATGTCCACCTTATCGAATCCCTTCATAACTTTAAGCACCTCTATTAGATTCATCGCAATCATCTCATCTCCAGGAGAGAAAAAAAAGCAGTAACCTGTTTTATTCTATCATTTCTGGTAATATCTTACTAAAGCTACATTGTACTCTCTCCATTGCCACAATATCCTTCTTGTAATATGCTGACCAGAGCTGTAAACAGTACTTCAAATGTGGTCTAACCACTGTTTCAAACAAATTATTTCTTTGCTTTAGTGTTCTGTTCCTCCAGACACCATGCCAGGACTATTTACATTCTTTATGGCCTTGGTCCCCTGCGTTCTACTTTTAAAGACTTATTAATCTGAATATATTTGCTCCTCTACCACTCATACATTCTTACCACCTAAGGTATAATTGGCTTATTTATTCCTCCTACCAAAGTAAAACACTTCACATGTCTCCTTATAATAATAACAAACCTTGCGTTTGATATAGTGCCTTATCACTTCATCAAGACGTCACAAAATGTTTCACAGAATACATATGTAAAGTAAATTGATTGTACATTTTGTGGGCGAAACACTGTTGAACTTCAATATTGAACTTCATCTGCCACCTTTCCGCCCACTCTGTAACCTTTTTAAGTCTTCCTTAATTATTTTGCAGTGCTCATCAAGTGAATCATAAAATCAATAGAATTATCAAGCAAAAATTACAGAATATTGATTCATCCACCTCCATCCTCTGTTTTTCAATCCTGAGCATAGTAACAGAGGGTGCTTGGCTACGCTGTACTTGTTCAGTGCTGTGTTTGCTGGGTCTAATTATTAGCAATTACTCGTGCTGGAACAAACCAGCTATTAAAGGAGATAATGTGTTGGTTGTATTGCATGACATGTTCTCTGAACTGTTTCCCAGCTAAGTGAACATTTTGAGTCCTGAAGCTCAGTGGTTAGGGCACTCGCCTTGCAAGCGAGTCACCTGGGTTCTTTCCTTACTCCACACGCCTAATAATAATCCCTCCAAAACAAAACAATAATAAGTTGGTCATTTTCAATCCACGACTGTTTGTGGGACGCTGCTGTGCGCAATTGGCTACCGCGTTTCACCCACAAATATACGGTCAGTTCACTTTACAGCATATTCTGTAGAAGACCTTTGAGACATCTAGAAAACGTGAAAAGCGTTTTATCAAATGCAAGGATTATATTATTATTTATTATTATTATAGATTCATACACAGGTAACATACTGAGCCCACATTCAATTCCCATAGAGACTGTAGATAAAGAGACAAAGTGTGACTCTTTCCTTCTCAGGTGATGGTCCTTGAATCTCCACGGATTTCTTTTACAGCCTAATAGCAATTTTTTTGACAACCTTTTTATGTCCAAATGTGATACTTTGACACCCCTGAGGATGAGGCTCAGAGATTTGTGTCGATAGTGGGATGTGACACCAATGCTGTACATCAGATCTCTAAGTTCAGCACAGCACTAATACCCTTGTGCCCTCCATTCCACAATCGATCCCGTTTTCAGACACTACGCCCTGAAACTCTGGAACACCCTCTATCCCTCCAACTTGCCCCCTCCTTCACTATCTTCACGTCGCGCCTGAAGATCGTGTCTACTGTCGTGTCTACTGTCACCTCCCCGCTCCCCCACTCCCCTGGCTCAGCATTGTGCTCCACATTCCTCTCTAACCTTGGCCCAGTTATAAAGCACATAAGATGTCCTTTGGCTGCCTGGAAGGCTTCTATCAGTTGCCTTGGGGGTTGCATCTGTTATTAAATTTACACAGCAGGTAGAGTGGGTTCTCTGGTAACTCCATTCAACTAAAAAAACAAAAAACACGTAGTTGGAGAATCAATCATTTATGCTTGTGTGTTACACTGGGCCCTTACCATATGCTCGTTCAATTGGAGGACCTTCTACAAATAGTGAGATGCTGTGTTCGGCCATAGGATAGCTGGAGTCTGTGCCCATGAAGGTTATCGTGTGTTGTTGTGTGTGGAGAGAGGCTCAAGGAACTGTTCTTGGGAAGAACTGTTATAGAGAGGTCGGGGATGAAGGTGGGGGGTAAAATTGGACAGGATGTTTATTCCTCCATGTTTATATCACAAGGCGGACACAGTGAGGGTTTCAGGGAAATGATCGCAAGATCACAAGAACGGTTCGGATGAAGAAGGTTCTTTGGCCAATTTGATGAGAGTAATAATAATCCTTGCATTCGATATAGCACCTTATCACATTATTGAGACGTCTCAAAGCACTTCACAGAATATACTGTGAAGTGAATTAAGTGAATTAACTGTATATTTTGTGGGTGAAACACAGCAGCCAATTGCGCACAGCAATGGTTGTTAGTGATCTGCTAATTAACTATCAACCAGATTCATACTTACTGCTATTCCAGAATACCCACCCTATCGTCTTCCCATCACAGCATCAAGTGTTTTTACATATATATAACATACTTTGTGTTAAATATATATTTACGTTAACAAATCTGGCCTCAATCACCCTTTCTGGTAATTTCCATTCTTTAAATTATCCTCTGGGTAAAGAAAGATATCCTGGTGTCTGTTCTGAAATTGCCCTTTGCAACTCTAAAAGCCTTGGGACGTCCTCCCGACATGAAAAGTGCCATACAAATGTAATTTGTTGTTGTTGTTGAAATTTGGTGATCAGGATGTCTGAGCGGGTTGTGAATCTAGTCATCACCTGGGAAACACTGTGTGAGGCTGCATTGTTTACAATGTTATTAGATGGTTAGAAAACTACTACTAATTATCCTTGCTTTTAATATAGCCTTTCATGTCCGGAAGGTGTCTCAAAGCGCTTTGAGTGATATAATGGTAAAGTGAAGTGACTGTATTTTGTAAGCAAACATGGCAAATTGGCACACCACAGTTACCCACAAACAGCCATGAAGTTAATGAGTAATTGTTTTTATTATTGGGAGGGATTGTTCGCCAGGACACCGGGAGAGACTCTTTCCTAATAGTGTTGTGTATCTTTAACATCCACCTGAAACCGGAAACTGGACTTCGGTTTAACATCTCTTCTGGAGGGCAATCCTCCAGCAATGTAGCACAGCCCCCAGCACTGCATTGGAGAGTTAACCTAAACTATGGGTTACTCATGAAATTCCTCCTGATTCAGCAAAGTTGGCACAATATTGATTCATTGTGTCAAGAGATATTATTTATTATAATAATAATGCTTGCATTTACTACAGCGCCTTGTCACGTCATTGAGACGTCTCAAAGTGCTTCACAGAATATACCGTAAAGTGTATATTTTGTGGGTGAAACACGGCAGCAAATTGCGCACAGCAGTGTCCCACAGTTGTGGATTGAGTGACCAAATTATTGNTTTTTTGAAGGGATTATTACACCGATAGCGTTCCGCTAATTGACTAACAACCGGCTTCCTGCTTACTGCTGGTCCTTACCATTTGTTACTTTATCTGATTTTCCCTCACATTCCAGGACTACACATCCTCCTACGATATCCCACTGAGCCAGCTGAGCATTTGGTTGATGTTGGCCAATGAAGGAATGGGCAGCAATGAGACGTTCTGCGCCATGACCCACTCGGCCATGGTGTTTGGCAAATCTGACGGGGATCGGTTTGCCGTCACCCGAGACCTGTCTCTGAAGCCTGGATATTTACTTCAGTTCAAGGTATTTGTGGCATTTCTCCTTCTTACTGGAACTGTCTCGTTGGCCAGGACACTGGAGGAAACTCTTTCCAAATCATGTTGTGGTACCTTTAACATCCACCTAAACCAAGAAACAGGACCTCCAGTTAATGACTCTTCCGAAGGGCGGTGATTACCGCATGCAGAGCACCCCCCAGCACTGCATTGTAAAGTTAGCCTAAACTATGGATCACTCATGAAGAAAAATCCTCCTGATTCAGGAAAAGCGGGTTGCAACAATATCGATTAATTATGTCTTACTCACATAATCACAATAATAATGATAATATCTCTTTTATGTTCACAACCCAAGGTAGTTCGGTCAATTAAGCACTGGGCTTGGGGACAGAAAGTTGTGGGTTCACCTAACCCTTCAGCCTACGAGGTTGAGCATCGTGGTTATGAGAAGCCTTTCTGGTAATTTAGATTCCTCTCATATGCAGCAGGACTGAACTCCGATACTTACGGCCAGACACACAGCAAAATAATGTAAAATACAGGACTTCTCCCTGGTATTTCCAGTGCCTGTAGTCTTTAAGATAATGAGGGGTTTTGATAGTGTCAAGAGAGACAATTTGTCTCCACTAGTAGATCAGTCTTTGACCAGAAGGCTTCAATTTAAGATAGCTAGCAAACAAGCAAATGTGTAGGTTAGGAGAAATTTCTTCACCCATAGATTGGTTAGACATGGAATTCCCCTGTCAGGAGCGGTGGTTGAGGCAGAATTTATATTAGCTTTCAAAAGGGAACTAGATTGATGTCTAAAAAGGATTAAACTACAGGGAAAAGAGCATGTAAATGGGACTGTGTCTTTAAAAGAACTCTGAACTCTATGGCCAGACACACAGCAAAGAATGTAAAATACGGGACTTCCCCCTGATATACAGTTCCTGTAGTCTTTAAAATTATGAGGGGTTTTGATCGTGGCAAGAGGGCCGAATTATCTCCACTGGTAGGTGAGTCAGTGAAAGAGACAGTCGCCAACTCTTTAAAAGAGCCAGACATGATGGGCTGAATAGCCTTCGTCCTTGCTGTAATTTTCTATGTTTCGAGGGATGTGAGCCAGAATCTGGCCAGAGTGCTGTAATAGTAATGGTGTAGCTAGACACAAATCAGTTGTGTTGGTTCCCGTGACCAACATAGTCTGACCGTGAGCAGGGTGTTGGTGTTAAATGCGTACAAGGCATTTTCAAGTAGTTAATTTACAGAGTGCACAGCGGAGATTTACCAAGACAATATTAGGGGTGACAGGTTATGGTTATGACTTGAATAGTCTCAAGTGTTTTTGCTGGAGTCGCGAAGGTTAAAAGGGAACGTAATGATAGTTTTCAAAATTGTGAATGGTTTTGATGAGGCAAATAAGACAGAGAAAGTACCTCAGCTGATCGGTGTGGCACATACTGACAATTAGCATCAGAGGACAAAAAGGGAAGGTTAGAATTTCTTTTTACCGCAAATAACTTTTTGACAAGTCCATAACAGCATTTACAAGGGAATTCAATGACGAGTTGAAGAACAGTGATGGTAAGGGATGTGGGGAATGCACAGTGGAATGGGATTAGAATATTTAGCTCCAAGCAGCAAAGCTCGCTATCACCAGCACAGGCACAATAGGCCAACTGGTCTCATTCTGTGCCGCAAATTTTCTCTGATCCTTACGAGGCCTCTTGTTAAGATTCAATTCTGCAGTGCAGCAGAGAAGGAAAGCTAGGATTGTCTTTGTTGGTTTGATGCACTGGGGAGAGAGGTTGAAGAGGGGAGTGGTATACACTTCTGTCTAATTTTATTCCTCTTATAATGAAATCCCAGTTGTGGGTTGTGTAGGTCAGGGTGTTGGCAATTTAAATTTAATGAACCCTACAAGAATTTCTGATCAATGTGGAATTGGTAAGAGCTGAATAATTGAAAGCTTGTAGAATAATCAAAGGTTTGAGAGGTCAACAGCTGATTCACTGCTGCCCCATAAATTTCCCCAAAATGTATCGGGCAAAAATGACGTCTGATTGTCTGATCGATAGAATCCCAGTGAAGTTGTTTTTTATTACTCGATCTTGCTGGGTTTTTAAGCTTACTCACTACTTGTTGGGCAGTGTTTGACAGTCGCAGAAAAAAGATGTTTTTCACGTCTCTGATGCCAACAATTAAAGCGCATTTAATTTTGCCAACAATTTTAAGCTTATGGGAACATAAGAAGATAGGAACAGGAGTAGGCCATTCAGCCCCTCGAGCCTGTCTGCCATTCTATCAGATCACGGCCAATCTATATCTCAACTCCAATTAATTAGCAATCGATTAAATAATTAATTAGTGATTAATTAGCGGGATGGATGCTTAAATAAATATTTTATCAGCAGTTTATTTCATTCTCCCCCAGCCCTCCCCCTTTCCTTCCCAAAAACAAATGCCCTTGTTTTCGTGCCTTTTTGGTCAAGGTTCCTTCACCTGATTGTATCTGTAACCTTTCAGCTAAACATTGGGTGCCAGCGCCAGTTCAGCAGTGCCACTCCCGTTTTCCTCCAATATTCTCACGACGCTGGTCGATCCTGGTCACTGGTAAAGGAAGGCTGTTACCCCGCGTCTCCGGGTGTTAAAGGCTGTGAAGGAAGCTCGAGGGAACTGAGAGAGCCAACAGTTTTCTACACAGGAGACTATGAAACTTGGACAAGAATTACTGTCATTATCCCAAGATCCGTTGCATCCAGGTATGTACGGAAAGGAATAATTTATTTGCCCAAACAAAAGAATGGAAATGTAGCAGAGTCTAAGCAGTTGATTAAACAAATCTAGTTGAAGATCAAAACAACGCAGAGAGCTACCATGTTCCTGTACTGTGAAAATAACTCCAGTGCTAGTTGGGACACATTTAGAAAAGTCCTAGGAGGAGTTCAGAGAAGGATAACAAGGATAATTCGGAGATTAGGGCACTAAATTCCGAGATGTTTACAGAGCTGAACTTGTTCTTTTTTTAAAAAAGCTTGATTTTTTTTTACACGGGAAGTAATTCTTTAAACAGAGGGTAGTTTCTTTACATAGAGGGTAATCAATGACTAGAACGGGTTGTCTGGAAAGATGGTTGAGGCCAGGACACTAGATTAGATTCATTTAAAATGCAACTTGATGCAGTGATAAGGAAATGGTAGGGTGGGTGTCCTGGAGGGATGAGATCAGATTGGCCAAAGGGCCTTCGTCATCCAACCAATTATGTGATCTTGTGGTTCAAGTCCTCAAAATTACGAAGAGGCATTGGTAACATATATGTAAGCAGCAAAGTAGAACTTATAGAGATATGCAGAGACATATAGTAGAAATATTTAGTCAGTTCACATTACAGTATCTTCTGTGAAGGGCTTTGAGATGACTCAACAATGTGATAAGCGCTACACAAAATGCAAGGGTTATTATGATTATTATTGTTAAATATATTGCAAACTTTCTTGTTTTCTCTCATCCTTACAGCAAGACCCGATTCCGTTGGATTCAGGAGACCAGCATTTATAGGGGTGCTCCTGCCTTTGGCCTGGATGAAGTATATATCTCTGAACCTTGTTATAATTACTGCAGTGGACATGGTGACTGCATTTCCGGGGTCTGCTTCTGTGATCTTGGTTACACTGGTGAGATCATGTTAACTGCCTTTTAGATTTAGAAGTTTATAATGAATTAAACGGGAGTCATAGCTAAGGCAGCATTTTCCCAAGGCTAGGCAGGTCTGCAGAGCACCCACTGAGCTGTATATCCTTCCCTTGAGATAGAAATGGTGAATTGGAGCAAATCAAATGCAGGCGAAAGGTTCTCTTGGGGAAGGAGTTTAAGGTAGCTATGCTCATAATGTAGCCTAGGACCTTATATGGCTCTCCTACTCTTCATTTGAGACCAACTTTCTGCTCCATGTGTTTATTGGGGATTTACCACTATCCTGGGATTCAGGGCTCTCCTGAGATTGAAGGCTTTCCTGGTATTGAGCACTGGGATTGAGATCCTGGGATTCTGCAATGTCCTGGGATTCTGCAGTGTGTTGGGGATCAGTGCCGACCTGGGGATTTAGTGCTAATTGAGCCCTTTCTGGGATTGAGCACTGTTCTAGGATTTTTGGATCCAAATGATTAGATCAGTCCCGTAGGGTTGTTTCACACAACTGCGAACACACGGCTTTGATTCCCCCTAGCAGCTGCCCACAGTGGAATGATTGAACCTAGGACCTCACCATCTGTGCAATGCTAAATCCGGACCCGCCATTGCCATTGTTCTGTGGAGCATTGCTGAGATCAGCCCACGAGACTACCTGGCATTTTGGTCTTCAGCAAAAGGATAGTGAAGTAACACTCGTTCAAGGTAGCACTGAGGCACCGGAAGCACATTCGTCTTCATTTAAGAATGGAGAATTAAATAGCCAGCCTAAAGACATCATTTAAACCAATTTGTGATGAAATGACCGAGACTAAAGTAAAAACATAAAGAGATTTCTATTGAATTTATAATTACCAGGGCTAGACCTTGGAGTATTTCCTTATGCTTTCCCAATGATCCTGATACATTCTGAATCTGTTCAAAGGACGTGATAATTGCGTAGTTATTTGTTGTTTTCGCATGACGATGGATAAAAAAAATACTTGCCACGTTTCAGCGGTTCTTAAGCCACATTCACTGACACTGATATCAATGTTCAAGGCACTCTCCCGACCAGCCAAGCACAGCCCTGTGTTCCTACTGCGGACAATGGAAATTCCTGAAATATCTGGGTGGGAAGGGATCAATGGAGCTGACCCTGCCCCCATAATATGAAGCATAGCCCCGCTTTGATATATGTTTAATTGCCACTTTGAAGCATTCCAAGACGTCATTGTATGTGAAGGGTAATAATACAAGTGCAAGTTGTCGTCGTTGCTGCTTTCGCTCTGCGTTTTAATTCTCTCATCTGCACAAATTACGGGGTTGCAATTCCCTGTTGAATTGTGCAATTTTAGTTCCATTAAGTCAACCGAACTGTAACTGAAGCACTGAGCAGCATAATTGTAGACAATGTAAGCCGCTCTTTCAAGTTGCACGATGTTAATCGAATCTACAATAAATTGATGCTGTTGAATGAGCCACCGTTATTTCAAGAAGATGCTGTGGGTCAGGCAGGGACCCACTCTGTGTATCATACCAGTGGGTGTGGTATAATGAATGTATCATAATATAGAAACAGGAGGTCAGTCATCCCATTGAACCTACGCTGATACCAACTCATCCACTGGAGCGAATTACTTTTTAATTAATAATTTTAATTGCTGAGCGCAATTGGCTGCTGCATTTTGCCCACAAAATATACAGTCAATTCATTTGTAAAGCACTTTGAGACGTCTCAACTACGTGATAAGGTGGTATATCAAATGCAAGGATTATTATTGTTATTACTAAAATATCAGAGTTGTGTTGCTGGTGTAGTTTTATAAAATGTGTTTAGTTCTTTTATTTCATTTTTTCCTACTTTGTCCAAAATCAAAAGGAAAGGAGTAAACTCCATAATGACAGACACTAGTTTTGCCCACGAGATATACAGTCAATACACTTTATGGTATATTCTGTGAAACGCTTTGAGACGTCTCATTGACATGATAAGGGGCTGTATCAAATGCAAGGATTATATAAAATGAGTTGCATTCTGACCTTCCATCTGTCGTGCTGTTTGCTCATAGCTGACCAGGGGACGTGTGTACCGACCGTGCCAAACCCCAGTGAAATGATTGATCGCTTTGAGGATAAGCTCAGCCCTCTTTGGGCCAGAGTGACAGGGGGAGTGACTGGCACGGGCTGTGGCGTCCTGAATGATGGGAAGTCGCTCTACTACAGCGGATCTGGGGGAAGAGAAGCCAGAACCGCAAGTCTGGATACAACAAACATCAGGTTACCTGGAAACTCTGTACCATTTGATGGTGTTAGAGATGGATGAGATTTAGTTAGATCTACATCTGTTTTTATGCTTGATCTGTGCCATGAAGACATTACGTGATTAGATAAATGGCTATTGTTCACTGAGCAATTTCAGGTCCAGAGCTCTGAGAAAACACTGCATGTTTACTATAGTTTCAATAAAATAATCCTCAAATATCACCATGAATAATTATGAGTGAAAGGTAAAATTATTTTCCAGCTCCTTTGTATCCCATATCTCAGCATATGCCCAATGCCTGGGATATTTGTGACACTGTGTTCAGCTTCCTATCGGGATTGTAATGCTTGTGTTTCAATCAATAGGTTGGTTCAGTTTTACATCCAAATTGGAAGCAAAACATTTGGCTCCTCTTGCGGCAAGCCTAGAGACAGGAACGAAGGTAACCGGAGCTCAGTGACGGGTTGTGATGTGTTCATTGGGTCAAAAAAAAATTGGGGGAAAAAAAATTACAGCTGTGCTTGTTTAGTAAGAACGGCTCTAGCCTTTGGCTCACAGAGTTGAGGACATATCTACACTTCCAAGTCACATTGGTGAACCAAAGAGGCTATTCAACCAACAACATCATCTCGGGTTATTGTGGATCTGTCTGGCGTTGCGTTTATCAGAGCCAGTTCAGTCCCAGGCAACGCCTGCTTGTTCTACTTGTGAGGGCTGCTTTATGGAGGCGCGGAATGAATGGCAGGCTGCAGCACCATTGACTCATGCGCCTGTAGTGTAAAGAAGCCAGTCAGGGTGCTTTGCAGTGTTAAAATATATCTCAGATGTTAGTGCAAAGCCTGGTTCAGCTGCTAATACCTTCACCACTGAGTCAGAAGGTTATTGGTTCAAGTCCCACGCCTGGACTTTGAATTTACAGTCCAGGCTGTTTCTCAGGTATATTTCTGGGGAAGCACTGCATTGTCACAGGTACCGGCTTTCGGATGAGACATTAAACTGAGGTTGTGTCTGCCTGTTCTGGTGGATGTTAAAGATCCTGTGGCACTATTCGAAACACTGCGGCTGAAACTCCCTGACGAAGATTACTGTTTATAGTATTTACATGTAAATTTAAAATGCGGACCCTGCTCTCAATCCTGCCTCTTTCTCCACTTGTAGGCATTGTTGTGCAGTACACAAACGACAATGGAGTAACCTGGTCCCTTCTGCGGGAGCTCGATTACATGTCTTTTCTGGACCCTCAGATCATCACCATTGAACTACCTCCAGAAGCCAAAACCCTGTCGACGGCATTTCGCTGGTGGCAGCCACAACATGGTAAGCTATAAGCTGCAGGTCTGTGTACCATAACATGGTAAGCTACAGGCTACACGCCTGTGTATCGTAACATGGTAAGCTATGGGCTACACATCTTTTCTGCCCTTGAATAAGGTGAACGATGAGACACATTGCGCAAAGTCTTGTCTGTTCTTTGGATGAGAGGTTAAACCGAGGTTCCGTCTGCCTGTTCAGATGGACCTTAAAGATCCCATGGCACTATTCGAAAAGGGAAGGGAGTTTCTCCCAGTGTTCTGGCCAACAACCCTCCAAGTAAAGTTGGCTTTTTGTGGGACATTGAATTGCGCAAACTGGCTGCCACATTCGTCTACAAAATACAGTCAATCCACTTTATATTATCCTATGAAGCGCTTTGAGACATCTCGGCGACGTGATAAGGCGCTTTATCAAATGCAAGGATTATTATAATCATACGTGAAGGATTTAAATAATGTTGACAGAAAAGAGCAGAGAGATTGTTCGAGGCATCCAGGGAAGGATATCTCTGTCCTGATTGAGTTGGCAGAAGCAAAGGAAATCCCTGAAGGTGAGGACTGCTTCCATGTGGATCTTGCTGTGCAGTTTGCTCTGAAAATAATGAGTGTTAAACATGTGGAGAAAAGGCTTCCAGAGGCAAATGCTTTATTCATCCGTCAACCAGTCGGAGCCAGAGCCATCAGTGGCCAATCCATCAGTTCCTTCACCCCTAACCTCTGGAACTCCCTCCCTTGACTATTCCATCCTACCCCTTTAAACCACCCTGTGGCCAAACTCCTTTCTCTCCCTGCCCCACCCACCCCGACCTCCCTCCGCCATGTCCCCTCCCTTGCCTCCTTCTCGAGGAGATGTGATAAGGCGCTATATAAAAAAAATGCAAGGATTGTTGTTCTAGTGGGATTCTACCATGTTAAGGACAGGAGGATATTTGATACCTAACATTGTGCCATACCACCCACACTGTAACTTCTGAATTTTGTTTCCCAGGAAAGCTGGGTGCCCAGTGGGCCTTGGATGACGTCCTAATTGGGATGAATGACAGCTCGCTCACTGATTTCCAGGACGCCTTCAATGATTCCACTGACCTGCAAACCAACTGGTACAGAATTCAAGGGGGTCGAGTGGACCAGTACTGCCTCTCAAAGGACACAGCACTGTTTTTCAGCGCTGATATTGGTAGGTACCAGAAACTGAAGTATTCTCTGAGGGACAGTGAGAGCACTAATGGCGATGACCCCACAAATCAAGATGGGCTGTCTGGTAATTGTGACATGACTGGGCTGAGGTGACAGGTTCATTGTAATCAATGGTAGAATCATCTGAGCTGTCAAATTAACACAATACAATGCAAATTACGTAGTGTCTTTCATGTCAGATGGATGTCGCAAAACCCTTTACACAGTTGGCAAGGCACCTGAGCTGGGGGAAGCTGAAGAGGCTGGGGGTAGGGGAAAGATGACCGAAAACATGGTCAAAGAGGTTTAATCAGCCGGATATCTGACACATGCGGAAACCGATCACCGTGCTTAAGAGTATCCAAACCAACCTGAGAATTCCGTGTATCCCACCTACACGCGGAAATTCCAGATTTCGTTTAAAAAAAACAGAAATGAAATCTCAACGGAGGAAGATCCCAAGAGATAGAGAGAGGGTTGTCCTTCCAGATTCCTGAGGAATCCTGTTTGAAGTTTCTGGGTTTTACATCCAACAATCTGAATTATGGAGAATTATTATTATTGTAATGGTTTAGATCACTGCAATGATTTCACGTCGCGGTGGGGTGATCCTAGTGGGAACCCTGTGTATGGTTGTGGGAATTTCATCTCTGGATTTGCCTACCTCTATGACCTGCTAACCCCATACCGGCCTGACTGCTCCCTCCGCTCGGCGGACTCTGGTCTTCTCCACGACCCCTGCCCAGCCTGCTCCACCATCAGCAGTCAGACCTTTCTGCCCCCACCCTCTGGAGCTCCATCCCACAGTCCCTCCGCCTCGCCCCCTTCCTCTCCTCCTTCAACGGCTGACTCAAGACCCTCCTCTTCGACCGAGCCTTCGTTCACCCTCCTACCCCTACCCTCCCCGCCCTCCGCCCCTCCAGATCGCAACCCCCAGCTCGGGTGCAAATCCTTGACTGTCCAGTGCTTTGGGACGTCCTCCCCAAAGACGCTGCGTAAATGTAATTTGTTGTTGTCGTTGGTTGTATCTTCCAGGTAAGCCCCGTTTTGCGGAGACGTGGGACTTCCATGTCACTGTCTCCAGCTTCCTGCAATTTGACCTGAACCTGGGCTGTGGGAGTCATTCCCCGGATTCACACGGCATCGAGCTGCAGTACTCTCTGAACACAGGCAAAGACTGGCACCTAGTGATCGAGGAGTGCGTTCCCCCAAGCATCGGCTGCCTGCATTACACAGAGAGCTCCGTCTACACCTCACAGAGGTTCAAAAACTGGAAACGAGTCACTGTTTACTTGTCTCCAGGAACCATGTAAGCCATTAGTCTGGTTTCAATGAGATTTACCTCTGAAACTGGAAGGAACAAAGTCTTACATTGTGAACTGAATAGGCACAAAAATTAAATGGTACCTCTAAAGAGTTGTAGATGCTGTTCAGGTCATCATACAAAGGAATTTACCAGCCATTTGGAGGTAAATTGTATCCTCCAGGTAGAGTCTCTTTTCACGCAAAGGGTAGTGAAATATCTGGAACTCTCTCCCCAAATTCCATTCAAATTTTCAAGACTGAGTTGGATAGATTTTTGTTAAGTCAGGGTATTGAGGGATATGGGGCAAAGGCGGGTAATTGAAGTTGAGGTACAGATCAGCCATTAATAGACAGGTGGAAACAGGCTCGAGCGGCTGAATGGTCTACTCTTGTTCCTATGTCATGAAGTTCCAAAATTCCACCTAGTTTTGCCTATAAGGCCATTTTGACTTAAAACGTATTGAAATTCAACTTTTTTTTTGCAAAAATGTGAAAAGCATTTTACTTCATCCAAAGTAAGACTGAATTTAAGAATTTTCTGCAAATATCCATGATCTTACATATTAAGATGAAATGGTCTTACAGGCTAAATGCCAGGTGGAATTTCAGGCCTCTGATCTACGCTGCTGTGATCAATAATAATAATTATAATAATAAAAATAATAATAGTAATAACCCTTGCATTTGATATCGTGGCTTTCACATCAGGAAGCCGTTTCACACTGCTTCACAGGATTTACTGTAAAATGTGCATTTCGAATCAGAACACAGCAATCAATTGACACACAGCAATGTTCCACAATGATGGCAAATCTGCTAAAATGTGCGCTTTTACCCCATTGCGGTTCAATTTCATTTTAGAATGAAACATGATAAAAAGGGACCCCGCCAATGGTTTAGTGGGCAACTGCACTGTATAGTGTGGTACTGAGCCAGGCAGACCAGTGAGGTACCAGGCTGAATGCCTGCTTTGGGCTGAATTAGATGATTTCAAGAGAGCGTCAGTGGGAGCATTGGCTTCGGTGACGATGGGCTCAATAACATAATATTAATCCTTGCATTTGATATCATGTCTATAAAATCAAAGGTCTCAAAAGTACCTCATAAATATTTTCTATCAAGCATAATATCTGTGCACTTGTGGGAGAACACATCATAGAGCTCTGTAGATCCCCGGCATTGTTCTGTGATCTCTTCTTCTCTGGTTCTAGCCTCTGGTGATTCCTATGAAAAAACGAAAAGAAAAATGTTTCTGACAGAACATATTTGCGAGGCTGAAGATTAATCCTATTCATGTTTTATTGTCCATTTCATAAATCAAATGTTCAGTTTACGAATGTTAACAATGATTTTTTTTAAAAAGAGAAAACACCTAGGTTCATTGACTTCTGTTGGTGTATAATTAGTTCCCCTAGGACACGATTCAGATGGATTCAAACTGAATACACTTATGGGACTGATAACTGGGCCATTGATAACGTGATCCTAGCCTCTGGATGTCCCTGGATGTGTTCCGGCCATGGCATTTGTGACATAGACCGCTGTATGTAAGTACAACAACATTGACCCTGTCATTTCACTGCTCCTGCGATGAATTTGATATATAACAATCCTTGCAGTTGATATAGCGCCTGATCACGTCGTTGAGAAGTCTCAAAGCTCTTCACAGGATGTACTGTAAAGTGAAGTGACTGTATATTTTGTGGGCAAAAAGCAGAAGCCAATTGGCACAGCAGTGTCCCACAAACAGTCATGGATTGAGTGACCAAATTATTATTTCTTTAAGGGATTATTATCCCCGGAAAGCGATCCGCCAATCGACTAACAACCGGGTTCCTACCTACTGCTAAATAAGCGGAGACATGTGGAGTAAGGAAACTTGCCTAAGCTTTCGCCACACCTGGGAATTGAATCTGGGTTCTCTGGCTTGCGAGGCGAGTGCTCTAACCAATACGCTATGGGACTCCACAGGGCATCACGGTCTACTCTGGTCTAAAGTGAATGTGAATTTAATCTGATACTACATTAGCTCGAAACAGATCAAGAGGAAATTCATTACAAATAACAAAGTGGGCATTAACTGTTGATTAGTACAGGCCACGACCGAAGTACTGTATTCCCAAACGGACTTACTAATTAAAGTGACTCCCCTGCTTCATTATTGCTATTAAATAAGGGCTCGGTGCATCACGCTCCAATTATGAGGCAATGGGTTTCTGACTAGATTGCACATGTAAATTATTAATGAGACCATCTTCGTTTCCACGGGTCGACCAGTGCCAGCGCAGCACAGGATCAGTCTGCCATCAGCAGTCTCATTTGAAGAGCTGCTTGTCGTTTCTTAACAATTTATGCTCTCGTCAGTCAAGCAATTCAGGAGGATTTGTAAGTGAGGGGCCACAGAGTTGTTGTGATTTGTGAATCACAGTGATGTACCAACACATTACTCTCATCATTATGGCTCTCTTTTATCCAATAGGTTTTTTAAAAAAAAACTTTCTACCCACTTGCTCTTCTTCTCCCACAAGCACATGCAGAAAAATAATAATAATCCTCACATTTGATACAGCAACTTATCACGTCGTCAAGATGTCTCAAAGCGCTTTACAGGACACACTGTGATGGTGTGACTGCGCACATTTTGCGGGTTTCTTCCCTTCCCAAGTGTCAGTCTCCCTTTCAAATATCTCAATTGAATTTGCCTCTCAGGCCTTCTCGGATTGAGGTTACAATGACGGCTTTTCACAGCAGGATTCACAAATAGCGACTCGGATTCGCAGATGGGGTAAAAACAGTAACACAAATGCATCATCCTCAGCTCACTAGATCCCCACTGCGAAGCACTGACCGGGGATCAATCAAATTGAACAGAGAGGTCAAGGATGGTGGAGGGGGTGAAAGGGGGGAAACAAAGGAGACAGTTTGTGACTCTACAACAACAACAACGTGCATTTATTCAGTGCCCGACATGCAGGGCTGTGGTGGCCCCACTTTACAGGGTTGGGGTTGGATGCTGTAGAGACGAGGCCTGAGGTGCGATCGAAGAGGTGGGATTTGAGGTGGGAAAGACAGAAAGAGAGGAGGGGGCAAGACAGAGTGGTAGAGGGAGGGTGTTCCAGAGGTGAGTAGAGAAGGAACTGAAGGCTCGGCCACTGATGGTGACGCAGAGAAGACCAGAACAACAACAACTTGCATTTATATAGCGCTCTCCGTGCAGGGGAGCGCCCCAGAGCGATTGACAGTGGCGGAGCACGATGCCGAGCCGGGGGAGGTGACCATAGACACGGTCAAAGAGAGGTCTTCAGGCATGACCTAAAGATGGGGAAGAAAGGGGCAATGTGGAGAGATAGAGGAAGAGTTTTCCAGAGTTTCGGGGCATAGTGGCTAAAGGCACAGCCACCACCAATGGTTGAGGGCTTGAGGGACCTGCAGTACAGGAGTGCCTGAGCAGAGGAGTTGGGTAGGAGAGGATTGGAAAGATTGGGTTGGGCCAGGGAATTAGATGGATTTGTTGGTGAGCCTACTTTAGCCAGAAGAGCCTCCATTAAGTGAGCTTGTCTGCTTATGCTGCTCCTCGTCAATTCTCGATTCTATTTCTGTTGGTTACAAGAGTACTTATCCTCAAGTTGTATCTGAGCTCTCTGCGTGGAATCAATAGGGAGGGAGGGAGAGAGAGAGAGAGAGAAAACACAAAACTCCAAGAGGCTGGAATTGCAGCTGCCGTTAGGAAATTAATTCCGTAAGTCACAACGGGCTTTTTTTGAGAACTGAGTGATTGAGTGCTGTTGAGGACAGGATGGAAAGATTGCAACAAAAGATAGTTTTTTTTAGTTGATTCAAGCCTGTCAATGATTCTTGCTTTGCCTTTGTTAGTGAAGGTTCCTGGGGAGACAAATGCAGCAGGTGCTCCACTTTCAGAGGCAGGCACAGCCCTGTGGCTGGAATAGAAATAATAATAGTAATAATAATATTAATAACAGCGTCCCATCATGTCATTCAGACTCTTCAAAACACCTCACAAAAAAACACTGTAACGTGAATTGACTGCATATTTTGTGGTGAGCCAAACACGGCAGTCAATTGCGGACGGCAGTATCCCATAAACAGTCATGGATTCAGTGACCAAATAATTTTAATTATTTATTTATTTTGAAGGGATTATTATCCCCAGAAGGCAATCCGCCAATCGACTTAACAACCAGGTTCCTACTTAATGGTAAACTGAGGTGTGTGGAGTAAAGAAACTTGCCTAAGGTTTCGCCCTGCCTGGGAATCGAACCGGATAAATCTAAATGCAAGTTGTTGTTGTTGTTTATGGCCCAACCGTTTGTTGTGCATTTGCAGTTACTGACGTGCATTCCCTTTCCTTTCAGCTGTGACAGTGGCTTTGGAGGACGTAACTGTGTGCCCATTCTGCCATTGCCTTCCATTCTGAAGGATGACTTCAACGACAAGCCACACACTGACCTCTGGCCTGAAGTCCTCGGAGGGGAGAGAGGGAATCTGAACGGGGAAATCATCAAATCTGGATCAGCATTAATCTTTAAAGGGGTCAGAAGTCTATTATTGTTAAGTGAACTGCGGCAGAGAGATTTATGTACAGAAATAATTTGTCCTGTCACACAATTTCTTCCACACCGAACAGCACTGAGATTACAATGAGAGGTGATAACATTGCCAGCACTCGTTAGCATTCACATCACAGTGCAAAGTGCTAACACTACACAGTCCACAAAGTCAATAACGCCTTATAATTCCCAAACGTTTGTGGCTGTGCAACGTGTCAGTTCAGTGTCCTGAGGCCAGGCTCGGGAGAGGTGAGATACGTTCAGAGAGAGTCACTGAAAGTTTACTGCACAGAAGGAGACCATTTGGCCCAGCGCTAATGGGCTCTCTCATCCCTCCCTCCAGGGAGAGAGAGTGAGCATCCCATTCCAACAATCTGTCTCTGGGATTTCCATGTGTAGATGGGATGCATGGAATTCTCAGTTTGGTTTGGATACTCTTAAGCACAGTGATGGGCTTCCACATGTCAGGCATGTGTCTTTCCAAACTATCCCAGACTCCCATAGGAGGAAAAATACCCACTCAGGTTTTGCCTCAAATTGTTTCCAGTACAAGCAGGGTCCAGGCTGTCTGTGCAACGTGAGATCAGTTACTCTCGACTGTAAATCTGAGCTGCTTTTACCTGCTCTGATGCAACCTAATGTCCTGCTAACACGACACTCTCTCAGCAGGTCATTTGTCACTAGTGAACCTGCACTTTACTGACACAAAGAGCCCTTGTTGGCGTTCTTGTGACTGGAGGTAGTGACAGATCCTGAGAGCAGCGCGTCTCCGGGCACTGACCTGTGATGACAGTCATTGACTCAAACGAATAATAATATTAATAATAACAATAATCCTTGCATTTGATATAGCTCCTTATCACGTCTGTGAGACTTCTCAAAGCGCTTCACAGAATATATTGTAAAGTGAATTGATTGTGGCAGCCAATTGCGCACAGCAGTGTCCCACAAACAGTTGCGGATTGAGTGACCAAATTTTTTTTAAGGGATTATTTCCCCCGGAAAGCGATCCGCCAATTGACTAACAACTGTGTTCCTATTTACTGCTAGATAAACAGGGATGTGTGGAGTAGGAAAATTTGCCTAAGATTTTGTCCTGCCCGGGAATCAATCCCTGGTCCTCTCGCTTGCGAGGCAAGTGCTCTAATCACTAGGCTACAGGACTCCACAAGCCTTTTAATACTGATCTACACACCCGTTGGCAAAATGCAACATAATATTAACAGCTCAGACTTATTGAGCAGTGCTTTATATACAACGTGTAAACTATAGCTCACTTCTAATCGTCCTTTTAACTAGAGATAGGTGGGATTATTGAGGGCATTGTAAAGAAAAGGGAATATATTCCTTCGGGCACTACAGAAAGATTGCCACTTCAAAATGAGCGTCCAAAATCTAATAAGCCTTGAGCTTTTTAGTTGTTAAATAAATGAAGTAGGTGACAAAGCTATTTCTTATTAAGAAATCTGTAAAGAAATACTGCAAATTAGATCTCTATGTCGCATCTAATCGATTCCTATGCCTTAAAGACTTTATTTATTAAAATATTCCTGATACTCCATTGCAGTTCAGAGATGAGACGTTAAACTGAGGTCCCATCTACCCATCAGGAGGTCATTGAAGGTCCCATCGCACTGTTGGAATTAAGAAGGGAGGTTTTCCCAATGTCCTAGACAGCAACAACAACTTGTATTTATATAGCGCCCTTCACATGGGGTAGTGTCCCAGCTTCACAGTGGCAGAGACTGACCCCGAGCCAGGGGGAGAGGGAGGTGACTGTAAGCACAATCAAAAAGGAAGGTCTTTAGTTGAGGAGGGAGGGGGAAAGGTGGAGGGATTCAGGGAGGGAGGCCAGAGCTTCGGGGCATAGTGGCTGAAAGCAAAGCCACCGATGGTGGAGCGGAGGGAGCGAAGGACAAACAGGAGGCCGGAGGCAGTGGGTGGTGGAGTGTGGGTAAGCAAATCGGATAGGTAGGGAGGTGTGAGGGCATGAAGGGATTTGAAAACGAGTGAAAGGATCTTGAAGTCAATCTGTTCGGTAATTTAGGAGCTAATAGTGAGCCATCAGCACTTCAGATAAATTGGCCGTTCACTACAAGGCTGGTGTGCACAAATTGCCTGCCACATTTACCTACAACTACACCGTCAAACACTTGACAATAATTTCCTGTGATGTAGTTTTGAGACATTTTTATGTTATATGTGCTTTTTCAAAGGCGAGAATTATTATTGTTATATTTATTCTTCGTGCAATCTCAGGTTTGAAAGCTCACTGACCAATCGCACTTTGAAAGAAGGGACCTGAGCAAAGCTTTGGCACAGTTTGTACAGTCTTTAACCTATTCACAAAGCTGTTTGTGTCTTGCAGGATCGCCTCAGGATGTTGGTTTCCCGGGATCTTGAGTGTACCAATACCTTGTACATTCAGTTTTCATTCAAGTTCATTGCAAAAGGTCAGTTGCTTTACTTTCTTCCAAATGTTCTAATACAGTATAAACAAAAAATCCATTGCGTTTTTTTTGGTCAGTCAGGTGTCTGACCCATGCGGAAATCCATCACCGTGCTTAAGAGTATGCAAACCAAGCTGAGAATTCCATGCATCCCAAACCTGCACATGGAAATCCCAGAGATAAATTGTTGGAATGCAATGCGCACTGTCTCCCTGTAAGTATCCCACTTACCTAATTCTGGAAAGTATTAGGCGCAGTTTGGAAAGAGCTAAAGCTTGGAGACACCGGGTTATTTTAGATTATTGAGAGCTAAAACTACATACGACTCTCAAAACACAAAATACTGCAGATGATGGAAATCTGAAAAGAAAAACAGAAGTCCCTGGAACACTCAGCAGGTCAGGCAGCATCTATGGAGAAAACAAAGTGAGTCAATGTTTCGGGTCCACGACCCCTCATCAGAAAAATAATCGCACTTTAAAAGTGACTCACTTTCGTTGACTCACTTTCCTATAACTCTCAGTCTGGTTAGGATAATCTTAAGCATGGTGATGGTTTTCCACATGTGTCACACATCAAGCTACCAGAAATAAAACCTACGTGATGTCAAGGATTGAAACAGTTCTAGTTGGGAGCACAGGCCAGCTAATGTAGAATAAGGATGATGATCTCAGCTGACAACAGATAAATATGGTCATTCCGCAATTGAACTAAGATGGTTTTATTTCTGGTAAAACTGGTCCAGTCCACACATTCCTCCATATTAATCCACGAGGGTAAGATTGTGTTTGAAAACAAGTCAATTAATTTCAATTTTCTTGGTGAGGAGAGTGCAGTCCCAAGGGTGTTGTGCTGCTATTCCAAGATGCTCACCACTGATTAATGTAATGTGTTCCATACAGAGTTCTTAGACTAATAACTCATTGTAGCTCACACACACACACACACACATATTTTAATTAGATGTGGGCTCGGGATTCAGGCCAGACACTGCCATGACAGATTGCTGTTATCTTGACTTTGTCCTTCCTCGAAGAAAAATCGAAGGGAGGTTTACAGAATTGCCCTGTTTCAAGATGTCGTGTTCAAAAGTAGGTGCATCCATAAATAAACACTGGATTGAATGGGCCGCAAAGAAGAATGTCCAGCGCAGAAATAGGCCATTCAGCCCAATTTATCCTCCACATGAGTCAAAAATAAGTGTCCAATATGGGACACCAACCCACAACCCTGAGATTAGGAGTCTCATCTTCTAATGACCGAGCTACCAGAGAATAGTCCACTGAATCCTTTAGTAATGTCCACCTTAGTAATGACAAAACTCTACTATTTCCTCTTATTTGAATCCATTTCCTACTCCCTCTGTTTTAGGTATCGTTTCCCCCACCACCACACACATGTCATGCACAGTACCTAGCCTTATTCTCCACACCTCTGTTTATCGAGCAGTAAGCAGGAACCCAGAAGAAATAATCCCTCCCCCCAAATATTGGGCCACTCAATCCGCGACTGTTTGTGGAACACTGCTTTGCACAATGTGGCTGTCGCCAATTTGACCTCAAAATACAGTCAATTTGCTTTACAATATATTCTGTCAAGCATTTTGAGACACAGTAAGGCGCTATACCAAATGCAAGGATTATTATCATTATTATTCAGGTGTCTGTGTTTTCAGGTATTTTCCCAATATCTTTCTCGGTCACTTTCTGAGGTAAAGGGGTGGTGTTGGGCAAGCTGGCTCCTCAGAGAAGAGCCAGTTTGTCCAACACCACCTCTTTACCTCATGACCACGATGATCCTTCAAATCTAACTCTTTGAACGACAATGGCCAACTCCCCCAATACCTCTCTCTTTACGGCATCCAATCCAGTCCTTGTAAATACTCTGAGACGATGCCCTATGTGAACAGCTCTATATAAATGCAAGTTGAAAATCATGTGGCGTTCAAGTATGTGATGCACTGTAATACACTACATTATTAATAATAAATAATAATAATTCTTGCATTTGATATAGCTCTTTATCACATTGTCAAAGAGCTTCACAGAACATACTGTAAAGGGGATTGACTGTGTATTTTATGGGCAAAACTCGGCAGTCGATTGCACACAGCAGTGTCCCACGAACAGTCAGGGATTGAGTGACCAGTCAATCCACGACTCTCAATAATCAGATCACTATGTACTGCAAAATAATAGATGTAAAGGATGCTTCAGGAGGACTCTTTCATCACCTGTTTTCATGTAACACAAAACACAGCCCCTGGATAACAGTAACTCAGCACAAATTGTCAAGTCAAGACGGTGAGATTGATTTGTTTTGATTCAGCTGTTTGAGGAGCTTTGCAGCTTTAATCGACTGAAGCTGAAAATCTCAAGCTACTGACTGAAGGGTCCTTAGCGATGCTCTTGATGTATCTATTATAACCTTGTACCAATGTGAGACACTTGATGTCCAACGTGCTGTGGTTGCTTCATAAGGGATCTAAGCGGGTTCTCTTTCCAGTATCCGGGAATGTCCCAACAACAACATATTGCATTTACACAGCGCCTTTCACATCGGGAGGGTATCCCAAAGACAATCGACTAACCACCGGGTTCCTACTTACTGCAAGGTAAACAGAGGCATGTGGAATAAGGGAGGACAGTCGAAGATTTGCACCTGAGCTGGGATTTGGAATCAGGAGGGGTGGAGGGCAGGGAGGGTTGGGGGTAGGAATGACCAAAAGCACGGTAAGAGAGGAAGATCTTGAGACCGGCCCTTGAAGGGAGCAAGGGAGGTGGAGGGATTCTGGGATGGAGTTCCAGAGAGTGGGGACCAATGGTGGGTGGGACAGGGTGAGGACGTGGAGCAGGCCAGTGTCTTTCCAGCGGAGGGAGCGGGCAGGTTGTTAGGGTTTTAGTAGGAGTAGGTTATGTCGGAGGAATGTTCCCATCAGTCCGTGTGATGTACTTCCGTCTTCCCTGTTAAGGAATTCCATTAGAAATTACCACACGCTCGACCCTAATTTCAGCTGAACATGAGGAGCTACACAGCTGGGAGTCCACCAGTGATAGAACTATTGGGCTGGCAGTTGCCTCGGAAGGGATCTGCTTGGTTTCCAGCAAGTTTCACAGTTGCTCCAACTGAGGGGTTAATTGGTTCTTCAGGGCATCCAAGCTACGGCTGTAACAAATTGGACTTTTGTTTTAGCGTTATTTCTATGTTAAATGGCAACTTGTAGTCTAAGCTGAAGCTCCAATGCAGTGCTGGGGGGGGGGTGGTGGTGTTATATTGTCGGAGGCGCTGTCCATCAGATGAGACGTTAAACCAAGATCCTGTCTGCCTGTTAAGGTGGACATTAAAATCCCATGGGCACTATTCGAAAAGAGAAGGGAGTTCTTTCTAGTGTCCTGACCAACAATCCCACCCCCACCCCAAATAAAATTGATCATTCGTTTCATGGCTATTTGTGGGACATTGTTGTGCTCAAAATTGGTTGCTGCATTTGCCCACAAATACACAGCCACTCCACTTCACAGTAAATCCAGTGAAGCACTTTGAGATGTCCTTCCTATGGGATGAGGCACTATACCAAATGCAAAGATTTAGGGTGCGTTGTGTGAATTACACTCGCGCTGGTTTGATTGTTCCCCTATTTTATGCTTCGCCTCAGAGGTTCCAGACAGGTCGCACTCCATCCTGCTGCAATATTCCATCAACGGTGGCATTACCTGGCATTTGATGGACGAATTCTACTTCCCTCAGACCACCGAAGTCCTCTTCATTAACGTGCCCTTACCACACACAGCCCAGACCAACGCCACCAGGTTCCGTCTCTGGCAGCCACACAACGACGGTAAGCATCGGCACTCTCACCTCAACCCCCTGGTTTTACTCTGGAAGAGCTCATATTGCAGTGTAAATGAATTGGATCAATTTATCGAGACACTTAACCAATACAGTCGGACCATGCAGCCTTCACACAGATGCAGCTTTTCCCTCTTTCCATCAGTTGGGAGACAACATGTTACACCTCTATAGAGTTCCTATGCCTTGGGAAATCGATAGGTGCTTAAAAAGGAAAAATTTGCAGAGCTATGGGGTAAGAATGGGGGAGTGGGACTAGTCGGCTGGCTCTTTCCGAGAGCCGTCACAATGGGCCGACTGGACTCCTTCTGTGCTGCATGGTTCTGTGATTTCCAACATGGAATAGGCCAGCCCTCTCCTGGCCCAGTAAAGATTTTCATTCTAAATAGCATTCGATTGAAAACGGGAGCGTCAGACAAGCATGTGGTAAACACGTTTAAACATGGTTGTATCCTCTGCAAAAGGCTTCCCTTCAGGTGAAATAATTTGAAAGCCACATGTTTAGCAATTGCCAGTTGATATTCTCTGCTGTTCTCCATGACTTAATAGTAACAATAATTATCCATTAAGATTGTGCCAGAATTATCGAGGTGGTACATTGCGTGGATTTGAAACCAAACTCTAGTCTGTTGCTCATGTCAATATCTAAGCACCATTGTCACTTGTCGGATAAAACAATCTCACTTCTTAGAAACAGAAACTTGTGCAAAAAAAACATCGGTGAATAAAAACCTGAGTGAGAACAGAGTCAGACAGGCAATCCTGTCAAATGTATAGGACTGAAAGCTAAATTAGAGCATTTATTTAAAACCGTTCGATACGTCTTGACTCTAGAGATGAGCTTGCACTGACCAGACATGTTTCTGTTTTAACTACAAAGGGAATAAGGAAGAAATCTGGATTATAGACGACCTGATTATCGATGGGAATAACATACAAAATCCTGGTATTCTGTTGGATACGTTCGACTTTGGACCGAAAGAGGAAAACTGGCTCTTCTACCCAGGGGGAAACATTGGGCTGTACTGTCCCTACGCATCAAAGGGAGTAGCGTAAGAAATTAAAGCTTTTTTTGTATGGATTAAAACATTCATAATGCCTTGCATGATACATAATAATAATAATAATCCTTGCATTTGATATAGCGCCTAAGCACCTCGTTGAGATGTCTCAAAGTGTTTCACAGGATATACGGTAAAGTGAATTGACTGTATAGTTTATGGGCAAGACCTGGCAGCCAATTGCGCACAGAAGTGTCCCACAAACAGTCGAGAATTGAGTGACCAATTTATTATTATTTAATTTTAGTGATTGCTGTATAATGGGACCCACACACAGACACTCACGCACATACAGTTTTCGGTGGGTGGTTTCTTGTTGGGTGACTGCATTTTTGGGGATTACGCTTTGACGTTTTTGGGTTGTGTTTTCTCCAATGTGAAGGGAGGAGGATTCTGCCATGGTCTTTGTATCCAATGCAGTCGGAGAGCATTCCATCACAACACGCGATCTGGACGTTAACGAGAATACCATTGTTCAGTTTGAGGTAAGTTCCTGCTATTAGGCTTTTGCCCCATATCCCCAACATTTCGATTTACTGTATTTTACTTTCTTTGGCGCACGGTTCCACTCTTCATAGGATGCTTGTTGGGTGGTTCAAAGTTGAGAAAAGGATTTAAGGCTCTTACAATGGCTCAACCACTGCCTCAGTTGATTTTATTTTTGGTCTTGTGCCCTTTGCTTGCTGATCTTAGGCAGGACAGTAATTAGAACAAATTGCATTGATATAACACGTCATGAGGACGTCCTAAGGCACTAGACAGGAAGGGATTTGCATTCGACCTGTTGGGATCAGAGAGGGGTGGAGGGCAAGTGGGGGGCGGGGGCTGAAGGAGGTTAAGAGACCAAAGGCACGGTCGAAAAGGAAGGTCTTGAGGAGGTCTTGAAGGAGGCAAAGGAGGGAGCGAGGTGGAGGGATCAGGAGGGGTGGAGGGGCGGGGTAGGCATGATCAAAGAGGAGGGTCTTGAGACAGGTCTTGAAGGAGGCGAGGGAGGGGCGGTGAGGTGGAGGGACTGTGGGATGGAGTTCTAGAGGGTGGGGACAGAGAGGCTGAAGGCCCAACCACCAATGTTGGGGCAGGCAAGGTGGGGGACACTAACCCTAAGAATGGAGTTCCAGAGGGTGGCAGCAGAAAGTCTGAAGGTCTGACCGCTGACAGATTGGTGAAGTTTTAGTAGGTCACAGAGGTAGGGCGGAGCAAGACCGTGTTTTAGGGTTTTATAGATGAGGACAAGGATAGACTGCTACAGAGAAGCAAAAGAATATCCAAATTCCTACTCTTATCTCTTGAGTCGAGCCATTGTTGCCCTTCCACCGAAACAATGTGGTGAGGATTTATTTGTCTGCTATTCTTGGCCCACACACTGTAAGGCTCTCCTGATGAATAAGGAGAGATTACGATAAACTTTGTTACACAGAGGATGGTGAGAACATGTAACTCGCTGTCAGACGCAGTGGTTAAAGCAGAAAGCATCAACGCATTTAACAGGAAACTTGAGGGATATAGGAGTGAGAAGGGAATTGGGGGTTATGGGAGGGGGATAGAGGATTAGGAGAGGTAGCGTATAAACTAGAGTATAATTTGTACCAATATAATCTAACTCATCTTGAGTCTAAACACTGGCAGGGACGAGTTGAACCAAATGGACTGTTTCGGTGCTAAATGTAATTCTACCTGATAGACAGCTGTCCTGATCAGCCTGGATCATTCTCGTTTCCCTTCTGCTTTCAGATCAATGTGGGATGCAATATGGACAGTTCGGCCCTGGATCCCGTCCGGCTGGAGTTCTCGAGGGATTTCGGAGCCACGTGGCACTTGCTGCTCCCTCTGTGTTACAGCAGCGGGCACATCAGTGCACTCTGCTCCACTGAGCTGCACCCCAGCAGCACCTATTACGCTGGCACCACCCAGGGCTGGAAGAGAGAAGTCATCCACTTCGGAAGGCTCCATCTCTGTGGGTGAGTTCCACTTGCACAAAACAGGAGTAATAACAACAACAACAACTTGTATTTGTATGGTGCCCTTCAACCGGGGTTAGTGTCCCCCACCTTGCCTGCCCTAACGTTGGTGGTCGGGCCTTCAGCCTCTCTGTCCCCACCCTCTAGAACTCCATCCCACAGTCCCTCCACCTCGCCCCCCCCCTCCCCCCACCTCCTTCAAGACCTGTCTCAAGACCGTCCTCTTCGATCATGCCTACCCCGCCCCTCCACCCCTCCTGATCCCAACCACCAGCTCGGATGCAGATCCCTGACTGTCCAGCGCCTTGGGAAGTCCTCCTGACATGAAAAGCACTGTACTAATGTAATTTGTTGTTGTTGCTGTATCTTATTCCTGTAGCTCTGTGAGGTTCCGATGGTACCAAGGTTTCTACAGGATGGGCTCCCAGCCAGTGACCTGGGCCATTGACAATACCTACATTGGACCCCAGTGTGAGGAGATGTGCAATGGGCATGGCAGCTGTATCAATGGCACAAGGTGCATCTGTGACTCCGGATACTCTGGACCTACCTGCAAAACCAGCTCCAAGAACATCGACTTTCTGAAGGGAGAGTTTCAAGGTACCGTGTTGAAGAATAAATATAGTGACTTCTTCCCAATCCTGACGTGTCCCAATCCTAACATGTGCTTCCCCAATCGTAGAAACGCTGGGGTAAAAATTTTGTTAAACATGACCAGGTAATGTTTTAATTACCCACTGGTCTGCAATTGCAACCTCTTCCGCCACTGGGGGTTGTGCCATAGCCAGCTACACATTGGACTAAAAACAGAAGTCGCTGGGAACACGCAGCAGGTCAGGCAGCATCTATGGAGAGAGAGGAAAATGTGTTAACGTTTCAGCAGCTTTCTATACCACCTTATCAAATCGTAGCTCAAGTAACACATCATAGGTTCCATTAACACATTGTGGGTTGCAATTTTCACTTGCAAGATCATAAGAGAGGTTGCAAGAAAGAAAAAAAACTTTGGCCCATCTGATCTCATCATTCTTGAACACCCACCACCCCCGGCCTCCAAGTTTAAACGAGTCCAGCATCCTGATGTCAACCACGCTTCCTGGTAACCTGTTCCAGTTGCTAATCACTCTTTAGGTACAGAAATCCATCCCAGTGTCTGTCTATCTGTCTGTCTGTCTGTCTGTCTAAAAGTAACCCAGAAAATGACGGGGCGTTTGCAGCACATCAGAAGGCTGCTGGGCTCACCGTGTCTAATCTCACATGAACACCTCATGTTGATCTTTCAGGCCCAGTGGAGCCAGAGAAATTCCTGATGTTGAGCGGTGGGAAGCCCTCCAGGAAATGTGGCCTAATGTCCAGCGGAAACAGCCTGTTCTTCAGTGAAGAGGGACTGCGAATGCTGATGACAGTCGAGATGGATCTGTCTCAAGCAAGGTATAACTTTCACTGTGTTCTCTTCTTACTGTGTTTATAGTGGAGTCCCATAGCGTAGTGGTTAGCTCGCTTGCCTCACAGGCCGAGATGATCCAAGTTCAATTCCCGGGCGGGGAGAAGCCTTAGGCAAGTTTCCTTATTCCACTGGCCTCTGTTTACCTAGCAGTAAGGGATGTAGTTAGTTGATGGTAATAATATCTCCAAGAATAAAAAATATATTGGCCACTCAATCCACCAATGTTTGTGAGACACAGTTGTGCGCAATTGGCTGCCGAGTTTTGCCCCCAAAGTATGCAGTTTACAATATATTCTTGTATAACGCTTTGAGACGTCTCAATAACACTACATTAAACGTAAGGATTATTATTATTTTATTGTCATTTCCCAACCGAGGCTTTATTTGCACCCAAATAAAACACCAGCAATTGTGAACAATCCCTGAACCTCACAGTTAACGAACCCCACTTCTCTTTTGCTTCTACCACATCCCTTCATCCCTCCACCCTGAGCTCAGGCTCTGAAAGCTCTTCATCATTCCGCTCTTTCATCCCAGCAGAAGCAGAAATAATTGTTTTCCTTCCTGACGCGAGAGACGGTATCAATCACCAAACAGTAGGAAACACAAGACCTCCATTCCTGCTCCAACCTCAGCTCCCCCCTTCCACTGTGGTACTTTGTTGAGCTGCGCTGTGATGAATTATTCCAAACCATCACACAAATGACTCCGAATTCACATTGGGGTGTCGCGGGAAACAACAGCCTTTTTTTTTCCTTTTGCATTTAATTACCAGGGGAAAACAGGGAGTCCTTGTGGTGCGCTGTCAGGAGCAAATTAATCTCTTGTCAGTTAACGCGATCTCCCAGGGGAGCAGAGAGGAAAAGCAGAGACAAAGAAACCTGAAGCATTGGTGCAGCCAAACAACTACAGGCTGACACTGTGTGTTACTTGGAGGTCTCAGTGCTTTCAACAACGAGGGGCAGTCAGACCTTTTCTCATTCCAGTCCACGGGACGGTGGTGGGGGGGGGGGGTGGTGGGGGGGGAATGTGCTTTTAATGAGATCTCATTATAAAAGCTTTTGGAATGTCAGGACTCCTCACGCTAGTAACTAAAGGAATTTAACGTCATACTAAGCAACACCTACACACCTTTCGCCGATAAAACCAAAGGAAACCTTTAAAACGCTTGACATGCAAGCGGCAGATTTCCTCTCTGTAAAAAAATTAATTTCTGTACAACACCATTCTCTGAAGTGCTAGAATTTCGCTTTTGCCTGAAATGCGTCGCCCGTGACGTTGCAAAGCGTTTCGTGACAGCTCAAATAATAAAAAATAATAATGATTATTGCATTGGATTTGGCGCCTTTCACGTCAGGAGGTTAATCTCGAGCCACAAGATTTACTGTAGTGCACAGTGACTGGGTATTTTGTACCCTAACATAATAATCCTTGCATTTGGTACAGCGCCTTATCACATGGGAAGGACATCTCAAAATGATTCACAGGATTTTACTGTGAAATGGAGTGACTGGATATTTATAGGCAAACGAGGCAGTCCAATTGCGCACAGCAATGTCCCACAAATAGCACTAGGATAAATAAAAAAAGTAAGCACTTGAGTATTATTGAGTATTATGAAGATTATTATGCCTCCTAGTGGATATTCACAAGAGTGCCACCTGTAATAGCTCACTTATGGCCCAAAGTATCTTTTCTTTCATTAATTATAATAATTATAATCCTTGCATTTGATATAGCGCCTTATCGGGTCTTTGATACGTCTCAAAGCGCTTCACAGATTATACTGTAAAGTGAATTGACAGTGTATTTGTGAGCGAAACGTGGCAGCCAATTACGCACAGCAGTGTCCCACAGTGTCCCAGTGACCAAATTATTATTAATATTATTTTTTGAAGGGATTATAACTCCCGAAAAGCCATCCGCCAATCGAAAACAACCTGAAGATCATTGCCTTAAAGTTTCAGATTGGGCAGAATTTTGGAAAAGTCTTAATTTGGAAGGCGGTTTTCCAAAGTTCTTAAAGAGACTTTAAAGCGTGTTTCTGGTGGCTGGAAAGAGCTCCACAATGTCACGGTGTCTTCTTTACTCTGCATCCCAGGGTTGAATAAGTGGGTAAATCACTCCCTCCAACATTTGCAATCTGTTTCTCTGAAGGGTCATCTAATAAAAGTTTATTTATAGAGAAGTTTCCTTAGGCAAGTTTCCTTACTCCACATGTCACTGCTTACCTAGCAGTAAGTAGGAACCCGATTGTTAGTCGATTGGCGGATCACTTTCTGGGGGTAATAATCCCTTTTAAAAAAATAATAATGATAATTTGGTTACTCGATCGACGACCGTTTGTGGAACACCTGCTGTGCGCAATTGGCTGTCGTGTTTCCTCCACAAAATACACCGTCTATTTACTTTACAGTACATTCTCTGAAGCGCTTTGAGACGTTTCAACAACATGATATCAAATGCAAGAATTAATATTATTATGTTAGTATTATTAATACTAAGAATTAATATTATTATTATCCTGAAGGATAACGTGTTAGTGTGTCAAAGTCAGCTGATTTCTTTGTTATTATTTCTGTGTTCAGGTTTGTCCAGTTCTTCCTCAGACTGGGCTGTGGCAAAGCATCCCCAGACCCGCGAAGCCAGCCCGTGCTTCTCCAGTACTCCCTGAACGGTGGTCTCAGCTGGGGCCTCTTCCAGGAGTTTCTCTTCAGCAACAACAGCAACGTTGGCAGGTACATCGCCCTGCACATCCCACTGAAGGCTCGGTCCTCGTCCACACGCCTGCGCTGGTGGCAACCATCTGAGAACGGACACTTTTACAGCCCCTGGGCCATCGACCACGTGAGTTCCCTTCGTACCTCAACAACGCACTGATAGCATCGTAGCATCCTACAGCACAGAAGGAGGCTGTGTCAAATGCGAGGATTAGTATTCTTGTTATTTTTACTATTGGGTCTCTACGCTCGTATAATCTAAGATGACACTCCAATGAGCTGCCGGGGCTGAGCTGCCTTGTGTCATCCAACAGATACATTAAACCGTGGTCAGTATGTAGAAACCTGGTTGTTAGTCAATTGGCAGATCACTTTTCTAGGGGTAATAATCCCTTCAAAGTAAACATATCAATAAATACATTTAATTTGGTCACTCAATCCGTGACTGTTTGTGGGACACTGTTGTGCGCAATTGGCTGCCGCGTTTCGCCCACAAAATATACAGTCAATTCATTTCACAGTGTATTCTTTGAGACGACTTGAAGACGTGAAAAGGATTCTCATTATTATTATTATTATTAATGTGCTGTACAGACCTGGACAACTCCCAGTCTGATGTCCGCAGTGTTGATCTCAGCACGAGCAACAATTGGGTGGTGGGGGATGGCGGGGGGTGGTGGGAATGGGGCAGAAGTTGCCCTGTGTGACTCTGGGATAAAAACAGCATCGCCCGCAAAATGTACAGCCCATTCACTTTACATGATATCATGCTTAACGTCGAACCAAACTTTTATCCTGTGATGTTAGTCGCCATGCTCTGAGCACTCTGTGCGTTCGTTACATGCTGAGAGTTATCTCTCTCTTTCTCTCTCTCTCTCTCCCTTTCTCGCTCTCTCTCTCTGGACAGATTGTGATCGGGGGGAGCATTACTGGCGACACAGTGATGGAGGACGACTTCAGCCGGCTGGACAGCAGGAAGTGGCTGCTCCACCCGGGAGGTACCAAGATGGCCGTCTGTGGCTCCAGCGGGGACTCCCTGGTGTTTATTGAGAAAGCCTACACTCGCTATCTGATCTCCACTGACGTGGTGGTGAACGAGGATTCCTTCCTGCAGTTTGACTTTGCCGCCTCCTGCTCTGTAACAGACTCCTGCTACAGTAGGTGCCTCTTTGATGATTTATTTATTTGTTTCTTTCTTTTTTGGGGGACGTGTCTGACACTTAAGAGCATCCAAATCAAGCTGAGAATTCCACGCATCCCACCTACACACGGAAATCCCACAGATAGGCTGTTGGAATGGAATGCGCACTCTCTCCCTGGAGGGACGTATCCTGCTGACCTAATTCCGGAAAGTATTAGGCGCAGGTTGGCAAGAGCCAAGGCTTTGAGGACCCCAGAGTGTCCGTTGGGGGTAACTGCTGGAGTCTAAGCAGCTAAACCACCATAGCTTGCGATTGAGCCTCAAGTCCTTCCATTCTGCCTCCAAACACAGCAAATTGCCATGATAATTAACTTCAGGATTAAATTATAATAATATTAATAATAGTAAACCTTGCGTTTGATATATAGCAGCTTATTATGTCTTCGAGACGTCTCAAAGAGCTTCATGGAATATACCGCAAAGTGAATTGACTGTGTGTTTTGCGAGTGAAACGCGGCAGCCAATTGCGCACGGCAGCGTCCCACAAACAGTCCTGGATCGAGTGACCAAATTATCGAACAGCCACGAATGTTACCTTGCAATGTCTTCTGTTTATTCAGCCGTGGAGCTGCAGTATTCGGTGGACTTGGGCCTGAGCTGGCATCCTCTGCTGAAGGATTGTCTACCCAGCAACGTGGAATGTAACAAATACCATCTGCAGAGGATCCTGGTATCAGATACCTTCAACAAGTGGTCCAGGATCACACTGCCACTACCTCCTTATACCAGGTAGGAGACCGGACCCCAGGTGCTCCTCCACACGTGACCCAGAGGGAGGGCAGGGAAGGTAGCGGTGGGAGGGTGGCCGAAAGCGTAGTCGTAGAGGAGGGTCTTGAGATGTGCCTTGAAAGAGGCGAGGCAGAGAGCGAGGCAAAGGGACTGCGGGATGGAATTCCAAAGGGTGGGGGCAGAGAGTCTGAAGGCCTGATTGCCAATGGTGAGAAATATCACCCAGGCCCCATACACCTGACCCACGCACCTCACATGTGACCTGCACCCCCACCCATGCACCCTACATATCATCCAGCCATCTAACCCCACCCCGTAACCCCACCCCCACACACACACACACACCACTACCCTAAATGATGTCCATGAAAACGTACCAGCAAAGTTCAACAACAACAACAAATAACAACAATAAATTACACGTGCCTAGCGCCTTTCACATGGGGAGGATGTCCTAATGCGTTGGACAGTCAAGGATTTGCACCCACACATGCCTTCAGTTTAAGGAGAGAAATATGGGGGGAAACTTCAAAGGTGGGCTGGGCTGGGGGTGTTTGTGAATGTGGACGAGGAGATGTTACGGTAGGTGTCTTTGTGTCCCCGGCAGGTCCCTGGTGACCCGTTTCCGATGGTATCAGCAGGCGCCATTTGAGAAGCAGCAGACATGGGCTTTAGACAACGTCTACATAGGCGACAGCTGTGTGGACATGTGCACCGGGCATGGCAGATGCTCACAAGGCTCTTGCATGTAAGTAAGAGGGTCGGTAGGGTATCTTTATCACATTGTGGTGGGCGACTGTACGAGGGTGTGGGTCGCGCCCAGAAAACTTTATTGAAAAGTTTTAAAAAAACAAAAAATTTAATTGGAGTTGAGTTATAGATCAGCCATGGTGTAATAGAATGGTGGAACAGGCTCAAGAGGCTGAATGGCCTCCTCCTGTTCCTGCGTTCCTATAAAATAAACTTGCACCAAGGGCTCTAACAACAAAAAGGAAAGGTTTATTTTCATCAGGAAGCTGTTGCTTTGGAGTGCGTTGGTGTGTCACCTTTGACTATATGAGCTCAAAGTCCGAATGTGGGGGCTTGAACCCACAACCTTCTGACCTGTTGTGGGTGCTGTGTTGGCGCGCAGGAAGCTACATCCCCAGGGATGATGCCTCAGTGTCTGATGGGCTTTCCCGTTGACCACAGCTGTGACGAGCCCTGGAGCGGGCTGTACTGCGATGAACCCAAGTCAGCTCTTCCCGTGCGGCTGAAAGACAACTTCAACAAAGCCCCCTCCAGCAGCAACTGGCTGACAGTCAACGGGGGAAAACTGAGCACCGTGTGTGGGTCTGTGGCCTCAGGGCTGGCTCTCCATTTCAGCGGGGTGAGTGAGTGAGTGAGCGAGTGAGTCGCGAGCGTGTGAGTGAGTCGCGAGCGAGCGAGCCTGCATCTGACCTGCTAACTTTACCGAAGCCTCCGGTTTGATATTCCGGACTCTCCATGTTATGCGTCCATGGCTATCAAAATAATGGAGCGGGGTGGGGGGCGGGGGGGGGGAACGGGAGATTTTTTGGCGATGGAGAGAATAATGTGCAGCCCGACATGGTATTCTTCAAGTATGGGACCGGCCCATTGTCTTTATCCGTCCTCTTTTCCTTTTGTCTGTGTTTCCTGAGAGTATGTGACGTTCAGCTGCTATAGAATTGTGCGCTTGTTTCATGACGCTACTGTGCGCTTGTTTCAGGGGTGCAGTCGGCAGTTGATTACTGTGGACCTGAACCTGACGAACGCTGAGTTCATCCAATTTTACTTCATGTATGGCTGTTTGGTTCTCCCTGGTAACCGTGACCAGGGTGTCTTCCTGGACTATTCAGTCAACGGGGGCATCACGTGGAACCTCTTAATGGAAATCTTCTACAACCAGTACAACAAACCTAGGTGAGCAAAACGCCGGTTTTAGTCCCTGTGTTCGTTCCCAGCGACTGAAAACGTGCCGCTGATTTGTCATAACGACACAAAGGTGCAGAGGGTGCAAGCGAGAGGACTGGGGTTCAATTCCCGGTCAGGACGAAACCTTAGGCAAGTTTCCTTACTCCACACGCCCCAGGCTTACCTAGCAGTAAGTAGAACCGTTTTTTTTAGTCGATATATTCAATAATTCCTCCAATAATTGGTTAATTAATTAATAAAAATGATAATAACTTGGTCACTCAATCCATGGCTGTTTGCGGGACGCTGCTGTGCGCAATCGACTGCCGCGTTTCGCCCACAAAATATACAGTCAATTCATTTTACAGTATATCCCGCGAAGCGCTTTGAGACGTCTTAACGACGTGATGAGGCGCTGTATCATGTGCAAGGATTATTATTATTATTGTTATTGTTATTATTTGCGGTGTGAGTTGCCTCCTCTCCCTGTGATTCGTTCGCAGCTTCGTGAGTATTCTCCTGCCTCCGGAGGCGAGGACACTCGGCACTCGGTTCCGTTGGCGGCAGCTGAAGCACTACGGCCACGAGCAGGGAGACTGGGCTCTGGACAACGTGCTGATCGCCGGCTCGGCCAGCGAGAGGACCTTCATGTTGGATACGTTCAGCCCTGTGCCCATCCCACTGCACGATCGCAGCCCCTCAGACAGTGGCCCCATGGGCAGGGTCGCCTTCATGTTTGAGGAGGAACCCATGGGTAAGTGACGCCCTCCTCCCCTCCCCTCCCTTTCCCTCCTCCCCTCAACACACCGACATCTCCAAAGTGTCATGGCTCCTGGGCAGGAAACCACACAGCGAGTCAAATCGTCATTTATCTTCTCTTTTTTTTTCGGTTAACTGAGTGTCTGACCGACATTTACGGAAACCCGTCACCACCCCGACGCGTTTCGCCCACAAAGCACACAGTCACTTCACTTTACCGTCTATTCTGGTGAAGCGCTTTGAGACGTCTCGAAGAGGCGATAAGGCGCTGCATCGAATGCAAGGATTATTATTTATTTCGTAAAAAAAAAAACACAACCCGCTGCTTGTTGCCGCCAAGTTACCGGGCTGAGCGTCCTCACGACAAGCTGTTGTGACGGAGTTCTTGACGGTGCAGTACGGCTTGTCACTGTACCTTCCAAACTGATGGCAAATGCCGACAAACCTACAGTTTACGAGGTGAACGAGCAATGGATGTTCCACGACGACTGCCTGGTGGAAAGGTTCTGCGACTCACAGGATGCAGTTATGGTCTGCGGCAGTCAGGATGGCAGGGAAGTCCATGCAACCACCTACGACCTGACGCCCAGCGAAGGCTGGATTATGCAGTTCAAGGTAAAGCTTTACGTTGCATCTCAACCCTGTTGTTCTGAGTGAAAATAACCCATCATTGAATCATCGATGACTCTTCCATTTGCTGCTTTATGTCACGACTTTGAACTCAGTGTCTAGGCTGACCTACTGGGAGAGCACGGCATTGTCGGTAGTGCCGTCCTTTGAGTAAGACATTACACTGAGGTCCCATCTGCCTATTCCTGTGGACATTGAATATCCCTTGGCACTATTTGAAAAGAGGAGGAAGTTTTTCTCGCGTGTCCTGGTCAACAATCCCTCAGTTTCTTTGACTGCACTTTCAGTCATCTTTCCTCTCCCCTCCCCTATCCGCTCACCTCTCGCCCCCAGCTCGGGACACAAGCCAGTATTGTTAAGGGTCTTGGACATCCTCCCGACCTGAAAGATGCTATAAAAATGTAAAATTGTATTGTGAAAAATTGATCAATTACTTCATGGCTGTTTGTAAGATATTGCTGTGTGCAAATTGTCTGCGCCATTCATCCACAAAATACGCAATCACCGCACTTTACAGTGTATCCTGTGAAGCTCTTTGAATGTCCTTACAATGTGAAAGACACTATATTAAATGACAGGATTATGTTTTTAGAAGCACTCCGCATGTGCAGTGCGGTGATGTTGGCCATATTGATTTGCTTAACCGTTGACGGGCGCTCTAGATCTTCCAAACATGGAGCCCCACTCCACCTGTACACACATCTGTGCTCTGCGCCATTAGATCCATAAGCGCATCAGCCACACAGCCTCTCCGCACACTGTCATTATTCATCTCAAGTGCTTTATTCCCAGTGAGTTCTGCTATTTACTTATTTATTTACCTCAAATGCGAGTGAAAACGCATGTTCACCATAGGGAATTGCTAATAACTGCTACGAGACCTAAATAGACCATCCTGCTGGTAACCTGAATTGCATTTCTCCCATGCGTAAACATTTTGTTCCATTTGCTTGCGGAGCAGAGTGTCTGTGGGGCAAGTGTCACACATTTCTGGTTCATGGAAGTTACCCAGGCATGTCCTGGGTTGACTCATCCCCCTTTCCAATCTTTCTCTTTCTCCCCTTTCCTCCTTCCCCCTTTTCCTCTTCCCTTTTTCCACTCTTTTCCCTCCTTTAAAGATTTCCATTTCCCTGTTCAGGTGGACATTAAAGATCTCGTGCCGCTATTTGAAAAGATAAAGGGCTTTTCTCTCTCCCAGTGTCCTGGCCAACAATCCCCCAAATAAAATTGGTCACTCGTTCCGTAGCTGTTTGTGGGACACTGCTGTGCACAATTGGCTGCCGGTTTCGCTCACAAAGCTGTCAGTCCATTTTACAGTGAATCTTGTGAAGCACTTTGAGACATCTCAACAACGTGATAAAGTTCTACATTAAACGCAAGGATGATGATGAACGATTTAATACACGGAGCATGCACCCTTGCACTCACCTGATCTGTATTCTCTTCCAGATTTCCGTAGGCTGCAGAAGTACAGAGAAGCTGGTTCAGAATCAAGTTCACATTCAGTATTCCGTGGATTTTGGAGTGACATGGCGCTACCTGGTGTCCCAGTGTCTGCCCGCTGACCCCCAGTGCTCCAGCACCAACTCACAACCCTCCGCCTTCTTCCCTGCCAAGGGGTGGAAAAGAGTTATATACCCACTGCAGGAAAACCTGATGGGCAAGTGAGTGGCCAGGAGCCGTGCAGTGAAATGCAGCTGCTCCAGATATTCATTGTTTGATACAAGCACAAGCCATGTGGTTTTAGCTGGTTAGACTCCAGCAGTTACACCCAACGCACGCTCTCTGGTGTCCCCCAAGCCTTGACTCTTGCCAACCTGCACCTAATACCTTCCGGAATTAGGTAAGCAGGATGCATCCCTCCAGGGAGAGAGTGCGCATTCCACTCCAACAACCTATCTCTGGGATTTCCACGCGTAGGTGTGGGATGCATGGAATTCTCAGCTTGGTCTGGATACTCTTAAGCACGGTGATGGGTTCCTGCATGTGGCAGACACCCGTCTGACCACCCCCCCCCAAAAAAAATACGTTCAATCCTAGACAGCGGAGGTTTTCTGAATTTATAAAGGCAAAATATGCGCTGTTTCTTAATTGACACAAGGAACGCTTCATGGAAGGTCAAAGATCTGGTCAAAGCCAGAATCTGGGTATTAGGAGTTCTAGCTTAGGGGTTTCCCTAAGTCAACCTATTTTTCTGTTAAGTAACAGAAGGAATTGATTGGTAAGGAACGGGTTAAGGAATACTGTAAATTTTCCTCCACGATACATCGCATTGATTTTCCTGGCTTGAAGCTGGGCTGGTTCTACACAGAGAATCCCTGTATGGATGCATGTGGCCATGTGTGTATGTGTGTGCACTCCTGTACACACGTGCATGTGTGTAAGCATCCCTATCATAAGATATACGTGTGTCTGTTTTGTGTGTGTGTGTGTGTGACCGGCTGTATGTGTGTGTGTGTGAGTATGTGTGTGTGTGTATATACACACGTGTCCATGTTTGTGTACAAGTTTGAAAGAAAGAAGACAGGACTTTTCCCCACTTTTCCTTGGGTCAAAATTGGGGTTGTCCTCGATTCTTTTCTGTGCACACCATTTTGATGTGGATGAAAGTAGCCGTGCTGAGGTTGGACTCACTCTGACCCACGCGATTCCTTGTGTGGTTCACACTGACCTGTGCTGTTTTGTTGCAGTGCTGCCAGGTTCCGCCTGTATCAGAAGTACTCGGACACGCAGTGGGGGATCGATAACTTCTACGTAGGACCCGCCTGCCCAGACAACTGCAGAGGGCACGGAGACTGCCTGAACAGACAGTGTTTCTGTGACCCCGGTTTCACAGGCCCAAACTGCTACCTGAGCCACTCTCTCAAGGTACCATCAGCAATTTAAACAAATGAGCATTAAACACAAAGTGGGTACGCGTTATTTGATTAGTCTCTTTACCTGCTGCTCTTCCAGGGACAGGTAACTGACCGATACTTTATTCTCTAAAACCCGGTTGCTACCATACCATGCGATAGTGGGTTCAATGCTCTTTGTATAATCATTGACTGTTGAATTATAATAAAGGAAACAAATTGTTTAACATCCAAATTTCATCAATAATTAATAATAGATACAGAGTTTCCTTACAAATGGGGGAAAGGCGGGCGAACGGGGTTAAATGGACAGCTTGTTCAGAGAGCCAACACGTACTGTTTGAGTTTCTACGGTTCTAATTGCTCGTGTGTTGCAGACTTCACTGAAGGAGCGTTTTGAGACTGATGATCTGAAGACAAATGTGTGGATGTCCCTGGAAGGTGGGAGCCCCTGTACAGACTGCGGACTCCTGGTAGAAGACCTGCCCCTGTATTTCAGCGGGGCTGGCATGAGGCAGGCAATAACTGCAGACCTGGATCTCAGGGGTACAAAGTGAGTCCTGGAGAGTTGCTTCTACAGAGAGTTTTGTCTCACACAGATTGATTTGGAAACTGGAATATAACAAGCCATTGATTAGATAGAGTATAGAGCGGTCAGGGGCAGATTCCAAGGAGGACCTCTCGAAGTAACTTATTGGGGTCTAATTAACGGTATTTCTTAAGAAATGCTGCAAATTAGTCCCCACTTTGCAAACTACTATGGGAGTGTACATTTCAAAGTGGTGTAATTATTTAAATAGTAATCTGTTATGCCTAATTAATTCATTTATAATAATGATGATTCATTTAAACAAATCATTTATTCCTTACATGCATTACAAATTTTGTTATTCATAATTATTCACACTGTATGAATAAATTAATGCATTATTAGGAAAAATAATCAATTAATTGTTGATAAATGTAAGCATTACATTATAATTGTTAATTTTAATATCATATTATGGGCTTCCCTATTAAATGGAGTCCTGTAGCTCATTGGTTAGAGCACTCGCCTCGCAAGTGAGAGACCTGGGTTCGATTCCCGGCAGGGTGAAACCTTAGGTAATTTTCCTTACTGCATACGCCTGATAATAATCCCTCAAGAAAAAAAAGCAACAATAAATTGGTCACTTCAATCCACAACCGTTTGTGGACGCTGCTGTGCGCAATTGGCTGCCGCGTTTCGTCCCCAAATATACAGTCAATTCATTTTACAGTATATTCTGTGAAGCACTTTGAGACGTCTAGAAGATGTGAAAAACTCTATATCAAATGCAAGGATTATTATTATTTTATTAAAAATGCAAAGATTATTATTTCACGCAGGTGTATAAAGTGGTCAACCTTAAGTCGAATGTAAAAAAAATACACAAATTCCTTTACGTTTCGCCCAGAAAATACACAGTCAATTCACTTCACAGTGTATTCTGTGAAGCGCTCTCAGATGCCTCTGCTCAGCGAGCTCCGGCCTGCTTCACGCCCCCTGCTTCATGCCCCCCGCCTCACCCACCCCACCATTGGTGGGCAAGCCTTCTGCCACTCTGCCCCCACCCTCTGAAGCTCCATCCCACAGTCCCCCTACCCCACCCCCTCCCTTGCCTCCTTCAAGACCCATCTCAAGTCCCTCCTCTTCGACTATGCTTTTGAGTACCCCTCCTTCCCCCCGCCCTCCACCCTCCCTGATCTCGACCCCCAGTTCGTCTCTGAAACACTGACTGTCCAGTACCTTAGGACGTCCTCCCGACATGAAAGGCGCTATACAAATGTAATTTTGTTGTCGTCGTTGTTCCGTAGACGTGATGAGGCGCTATATCAAACATTGTTTGTAATAAAGATATGGAAAGCCTTCTCCTTGAAAATATTGCTACCTGTGTGTTGTAATGCACTTGTGGTCTGCTGATTTCTTTATGAGTTTGAACATCCGGATTGATGCTGCCCCTTTGCTCCTTTAGGTTTGTGCAATACTGGGCAAGGATAGGCAGTGAAAACAACATGACGACATGTCACCGGCCAACCTGCAGGAAGGAGGGCGTTTTACTGGACTTCTCTACTGATGGAGGTGATGGAGGCTTTTATTTATTTTCAAGAAATGTGGGATATTTTTAATGCAAGTCAAGCTATACAGTTGGTAAGAGCAGAATCTGGATATTGAGATGAAAACAAGTGGCTGGTAATTTTAGTCACACTTCAGGACATTTCATACACGGTATTTGGCATAATTAAGTGCTATAAAATTCCAAGTTATGTTTTGTCTTACATACTCATGCACTGAGACATCCTACACCATGTGCTGTTGAATGTTGATGTACGTCGTCCATAACAGATTGTAATGACACTCGGCTCATGTCCTTAAGATAAGTCTATCCTCGGTGCTACTGATGACAGGCAGACTGTTTTCACTCTAAAATGGAATATTCCTCTGTTGTGAAGAACAAATTTAAGTCAGACACAAGAAATATAGTGTTGGGAGGATTCCCCTAAGTACTTGACAGGGAGGGAAAAGATGACCAAAAGCACAGTTTATATTTTTTACACAGAGGGAATGTATACAACTGGTACACATTGCCTGGAAGGATGGTTGATGCTCGGACATTGGGCACATTTAACAAGTACATTGATGCTTTAATGGGAAGTCTATAGAATGGCTATTCTGGAATGATGAGATCAAATTGGCCTTCTTCACCAGAATGTCTCTTGTGATCTTATATTTTTCTCTGCCCCCATCCTTTTGAACTCCATCCCACAGTCCCTTCACCTCGTTCTCTCCCTCGCCTCCTTCAAGGCCCGACTCAAGACCCTACTCTTTGACTGTGCCCTCGGTCACCCTCCTACCCTTACATTCCCTGCCCTCCACTCCTCCTTATCTCAACCCCCAGCTTGGGTCCAAATCCCTGACGGTCCAGAGCCTGGGGACGTCCTCCCGACGTGAAAGGCACTTTACAAAAGTAATTTGTAGTTGTCGTTGATGAGATGAGAAGTGGTGGTGGTGCTCATTGATGTGTGTTCTGTGATGTACGGCAGGAATCACCTGGCACCTCCTGCATGAAATGGATTACCAGAAATATATCTCCGTCCGCCAAGATTACGTGCTCCTCCCGGAGAACGCTCACAGTAACACGACTAGACTCCGCTGGTGGCAGCCCTTCCTCATACTGAACGGTCAGGCAGTGTCGAGTGCAGAGCGTGCTCAGTGGGCACTGGATAACGTCCTTATCGGAGGCTCAGAGATCAACCCCAGCCAACTGATGGACTCATTCGATGACGGTAAGGTGGAAACACTCGAATACTCCATAACACTGACCAGCTCGAGGTGGGAGGCACAAATAATGCACTGTGAGCGAGTGAATAATAATAATTATTATTATGGAGTCCTGCAGAGTATTGGTGAGAGGACCCGGGTTAGATTCCTCGGCAGGACGAAACCTTAGAAAAGTTTCCTTACTCCGCAAGCCTCTGTTTACCTAACAGTAAGTAGGAACCCGGTTGTTAGTCGATTTGCGGATCACTTTCAAGGGGTAATAATTCCTTTAAAACGAAAAATAATAATTTGCTCACGCAATCCACGGCTGTTTGTGGGACGCTGCTGTGCGCAATTGGCTGCCGCGTTTTGCCTATGAAATATACAGTCAATTTACTTTACAGTATATTCTGTGAAGCGCTTTGAGACTTGACCTGATCAGGCGCCATATCAAATGCAAGGATTATTATTATTTACTACTATTCTAACACTGACAGTCTCAGGCTGGGAGGCACAAATAGTGCACTGTGAACGAGTAACAATAGTTAGATATGTGATTAAACCAATGCATTAAAATGCTCCCAAACTATGTGATTCTGATCTGTTGCTCGTTGATGTGTTCTATAAAACTGTTGAACAGCAAGTCTGATGAGTTTTATTCTTACACTGCTTTGTGAATTTCACATCTTTCTTCCTCTCCCTACAGAAGGTGTAAACCATGATGAAAACTGGACCTTCTACCCCAACGCAGTGCGCACTGCAGGTTTCTGTGGTAATCCCTCCTTTCATCTCTACTGGCCTAATAAGAAGAAGGATGAGACGTACAATTTCCTGGAATCACGGGAGCTTATTGTAGCACCCGGATATATCCTGCAGTTCAGAGTAAGTCTTCTGTCTGTTAAGCATCTTTAATATTTCTTGCAAAAGATTTATGCTGAGACTCAGAGCATTAAACCGAGCTCGGCAATTAAAGCCACAGAGGTGGATTACGCCCTTTTTATTCTGCTAAACAGCTCCTCTTTAGAACTTTAGAATTGCTTCTTACAGTGGCATACATCACATCCCCGCATATGCAGATACTTCTCTACTTTGATTTAATTGGAGGAACCTGGTTGTTAGTCGATTGGCAGATCGCTTTCTGGTGGTAATAATCCCTTTTAAAAAAAAAAGAAGAATTTGGTTACTGAATCCACCACTGTTTGTGGGACATTACTGTGCACAATTGGCTGCCGAATTTTGGCCAAAAAATATACAGTCAATTCACTTTAGAGTATATTCTGTGAAGCGCTTTGAGACGTCTCACAATCGTGATAAGGCGCTATATCAAATGCAAGGATTATTAATAATAATAATAATAATCCTTGCATTTGATATAGCACTTTTCACGTCTTCTAGATGTCTCAAAGCGCTTCACAGAATATGCTGTAAGGTGAATTGACCGTATACTTTTGGGCGAAACACGGCAGTTAATTGCGCACAGCAGTGTCCCACAAACAGTCGTGGATTGAAAATGACCAATTTTTTTTTTTTGTTTTGGAGGGATTATTATTATTATGATATCAACATATCTGCCCAGCATTTGAGTTACAATTTGGCTGCTTTCTTATTTCATTGGTAATGGGTAAAGGCCACAGAGCGGTACATATCAAGGTTTAAAAAAGGAATGAGAGCAAATAAGAAGCAATGGTTAGTCAACGCCATGGCTGAACTTTGAATGCCCATAAATAACAACAACAACTCAGCAGAGTAGCGTTCCACAGATCTTTAGATTACAGTAGATTACAGGAGAACAGCAAGCCTGAGCAAAGTAAGGGATCCTAGGCGTATTTGTGGCACTGTGTAAAAGAATGGGTTAACGCAGGAGAGAATGTGATTTCAACCGTGATAATGCATGGAGGGAGAAATTATTGAGGGAATTATATTTGGAGGATCAAAGGAGGAAGTGACCATGTAAGCGTTGATAAAATGTAGAAAGGCATGAAATGTTGTGGCGGAGAGAGAATTGGGAAATCAGAGGCAAGAGAAGAATCAGCTTTGGTGATCTGTAAGGCCAAGAATATCCGGGGAAAGAAAAAGATAAGGAGGTAAGAGATAGGACCACTGGTTAGCTTCACAATCCATGAAGAAAATGTGCCTTTGAGGAATCGAAAGATACGAGGATTACATTGCCCTGTTGAAGATCATGAAGATGAAGGGTTTGGTGACTCATCGTACTGTGAAGGCGAGTGAAGGTTCTGAGCAGCTCAGAGCAGGTAGCTCTTTTGAAGGAAGCTAATGAATGTAGAGAGGGAGAAACCATCAGTAAAAGAGTGGACAAGGTCAGATGGTGACTGCAGATGGTGAATGCTGAAACACAAGATAAGTTTTCCATCAAAAGACCCCAGTGGAGCACTTTCCCAATGTGTGCATTTTCACAGAAAATGACTGTTGTGGTTGCCACTCGCTCACCAAAACAGAGCTGAACAGAGCGTCCAGAACTGAAATGCACGGGAAAGGTTCAGACACGCGAACAATGCCCAAAATTCAACTGATCACAAATCCTTCCTGGCTTACAATGCGGAGTCAACGCCAGCTTCCCTAGGAACGTAGGATAATAGGAATCTCTGTACGAAAAAAGACCAAGGTCCGTCTCGTCTGCCTTTTACCAGCCTGGTAATCGCCTTCTATCTACGGTGCTACATCCTTTCACGCGGCATTAAAACCAATCCACCAATTCTGTAACTGCCTGAGCGTCAACTAAATATTCAGTGATATTTGGGATTTATTACAGCGGAATAAATGAAATAGCTTTAAACTGCTGTGAAACACTGCTTTAAACTGAAGCTAAATCAACAAGTTTCAAACATAGCATTGCTGGAATTGTCACGTTCGCTAGGGCGAGCTTCACTCGCTGCTGTCGTCACTTGTGACATGGACTTTTCCCGGAGTTCACCCTGTGTGTCGTTTGCTTTCAGATTGTGGTTGGCTGCGAAGTCGGTTCTTGCGGTGAACTCCAGCCAGTGTCATTGCAGTACAGTAAGGATGGCAGGTGAGTGAGAGACCCAATGGAAAGTTGTGTGACCACAACATGTTTTATCATTGCATTCCCAGTAGCCCGTGACAGGATGGATGCCCCTGTGGTGCCCCTTGTAGGACATATCTATTCAGGACATTCATTTTTATCATTCAAGCTTTAAAATCAATAACAACAACAACAAATTGCATTTATATTAGTGCCTTTCACGTCGGGAAAATGTGAAAATCACAACCAAGGTCCAGCACCTTTGGACATCCTCCCGATGTGAAAGGTGCAATCTCAACTTCCATTCCTTGGCACCCCCCATCTCTCTAACCTCCTCTCTCCCACAGCAGTACCCGCTGTCTTCGCTCTACTGGGTCTGGCCTCCTCCGTGTCACCCGAATCCTCCGCTCCACCATCAGCGGCCGTGACTTCAGCCACTACACCCCGAAACTCTGGAACTCCCTCCCTCAACCCCTTCTCCTCACTCCCTCCTTCCCCATCTTCAGGTCACGCTTGAAGACCTTCCGCTTTGACCGCGCCTACGGTCACCTTCCCCCTCCCCCGTGGCTCGGCCTCGGGCTCCGCCATTGTTAAGGGCTCTGAGATGCCGCCCAGCGTGGAGGGCACTATGTAAATGCAAGCTGTTGTTGTTGTGGAGGTGATCCCACATCACTGAAGTGCTCTCTTTGTCCCTGCAGAAAAGATTCCTGGTCACTCGTCCAGACAGAGTGCCTGCCTTCGACAAGCAACAATGTTGGCTGTTCCCCATTCCAGTTCCACGAGGCCAGTATCTACAGTTCTGTCAACAGCTCTTCCTGGAGCAGGGTCACCATCCAGCTGTCTGACTACATCGCATCCAGGTACAGCCCTGGATTGTAATTTTTTTTATCATCAGTGCTTGTAGGTGAGGGACATCCTTTCACCAAAGGGTCTGGTGTATGTCACAAGGGAATGGGTGGTGAAGCTCACAGAAGAGAATTCATTTAACAGAATTAATTAACAGATGTTTCGCCCACAAGATACAGTCACTCCACTTTGCAGTGTATTCTGCGAAGCGCTTTGAGATGTCTCAACGATGCGATAAGGCACTATACCAAATGCAAGGTTTACTATTATGATTATTACCAAGAATTCTCTCCGTCTGTGGGGAAATCCCTCCTTTTGTCCATTCCTCCTCATCTCCCTTCTCCCCTCCCCCCAATACTAGTGTGACATAATCTCCGAATGTCTGTGCCGATAGTTGCTGGAGTGTTTTAGGTTCAGAGCTGTGCTGAGTTTAAAGGTTTAGAGCCGAGACGCTCAAACAGACCTTTGTATTTTCAGCGCCACTCAGTTCCGCTGGATTCAGAAAGAGGGAACGACAGAGAAGCAGAGCTGGGCTATTGACAACGTCTACATCGGGGAGCCCTGCTCCAGGCTCTGCAGCGGACATGGGTACTGTAGGACTGGAACCGTCTGTATATGTGATGAAGGCTATCAAGGTACCAGCTGTCGGGCTCTTGTTTTATTAAAAACTGATACGTTTGTGATCAAAACCCTTTCTCAGCCGTCCAAGTCAAAACGCTTGTGGCTCTGATTGCGTTCTGTGATTCCGTGGTTAGTATTCCGTAGTGTGAACCCTCTACCCCAGTTACCCCAACACACAATCTGGAGACCCCCCCACCCCCAAGCCTTGGCTCTTGCCAACCTGCGCCTAATACTTTCTTGGATTAGGTCAGCGAGATGCATCCCTCCAGGGAGAGAGTGCGCATTCCGGTCCAACAATCTTTCTCTGGGATTTCCACGTGTAGGTGGGATGCGTGGAATTCTCAGCTTGGTTTGGATACTCTTAAGCACGGTGATGGTTGGACACCCGGCTCCCCGCCCCCAAAAAAAGTGATCCCTATTAATATCTGTGCTTTAAACAATGAGTCTCACGCACAAGGGAGTCGTTGGGCCTGACAATGTGGCAGAGATGAACTGATTATATGGACAGAGATAACTTCAATGGTGTTTAAAGCCACTTCCATCAATGCCATGTAGATTGGCCTCTGTCGTACTCTCAGGCTCAACAACTCATGTGAGCCAGTGCCAACAGCCATACTGTCAGGACGTTGTTTTATTTATACTGTTTGTTTGTGGGACGCTGCTGTGCGCGATCGGCTGCTGTGTTTCGCTCACAACATACACGGTCACTCCACTTTACAGTATATTCTGTGAAGCGTTTTGAGACGTCTTGAAGACGTGATAAGGTGCTATATCAAATGCAAGGATTATTATTATTGCTGCACAAAGAGAAGCGATGTAGTTTCCAGCAATGAATTATGTGAAGCTGGAAGCCTGACTTATATTTCCTGCTCTCGTCACATTGGCACTGGGCATCAACAACAACAACTTGCATCTATGTTGGCATCCTTCACATGGGGTCTCGGAGCACTTAAGAAGGGGTTGGGCGGTGGTGCCTACAGAGCTGACACTGATTTCGGAGTTCTGCACACCAGTATGGGTGGTAACAGAGGATAGCTGATATCAGAGGATGGCTATGACCATAATACTGAGAGAAGGGAAAAAACAAGTCTCTTATTTTGGGCAGAGGAGGAAATTAGCAAGTGGAGAGGCGGGGGGCAGGGGGTTAGTGAAAAGAAAAACTCTAAACAGTTTCAAAGCTTCATTACAATGCTGAGATAATTTCACTGCCCCGAGCACCACTCAGCACATCTGTTGTTTTACAATTCAGCGTCTTGGGACGTCCTACCCGACGTGAAAGGCACAAATCAAACGTAATTTGTTGTTGTTGGAATCGGGAGCCAGTCGATGTGGTTTTTGTTATTTTTAGCCTGAAGCAAATGGATGTTTAGAGATGAGGAATCGAGTGAGTTCCGCACAGTTGCTGTGAGCTGATGTTCTCACTGAAAGGTTAATGTTTGTGGTGGACTCGCCCGAGGATCACAGTCATATTGGAATCAATTTTGTGGTTTTTCTTAACAAATTTCTTAACTTTTGGGAAGCTTGTGATTTGCGCTCATGGGATGCAGCTGCAACTTAATTATCTTTGGTGTGGTCTTCTCACCAGTAATGAGCTTCCACCACTCCGATTTCTTAATTAGGAAATAAGATAAGAAATACCGCCAATTTTTTTTAAATGCATAAGGTACTCAAATAAAGGGATTCTTGTACAATTTGTCCTGAAGCTGATTTACCTTTCTTTCACCCGCAGGAGACGACTGTGCTAATCCAGTCAGTGACCTGCCCAGTTACATCAAAGACAACTTTGAATCTACTCGTGTTACGGAGCTGAACTGGCAGATGATCCAAGGAGGGCTGGTTGGCAGTGGATGTGGGCAGCTGGTGCCCTATGCCCATGGGGACTCCCTGTACTTCAATGGATGCCAGACCAGGCAGGCAGCCACCAGAGCTCTGGATCTGACCAGGGCCAGGTATGTTCCCTTCAGGACACAACAACAACAACTTGCATTTACACAACACCGCTCACCCAGGACAGCGTCCCAGTGCGCTTGACAGTGGTGGAGCACGAGGCCGAGCTGGGGGGGGGGACAGGTAACCTTGGGCACGGTCGAAGAGGAAGATCTGGCTTTGAGAGGTGGAGAGTGCAGCCTTGGATGCCGATGTTGGCAGCGCCTGAGGTGCGGAGGCGCTGACGCGAGCCAATCAGGATGGCCTCAGTTTTGCGCACGTTGAGCTGAAGAAAGTTGTCTCTCGTCCAGGACTCGATGTCAGACAGGCAGGCTGTCAGGATATCGGGGGTCGTGGAGTTTAAACTTGGTTTAAAGACAACGTAGGTCCCACTGACCTACAACATGATCCTAAAGGGTACAAAGCATGAGCTTTGAGCTTTCCAGTGAACGTCTGAAATGCATCGGGTGATCGAAGACTTTGTGAGCTTCAAGCAGAACAATAATAATAATAATAGCAATCATTGCATTTGATTTCAATATCGTTGAGAAAGCAATAAAAGAAAATAACAAGTCAGCCAATTGCCCATGGCAATGTCCCACAAACAAATTGAGTAACAATATTTTTTGGAGGAAATGTGTACACGTGTGACTCACAGGGACGTGTAATATAAGATACCCTTGGAATGCTGAATTGAAGTATTGGCTTTTTCAAATATACTGGTTGGAGAGACTGCCCACCTCGTGAGCTGGTTGGATTTGGATGTGGAAATAGCTTGAGAGTTTTGGGTCTGTACGGAACCTGTATGGACACCTCAGTCTGGAGATAAACTATTTTACAATCTGACGTGGTCTGGATCTTCAGTTTCTTCAATAAGTAGTTTTTGTAAAAAAAGTCCTTGCATTTGATAAATGGAGTGGAGTCCTGTAGCATATTGGTTGGAGCACTCTCCTCGCAAGCGAGAATCCATGACTGTTTGTGGGACACCGCTGTGCGCAATTGGCTGCCACATTTCGCCAACAAAAGATACAGTCAATTCACATTACATTATATTCTGATAAGGAGCTATATCAAATGCAAGGATAATTGTTGTTATAAATGGCCTATAGCGCCAGATGCAATTATCTGCAAAACACATTGGTAGATGATTGCAGGAATCAAGTGTAGCTTTTGTAGGCAATCATTTAACACAGTACTTTCTCCTTTGTTTTCAATCCCACAGCAAAATCATGTTTGTGCTGCAGATTGGCAGCACGTCACAGACTGCGAGCTGCAACACTGACCTGACTGATCCCAACATCACAGACAAAGCTGTTCTGCTACAGTACAGCATGAACGGTGGGATCACGTGGCATGTTATTGCTCACCACCTGCCAAAGGATTTCATCCGCGCCCAGAGGATATCTTATAATATACCACTGTAAGTAACTAACTTCTCAACTTCTCTTAAATTATGCCATGTAATCAAAAGCATAGAATCCTCGACCCTTACAGGGCAGAAGAAGTCATTTGACCCCCCCAAGCCTACACTGACTCTCAGAGCAAGCTGTTTTCTCACTCCCACTTGCTTGCCCTCTCCCTACACCTCATCAAGCCTCTTAACTTTTATGTCTCTGCCTATTGGGCTCTTGAAACCCACAATGGATTCTGCCTCTACCACCTTACTTGACTGGGCATCCATCTCTTTGAAGACTACACACCACTGCCACTCGCTTTGAAAATGCAGCATTATTGTAGCAAGAACAATGACTTGCTTTTATATAGAGCCCTTCATGTGGGGTAGCGTCCCAGAGCGCTTGACAGTGGCAGAGTCTGACACTGAGCCAGAAGGGGGGGGGAGCCGGGGGAGAGGGAACGGGGAGACAGAGGTACGGGGGGAATTACAGTGGACTTACTACTGAATTACACTGGACTATTGGTGAAAGACCCAATTGCACCCTCTTGAAGGTTGTTTTGTGCATCACCTCACCATCTCTCCTCACCCCGCTGGGTGGTACACCTGTGAGGATATTGGTTAAGGACAGGATCAGCCGTGGCTCTGATGTCCGCCTTCATTGGCACTTGGTTGAGGAGCCAGAGGCAATCTCTGGATGTCCAGCTAAGTAAGGTGATAGAAGCAGAATCCATTGTGGGATTCATAGATTCATAGAATGTTACGGCACAGAAGGAGGCCATTCGGCCCATCGAGTCTGTGCTGGCTCTTTGACAGAGCAAGTCACTTTCACTAACCCCAATCACCAGCTTTCTCCCCATAATCCTGCAAACCCATCTTCCCCAGATACCTGTCCAGTTCTCTCTTAAAAGCTGTTATCGAATCGAACTTCACTACCCTTTCAGGCAGATCGTTCCAAATTCGGACAACTCGCTGAGTGAAAAAAATTCTTCTAACCTCCCCTCTGCTTCTTTTGGTAGATATCTTAAGACTGTGACTGTGGGTCATAGACACACCTACCAGCGGAAACAGCTTTTGCTTATCTCGCCTGTCGAAATCTTTCATGATCTTGAAGACCTCTATCAGGTCCACGCGTAACCTTCTCTGCTCTAATGGGAAAAGTCCTAACTTCTCCAGCCTGTCCTCATAGCTATGGTTCCCCATTCCTGGTATCATTCTCGTGAATGTCCTCTGCACCCTTTCCAGTGCCTTAATGTCCTTCCTGAAATAAGGTGCCCAGAACTGGACGCAGTACTCCACTTGAGGCCTAACCAGTGTTTTGTATAGATTAACCATAACCCCTACTCTTATACTCTATGCCCCTACTAATAAAGCTCAGTACACCAAATGCCTTTTTTACTGCCTTATCTACCTGCCCCGCTACCTTTAATGATTCACTTACTTGAACACCCAGATCTCTCTGTACGTTTACCCCTCTTAAGATTGAGCTACCAAATCTATGTTGCCTCCTATCATTTTTCCTACCTAAGTGTATCACCTCACACTTATCCACATTGAAATCCATCTGCCACATGTCAGCCCATTCCACCAATCTGTGTATGTCTGCTTGCAGTTGGTTACAGTCCTCCTCACTATTTACTACCCTACCTAACTTTGTGTCATCTGCAAATTTGGAAATAGTGCTCTCTATGCCCACGTCCAGATCATTAATTTACATTAGAAAGAGCAGTGGTCCCAATACCGATCCCTGGGGGACACCGCTGCACACCTCCTTCCATTTCGAGAAACACCCATTAACCACCACCTTCTGCTTTCTGTCACTCAGCCAGTTCTTAATCCAAACTGCCACTGTCCCCTTAATACTGTGGGCCTCTAATTTTTTTATTAATCTCTTATGCGGTACTGTGTCAAAAACCTATTTGAAATCCATGTAAATAACGTCCATCGCATTTTCCTCATCAACCCTCGCAGTCACCTCTTCAAAAGAGGATTCAAGAGAAAGGTAGACAGGTCTATGAGGGATAAAGGCTTGAAGGGGTTGTGGGGAGAGAGCAGGGCAGTGGGAATGAGAAAACAGCTTGCTCTGGAAGTTAGTGTAGGCTCGGGGGTCAAATGACCTCCTTCTGCCCTGTAAACGTCTATGATTCAATTCTTTTGATCACATGCTAACATTTAAGAGAAGTTCGGAAGCACAAGGGGCAAAAAAACAGACTTTGTGCCTCTTGTCTGCATGCAACTCTAGTCCAGACAGACTCTAGAGATGAAGAGAAACTGATGCATTATTAGCAGGATGGAGCTATTTATTTAATAATATCATTAGTATGTTATGACACACTGAAACCTCTGTCAGACTCTTAAAGGATACGCTTAAAGATGCTGATGGGTTTCCGCGTGTATCGGGCACCCAGCTGATCAAAAAAAAAGTATTTTATGTTACGGTTTATGGATTATTGCAATGCTAAGAAAAAATAATCTGGAAATCTCTGGGTATTAAATGTAAAATTCATCCTGGTCCATTTTGGATGAACAGTATCGTTTGATCAGACAGTTGTGGATTGGAGAGTAAGATAAAAGAGCGCTGGCACCAGCTGGTGTTGGAGAATCAGCACTGCACTCTGAGGGAAACCTACCCCATTCAGCCTGCAGCGACCGAGAGTTCATGGTATCAACTCCACTAGTTGTTTTACAGTTCTGGAAAATGTCAAGTCGTTCCCGTAGGAAAGCTTTTGATTCCCTGCTGGAATGTATTGAACTGTCTCCAGATATCCAGCATCACGCACAAAAAGAACAGAACTCTGGCAAGCTACCCAGCATTGATGGGATCATATCTCTACTGGAAGGGAAAAGGGAGTTGAAGGAGGGGGAATAAAAAGAGCTGCAACAGAGACCGCCTTTCCTAAATCTTCAAAAACAGCCAATGTGAAAGCTAATTGACAATTACATAGCGTTACATAGAATGATACAGCACAGAAACAGGCCGTTCCGCCCAACTAGTCCGTGCTGGTGTTTTTAACTCTACACAAAGCCACCCCTCCTATTCCCCTGACCTATACCCTTCTATTCCCTTCTCCCTCATGTAGACGTCAGGTTTTCTCTTACCTACTTTATTGCTGTTTGCTTCAATCACAGTTTCTGGCAGTGAGTTCCATGTTGTCACCACCCACTGCGTGAAGAAGTTTCTCCTAAACTTGCGGTGTTGCTGCAACCTCCACAGAAGAGAATTGCGAGAACCAGTCTCCGCTTCCCTGGTCACTGTTCCAGTGAAGATCTAAACATGTACATCATCATTTTACAGCTTATGACCCCGCCACTCGCACCAGTCTTCTCAGCTGCTATGCTATGTGGCTCATGGAGCCCAGGCCCAGTCCCAGAGCAGCCACAACCACACCAATAATTTCAATAGCTTGAGATATCCTCCCGATGTGAACAGCTCTATACAAATATATATTGTATTGTGCAATACAAAACTCGTAGACGTCTGATCTGTATAATCGCCTAAATCAAGAGTTCAAGAATTTATATTCTATGCAGGTTTGACATAACTCATACTTTGCATAAGCCATATTAACTGTACGGTCCCAACTGATACGACTTATGTGAGGTTCATTGTATTGCATTGTAAATCGTATTGTAACTTGTCATTGCAGAGAGGCGCGAGTTAAAGGAGTGCAGCTGCGGTGGTGGCAGGCTCGCCACAATGGTACCGGCCGGGATCAGTGGGCTCTGGATCATGTCGAGGTGGTCCTGTAAGTAGCAGAGGATTCCTTTTGACCCAATGTAGTCCAAAAGGGATATACTTTTGGCCCGAAGCTTTCCTTCACGTCTCTCAGTGATGTCGGCAATCTAGCCGCGACTCACTCACACACTCAGAGCGGTGAGTGACTGAGTGCAGCTAGATCGGTCACAACACAGTGACAATCACTCAACAACTGGTGACAATCATTCGACCATTCACCTCATGGTTGTTTGTGGGATGTTGTTACTGCAAATCGTGTAAACGTACGGCAACAGTCCCTTTACTTTAAAATGCATAGGACTGAAAAGACTATTGTTAGTCCACCAGGCCACTCCTATAGTAACAGTTGACAGTGTGTTGGGAAGACGGTTGGGTGGGTTTGCTGGAACGATGAATATACAGTGAATTCACTTGACAGTATATTCTGTGAAGAGCTTTGAGACGTCTCGAAGACGTGATGAGGCGCTGTATCAAACACAAGGGATTATTAGTATATCGCTCGACCATCCACCCCACACGATAGCAGGGTTTCCCTGCATTATTATTGCCGAAAATCTCTTGTTGCTTTACCGAGTCCCATTGCATTGCAGGACACGGAAGCAGAACTACATGATGAACTTCTCAAGGCAGCACATGCTCCGACACTATTACAACAGAAGGCGACGATCTCTCCATCGCAGCCCGTAGAGACGTGCAAGCATCCGTCTTTACCATCGTGTTCCGTGTAATCCTAATAAACAAAGCACTGTTTCTGTTAAAGGGGAAGGAAGGAGGGAGGTTTGGGGGGGGCGGGGGGTGGGGGTGGAAGGGAAGCAATATCATATAATGAGTATGTAACAGAGAGATCTAATGGAGATAAAGACTTCAAGGACACACCACCTTTTACACACTGTGAATTAATAATACATGAAGTGGCTTATATTCCGAAACGTGTTGTCTGTTTCGCTCTATTATATTATGTGGCTGTGAACTGCGTGGTCGTGTTGCGATGTCCGTTAGTTATCGTGGCAGTATTGTAAGTAAGCGTCAATTTGCTCTGCAGTGTTATCGAGTCCTCCTGAGTGACAGTCCGTATAACGCAAGCAATATCCAACAATGCTTTGCCGCCTTCAAATGTCAAGTGCAAGCGATCATCGTCATTTGTTTTCCCACGACGGGTTTAAAAAGAAAAATGAAAATGAGATCCCCGAAATCTTTTTTTTCCTCTCTGTAAAGTATTACCCCCAGTAAACAGTGTTCGGAGGGATAGTAAAAATGTGGAGGGAGGGGAGAGGGTGGAGGAGTTGTGAATCTTGATCGTTCATCTGTTGGAGCTTTGAACATTTAACAGCAATATATATATATATATACTCCGCTACAGTTTAAATGTACATATTCTCTGGTTGACCACTGATCCCGATTTTAATGTAAATTCTTACTTACACTAGCTGCCATCTGTGTGGTTTCGTAGTGATTCCTTGGTGGTGCTTATTAGGTAGAAGAGATCGATGTGCTCATTGTGTTTCTTTCGAATTTGTTTTTTCTTCTGATAAAGGCTGGACCATTCTTCGTAACCTTCGAGCAAAGTCGTGTTGTACTAACACCAGCAAAGCTACAAGTGCAGTGTACTGTTAATTGTTTGAAACTAGAGTGAGTGAAGTAATATATCACAATGTTATTTACAGAGATAAAACAAAACTTGCTTTCAATAAAGGTAATGTCACAATATTATTGGGATTGTTTTCAGTTTCATTTCCTACAGTCACTTCGTATCATCAGTAGCACAAAAATAGTTTTACTCGCAGTTTGTGATTGTCCCTGTTCACCTCTGCTCCACCATCGGCGGACGCACTTTCAGCCACTACACCCTGAAGCTTTGGAACTCTCTCCTCCAGTCCCTCCATCCTCCTTCCCCTCTCTTAGATCACGACTGAAGACCTTCCTCTTCAACCGTGCTTACGGTCACCTACTCCCTCTCCCAGGCTCAGCGTCAGGCTCCGACACTGTTAAGCGCTCCGAGACGCAATTCTTATGCTCTTATGAAATATTCTCACACAGATGGTTACTGGGATATAAAAAGGTATGAGTAATAATCAGGGAAATGATGATGAGCAGCTAACTCCAGTGAGAAGCTGCTAATGGACACAGGCACATTACACAATGGATGTGTTTTTTTTTGTGTGTGGGATGTTTCGTGGTTCTCTGATTTTCAAAATGAAATGGGTTTTGGGGCCAAATGTTGTTTTAAGCACTCCGAGATGCTGCCCCGTGTGAAGGGCACTATATAAATGCAAATTGTTCTTGTAATTTTCCTGTTCCAAAACATTTTTTGGGTGAATATTGAACAGCGAGTTCTGTGTAAAAGCATTAAAATCTTGTCAACTGAACCCTTGTTACATTCAGGCACAATCCCAGGTTTCTTATTGCAAGTCTAAATGTTCTTCGTATTGAAAAACGTTTAGACTTGCAATAGGAAACCTGTTATTGGGACAGAAAAGCAGTTGTTAACCCAAGTGTAGAAACAGCAAGTGGCAGTAGCGAGAGAGCCTTACTGTCAATTGGAAAGAGATTTACAACGTGTCTTAAGCTTATAGCTATAAGGACTGAGCTGTTTATCTTTTGCTGCCTCCTCATTCACCATTTGAAAGTTGGACAGGTTGTCTGTCCGCTATCCATTCCTAAAACTCCAAGCCTGTTTGTGGGAAATTGCTGTGCGCAAATTGACTGACACTTTCGAATTGGCTGCCACTATATTCACAGTCACACCGCTTTACAGTATATCCTGTGAAGCGCTTTGAGACGTCTTGATGATGTGATAACACGCTGTATCAAATGCAAGTATTATTTGTTATTCGAAAATTCTAATCCTTGCGCATGATTATGGCACCTTATCGCGTCATCGAGACGAATCAAAGTGCTTCAGGATATATTGTGAAAGTGGTGCTACTGTGTGTATTTTGTAGGCGAAATATGGCAGCCAATTGGTGCAGAGCAGTGTCCCACAAACAGTCGTGGATTGAGTGACCACAATTTATTTTGGGGGTAGCAATTGTTACCACCGGAAAGCAATCCGCCAATCGACTAATAACCGGGTTTCTAATTACTGCTAAGTAAACCAAGTAAGGCAACTAGCCTGAGGTTTCGACCCGCCCAGGAATCGAACCCAGGTTGACTGACACTTTCGAATTGACTGAACCCTACATTAAAACCCTAAACCACAGGACTCATTTATTATTTGTTTTCTTTGTGCTATATATGAAAGAAGTTGCATTTTTGTAGCGCTTTATTATATCAGTGTCTCACTGCACGTTCGTTCACTGTTTTTGTTGGGAAGCGAGGTGGTCATCTGCTCATAGCAAGCCATGAGGCGAATGTTTAATGTGAATTCCTTGTGATACATTTGTTTGCTCGGAAAAAGTGATTGCCGTGCAATCCCCAAACCTTCATTTGCCCACAAATATACGGTCAATTCACTGTACAGTCTATTCTGTGAAGCGCTTTGAGACGTCGAAAAGACGTGAAAAGCGCGATATCAAATGCAAGGATTATTATTATTATTATCAGGCAAGCTGAACTACTGAACCAGATTGTCAGTATTATAACTTCAGATGTAGGTCCTAAAGTTCAGTATCATCATGAGCTGCATTTATTTACCATAGAAATCAACCGCTGTCCATTACAGCACAGAAGCAATGTGTTACAAGTAATACTGTTAATGATTACAGATCGTGCTTCTTGACTGAACGCACTAGTTTGACTGAGTGGGCTTGTAACTCAAGCTGCTTTCAAGTACTTTCCTTTTACTTGATCAACAAGTCAGAATCCGTGAATTCAGTGGCTGCAGTGGGCTTTGGCTCTTGCCCTGAAATCACCGCCTGGTGTTTCGATCAGGTTCCTCTTCAGGCTCAGGTGCAAGTTCACTTGTAGGTTCAGCTGTGAGTTTTGTCATGTCGTTGGATGTGGGTTCTGTCAACTCCAGAGGTTGCATGGTCTCTTCCTCTGTTCCATTCATGTACACCTCCTAAAGTCACACGGGTTAATGCAACTGCTTAATAATAATTATAATCCTTGCATTTGATATAGCGCCTTATTACATCTTCAAGACGCTTCACAGGGTATACTGTAAAGTGAATTGACCGTATTTTGTGGGCGAAACACGGCAGACAATTGTGCAAAGCAGTGTCACACAAACAGTCGTGGATTGAGTGACGAAATGATTATTATTAATTTTTTTTTGAAGGAAATATTATATTGAGTAAAAGCGATCCACCAATCGACTAACAACCGTGTTCCTACTTACTGCTAGGTAAACAGAGGCGTGTGGAGTAAGGAAACTTGTCTAACATTTCACGCAGCCGGGAATCAAACCTGGGTCCTCTCACTTTGAGAATATGGGTTGAAGGAGGGAGGACCGGGGAGCAGCGAGGGGAGAGTGGGGTGGGGGGGTCATCTGTGCTTTGGATACTATCCCACAGTTTACACCCACAGGGCAGGATTCTGACAAGAGAAACTCATGGAAGTAATATAAACAAGATTATACCGTGTTCCTCTGCCCGACACCTTCATTCATTTAACACAAACTTGCTGTGCACCACGGAGCCCTCTGGGTGGCCATGACTTCAGGGGCAACACTCCTCAGTTCTGGCACTCCCTGCTTCAACCCCTCTGCCTCACCCACACCCTCTTCGTCAATCTTTGTACATTACAAATTGATGTGTGCTCTTCAGTAGAACAAATGTTGGTATATTAATTATTAACATTGAAATATTAACATTGTAGTTGTAATAATACTAAATATAATAATCCTTGCATTTGATATAGCGCTTTTCACGTCTTCTCGACATCTCAAAGAGCTTCACAGAATTGACCGTATATTTGTGGGCGAACGCGGCAGCCAATTGTGCACAGCAGTGTCCCACAAACAGTCGTGGATTGAAAATGACCAATTTATTATTGTTTTGTTTTGGAGGGTTTATTATCAGGTGTGTGGAGTAAGCAAACTTGCCCAAGGTTTCGCCCTGCCGGGAAATGAACCCAGGTGTCTCAGTTGCAAGGCGGGTGCTCTAGTTGGTCACTGAGAAAGTGATACACATTGGATTTTCGATTTCATCTATTTTTGCAGCATTTTAGAATCCAGAATTCGGCAAACTCGTAAATATGTCTTTAATTCTGAAGCCGTAGTGCTATAAGTTATTTCAAAGACCACAGAATAAAGAGTAAACCTAGTCCCTGGTGGAATTGCTCTCAGTAAATAATAATAGTAATAATAATAATCCTTGCATTTGATACAGCACCTTATTGTGTCGTCGAGACGTCTCCAATTGCTTCACAAGATATACTGTGACGTGCTTTTGTGGAGTCCCGTAGCGCAGTGGTTAGTGTGATCGCCTTGCAGGCGAGAGGTCCCGGGTTCGATTCCCAGGAGGGGCGAAACCTTAGCAAAGTTTCCTTAATCCACACGCCTCAGTTTACCAAGCAGTAATAGTGTATAAGAGTTTAAGTGTGACTGTGTATCTTGTGGGCGAAACGTAAAGTACTTAGTTTAGTACTTACCACAATATCGAGTTCACGAACAGTCCCACTACACACAAGGCCACACATTAACCTGTGATACAAAAGTTTCCCAAAGATGTCGTACTTCTGCACAGCCGAGCAGTTAGCCATTCCCTGCAAAAGAAACTAACACTGGGTCACTGTGTCAAAGGAAGTGTTAGATCCCACAGTCCCTCCACCTTGCCTCCTTCAAGACCTGTCTCAAGACCCTCCTCTTCGACCGCACCTTTGGTCACCCTCCTACCCCTACCCTTCCCGCTGTCCTCCACCCCTCCTGATCCCAACCACCAGCTCGGGTGCGGATCCCTGAATGTCCAGCACTTTGGGACGTCCCCCTGAAAGGCGTGAAAGGTGCTGTGCAAATGTAATTTTTTGTTGTTGTTGTTGCTGTTCCAATGGGGAACTGTAACGATGCATTTCCTGCGCGAATCTTACAAAATCCACTTCAAAACAGCTGGTCATGTAAACTCTTTTGAAACCTGTGGGGTGAGGTACCTACCGCTTCTGTAGGAGTTTTTGGTTCACATGTTTCCTCCGTGCTTTCATTAACCTTGGGGCAATCCGTTTCGATAAGATCGAAATGCACGGTAATCTCCTCGCCCGCTGAAACCTGTGGACAGAGATGAGGCGTTGAGGGGAAACATTTAATGTAATAATAATAATCCTCGCATTTGATACCGCGCTTTATCATGTCTTCGAGATGTCTCAAAGTGCTTCACTGGATATGCTGTAAATTGAATTAACTGTACATTTTGTGGGCGAAACTTAGCAAACGATTGCGCACAGCAGTGTCTCAAAAAAAAGTCGTCGATTGAGCGAGCAAATTGTTATTTTTTTAAAAAATGTTGATGGGATTGACTGGAAAAGAGATCCGCCAATCAACTAACAACCGGGTTCCTACTTACCACTGGGTAGACGGAGAAGGCCATTCGCCCTATCGTGTCTGGGCCAGCTCTCTCAAGAGCAATCCTTTCAGTCCTACTTACCTGGCCTTTCCCCATACCCCTGTAGCTGACTCTTTTTAAGGTATCTGTCTAGTTCCCTCTTGAAATCCAACGTGGCTCAATTATCGCTCACGTCAAGGCATTCCATATCCTTATTATTCTTTGAGCTCAAGGTCTTGACATGGGCTTGAAACCACAGCATTTTAACTCAGAGGAGAGAGTGCTACCAACTGAGACAGATTAAATGCTGTAGCATGAATAATCCCATTGGACAATTGGGTCAGATTAAGGTTGCAAACTGCAGAGAAATTAAACTCTCAAGAATCTGTCCATGTTCCTGTCGTTGCAAATGGTATAATAGCACCACTTGGTGGTAGGACATGGGGTTTGCATATGGATTCTCCAATTCAAGTTGCCCCATTTGGAAGGTGCAGTGATGGAAGGCATTGAGGGGCAAAATTCCCAATTTAAACTTAATTTTTTCAATTTAAAAAGCACCGCCTTCCAAATTAAGAATTAAAAAAAAAATCACAATTCTCCTCGATCGTAAATTTTGTGTCAAGAAGCTTGTAGGTGAACATGGTGGGTAATCCAGTCTACACCCTAACCAGCTAATTCGGTTCAATGGTAGCATGTCTGGTGAAAGATGAGCAAAGCCATGTCAAAGCTTTGTGGTGAACTACCTGTGCTAGGCATGGCTACACGGCACCAGTGTGCTCTCCCGGGGGTAATAATGCCTCCAAAACAAAAACTGGTCACTCAATCCACGACTGTTGGTGGGACACTGTTGAGCGCAATTGGCTGCCCCATTTCGCCCATAAAATATAAAGTCAATCCACTTTACAGTATATTCTTTGATGCTTTGATGCTTTGAGACATCTCAAAGATATAATAAGGCGCTATATCAAATGCAAGGATTATTATTACTGTCGATGGTGACGATGATTCACTAGTTTGTCTACAACAACAACAGCAAGATTACATTTGTATAGCGCCTTTCACATCAGGCGGAAGTCACAAGGCGCTGGACAGAGTACAGCATTTCAGTCCCGAGCTGGGGTCAGGTGGGGAGAAGGGAGGGGAAGGGGAGGTGGCCGATGGCATGGTCGAAGAGGAGGGTCTTGAGGCGGGAATTGAAGGAGGCTAAGGAGGGGGCGAGGCTAATTGGAAAGGTAGACATGCGACTGAGGGAAAGGGATGCCTCTCACTTGGATCCTGATAAACCCTCAAGCCATCACCATCCCCCTAACAGCCAACCCTCCTGAGGTAGGTTGGGCCTAGCAGGAGAAGCAGTATGGTTTCCAAGTACTTGTGTTGAAATAAAAGTTCATCACTCCACAGAACTTTTTTTAACATACAAAGTGATGGGAAAATCCCCACCAGCCCCTAGGAATCCCCCAGCAGTAAATTGCCCTTCTCATGATAATAAAAATAAATAATAATAAAGGTAATGATGATTTTGTCGTCAGTCACCAACTGTTTAGGCAGTGACTGTGTAGTGTCTGTAGTGAGTCCTCATCAGATACATGAAGTGTTGTTTCATCTATAGAAATCTGAGATGGATAGATATTTATTAGGTCAGAGTATTAAGGGATATGGGGCAAGGGCAGGTAATTGGACTTGAGATATAGATCAGCCATGATTTTATAGAATGGCGGAACAGGCTCGAGAGGCTGAATGGCCTCCTCCTGTTTCTCTGTTATCTGCTTTTATTGTTTCTGGATGTTGGATAAAACTGCCCCTTTGAGTTCAGTCCCCACCAGTGATAATTGACTGTAATAATAATAATAATCCTTGCATTTGATATAGCGCTTTTCACGTCAGGAGGACGTCCCAAAGCGCTTCACAGAACACACTGTAAAGTGAAATGACTGTATATTTGTGGGCGAACGTGGCAGCCAATTGCGCACAGCAATGTCCCACAAACAGTCGTAGATTGAAAATGACCAATTTAATTATTGTTTTTGGTTTTTTGGAGGGATTATTATTAGGGGTGTGAAGTAAGGACTGTACATCTTGTGGGAGAAACTATTCCTACCCTTAACCTCTTAATCTTCCTATCTTAGTCTCAAAACTCCCAAGCTTTAAGCCTGTCTGACTTCCATTCTTCTTACATTCCATAGGCTTGGTCTCACCTAACCATGAACTCAGAAATTACTCTTTTCTGTTTTTTTTCAACCCAACCGTAGATACCTACTGGACTGTGAGTCTTAGTCTGTCAATTCAGTGTGACTTTAGTTCGAGATTAAAGTTACGGCCGCAGAAATATACAGTCAATTCACTTTACAGTGTATTCCGTGAAGTGCTTTGAGACGTCTCGAAGACTTGATAAGGCGCTACAGCAAATGCAAGGATTATTATTGTTATTATCAGCAGTTTGGATTTTGAAATGATATGCATATTTTGAGTTTTAATAAGACGCTGAAAGTATTTTTTTACATACACGATAGAGGGATAAAGTAACCAGCACGATGGAAGCTTTAAACAAAAAGTCAACATTACTGTGAGCACAAATTTTATCCTCAAAAGTACATTGTGGCAAACTTGTTAGGTTGAACTCCAGTCTTTTTACACCTTATCTGTACATAATCCAACAAAAGTCAATGATTAAGTAAAGTTAAGGCACGGCCACATATTTTACCTCGTGTTCAGCTGAAATAACTCGCGTCAAAGCATATTTGAAGGCCTCGTTGCTCTTGTTGTTGAATCTGGAAATGGCAAAGTCTATGCTGCTCTGTACACGTGGGTCTTTGGTGTTCAAGGGCAATGAGCAGCCAGTGCAAGAAGCATTAACAGCGACAATATCTAGAAAAAAAGCAGTTGCAACAAATGTTTAGTTGATGACGAAAGGAAAAAAAGTTGAAACCATTCTTTGCTCTTGAAATACTCCTGCGGGGGAATGGGGGAAAAGTATTGTTTGTTTAAATTTCTTCTTATAACAATAATAATAATCCTTACAAACAAAGGCAGAAGTCACTGGGAACACTCAGCAGATCAGGCAGCATCTAAGGAGAAAGATAAATCATTCCATAGATGCTGCCTGACCTGCTGAGTGTTCCCAGCGACTTCTGTTTTTGTTTTCAGATGTAATGTTTTCACAGTAATACTGAGTCTCCCATCCAGAGAGTCTCTCAGCTAACACACAGTAGTCCATGTTATCAGCAGTGTTTGTATAAGAAAATGCCCTCCTCACTTGTACCCCCAGTTCCACTATTCACAAAATCAAGTTAATCCCAAACTCTGCATACTCACCCGCACGAAACACTGTACCCCCATCACACCAGTTCTAACCACGCTCCCCTGTTCCCTATTACCGAACGGATTGATTTCAAGATCCTCACACTCGTCTTCAAATCCCTTCATGCAATAGCACCTCCCCACCTCTCCGACCTGCTTACTCCCCAAGCCACTAACCACTGCCTCCACTTGACTGGCTCCGGCCGACTGCGTGTCCCGCGTGCCCTCCGTTCCATCATCGGTGACTGCACTTTCAGCCACTGCACCCCGAAACTCTGGAACACTCTCCCTCTGTCCTTCTGCCTTGCCCCCTCCTTCGCCATCTTCAGATCGTGCCCAAAGACCTTTCTCTTCGACCGTGCTCACGGTCACCTCCCCCGGCTTGATGTTGTGCTCCACCACTGTCAAGCGCTCTGGGACGCTACCCTGCGTGAGGGGGCGCTACATAAATACAAGTTGTTGTTATGTTATTTGTTCAGGGCTTCACATTCTAATTCTCTGCGTTTCAAAGTGAGTTTAGAAGTTCAGCGTTGGTTTGGACTGCCAATGCACAGCGGAAACACCTACACTGGTGGACTTACACAACAATCTGTTATCTATCCATCTTCCAGGATCCCTCAAGCTGAATCGTTTCTATGGCTTTGTGGAATGATACACTCAACAAACTTTAGCACTCACACCTTGCCCTGAGGGATTCTGACCTCAGTTCTAACCTGGGCCGCCTTAATTTTAAGGTCATATCCCCCTTACAATTGATTCCCTCTCTGTGGGGAGTTGCATTCAGCTCCAAGGAACACCCCCCACCCCGCAAGAACTTTTTATAATAATAATAATCCTTACATTTGATGCAGCGCCTTATCATGTCTTCGAGACGTCTCAAAGCTCTTCGCAGATTACGCCGTAAAGTGAATTGACTGTATATTTTGTGGGCGAAACGCAGCAGCCAATTGCACAATTCCTTACTTTAACCCTCCTCCCAAACTTTCGTGTTATCCGAGCTTTCATGTTTTAGAAACTCGCGCCAGCATTGAGCACTTCCACTCCAGACACAAACGTGCAGGCACAAAAGTCAAGCTTCACGTACTCTGCCCAACATCTGGGTAGAAATTCTATTCAACGTCACACCCTTAGCAATGTCAGTCAATCAACTGGATTTCCCATTATAGTTGCATGTTGCCAAAGGCAATATTGCACATAATGCTGAATGGAATTGCACCCAAATGTGCCTTACAACACAACATTTCGTATTATAACAACAACAGCCAAATTACATTTATAGAGCGCCTTTCACGTCGGGAGGACGTCGCAAGGCGCTGAAATACCCATTACAAATATTACAAATTAAAGGCAGATTTGTGCCCAGTGAAACCTGACTTGGAATGGTTCAAGCTCGGCTGGCTACTTTGTGGATACTTTGATCCCATTCCCTGGGCTGGATTCCAACGCAGCCCAAAAGAATGTTTCACACCACCCAAGTCTTTCACTGCTCTTTGTGAATCTTTAGAGTGGCATAAGTTAAGCTAGTTGTCCGTTTCTCAAATCTTATGCTTAAGAAATAATAATAATAATAATAATCCTTGCATTTGATATATCATCTTATCACATCTTCAAGACGTCTCAAAGAATGTAAATTGAATTGACTATCTATTTTGTGGGCGAATCGCGTCAGCCAATTGCACACATCAGTGTCCAACAGTCGCGGATTGATTGAGCAAATTTTTTTTTTAAGGGATCATTGCCCCCAGAAAAGCGATCCACTAATCTAGAGACAACTTACTGTTAGGTAAACAGAGGGAACTTGTCAAACGCTTTGTCCTGCTCGGGAATCAAATCCTGGTCCTCTCGCTTGCGAGACGATTGCTCTAACCAATACGGTACAGGACTGCACATAAAATTGGGTAAAACATTATTTCATAGTTAGTATGTTACCTTCATCCAGGATCGGCAGAATCAAATGGCACTTTGGAAATCCTTGAATATGACCGCTCATCCCAGCGACTGGAAACACGGATTCTGCGTGACAGTCTCCTATCACCTAAAGGGTTTGTGGAACATTGAGTCAGACTCCTTGTATGCTGCACACATTTGAGGGGGAAACACGTTCATTTCATCAAATGTACCAACAGTGTTGATCACTTTTGAGAAATGCTCTTAGAAAGGCCGTACATGTTCCTCTGTCGGCTTGATTTCAGCGCCTTGAGGCGTCCTCCCGACTTGAAAGGCACTATACCAATATAATTTTGTTGTTGTTGGCTTGTAGCGGAAATCTAGAACTCTTTCCCCCAAAGAGGCTGAGGATGCTGGATCCATTTAAATTTTCATGACTGAGGTGGATAGATTTTTGTTAGGTCAGGGCTTCGAGGGATACGGGGCAAAGGCGGATAATTGGAGTTGAGATAGAGATCAGCCTTGATCTAATAGAATGGCGGAACAGGCTTGAGGGGCTGGATGGCCTACTCCTGTTCCTGTGTTCCTATGTTACTGTCCTCAGATTGAATTAGGCCAAATTTCCCCCTGAAATATTCAGGCGGAACAACATCTTGTTGATCAGGAATCCAGAGGGGCAGTACACAAGGCTTTTCAACTGGGTTTAGGTGCTCTTATTACTCAAAAGTCGAGGCGGGGGTGTTTTAAGACACATTATAACACCATGTAAAATTGTGCTAACAGCTTGACTAAAGAAAATAATGCTTTGCAAAATATACAAAGTGTTCTTGTATATGGTTGAGAAAAGGATAGAATGTTGGCAGGCCTTGTTTGGTCTGTCTGGCCTTGTCTGGTTTCAGCTTCTGGATACTGAGATAGGGAGGAAAGAGTGGCTAGCGGTGATTCTTTTCTCAGGAGAAAATAGTCTGCTCAAGGCCATTGGCCGCACAGCTCCATTTTCTCAGAGGAAAAAACTAGAGTTTGTGAATCAGGCCGAGGAAGGGGAGGCTGAGTTAAACACACGTAAAAGAAAGATGTAACTTTGAAATAGTTGAAGTCGTTGACATTGATTTTACTGTATCTATTGTCCAGCAGTTGAATATTGCTTGCTGTTTGCTTTATTGCCAATAAACTTATTATTGATCTCACAACCGTATTGGTCGTCTCCATCCGAATCTCTTACAACCAATCCTGACATAAGGAATGGAATGTGCGTACGGCAATTATGATCCGATTGCGCTCGTCATTTCCATGTAACTTACTGCTGCTCCCAGGGGCTTGAGCGAGCAATTTGACGCAACTTGGTTTGCATCATCTGGACACTCCATCTCGTGGATTTTAAAATTGACCCAGTATCTCTCGCCTTCAGATAGCTGCAAAATAATAATAATAATCCTTGCATTTAGTACTGTATAGCGTCTTTCACAACAGGGGGACATCTCAAAGTACCTCATAGAATTTACTGTAACTTGTAGAGACTGTATTTATTTGTAGGCAAATACAGCAGCCAATTTGCTCGCACAAATGTCCCACAAATAGCCACCAAGTGAATGACCAATTTTATTCATGGGATGTTTGGACAAGACACTTGCAGGAACTCCCTGCTCTTTTCAAATAGTGCCGTGGGATCTTTAACGCTCATCTGAACATACAGCTGAGACCTCGGTTTAATGTATCATCCAAAGGATGACACCTCTGACAATGCAATACACTCCCCAGTACTGCATTGGAATATCAGTTTGGGTAATTAGGTCCTACAAATATAACTTATATCTACTACTGTGTAATCTACAGCTTTCTGACTCTAAAATTGCGTGCAGTAATTTAGCCAAAACAAATAGTGGGTTTGCAAATTTCCCAACAACATTTGACTATTGCTTTAATCTATCACCCCACTCTCAATACAACTTTGCAATGTGCCTCTGTGTGTGAGTTGTGTATTATACAGAGGGAAATCCAGGTGTCCTGAATGAAGTAATTAACAACCAATGAATTACAACCATCTTTAAATCCTTGGAGGACTGTTGGTCAGGACACCGGGAGAAACTTCCTTCTCTTTTGCAAATAATGAAAATCCTTGTCATTGGTTATTACTTTCAGAACTAATACTCTCTGTAAATATGTTAACTTATTTTTTTCTCGACTTTCAATAAGAGATGGCCCTGTATATATGTGTGTACATCCCTAGTGTGCGCATGTGTGTGTGTTTGCACCAGCCACATAATAGACCTCATTATCTCTGATTTGGCCTGATTTCATATTAACTCCGTAAAACCTGTCTTCCCAATTTATCCAATGCCACACCATGTCAGTCTTGTCCAAGCATGTATGAGAGTGTGCGTCCATTTCCCATCCCTCACAGTGGCAAAGTGCCTTTTCAGTGATACCACCACCATCACAGATAGTTGGTTCTCAACATATGGAAAAATCATAGGCATAGATCTGCCTCTGACCAATCTGTAGTGCAATGCTACGTCTACTATGGCATTGGGTTGTCTCATGTGCCTATCGGTCTGTAACTGATTGATCGTGTTGGGTTACATCTTTTCACTATTTCTCTAACTTTCTCTATGTCTTGGCATCAAGCTCCGCCAATGTTACACGATCCGAGACGCTTTCCTGCATGAAGAACGTTAGATAAACGCAAGTTGTCATCCTTGTACCTCTCTGGTGGCGAATGTAATCTTGCTGAGAGCAAACTTTCTCCTCCCCTTATTTTCGTGATTGTATTTTTTCAATGCTAGCTCCACAGTCTCTTTTACTGAGGGGTCATCTGGTCTTGCTGACATCAGGCATCCTTCACAAACCACTGCAACATGTTTCTCCACTGGCAAAACAAGAGAACTCAATAAGAACATTTATTGAAGGCAAATGGCAAAAGTGCGTAGAGCGACCTACCTGGACTATCATGAACTTCACCCAACTCATTATAATAATAATAATAATTATAATAATCCTTGCATTTGATATAGCGCCTTACCGCGTCTTCGAGACGTCTCAAAGCGCTTCACAGAGTATGCTGTAAAGTGAATTGACTGGATATTTTATATTAATATATATTGTATATTTTATGGGCAAAGTTATCGGTTGGAAGAACGTATTGTACCTGAACCCCAAAAGTAATCCAGCATAAACCTCAGAAAATTGATCCACCCGTCCATCTCCATTATTCAATCCAAGCTGTCGTATTTCAATAGACATTTTCCCATCCACACTGGAAGCAACAGCGTACCATAGAAATAGCACAGAAACAATTGTCAAATGCTTTGAGATGTCCTCGTGATGTGAAGGATGCTATGTAAATGTGAATTGCAGTGAATTGAATTGGGTCCTGTGGACTATTTGTTAATTTCATTCTGCACCTGTCTCAAGTGCAAGGATTATTATTATTATTATACTCGATACGCTTATTATACACAACACTCTTCTAAACAGCTGTCTTTTTAAGGTGGCCATCAACATGGCAGCAATTATTTTTATTAGGAATCTATTTTGCATAAGCTGCTGTGAATTTGTTTCACATTTTAATCTTATATCTTTTAGGATTAGCTCTAATGCTAATCCCGTGCTCTCTGTTGGCACTCTGCTATCAATCTGAGCCAAATAACTTTCTTGCAGCTACCTTTCTTAATTTTAAAGACTTTGTTGGATCATTGCCTCCACCCTTAATCTTTTTCTATTCAGAATGTGTTCAGCTCTGTGAGCCTCTCCTCTTATTTCCTTTTTTTAAAATATGTGTTTTGACTTAACAACAACAAAATGACATGTGTTTAGCGCCTTTCACAACGGGAGGACGTCCCAAGGCTCTGGACAGTCAGAGTTTCGGACCCGAGCTGGGGGTCAGGACTGGGGAGGGTGGAGGGCAGGGGGGGGGAAGCAGGGAGTTCGAAAGCAAGGTCGAAGAGGAAGGTCTTGAGATGGGTCTTGAAGGCGGCAAGGGAGGGATTGAATCGGTGGGACTTCCAGAGGGTAGGGGCAGAGGGGCAGAAGGCCTGCCCGCCAATGGTGGGGCGAGCAAGGCAGGGGACGTGAAGCAGGCCAGAGCCGCTGAGCGGAGGGAGCGGTCAGGATGGTAGAGGGTTCGGAGGTCGCAGAGGTAGGGGGGAGCAATGCATCACATTCCCAGTAATGTATCTGCTGAGTACAGGCACATCCAGAAAACGTGCAGACAACCCCCAAGGTTCTTTGTATTCTCCCAAACAGGACTGGTAATGTTCATAGCTCTGGGACACTACCCTGCATGAGGGGCACTATATATATGTAAGTTGTTGTTGTTAACTTTGCAAATCTTAGCTGTAGAGTAAATAAGGAGAAACTGTTTCCATTGGCGGGTGGGTGGGTAATCAGAGGACAAACGTTTAAGATAATTGGCAAAAGAACCAGAGGGGAGATGAGGAGAATTTTTTTTACGCAGCGAGTTGTTACCGTCTGGAATGCATTGCCTGAAAGGGTGATGGAAGCAGATTCAATAATAACTTTTAAAAGGGAATTGGATATGTACTTGAAAAGAAAAAAATTGTGAGGCAATGGGGAAAGAGCCAGGGAGTGGCACTAATTGGATAGCTCTTTGAAAGAGCCGGCACAGGCACAATGGGCCGAATGGCCTCCTTCTGTGCTGTAAGATTCTTTGATTCTAGTTTATGGATCAGTGATTTCTGTTTCTTTTTAAACCTATTTAGGACAGCGTTTAAGTGGCCTACCTGGTAACTTAGTCCACAATCCCATTAACCTTTGTATGACATCAAAGTTCCACCCGACTTCCCTTTCTAACTCCCAACTTCCTCATGTTTGAACTCAGGTTTCGAATACTTCACCTGAGTGAACAGTATCGCCTGTGGTTGTGTGATGTTGTTCAGCAGAAACTCACATTGTGAGCCTCAGATCGTTAACGTATTTGTGTACCGAGCAAAATCACACACACATACTTTAGATAACCTCAGCGAGTTAATGATCATTTCTGCCTGAGGATTTAATAATGAAATCCACGCTTTGAAAGCTTCACATTTGTGCCAGGTTCAAATAGCTCGTGCTTATTCAGTGTAGTCTATTTTCAGTGATTTTGGTGGGATATGATGTATAACCCATTTCTCTAAGTGGAAAGAGAAACAAATTCAGGTCTAGTCATTGAGGCTCTAGTCAAGTTCCACCACCCTGGTTGTCGCATGTTCTAGACAACATGAAGCTGTAACATGCAACTACCAGAAGGTCACTAGATGGACCTAGGACTTTTTTGGTTCCTATGTGGGCTTGCACTGTGTCCCACTGTTTTTCTTCAATTATCTCAGAGTTGATAGTAGTCTGACCTTGGCACGTACACATGGTGTTGTCAGCAGCGATTCTACAAATTCCTTTCATTTGCAATAGGATGTTGTCCTTGGTGAAAGGTGAATTTCATGACTATGGTAGTTTGCATTTACAACACTTGCTAAATGTTTGAGAAGGGAATTAGATCAACATTGGAAGAGGAATATAGGGTTTTAGGGAAACAGCAGTAAATTGGGATTAGAGTAGTTGGTTCCAGCTAATTTCAGTACAGTGAATGACCTCCTTTCCTGTCATCTCTTTCATTCTGAGTTAACAAATCTTTAAGGCACTTTAATGGCCACTGATCAACCAATGCTCAAAGTCCTTCACATGAAAGAGAGGGAATTGAAGGGTACAGAAGGGAGTAAAAGAAAGGACGGAGGCTCGTGTAGAGTATCAACACTGGCATGGACACAAATGGAATGCAGCTAGTCTGGTTTGAACAGTGTACTAATGTAGAAGAACACAATATTAGTCTCCTGAGAATTCCTCATTGATCAGGAATGTATTCTCTAGATATAACTGGTTATTCACTTCATAACCGTTTGTAGGACATTGCTGCGTACAAATTGGCTGCTGTGTTCGCCTACAAATACAGTCACTCCACTTTACAGTCAATTCCTTTGAAGCAATTTGACATGGTTTGACAACTTTATAAGGCCCGAAGTTAAGTGCAAGAATGATTATTATTAATAATTATTTCTCAATAATTTTACTTTCTTGACAAGCTTGTGAATTCACTCTGCCGGGAGAAGGAAAGCCAGTGAAGCTGAGAGAGGATGGGTGTGATAAGCTCGTGGAGGAGAGGTGGGGAGAGTGGGGAAGAAGAAAATTGGTTAAAGAATAAGCTTAAATCAGTGCACTTGTGATCCAACCTCATTTTGCTACACTGAACTGAACACAAGCAGTGAGTGAATTAGAGTCTGCATATAGTCAACTCTTGTAATAACTAACGCCTTGAAAGCAACCACAGTTCCTGACTGAGGAATCTCATACTCACCCATTTCTTTCACAGGCTTTAGAAGATCGCAGGTTGTCTTATATGTTTTAACTTGAAATCCAAGTTCAAAATAGACGACTCCTTGACATGTACCCATGACCTGAAAGACATGAAGCACAGAAATCTAATACCACTCAAATATATTCCTGTCTTTTCATTAGACACACCCTTTAAATATCAGTCTAAGTGTTTTTTTAAAAAAAACAATCTTTTCCATGGTGATAAGTATTTTTTTAAAAAATGTATATTTATAAAATATTGCCTCCCGATTTTGAATTTCTGCAGTTTCCTCTAAGATCTCAAAATTAAGACTGAATTTCATAATTTGGCAACTTCTACACACTTTGAAAGATAATAATAATAATCCTTGCATTTGATATAGAGCCTTATCATGTCTTCGAGACATCACAATGGGTTTCACAGAATATATTATAAAACAAATTGCCTATATTTTGTGGGCAAAATGCCAATTGCATACAGCAGTGTTTCACAAACAGTCATGGATTGAGTGACCAAATTATTATTATTTTTATTTATTGGAAGGGATTATTACCCCCAAAAAAGTGATCAGCCAATCGACTAACAACCAGGTTTCTAGGTAAACAAAGGTGTGTGAAGAAGGAAACTTGCCTAACATTTCAGGAATCAGGAATGTTCCTGGCCTACTAGCCTTTATATGGGAGAAATTCCACCTGTGTCTAGATTTACTCTTTCTGCACGTCAGGGCATCCAGAATTTGGCAAATGTTGAATTCAGTCTTAATTTTGAAGTCAGTTTTCTATAGTTTTTAAAAGAAACTTACAGAAAACTGGTTTCAAATCCTGAATGCCGGTTTGTGGCGGAGGCCGTTTGTGCAACTAGTTTGTGGTGGAGAACAGGAGCCTGGGGTTGTCCTTAGACTTTAATATTATCTTGGAGGCCAAGGGCAATCTCAGGCTCCTCTTCTCCACCACAAATCGACTCCTCCATCCACCTTCTCACGCCTCGCCCATCCTCTCCATAGTACCTTGGGACGTGAAAGGCATCATACAAATGTAATTTGTTGTTGCTGTTGTATAGAATGCAATGAAAAACTGCAAGTCAACAGAGTAAATTCCTGGTGGAATCTCTACCTCTGTGTATTTCTTTTATCTTTGGCTTAATTTTAAGTGGCACGATTTCCTAGGAGAAAATACTTTTCTTTTGCCCTGGCAAGTATCCAACAATAATCATTGGTATATACAGCTAGATCCTGGCGTTTGTGCTTCTGGCCTTTGCCTTGCTTTTGTTTTGCTCTGTTGCGGCACCTACAGATGGTGACCTCTCCTACCTGGGCTGTTGATTGAGTTGGAAATTTCTATTAGTGTTTAAATTAAGGGCGAAAATAAATAAGAAGACACTAATACGTTCTTTGCCCTGAATATGTTAGAATACAGTGTTACGGTGGATGAAGCTTACGGATCAATTGGATGAAATAAATAATTGGGGTGAAAATTGAGACTGGTGATGTGTTAACCATTGTTGGTAAATGGTCATTATAGCCAATTGAAAAAACATCCAACCCCCTCTACCACATCTAATACAAAGACTTTGTTTGTAACTTCCAGATTGGATTTGCTAGTCCTTGGATTGTGGTATTGGAGGGTCAGTTTGCAGTATCTTGACTTAACTCAACAGAGAGTTTTGACAATGTATTGCAACATCACCTCATCTGTTTGTACTGCATGTGTGGTGGCCAGTTGCCAACATAAGGGTAACGCTACACTGCCAAATGTATACAGTAAACCTCACATAAGTGGTATCAGTTAAACGGTACATTTAATATGACTTACGCAATGTATGAGTTATGTCAAACCTGCAAAGATTATAAACTCTTTTTTGGGCAGATGTACGACTTAGGCGATTATACAATTTTATACAGATCAATCTATGCGAGTTTTATTGTACTATAAAGAGGTAATCAGGCAGTGCAAATTATATTAAGTGTTGATTGATTATTTGACTTCGGGGCAATCACAATCAATGTCATGTCCACATCTGTTAATATTAATAATAATAATCTTTGCATTTGATACAGCACCTTATCACATCTTTGAGACATCTCAAAGCACTTCACAGAATATACTGTTAAGTGAATTGACTGCAAATTTGTGGGCGAAATATATGATCATATAGATCACCTAATGATCACACAGATGCACTGTTCAGCAGGGATATAGAACCATAGAATTATACAGCACAGAAGGAGGCCATTCGGCCCGTCATATCTGTGCCGGTTCTTTGAAATGAGCTACCCAAATCAATCCCATTCCCCCGCTCTCTCCCCATAGCCCTGCAAACTTGTCCTCCTCAAAGAATTATCTACTTCTCTCTTAAAAGTTGTTATCGAATTGGCTTCCAGCATTCTTTCAAGCAATGCATTCCAGATCCGAACAACTCACTGTGTGAAGAAATTTCTCCTCACCTTCCCTCTGTTTCTTTGTACAACTATTTTAAATCGGTGTCCTCGGGTTACCGACCCACACACCAGCGGAAATAGTTTCTCCTTGTTCACCCTATTGAATCTCCTCATAATTTTGAAAACTTCTATTAAGTCCCTCTTAACCTTCTCTGCTCCAAGGAGAATAATCCTCGCTTCTCTCGCCTCTCCTGGTAACTGAAGTCCTTCATTCCTGGTACCATCCTGGTAAATCTCCTTTGCACCCTCTCCAATGCGTTGACATCCTTCCTAAAGTGTGGGGCCCAGAACTGAACACAGTATGTAGCTGTGGCCTAAACAATGTTTTATAAAGATTTATCATAACTTCCTGACTTTTGTATTCTTGCCCCTATTTATAAAGCCTAGTATGCTTTTTTAACAGCTTTATCTATCTGTCCTTACTTTATTTATATGGACACCCAGGTCTCTCTGTTCCTTCACCCCTTTTAAGAGTGCACCATCAGTTTATATCGCTTCTCCTCATTCTTCCTCACAAAATGCATCACTTCACATTTAAACTTCATCTGCCACGTGTCTGCCCATTTTACCAGTCTATGTCCTTTGGCCTTTGCTACTATCCTACTCACTGTTTACTACTTTTCCTTGCTTAGAATCAACTGCAAACTTTGACACTCTCCTTCAGTCAGAAAAACAACCGTTCACCACAACTCTCTGCTTTCTGTCTCCCAGCCAGTCCTGTATCCATGTTACCTGTCCCTTTAATACCGTGGGCTTCTATTTTGCTTACAAGTCTCTTATGTGGCACTTTATCAAACGCCTTTTGAAAATCCATATAAACTACATCAACTGCACTACCTACATCCACCCTCTCCATTACTTCATCAAAAAACTCTATCAGGTTTGTTAGACATGATTTGCCTTTAACGAATCCGTGGTGGCTGTCCTTCATTAACCCATATTTTTCTCAGTAAAAATGTATTTATATCATTTATATCAAGGCAGTTCTTGATTGATTGTTCCAATACTGTGGACTAAATTCCTTCCCCATTTTGACATGTATTGGATGTAAGTAACACATTAGACATAAACTTTCATGAAGGAATGGTAAACATAACAAAACATAAGAACATGAGAATTGCTATCCAGTACGCCTTCCAACCTCCTGGCAGTCGCTTGCGCATGTTATGTCCCAAACTATATACTGTATCCCAAGATATTATTTCCTAAAATAAATCTACCTAATATGCTTTCCAAAACTCACAGTGTCACGATCAGTTCTGAAAGGGCAAATTCTCAGGGTCATGTGTTCCTGACAAAGGGTTTCCATGATGTCGAACGTCACAAGGTACATCTTAACTCCCAGGGACACCATCTGTTAAAAGACAAAATTTTCACATCAAATCTTTGTACAACGTGCAATATAAACACGGCACGAGACTAGTTGGTGCAAGTTGTCTTTTCTTGTCTTTTCTTCCACACACCCCATCCCACTTTCTTTGTCTTTAAAACTTCAAACCTTTTAAAATTATTAATAATAATTAATAATAATAATCCTTGCATTTGATATATTATTATTATAGTATTATTAGTATTATTATCCTGCATTTGATATAACACTTAAAGACATCTCCAAGTGCTTCACAGAATATACTGTAAAGCTAACTAACTGTATATTTGTAGGCGAAACTCGGCAGCCAATTGAGCACAACTGTCCCATAAACATGGATTGAAGTGTCCGATTTATTATTGTTTTTTTTCTTGAGGGATAATCATTATTAATATAATAATATTATTAATAGTAAAAACTCGCATTAACAAAGAGGGAAAAAAATTAACACTGTTTTTTTTTACAGTGAGTTATATATACACACATATATATAAAGCGCCTTGTCACGTCATCGAGACATCTCAAAGAGCTTCAGAGAATATACTGCCAAATGAATTGTTTGTATATTTTGTGGCCGATCATTTAAGGGATTATTACCCGCAGAAAGCGATCCATCAAATGACTAACAGCAGAGTTCCTACTCAGAATTTCGGGCCATTGTGGCTGACAGCAGAGCCACTGATGGTGGAGCGGAGGGGACGAGGGATATGCAGGAGGCAAGCTGAGTGCAGGCAGCGTACGGTGGAGTACGGTGTCAGCAGGAGCCAATGGAGCCAGCCAAGGACTGGGATATTGAGGTATGGAGTTTGGTGTGGGTTAGGATATGGGCAGCGTACTTTTGAATTAATTAGATTGATGAATGGTGGAGCCGGGGAGATTGGAGAGGAGGGCATTGGAATAATCGAGCCAAGAGGTGACAAATGCATGAATAAGGGTTTCGGCTGTGTTGGGTGTGAGGTACTGTCAGAGAGAGAGGAAAGCGGTCCTAGTCAGGACCGGCTGTGGGGTAGGGAGGACAGCTGGGGATCGAACCTGACACCAAGGCTATGTAAATAATTAAGTTTGAGGGATAGGCCAGGGAGGTTAAGGAACCACAGGTGAGAAGACGTTAATGGGAACCAAGGAGTATAGCTTCCATCTGGTCAACATTCAGCTGCAGTAAGTTGGCACTCATCCATCTGTAATTACGGTGGAACACTTTGAGGCATTTTGTGACAGCAGTACTCCAAGACAATGTTGGTGACAGGCCAGCCAGTCTGGCTCATCAGTAGGATTTGGGTGGCTAGACCAGTCAATGGGGACAGGGATTCTTCCCATTGGCTCTTGTTAACCTTGCAACCCAAAGTCCTAGCTGGGCAAGCAGCAGGAAGCTTGCCAGACAGCGCTCACAATGGCAGACTTTGCAGTTATAATTGGTTAACCACTTAACCACTAGTAGCACATACTCTGGGTTGTGTTTTGCCTCTTGACAATGAGAATCTAAAACTTGCAAACTGGAATTATGCAAATTGGGTGACGATTTTCAGGGAAAGAGTGTGCGCTCCATTCCAGATAGAGGGAAATTTCCCTGTGTAGCTGGCAAGCAAATGTGAGACTCTCAATTATCTGGTTTGGATATGTCTAAGCACGTTGAGGGTTTATAAACTGTATGAATCAGACACCTGGGTGAACAATAAAAATAGTTCTTTTTTTAAATAGCCTAACCTTTTTAATTTATTTTGCTAGTGTTAAATTATGGACTTAGTGTAGTTGAAATGTACAGTACAAATTAATATTTGTTATTGACGATGAGTAATTGTTACTTACCTTATATTTCGCGCTTTTGAGTTGTCTCAGTCTGAAGAGGTAAGGACTGTCAGACTTTCTGTTGTATGCAGTCGCTGCATAATCTGCAGCCAGATTTGCTTCAGGATCAGAGAGTGGAACCCGAATAAACCCCTTGGATTTATCCGAAACAGTGGCTGAATGCATGGTGGCAAAGCACAAAGCAAACACAAATGCTCCGTAAGCCATGTTGCACATCAAACGATTGCTCCTGGATGGTTAGCTGGCTGAAAAGAAAGTCCTCAATTTGCAACCATAAACACCCAACATATCGCACTGGATGTTCCACAGAGCCTTTGCACAAGGTTTTGGCCATGTTCCAAAATGTTTTGTTGAGTTAGCATTTTACTTCCAAAGTGGACTAACATCCTGACTTTGAAGTCTAACTCAACAGGAGTGAATGCTACGAGTTTATCAGCTCGACATTGCAACCTTTCACTAATGGGTTGATGTTTAATGTTAAAAAAAACATGCAAGTAACTGATTTTGCAGAATGCAATATCAGATTAACTAAATTACATGGTCTTCCGCTGAGTCTGCACTACTTTTTTTAATTGCTACAATGTGGAGAAATAGAAACTCTATTCCATTTCTATTCATAATAATAGTATATGTGGAGTCCTGTAGCTCAGTGGGTAGAGCACTCGCCTCGGTATATTCTGTGAAGCGCCTTGAGATGTCTCAAAGACGTGATAAGGAGCTATTTCCAATGCAAGGATTATTACTATATCATATATAATAATCCTAGCATTTGATACAGTGACTTATCACGTCATTGAGGCTTCTCAAAGCACTTCACAGAATATACTGTAAAGTGAATTAACTGTATATTTTGTGGGCGAAACACAGCAGTCAAATGCACACAGCAGCTGTGGATTGAGTTATTATTATTATTTTTTGAATGGATTATTACCTCCAGAAAGCGATCTGCCAATCGGCTAGCAACTGGGTTACTACTTACTGCTAGGTAAGCAGAAGCATATAGAATAAGAACTTACCTAAGGTTTCGCCCGCCCAGGAATCGAACCCGGGACCTCTCGCTTGCAAGGCGAGCGCTCTAACCAATATCCTACAGGACTAATCTACATTGACGCTCTAGTCCAGTGCTTCGATGTGCTGCTTTGTCGGAAGTGCTGTCCTTTGAATGAGACATTAAATCGAGGACTTGTCTGCCTGCCTGTTCAGCTGGATGTTAATTATTCCTTGGCACTGTTTGAAAAGAGACACGTGAAGCGCTTTAATAATAATAATAATAATCCTTGCATTTGATAGAGCGCTTTTCACGTCTTCTAGACGTCACAAAGCGCTTCACAGAATATACCGTAGTTAATTGACTGTATATTTGTGGGCGACGCGGCAGCCAATTGCGCACAGCAGCGTCCCACAAACAGTCGTGGATTGAAAATGACCAATTTATTATTGTTTTTTGACTTGGAGGGATTATTATTAGGCTCTGTGTGGAGTCGTCTCGAAGACGCGATAAGGCGCTGTGTCAAATGCAACGACAGCAACAAAACAACGCGATAAGGCGCTGTGTCAAATGCAACGACAGCAGCAAAACGACGGGATACGGCGCTGTGTCAAATGCAACGACAGCGGCAAAACGACGGGATACGGCGCTGTGTCAAATGCAACGACAGCGGCAAAACGACGGGATACGGCGCTGTGTCAAATGCAACGACAGCGGCAAAACGACGGGATACAGCGCTGTGTCAAATGCAACGACAGCAGCAAAACGACGGGATGCGGCGCTGTGTCAAATGCAACGACAGCGGCAAAACGACGGGATACGGCGCTGTGTCAAATGCAACGACAGCGGCAAAACGACGGGATACGGCGCTGTGTCAAATGCAACGACAGCGGCAAAACGACGGGATACGGCGCTGTGTCAAATGCAAGGATTATTATTATTATTATTATTAATTATTATGATCATCGGCAAGTCAGCAACTTGATTTTGAGAAGGGATCTGCAATGGCCACCCCTCCACCTCAAACCCAGGCGACGAAAAAAAAGTCACCCCTTTTGATTGACATGTAACCATCTCTGGGGCTGAAGGACATGTCATTCAAGTCGCGGTTGGTTCAGGGGTGGGGTGGGCGAGAGACGATTCGGCGCAAGCGCAGAGAGAGCGAGAGCGAAGCCTGCAACCGCTGCTCCTTTACCAAGATGGCGGCATGGATCGCGTGCGTCATTGCTGCCCCCCCTGGTTTCGGCCAATGGCGGTTCAAAGAGAGGGGAGAAGGGGGGTGAGTGTTACGTACTCGGAGGCGCGTGGGGAAGGGGGTGGGGTCACGGGGCCAACGGACAATCGGCGGCAGGTGGGTGAGCGGGTGAGTGAGTGCGCGCGGGCGGGCGGGCGGTTGGGCGCGCGGGGCAGGCCGGGCCGGGCCGGGGTTGGGGCATCCACTACCACTATGAGTTGCTCGGCAACGGGGCTCCTTCACTGAGCGGACGGCACCCCCTCCCCTCCCCTCTAACCCCCCCCCCCCCCTCTCCCCGGGCACAGGGTCGACTTTCTACATCCAGTGAGTAACGCGGGTCAGTGTGTGGTGTAGTGTAATAATAATAATCATCACCATCACCACCATCTTGCATTTGATATAGCGCCTTATCACTATATACAGCGTGTGTATGAGGCGTGTGTGTGTGCAGCATGTGTGTGTGTAGTGCAGTTTGTGTGTGTGGTGTGTGTGTATGTGTGTGTATGCAGTGTGTGTGTGTGTAGTGTGTATGTAGTGTGTGTGTGTGTAGTTTGTGTGTGTGTGTGTAGTTTGTGTGTGTGTAGTGTGTATGTAGTGTGTGTGTGTGTGTAGTTTGTGTGTGTATGTAGTGTGTGTGTGTGTAGTTTGTGTGTGTGTGTGTGTAGTTTGTGTGTGTGTAGTGTGTATGTAGTGTGTGTGTGTGTAGTGCCTGTAGTACGTGAAAGGCGCTATACAAATGTAATCTTGTTGTAGTAGTGTGTTGTGTGTGTGTGTGTGTATGTCGTGTGTGTACTTTGTTGCCTCTAATGGTTTCTCCTCCAGCCCCCGCACTGTCACGTCTGGCGTCCCCCAGGGCTCTGTCCTTGGCCCTCTCCTCTTTAATATCTATATGCTCCCCCTTTGGTGACATCATCCGCAGACATGGGGTCAACTTCCATACGTATGCGGATGACACCCAACTCTATCTTTCTGCCTCCACCCTCAACTCCAGGACCACTGCTGTCCTGACAGACTGCCTGTGGGACATCAAGTCCTGGATGACGGCGAACTTCCTACAGTTGAATGTGAACAAGACTGAGGCCCTCCTGATTGGCTCGCGCCAGCGCCTCCGCACCTCAGGCTCTGTCAGCATCAACCTCCATGGTTGCACACTTCAACTCACCAAACCAGTCAGGAACCTCGGTGTCTTGTTCGACCCTCAACTGTCTTTTCTTCCCCACATCCCAGCCATGACCCGCTCTGCCTTCCGTTCACCTCTGTAACATCGCCCGACTCTGCCACTCCCTCTCCCCTCAGGCCACTGAAACTCTTGTTCATGCCTTCATCACCTCCAGGCTCGACTATGCAAACGCGCTGCTTGTCGGCCTTCCCAACTCCTCCCTCCACCGGCTGCAGATAATCCAGAACTCTGCAGCCCGTATCCTCTTCCGCACCAAACTTCGTGACCCCCATCTCCCCCACTCTCGCCCGACTCCATTGGCTCCCTATCCTTCAGAGGATCCAGTTCAAGATCCTTGTCCTCAACTACGAAGCTCTCCATGGCCTCGCCCCATCCTACCTCTGTGACCTCCTAACCCCCTACCAACCCGCCCGCTCCTTCCGCTCAGCCGGCTCCGGCCTGCTCCACATCCCCCAACCATTGGCGGGAGAGCCTTCAGCCACTCTGCCCCCAACCTCTGGAATTCCATTCCCCAATCACTCTGCCTCGCCCCCTCCTTAGCTTCCTTCAAGTCCCGCCTCAAAACCCTCCTCTTCGACCATGCCATCGGTCACCCCCTTCCCCTCCCCAGGATATCTAGTGTGTGTGTATGTATGTAGTGATGTAGTGTGTGTGCCTGACCCACAGCACCATGTATGTATGCTGAGGGTGGGGAATTAAGGAGGGGTGGAGGGCAAAGGGGGTAGGAGGGTGGCCAAAGGCACAGTTGAAGAGGAAGGTCTTGAGGAGTGCCTTGAAGGAAGCAAGGGAGGGGGTGAGGATGAAAGGAATGTGGGATGGAATTCCTGTTGACCGGAGGGAGCGGACAGTTTGATAATGGGTAGCAGGTCGGAAAGGTAGGAGGGGGCAAGGCCGTGGAGTCGGTGCCTGGCAAACAGGCATCATGTACATATGTAGTGTGAATGTATGTATGTGCCTGACCCCAAGCATATATATGTAGTGTGTGTGTCAGTGGGTGCCCCACAGGCATAGAGTATGTACATAGTGTGTTTGTGACAGTGCAGTGTGTGAGCGGCCGACCCTCGGGTCAATGTTTGTGGCAGCAACCGACCTATGGGAGAAGCATTACGAGTTTGGAGGGGATAAATATAAATAGTGCAAAGAAATCCAAGTGGTATTCATAGGAAACTGAATGGGACTCGGGTGAAAGTACGACTTAGGCGATTATACGATTTACAAAGATAAGAATGAATTGCACTATTCGTATGAATCACTGCCTAACTCGTAATGCCGTTCCCCTATCCTCCATTTCCCCAGCACTTACCGGCTACATCGAATCGCAAGCAATGACAGGTTGAGACACAGGAAATGTAGTCTTGAATTGTCGCCGCATGTGCATTTACTGGCTGCATTGAATTACGCATGCACAGAGTCAATTATTGATTAAATTGGATTTTATACAATTGATACAACTTGTCTGCAACTTGGACTTTGCATAAGTCATATTGAATGTGATAGTCCTGACTGATTTGATTTTTGTGCGTTTTACTGTATTATATGCAGGTTTTTCAGAAAAGGAGAAGTTTAAGCATGGTAAGGGGGTCTCTATATATTTGATAATTCCAGATGATCATGATGCCCTAATAAAAGAATAACCATGTAATTCTGCTGTAAGAGGCTGCTGCCAAATTTGAAATGTCGCTCAATGAAGTTAAAGATCAGTGAATGGATTTGGAATGGGGATTTTGATGTTTTGCTAGATCTTGAGATATTTAGTAGCTGTTTGTTGGACATTGCTGTTTGTTGGTTTCACCTACAAATATACATACAGAAAAAGCTCTGTGAAGCGCTTTGAGACATTTTGCCATGAAAAGGGGACATCAAATTCAGGAAATATTATTTTAATTTCAACTGGTCAGTTGTGAGTTGGTTGATGCCAGACTTCCATGTTGACACAGTGCATAAAGGCATTAACTGTGACTTTCCCAACTGGAAAGTCACACATTTGACCTCTGATGCCAACTGCATTAATAGTTTGAGCACTGCAGTTGGCTGTATAACCCTGATTGCTATTCAGTGTCCTTGTTCTTTGTGTATGTTTACACTTGCAATGACTACATAAAGAGTGGTTTATTTTCAGTAAAATCTTTGACCCTCCTATCATATATTAACTTTACATGTTAAAAATGTATTTGCTTATGATTATTTCTTATATCAATGCTAGGGTAATACTGTAACATGTTTATTTTGTTCCTCTATCTTTAACATGGTTTGACATGTTTCGATTTTAGCAATCCAGGTGGCTGGGGCTTTCCTCCCATTTTCCTCTTCCACACCACCATTATTTTTTCCTTTTAGTGTTTTGTAATTGGGGTGGGGATCATACTTCAGTGAGTTCAGGCACACTGCCTAGTAGGATTTCGCTGTCCAAGGTAAACACTCAGAGTAAAAAAAAGTGCCTGAGCTTGGAAAACTAAATGACCATTCTTAATTGTTATCTCCACAAGTGTGCAGAATGTTTTGTAACGGAAGAGGGCTTAATGTACCATTCATACTTACTTCCTGAAATCTTATTTTTTTCGACTCGTCTGGAAAAAGAGAGTAAAATCAGGATAACACAAGATAGGTGATCCTCTTTTTTTTAAATAATCTGGGAAATTAGTTTGGCTGCATTTCATTATGTTAATAATATTTAAATTATATTCACAGTACAGCCTTGATGTTGTAGTGAATAGACTTGCAGCTGGTGTACCAGAAGCGTGTTACCTTTCATACCCTCCCTGCCCTCCACCTCACGTGACCCCAACCCCCAGTTTGGGTCCAAATCCCTGACTCCAGCACCTTGGAACATCCTCCTGACGTGAAAAGCACTATACAAATGTAATCTGTTGTTGTTATTGCATATAATCCTGGTTCATTCTGAGTTTTCCGCTACAGCTGAGTGGGCTGCTGATACTCGGCAACAGTGAACTGCACACCGGTGAGAGGAAGCCACAACCGTATGCCAGTGCACGGAAAATTAGAACAAATAATTGGATGTACTAAATTTCAAAGGCCTAACAAAAGATTATCTTCTGGTGATTCATCGAGCCTGCAGTGTAATCCAAGACATTTTTTCTATCTCTCTGTAGTGCGGCCGAACCTTCTTTGGTTGGTGATTATGGTATCAGACTTCAGGTATACACCAGATAATCCAGTGCAGTGATAGTGAACACAATCAATGTTCAATACAGACATTAAATAACAATAGGAAACACATGTGCATTTGTTTGAATTTGCCATGGAGAGAGATTTAAGGAGATCTACGCAAGTTGGTTGCCTCATCACTCACTATTTCAAAACTGTGTGAGGTAGAAACAAGGCAAATAGCACGCTGATCAGTACTGCCAAATCGGTTGAGTTCAGATCCCCCTAATCTAGGGTGACCATATTTTGTAAACCAAATCTGGTTTACGTATATAAAAATAATTGAACTCACCACAATTGCTGATGCTGGCAGTACTGGAGAAGCTTGTTGGATTAATGGCTGTCTTTCTCAGATACGTGTGTATCTGTTTTAGAATTTTATTGCTCGGTTTGTTGACGGGGCAAATCTGGCCCCAGGGACACAATACCTCATCCAGGGACTGTTCATGGAAATCAGGCACGGATGATCACTCGATCCTACTCACACTACGTAGTACTTTGGCCAGGCTCTTAACCAATTTAAAATTGGTGTTTAACATAATAATAATCCTACTAATCCTTGCATTTGATATAGTGCCTTATCACATCTTCGAGACTCTCAAAGGGCTTCACAGAGTATGCTGTAAAATGAATTGACTGTATATTTTGTGGGCGAAACGCAGCAGCCAATTGCGCACAGCGGTGTCCCACGAACAGTCGTGGATTGAAGTGACCAATTTATTATTAGTATAATATAAAAGGGTTAAATAACGTTAGTATAAATAACCTGTTTTCACTTGTTGGGGAATCTATAACCAGGGAATACTAGTACAAGATAGTGACTAGGGGATCTAAAAGAGAATTTAGAAAGAACTTCTTCACGCAAAGGGAATTGAGAATATGGAGTTCACTTGTTGAAACAGATAGTAAAGATGCATTTAAGAGGAAGCTAGATACAGTATGTACAAGTGAGAGAAGGGAATGAGAGGGAGTAATGGGGTAGGTGGTGTATAAATACCGGCATTTAAGCCAAATAGCCTGTTTCCATTCGGTACATTCTGAGTTTTGCAGCCTTTATGTTGAGCATTGCCTTAGCCACTGGTGTTTATTCTTTTTAATCTGATTAAAAATTCAGAGCCCCTGGGTATTAAGTTTCCACGTGCCTCAATACCAAATAGAATTGTTTCTTTGTACAGCTTTCATGTACTTTTAATGAACTGAAACTCATAATGCAATCCTGTAATAAAGGTGCTGTTCATTTGCAATTCTGGTTTACTTTAATAAAAGTTCTCTCATTTGATATTGCACCTGCATAATGAAAGTCTCAAAATGTTGCACAGCTAATTCCCATCAAGTATAGGGTCTATGTTTGCAGGCAAACACAGCAGTCAATTTGTACAGAGCAAGGTCCTATAAATCGTCATGACTGACCAATTTTGAACAACTGTTGGCTATGATACTCCCTTCTCTTTGAATAGTGTTATTGGATGTTTAACAACCACCGCAACAGGTAGATTTATTTTCTTTCTGCATCTGATATTTTGTAGTCTATTAATAGATCTTTCCTGGCCTACTGACTAGCCACTTATCGTCATTCTTCTTCAGATCATGGAAGAGTAATAAGCCTGCGTATACAGAGATTAACTTAATGCACGGTATGTAAAGTGCTGCAAATTCCATTGTGATTCCTTGTAACTCTTAATTTCAAAACTGCCTTTCTGCTAAAGTCTGGGCACAAAGTGCAGAGAAGACAAGTGTTTTATTAATCTAACAGTCTTGTCTGTTTTTTAGTGCTTTGCTGAAATGATATTTTTATATAAAAATGCAAGGCGGTGTTGGTTTATTTTCTGTCAGTGGCTTGTGCTGCTGTTCTTGGACTCTATTAGTAAAACTTCAGTAAATTCACATTTAACTGGGTTTAATATTAACAGTTGTCTAACCGGTCATTACAGTGAGACCAGTATACTTGGCAGTGGATCAATTGAGATGAATCCACTTAGGCTGCTCCTGACTACATCAGTACTGCATGTTCATTAACAGAAAGCTTCTTACACAGGAGTTTATTAGCTGCTGACAGTGAAGAGTGGCGTTTATAAAAGGTACAGAAAGGATTTGTTAGCATCTGACTAACGTTTTTTTTATCAGTACTGTTAACTAGTAATTTTGTGGGTGCATTTCAAGTCCTGGTTCAATTTGTCTTTTAAGTATCCACTGAAGGTCAAGCAAGAAAGAAAATTACGATTTCCTGTCGAGAGCAATCACATTTCCCTGCATGATTTAGAGCATGATTTATTATTGCTTGAGGACAAAGGTCAGTATTTCTGCAGTAAAAGGGGCCTGTCTGTGCCTGTCTTAGAGTACAGGGTTTATATGATCTTTACTGACTTACATTTGCTCCCATTGTTGTATGTCTTAAATTGTTGTGTTTCTTATATGCAAGGTAGTCTAGGGTTGCTAGGTTTTAATAAAGAGTTGCACCTTGGAAGGGACTTGTAAAAAAACAAATCAATCAACTGCTTAAACCGTAAGTGCCAGCATTTTATGTATTACGACTCCGACTTTGGGGTGTCGTCAAAATATATGCTCGTGTCCATCAAATATTTTAAAGTTAGTTCGAGAAGTGTATATTTAAAATTTGTTAATATAAACCTGATACTGGTTTTGTCCTCCCGACTCAAGAAGAGTGGGAGGCAAATTTGGGGGAGGGGGGGCGGCTGAAGTCCCAGTCAAAGATAAAAGATTTTAGACTGATTGTGAAAGGGGTGGGGTGGGGTGGGGTGCTAAACAGCGGGATGTGAAGCAGGCCTGAGTAATAGAGTGGAGGAAGTGGGCACGAGTTAGGACTGTAGATAGGATAAAACTCCTTAAAAGCTGAGGTTGCTTTGTACACTATATACAATTATAAACTATTCATATTCTTTGCAGACCTGGTCCAAACATAATTGTTTAATTGATTGTTGGCCACTTCTGGAACAATAGTTCTACTAAATAGTATTACATAGTAACTAAGGGTTAAATGCTAGACAGAGGGCAGTCATTCAAAGGCAGAAAATTGCTATAACAGCTGTGAATTGAATTTTTTTTAACAGCATTTTTAATAACATTCTTAAATGCTTCATAAAATCAGCTCAGTCGGGTAATTTATCCCAGTTTTATTTCGACTCCAGAATTTTCCTCGTCCACCATGGTAATTGCCTAGAGAAACCTTGTTATTCAGTCATTGGAAGGAAGAAAAATTTAAGGTTCACAAGAAAATAAACAGTAGCAGTGCTCTTATTTAATAATAATAATCCTTGGTCTTGATATAGCGCTTTATCAATAATAATCCTTGCATTTGATGTCTTGATATAAACGTCTCAAAGTGCTTCACAGAATATACTGTAAAGTGAATTGTCAGTCGATTTTTTGTGGGTGAAACGCGACAGCCAATTGTTCTTATTTTACAAAGGAGGTGTTTGAAATGTGCTCAGCAATCTAGCCACATGAATAGATCAAAAACGTTTGCAATAAAATGTTACGGTTGAATTGGAACTGGGACCTCAGCCGAGGAGTGTGTTGTGTGTATCCTGGGAGAAGCATCCTAGGTACCTGGAGTACTAATATTAATAATAATCCTTGATTTTGATACAGTGCCTTATCACGTCTTCTAGACGTTCTCAAAGCACTTCACAGAATATATTGTAAAGTGAATTGACTATATATTTTGTGGCCGAAACTGTGAGTATTATTGTGGAGCCTGTCTGAACTGAGAGAGTGAATGCAATAAATTAAATCTTTTGGAAAACATTGGAAAATGCATGGCCTCTAATGTTTCACTGTTTGTGATTGTGTTTTACGATGGAATTGACTGTAAATAATTAGTATTTTACTGTATAATCTGTTTCTCTTATGGAAATTTTAAGATAGTGCGGGAATTAATAACATTTTGTGAACATTTTTTTACTCAGTACAGTATCTTAGTCTTGAGACTAAATGTAAATGAGTTTTAGAGAGTTTTTTTAATTTGAAAGCTGCTTTTCCACAGTTTTTGAGTTGTGAAAAGTCAGGTTCCACATTAAAAAATATGCAATCTTTTAAGCCTACAATTCAATCTAAAATGTTAAGTCAGTGGTTTTAAGGCTATGCCAAAGATAAAATTTTGCATCTTTGGTGTTAGTGGAACCCTGGACTGATAAGCAGGTAATCCATCAGATAAAATCAGGAAGTCAGTGATACATAGATGCACAAAGAATGCAAGACTGGAAACAGGCCACTCAGCACAACCATAAATGCACAATCAAGTCTGTACTGGTGTTTATGCTCCACACGAGTCTTCACCCATTCCTTACTCCCTCCCTTATTCTCCTATTCCCCTCTCCCTCACATGAAGTGTATCTTTCTGTTGAATGCATGTATGCTGTCTGATTGAACCACAGCTTCAGGCAGTGAGTCCTACAATCTCACTGCCCTCTGTGTGAAGCAGTTCCTCCTAAATTCTCTTTTAGATCACCTAGTCGCTTTGACTTTAATTTTCCCTCGCTTCCCAGAAATAGCACAAAAAGGAAGGCATTTAAATGTTTTGCTCGCAAGAAACCCAGGGGAAGAGTTAAAGTTCCAGATATGGCCATTCTTGAAGATCCAGTTGCATTATTCAAAAAGAGAAGGGAGTTTCTCCTGGTGTCCTGGCCAGCAAATCCCCAAATAAAAATTGATTGTTCACTCCATGGCTGTCTGTGGAACATTGCTGTGTGCTACATTCGCCAACAAAATACACAGTCACTGTACTTTACAATATGTCTTGTAAAGTGTTTTGAGACGATTTGATGATGTGATCAGGTGCCATATCTAATGCAAGGACTATTATTATTTTGTTTTAAAATAGAAAATTAAATACATTAATCACTATTTTGTTTTCTTTGAGTGAATTTTTGCTCACTTTTACCACGTTACTTGTTGTTGCTTGGGGCATTCAGTCAACTGAGCAGCCTTCTCAGGGTTAACTAAAAATCATGTTGTTCACAGTAACTGGTGTGAATGGGTGAATGAAGGAGTTTTAATCCTATTTTTTGTGTGTTCTTGCAGAGAGTTTCATAAACGGATGTACTCAAAGATGCTGCTGACTACTGCTTGGTATTGAACTGCTGATTACCTCTTGGTAGTAGTGCATGTTCAGTATGGAATCTGCTGGTATTAACTGTGATCAGACAGCTGCTCTAACCTACCAAGTACACCGCTCTGTTTTTAGCGCTGCATCTTTTCAAGAGCATCTACATAAGAAGGAGAAAAAGCGGATTCCTACAAGTGAAAGATTACTGCAGCATTTCAGGTGGGTGTCTAACTTATATTCAATAATTATTTCACTAACGTCTGCCAATAAATGCTTAAAATAGTTGAAAGAAGACTTGAAATTTTTATTTGAAATTTACACCGGCAATCTCAATTGAACACCAGCTTCCCATCCACATCACAATCCACAGGGAATTCTCAATCAAGAGAACAGAAGTCCCACAGTGTAGTGGTTAGCGTGCTCGCCTCGAAAGCGGGAGGACCCGGGTTCTATTCGCAGACTGGGCCAGACCTTCGGCCAAGTTTCCTTGCTCCACATGTCTCTGTTTACCTAGCTATATGTAGGAACCCAGTTGTTACTTGATTGGGGGATGACTTTACGCTTTTTTGTAGGTAATAATCCCTAAAAAAAAATGTGGTCACTCAATCCACAGCTGTTTGTGGGACACAAAATACACAGTCAATTCACTTCACAATATATTCTGTGCCGCGCTTTATGAGACGTTTCAGCGACACAATAAGACGCTATATCAAATGTAAAGATTATTGTTCTTATAACAGCAGGATATTTGCTTTTTGATTGGTCGCTCATGGTTACTTATACTGATTTGACCATTTTATATTTTGAATTTGTCCCCTCCAATGGGGAAGTGCTGACTGGGGTTAGAAATATGTAAACTGGAGTAAATCTCTGTAATGAGCCCATATATTTTTTATGCTTTGTAATCACTCGAATCTGTTTACCACCAAAAAGCTCTGCTGTTATCTTTGAGAGTCCAACACTTATATTTGCTATATAAGTGATAATGTGGAGGTGAATAAACATTGCATGATTGTTTTTGCACAATTCCATTTGATTACTTTATCAGCAGTTGCTAATATTAGAGTAATAAAATGATTTTATACACTGGCATTGTACGGTAAATGTTTGTAAACTGCCTGGAGTCACTGTCTCGCCTGCCCACACTTTCTTAACATCATCTTCATGGATGATACATAAAAGAGAAATGTGCTTTGTGCAACAGTTTCTAAAAACTTTGAATCTTTCCCCTACCAACCTACCCATCAACCAACTGCAACTAAACATTTTGCTCTGCATAATAGAAGGTAATTATTTCCCACAGGTAGTGGACCATAGCATCCTCAAAATTATTATTCTCCATATATTTGAGGGGTCTTAAATGCACAGAATGGGACACCTAATAGTCATATTAAGTGTCTGTTTGGCATAGTAGTAGCTTTCTTGTCCCTGTAGATCTGAAGGTTTTGAACCCCGCAATAGAATTGAGAGAGTTTCTGCATTGTTGGAAGTTATAATTTTGGCTGAGATGTAAAACCAAGGTTTTGTCTGCCTGTGCTGCATATTTAGGTTGACATTAATGTCGTCTTCCCAGTTATTCTAGCAAATATTTATCTGTCATCCAAAGCCACCAGAATCAGATTAACCTCAATGGTTATTAGCTCATTTGCCTGCATTGCATTCCTTTCATTTCAGAAATTAACTATGAATTGTATGAAATTAATTTGATATTGTAAGACTACATCCAGTGATCAGGAACTGGTGACAAATTGCTGCTAAGCTTTTAATCGGGGTTAGATAACAGTTTTTCCTATTGAACATTTGCTTGTAAAGGTCATTGGGAACCTCTGAAACTCCCTCCAGTTTGCCCATCTCCACCAGGATTGTTGGTCAAGACACCAGGAGAAACTCCCTAATCTTTTCAAATAATGCCATGGGATCTTTAACGTCCACCTGAACAGTTAGACAGGACAACAACAACAACAAGATTCCATTTATAAAGCGCCTTTCACGTCAGGAGGACGTCCCAAGGCGCTGCACAGTTGGGTCATGACCCGAGCAGGGGGGAAATGGTCAGGGTGAGGGGAGGGAAGGGAGGGAGCAAGGAGGGGGGAAATGGTCAGGGTGAGGGGAGGGAAGGGAGGGAGCGAGGAGGGGGAAGAGAGTCGAGAGGGGAGCTGAAGGCTCGGTCAAAGAGAAAGGTTTTGAGACGTCGATTTATTGTCTCTACCGAAGGAGGGCACCTCTGATAATGCAACACACTCCCAGCACTGCATTGGAGCGTCATCTTAGACTATAAGATTCCAAGTACCGAAGTGGGGCTTGATCCACTTAAGAGGCGGGAATCCTACCACTGAGCCGGACTGACACACCGATATATCCTGTGAAGTTCCTTGGGGCATCATCCTAAATGTGAAAGGTTGCTGTACCAAATCCAAGGATTATTATTACAAAATACAGTCACCACATGAGATTCGCTCTTGTCTTATCACAGCCAAGGGAATGGGCTTGGTGGAATCAGCAGGGAAAGAAGATCCTGTTGTAAATCCTACTACACTTTAAATCATGTGAAGTTCTTTAAGATGCCCTCCCGGCGTGAAAGGCACTATATCAAAATAACAACAATAACAATTTGCATTTATATAGCACTCCTCACTCAGGGGGCGTCTCAGAGTGCTACATAGTCAATGCACTTTACAATATAATCTGTGAAGAGTTTTGGGACGTCTCAATGTCGCGATAAGGCACTATATCAAATGCAAGGATTATTATTATACAAGTATAATAACATTTATAAAATAGTTTTTTCTTTCTGTTTGTATTGGCCAGATGGACTACAATAGTCTTTTTCTAATTCTGTCCATTCCCCATGTTCCTATTTTCTCTTTTACAGGTGTTCAGTCACAAGGACAAAGTTAGTACTTTTAGGCTTCATTCCCATTCTACAATGGCTACCCACATATTCAGTAAAAGATAACCTTTTTGGAGATATAATATCTGGGTTGAGTACTGGAGTGATGCAGCTACCTCAAGGTAAATGTGAATCAGTTTCTAAATTTAGGCGCTATGTCAAATGCAAGGATTATTATCTGTAGTATTTTGTTTAGAGGGTGAAATCATGTGTGTGTGGCAATTGTTAGATTGTTTTTATTGGCAGCTCTTCGACCCATGAGTGATCTTGATATTCTAGCAGCATCTTTCAAATCATCTGCTTTAACACAGTCAAGCTTCCATGGGTTTTTCCCACAGACCAGTGGATGCGGATCAGATTTCCTACAAAGCAATTGATCCTAAATTGATTAATTCCTTCAAAAGTGAACTAGATGGTACTTGCTTGAGAACAGTTTGAGATTGTAAGAATAGTTTGCAGACTGAGTTGAGGGAATTCAGCGCACGCACACATATGCTGAAGGGACAATGCGAGGGGAATGTTTGTGGGTGTCATGAGACCAGTGGTAGAGGTAAAGAGCTAAATATTCTGGGTCGTTTACCAGATTACCTTTAGATTCACTAAAGAGTGAATGATTTAATAACTCACTTGTGAATTATGACCTCAATCTTTTGGCACCTGCCGTCATGTAGTTGCCTTTATACATTGTTAAGTAACTCTAATGCTTTTCTCTTTTTAGGTTTAGCATATGCTTTGTTGGCAGGTGTGCCTCCTGTTTTTGGCCTGTACTCTTCATTTTATCCAGTGATCTTGTACCTGTTCTTTGGCTCATCGAGACATGTATCAGTAGGTATGTTGTGTTTACACATTTTACATGTTTGGACTTAAAACGACTGATATAAATGAGCAGCTGTACATGAGGCAGTGAATAGTGATGATTGGAGTCTATGACTGGGAATGGCTTTGAAAATAAATTGGATTCTATTAAGCCAAAGATCTCCTTCTCTTTGTGTGAGTTGGTGCAGCATTTTCAAGTTTTTACCTCTGCCATGAACTAATGCAGTGGCAGCACAGCTATAATGAACAAATGGCTTACTCTCTTCCTATGACTTAATTCTTTTCCTCTCTGGGTTTTGCCTGTACTCTGGTTCCCTCACTGGAATCATACCTTTAAAGCCGTGATCGCCAGCCTCTATGGTCGGTCACACTGCTTTATGCCATAAAACAAGAAATATTCAATCAAGAAAACTGAAAACACACAACCAATCGAACACCGACTCACCTAGACTTGTGGGAATGTTTGTGGGGGCTGCTTCTTGACAGCCCCCGCGGGGCACACGTTGCCCACCACTGCTTTAAAGTATTGACCATTTTTCTCGCTATCTTTCCCATCAGATGTATTTACTCATATATTCCTTAATAAATAAGCCTATTATTTCTTGCTTCCATAGTGTGTATATATTGTTTCTTATATTGTATTTCAATATACAAGTCAGTTGGGAGTTGATGTAGGAAACCAAATATTTTGTGTTCAAGATAAATTGAAAAATTTATTTATTAAAACTTATAGTTTCACTTTGTAGATGAGGTGTACTATATTAAATGTATGGTCCCAACTGATGCAACTTATGTGAGGTTTACTGTATAACTAGAACCATAGAAATCTGCGGCACAGAAGAAGGCCATTTGGCCCATCACATCCATCTTGGCGCTGTGAAAGAAATTGAAATGCTGGATTTGTCACTAGAACATTCCTTAGTTCAAATCTCTTTCCTCAGAACTAATTCTAAAAGATTAGTTTCACCATGCTTAGTATCTAAATAGACTTGAGATATGCAGTAAGATTCAAATACAAGAGTGTATTTTATTGAATATAACTAACATTACAGTTGTGACTGAAAGCATTCAATTGAAGAATGTGAAATTGCACTGCAAGTTTCCAATATTTGCATTAGAACTCTGGGTTACTTTAAACAGAACTTTATTTGCATCATTTAAATGGACTAAATTGACTTTCCTCCAAGATATTTCTGCAGTTTCCTGCTTGCAGAAAACGGTTTATATGTTAAGAAACTGGTTTAAATGATTAGCTCATTAGATCTGTGAATGTCACAAAATCCATGTGGCTTTACATCTAATTACATTTGGGACAAACTTTACATTTGGGACAAACTTTACATTTGGAATGAGTCACAGATATTTAATTTAAGATAAGTTAATTTATCACCATTAACACAATTGTAAGAGATGTTGTTCCACCATCATCACCTACCCTGCTCATGATTTTTCAAGTTAGAAACCAAACATCCTTGATAAGTGATAAAAATTGTCATTCACTTTGTGGCTCTTTGTTGGGACATTCATGTGCCCAAAATTAGCTAACGTGTCTAATACATTACAAAATTATATTTGTATAGTGCCTTTCACCTCGGGAGGACATCCCAAGTCACTACTACACAGTCATTGCACTATATTTTAAATCCTATGACGTGCTTTGCAATGTTCTCATGACAAGATCAAATGGAAGAATTATTTATTGAATAGTTTACCCCAAATCAATATTCAGACTTTGGTATTTTTGTTGAATGTTCATAAAGTGTAACATTGTGAGGGATGGTATGTATTTTATTGTTTATCATTCACTGTGATGGTAAGCCTTCAAGTAATGCAATCTCTAGCATGAAACGTATAGAGATACAAGCTTCTAGATTCTAATGGTCATTAAAGGAGCTTTTTGCTGTTTCATTCCCCAGGGAGTTTCGCAGTTATCTGTCTAATGACGGGTTCAGTTGTTTTAAGGCTTGCACCAGATGAACTGTTTGAGATATCTGCCTTAAATGCCACCAATAGCTCTGAGATGCTTCAGAACATCAAAGCAAGAGATGAAATGAGGGTGAAAGTAGCATCAGCTGTTACCTTCCTTTCAGGAATCATGCAGGTAATCAAATATGGTAAACCCTCACACTTAATTTTTTCCTCTCTCCCCTCTCCTGATCGCCTTCTGGTACCAAGTAGATAAGCTTCCCCGAGTGAACAATCAGCACTCATGGAACTATACCTCAGTAGATGATAAAGGGAGTCAGACATCCTTTGTGTCTATCCATGTGGCTTAAGGCTCACATAGCAATGCTTTATTCCCCAAGCTATTGGCACATCCTTTATTATCCTCCTTTGTGTCTGACTCTCTTTGTCATCTGGTACCTTACTCAGTTGGCTGTTATTCATGTGTTAGCCTTGATAGCAAGTATAACTATTTTTTGTTTGAGCATTTTGTTCTCATCTGATATTCACACACATGTTCCAGCAGTGATCTGTGGCTCGTGATTAGGTGCAGAAACTCTGGTGCATTTCAAAAATATATTTCATCTCCATAAATCCAGAGATGCTGAAGCCAGTTGTAGAGCCCGAACGAACATCAGCTAACCAAACATGTGTGGAATTCTCTAGTCTATATGGCTTAAGGCTCACATGTCACTGCTTTTATCCACCAGGCTATTGGCACATCCTTACTTTATTTGGTTGCTTTGAAACTCTTGTAGAGGTCCAAGGCTCCGATAGACAATCCTCTTGGTTCATGTGAGAGGCTCTTGTAGATGGACAAATGGGGGTGAAAAAGGAGAACGAAAAGTAAAACATATTTGATTTTTTAAAATTTCTGACAGTCTATGATATTTGTTTATGCTCTCGTAACACAGTTTTCTATGGGACTCCTACGGTTTGGGTTTGTGGCCATTTACCTCGCAGAACCTTTGGTGAGAGGTTTCACTACTGCTGCAGCTATACACGTCTTTTTGTCTCAGATAAAGTATTTTCTGGGAATCAGTACTCAAAGATTCAATGGACCACTGTCATCCGTTTACGTGAGTAAACAAATCTAATTGTCATTTATACAACCCTTGGAGAATGGAGCTTTCCTGTTGCTTTGGAACCTTTATCTGAAAAACCTCTTCACTACACTTATAAATAGTATGATTATCATCTTCAATCCTTTATTTTTTACTATTGCTTTTGATCTGATCTAATTCAGTTGCTCTTGAGGGGTTTTCCCCCAACTTCCTCTTTAATTCCTTTTGTATTTATCCTAAATTTATGCCCTCTTAAAAACTTAAAGTAAAGGATTTTAAGAGCACCTTGGAACTGGGTTCGAGTTGTGGTGGTTGGAGCATTAGTCAGTGCAATTTTTCCTTTTGACCAATGACTGTTTTTTCTTTGTTTCTTTATCTCAGAAGTTGATTTCTGTGGTTTCAAAAGTTAAGGAAACCAATATCACAGCCTTGATTGTTGGGATGATTTGCGTCATCGTCCTGTTTGCAGGGAAGGAAATTAATGACCGGTTCAAATCCAGGTTACGTGTCCCGATACCCATGGAGCTCATTGTGGTAAGGTTTTTGTTTTCTTTGTGTTCTCAAGCTAAATGCATGAGCAGCTTTGCCACACAGACCTGCTGAATGTGAAGCATTCCTGACATTAATGTATTTTCCCAGCTGAAGCCAAATTAACGACTGCTGCTTTAGAGTACTGTATACCTGGATTGCTCTGACTGGTGGTTTCAGCTTGCGATTGACGTGATAAGGCGCGATATTAAATACAAGGATTATTATCATGACTAATATCCAATGACTATCCCTGCATTATAAACGCCAAATCCTAGAAATACACACCTGAGTATTGCACCCTGTGTTTCTGAATCAGATGCCTTTGTGTGCCTTTGCACGGGTATTGGATTGACCGCGGCTTTGGCAGGAAGCCTCTTGAGTTTTTCCATGGGAACGGGAGATGCATGAGAGCAACCCAATTACAACTCTCCCATTTCTTCTCCTCCCCAAAGTGATTGCGTTCAAAGGTTTGGTCACCTTACATCAATAATAATAAGAAAAATAATCCTTGCATTTAGTATAACGCCTTATCATGTCTCAAAGCGCTTCACAGAATATACTGTAAAATGAATTGGCTATATTTTGTGGGCAAAACGCAGCAGCCAATTGTGTATAGCAGTGCCCCACAAACAGTTGTGGATTGAAGTGACTAANTTTTTTTCTCTCTGGAATTCTCACCCCTCAGGCCGCTGAAACTCTTGTTCATGCCTTCCTCACCTCCAGGCTCGACTATACAAACGCCCAACTCCTCCCTCCACCGACTGCAGCCCGTGTCCTCTCCAGCACCAAACTCTGTGACCCCATCTCCCCCACTTTCGCCCGACTCCACTGGCTCCCTATCCTTCAGAGGATCCAGTTCAAGACCCTGGTCCTCACCTACAAAGCCCTCCATGGCCTCGCTCCACCCTACCTCTGCGACCTCCTAACCCCCTACCAACTCGCCTGCTACCTCCACTTAGCCGGCTCCGACCGGCTCCACGTCCCTCAACCCACCCGCCCCACCATTGGCGGGAGAGCCTTCAGCCACTCTGCCCCCAACCTCTGGAATTCCATCCCCCAGTCACTCCGCCTCGCCCTCTCCTTAGCCTCCTTTAAGTCCCGCCTCAAAACCTTCCTTTTCGACCATGCCATCGGTCACTCCCCTTCCCCTCCCCTCCCTTCTCCCCCTCTGGCCTTGGGACGACCTCCCAACATGAAAGGCGCTATACAAATGTAATCTTGTTGTTGTTTTTGAATCCTTGATTCAAATCCGCATCCCACGTGTGGCACAAGGCACTCTGCCCAGCATGCTGTACAGCAGTGCAGCCCTCTCTGTAGCTTCACTGTAATGTAAATGTTAGATTGTTTCCATTAACCATTTCAGTAACCATATCATTTGCCATTTAGGTGGTCATTTCCACCGGTATTTCAGCTGGATGCAATATGACTCAGAAATATGGATTGGCTATTGTTGGAAAGGTACCCACCGGGTAAGCAAATCTCATGGGCTAGTTATACTATTCGTCCGTATTAGAGTTTCGTATATGGGAGGTTTGAGAGATCTCTAAAGCCACATCTGATCACTAATTCTTCTATAAACTGATCAAGCATGAATAATTCCTTTTCTTAAAAAGTCATGAATATTGTTTGAAAATAAGTTGTCACATGCACAAGGACCTTTGTAACAATGGCTGATTGATGTTGACGGGGGATGAACAACAACAACAAGATTCCATTTATAAAGCGCCTTTCACGTCAGGAGGACGTCCCAAGGCGCTGCACAGTTGGGTCATAACCCGAGCAGGAAGAGGGGGAAGGAAGGAAAAATTATCATTAATTGCAGAAAATGTAATTTCCAGGGTTAAGAGATGAATGTAAAAGCTTGGAATTTATAGAAAATCAAATCTGTATAAATCCTCAAACACTTAGGCAAATATTTCAACCATTTGAAGGATTCATTGGAATCGTGAACAATTCTGAAAATTATTGTCTAGGAAAGGTTAATAGTATTAATAATAATCCTTGCATTTGATCTAGCGCCTTATCACGTCTTCAATGTGTCTCAAAGCGCTTCACAGAATATACTGTAAAGTGAATTGACTGTTTATTTTGTGGGCAAAATTCCCTCAATGACTTCCTTGAACCCCTCAAATGTGTGACCATAAGTCTGTTACCTGCATATGTTCCATCGTGGATAACTATGTTGTACTTTCCCACACCACTAGAACTTGAAATGAATATTTCTGTCTAACTTCGATACCAGAAAAGTTGCTAGCCTAGATTTTTTTGTGTATTTTGTGTAATTTTACCATTTTACCCAACAACAATTTATAGTCTCCTCCATCTCGATTTTTTTCATTTCAGTTTAATAATAATCCTTGCATTTGATATAGGCCTTATCACGTCTTTGAGATGTCTCAAAGCGCTTCACAGAATATACTGTAGAGTGAATTGACTGTATTCTTCGTGGGTGAAACGTGAGCAAAACGCAAAAAAAATTAAATAAGAACCTTGGACTGAATATCAATAGACAGTCATGATATTACTTCAGTGTTATACAATAATTTTAACATATTTGTCACTTTCAGGTTGAGAGCTCCAGTTATACCTGACTTCAGACTCCTTTCTGAAATATATAAAGATTGTTTTGCAATTGCAATCGTTGGATTCTCAATGAACATATCATTGGCAAAGATGTTTGCTCTGAAACATGGTTACAGTATAAGTGGTAATCAGGTAATTTATTTTGTTTTATATTTGCATGATTATAGATCTTGGCATTTTATTGCAAATACTTTGTGGTCTATAACAAAACCAGAATTGACAGAAATAACACTTGAGACAGGAACAGGAGTAGGCCATTCAGCCCCTCGAGTCTGCTCCCCCATTCTGTAAGATCATGGCTGATCTGTACCTCAACTCCAATTACCCACCCTTGTCCCATATCACTTGATATCCTTAACTAACAAAAAACTATCCACCTCAGCCTTGATAATTTGAATGGATCAAAAAAGACTTCTGCTTACAAACCTGTGTGTGTTATTAAAATGACCCATTTTATTTTGACACAGCAAAAAAATCCTTGTTATTTTTCTTTTCCAATCATTCAATTATGAATAATCACAAACCATTTGACTTGAAGAAGTGTTCTTCATCTCTGGGCCCTGAGTTTGAATCAAGCTCAATCTTATTGGATGAAGACCTCCTTTCTTTGCATCTGTAAGGATTCTAGATGAAATGTTGGATACTCTCACATTAGTTTCAGCTCAAAGAAGTATTAATCAAGAACTTGTTTCTGATAGTCTTTTCCTCTTTGTTTTGCTAACCAACTAAATAAGATTGAATTATGTGAAGGAAATACAGAAAACTTGAGTGACAATTGTTTATGTATTGTGCTTCCCCCCCCCCCCTCCCATTTATGGTTTTTTTCACATATCTCTGGTTTATATCTCTGGTTTGTGTGCATCAATAAAGTCTGTGCGAATTTTGAAGCTTGCAGCAGAATTTTCATTTCATATTTTGTGCCTCAACAGGAGATGATTGCATTGGGAGTGTGCAATTCAATTGGATCCTTTTTCCAAACTTTTCCCATCACTGCCTCTATGTCTCGTAGCCTTGTTCAAGAGAGCACAGGGGGCAATACTCAGGTATGTATTTCTAGGATTTGGGCTTTTCATTGGATATTAGTAATGATAATGATCCTTGCATTTGATATAGGTGCTTATCACGTCAATTGCAGAGATTTGTCTCAAAGTGCTTCACAGAATATATTGTGAAATAATAATAATCCTTGCATTTGATATAGAGCCTTATCACATCTTTGAGACGTCTCAAAGGGCTTCACAGAATAGACTGTAAAGTGAATAACTATATTTTATGGGTGAAACGCAGCAGCCAATTGCGCACAGTAATGTCCCACAAACAGTGGTGGATTGAGTGACCACTTTTTGGGGGTGGAGGAGGTATAATTACCCCCGAATAGCAATAAGTACCCCAATTGACTAACTCATTAAGGCTTCCACAGTGAGGGAGTTAAACTGAAAGTTGGACTGAATAATTTCAAATTATGCTCTGTATTTAAGGATATTTCCTCTATTCAGTAAATTTTCTTTTTGTATGCAGATTGCTGGAGGAATAGGTTCTGCTATTGTACTGCTGGTTATTCTTGCTATCGGTTCTCTCTTTGCACCTTTACCTCAGGTATGTATCGTACTACAGGGGAAAAACACAAACACTGTTCTTAAATTTCACTGGTGTATTTGAAAGTTTGCAACAAAAAGAGTAATAAGCCTTGCGTTTGATAGAGCATCTTTTGGGTGGGGGGTGGGAGGGCTCAAAGCACTTAGCAGGAATTTACTGTAAAGTGAAGTAACTGCATATTTTGTTGGTGAAAGTATAAACAATGGCGTGGAAAAACCTGTTCACGTTGTGCTTGATACGCAATTCTAGCCAGTTGTGGGGGACAAGCCTGGGTATGTCATGTCAGAGTGGATTTGCAATTAGCTGATCACTACACCTTTTTTTCCACTCTACAGTTTCATTGAATGCTCATGTTACAGTTAAAGGCAGTGTGATTTACTAATATAGAATATAGTTAAGGCTCTACATCAAGACCAGTATTCAATATGAAATTCCCCAATCTACCATCATAATGGAAGCTAGACCTCTTTGGAACCATAGTGTTGTTTTGAGATTAATAACAGTTTATGAGAGAAGCTCCCTGATATGCAAAACATTGCTTAGATCCTGGAAATTTATACTGCCAATCGCGCACGGCAGTGTCCCACAAAAAGTTGTGGAGATTGAGTGACGAAAAAAAAAAATAATTTTTGGAGGGATTATTATCCCCTAAAGCGATCCGCCAATTGACCCAACAACCGGGTTCGTACTTACTGCTAGGTAAACAGAGGCTTGTGAAGAAAACTTGACTAAGCTTTCACCCCACCCGGGAATCGAACCCAGGTCGTCTCGCTTGTGAAGCGAGTGCTCTAACCAATACTCTACGGGACTCAGATGATCTGCTTATTGACATTGTAATTATGTTTGCACAGTAATTCAGAAATTTTTCTTTAATTTCTCCATTTTGGAAATTGTTTGCAAGGCTGCCTTAGCTGCAATCGTAATGGTGAACCTCAAAGGAATTTTTAAGCAATTTCAGGACTTACCTCTTCTTTGGAGGACGAGCAAACTTGAATTTGTAAGTACTGTACTTTAAATGTATATTATTTGCAGGAGAGTTTTATTTTTGTTTGGAAAAATATTCTCATCGAAGCGCTGAACTTTCGGAAACAGGATGGTTTGTCCACATTTTAAACTGAGGGGTGTTCAGGTGAGGCATAGAAGTGGCTAGATCCAGGGCTAAGTTCTCGATAGTACCTGTAAACGACGAGCTTTAGCAGGGAAGCCTTCCCACACACTTATGCTGGGAGCACTAGCTGTCGTTCAGACCTGTCATAGTGAAATTGTCAAGTTTATGCTGCCCTCAAGCCAATAATAATACTTGCATTTGATATTACGCCTTATCACGTTGTTGAGACATCTCAAAGCGCTTCACAGGATATACTGTAAAGTGAATTGATTGTATATTTTAGGAGCTAAACTTCCAGCGTCATAAGAACATAAGAATTAGGAGCAGCAGGAGGCCATTCGGCCCTTCGAGCCTGCCCCGCCATCGATAAGATCATGGCTGATCTTCTAACCTAACTCTAATTACCTGCCCTATCCCCATATCCCCTAATCCCTCTATTTTTTAAAAATCTATCAGTCTCAGCCTTGAAGATGTCTACAGCCTTCTGGGGTAGTGAATTCCATAAATTCACTACCCACTGAGTGAAGAAATGTTTCCTCAACTCTGTTCTAAAAGGCTGACCCTTAATTTTAAGACTGTGACCCCTAGTTATAGATTCTCCTACCAGGGGAAACAGACCCGCAGTGTCTACTTTATCAGCCCTTTAAGAATCTTAGAGAATCTTATGTTTCAAATCAGTGTGTGTGCATGTATGTCGGGTGAGAACAGGAGCATACTTTGCTGTGATGCCATTTCAACGCCTTCCCCCTCACACAGTTGTCAAATAGTTCATTCGCGCTCACTGGCTGGATTTTTGGCAGATGAATAAGGCTGCTTGGGTAATGCATTTTTAGCAATAAACCTTATCTTGCCCGCATTTAAGCCATTGTCATGTTGGGGAGCGGTGAGTGTGAACCCATACCCAGTCGCAGCACCGTGGCACCCTGATGTGCCTGACATCCTCAGTTCTTCAGGTTATGGAATATCGCGCACTTGATTATTGGTATTGATTACATTTTTGTTTCCCGTGTAGCTGACCTGGATCGTGGCTTTTATAGCCTCTCTTCTTTTGGGATTGGACCTTGGTCTTTTGGTTGCCGTGACATTTGCCTTGATTTTAGTTGTATACAGAACCCAAAGGTGAGATACAAAAATATATTTCTTTTGCTTCCAGACTGGGCTTGTGATTTCCAGTGGTGGAGCACGATGCTGAGGAGGGGGGAGGTGTTATGGGCCCGGTCAAAGAGGATAGTTTTCAGGCGCGACCTGAAAATAGGGAAGGAGTGGGCAGGGTTGAGGGTTAGAGGAAGAGTGTTCCAGAGATTCGGGATGTAACGGCTAAAAGTGTAGTTCAGTAGCACAGAGACTACATTATAAGCAAAGTGCTAAAAAATAGCTGACTTCCAGGTTATTAAGTTACCACTGATGTCGCTTCCTGCACAAGAGGCACTACTCATGCCATTTCCTTCACAACTAACCATTGTAACAGGGTTCGCCTGTATTTGCAATCTAAATAACTCTTGCATCACAAATACTTAAATAATAGTAATTCTTACATTCCATGTAACGCTTCATCACATCAAAACATCTCAAAGGTCTTTTGTTTGTCTGCAATTTGTAATGGTTGTATTTGTAGGAGTTGAGGACTGAAAGCAAGTTTTAATCTCTCACAACTGTTTCAACATTGAATGCATCTAAGTAATCTGACTCTGTCGCTGTAAAGAGGAAACAGGTTCTTTGTTGGAGTGCAGGTTGCATTGTAGTCTTTAGGAATTGAAGTACCTATACTTTTGCACTCTGGGTGATGTGTTCCTCAATGTTTGAGGGAATTTTAAAATTGTGTTTTAGTATTAAATCCAAATTTCTTTTCTAGGCCACAATATAGAATTCTTGGTCAGGTACCAAATACAGACATCTACTGGAACATTGAAGATTATGAAGAGGTGAGAAATCATTAGTTGTATCTGTTATCGTGTATGATCCGTTCAAAAAAAAATGTTTTTTTAAAAAAATTGGTGACTTAATCCACGACTGTTTGTGGGACGCTGCTGTGCGCAATTGGCTGCCGCGTTTCACCTGCAAAATATACAGTCTATTCACTTTACAGTATATTCTGTGAAGTGCCTTGAGACGTCTTAACGACGTGATAAGGTGTTATATCAAATGCAAGTATTATTATGTTATCGAGAGAGGGGGGGGGAAGGTAAATTGCTGAAATGATATATAGAATTATAAAATGTTACAGCACACAAATAGACTGTATGGCTATGAAGTGTGTGAAGGTTTCTCTCCACATAAAACATCAAATTCAATCCCACCCTCCTGTTTGCTCCCTTTATCTTTTAATATTCCTCTTTTTCGAACATGTATGGAACTTTCAAAGAATTTTGATCTCTGCATCAACATAAATTCATGGCAGAGAACTCCATTTGCCAACATCATTCTGTATGTAGTTGCTTAAGTACTTGCCTGCTACATTTCTCCCGCCCAACCCACACTACCATCGGCGGCCAGGCTTTCAGCCTCTCAAACCCAGCCTTTAGAACTCCATCCCACAATCTGTTTCCCTTGCCTCCTTCAAGGCTGGATTCAAGACTCTCCATTTCGACAGTGCATTCAGCCATCCTCCTACCTCACTGCCCTCCCTCATCCAAACCCTGCCACCCCCCCCACGCTCAGGCCCTGATCAACTGTTCAACACCTTGGGACGTCCTCCCAACGTGAAAGGCACTTTACCAATGTAATTTTGTTGTTGTTGTATAAAGAAATGTCTTCTTGACTACATTGATGTATTTTATATTCATCATAAATACCTTACCAGATCATCCTTTTGAACTTTTGATTTACATAGCAGATGTCTGATCTGTGACAGCCTGGTTTATTTGGTAGCATTTTCACAAGCCCCACATTGGGACATTGAACTCACAGTCCAGACCCTAATTGCAGTGCTGGGTGGCATTGTTGGGAGGTCCCAACCTTCAGTTGAGGTCTGTTCGGCCTGTTCAGGTGGACATTAAATACCATAGCAATGTTCGAAAAGAGGAGGGAGTTTCTTCCGATGTCCTGGCCAACAATCTCCCAAAACTAAAAATTGTTAATTTGCTTCATGGCTGTTTGTGGGACGTTGCTGTTCTTTGCCTGTCCCAATTGTCTACAAAACTACACAGTTACTATACTTTATAATATATCCTGTGAAGGGTTTGAGGCACTATGTCAAATGTAAGTTTTATTGTACACCTATCTAATATTTTTCTAGATTCGGGAAGTTCCTGGGATAAAGATATTCCAATCAAACTCCTCCATTTACTTTGCAAACAGCGAGTTATATATGGATGTTTTGCGGGAAAAGGTGGGCAATGAGAAGCTCGTAATAAAATCTTGATTACCTTTATAAAAATCCAAGCCATCATTTAAATTAGTTATTTTTTATTTAAGACGTTTATCTTCCAATCACGTTTTCTTTTTTCTCTCCATTATATGTATTTCTTACTGTATATTTCTTGCTTCCTCGGAAGACTGGAATAGATCCAATTGCAATATCGTCAGCAAAGAAAATACTTGCAGCAAAAAATAAGGAAAGAATCAAGAAAACTCAGAGAAAGAAAAAAAAAGGCAAAATAACGGTGAATATAAATCTGCAATTTACATGTGAAATGTCTTTTTTTGGCTAAAGTTGTTGAAAAGGTGAATGTACCTGGTAATTGCTTTCAGTGTGAAGTTACCAACTTTCTCTAGTCTTTCAAGCACTGTCCTGTTGAAGATGAATTATATACAGCTTTTCAAATATAAATATACACATTTCATCCATAAAATACAATTGTTCCATTTTGCAATATATTCTGTGAAGCGCTTTAAGACGTCTGAACAACATGATAAGGCGCTATATCAAATGCAAGAATTATTATTATTATTACTACAGTTAGCAGAATTGGCACTTTGCTCACTGCTACAAGATGTACTTCCTTCCGTTTTCATTTGCAATGTTTTACTGCTTCTGATCCAGGTGCTTTAAGAGCGTTTTTATTTTTATGGCATACTCCACCGCAATCTGTGAGCAAAACGGCAACAAGAGCCTTCTAGGCACAATCAATCCTCCTGCCTGGGTGTTGTGTAGTGTTCTATGAGGTGTAATATGCAGCAACATGAGAGGAGTAATTCTCTCCCTAATTGTGTTCTAGCTTCTAGTGAGGTTGTTTCCATGTAGCATTACCANTTTTTTTCAATATGTAAGCATCTGGATCACATTCTCCTCATTTTCGTAACCAATAAATATCAGTTCATTTCTGTTAAACCCTTACACAATGTAGTTTCAAGACTCGGAAAGTTTAATAATCTAAACCTGGTAATTTGCGTTGTTATCCCTGCTTTTCAAGATCTTTCTTTGCATCCTCTCCAGATGAATGAAGCAGTAATGGTTATTGAACCCCAAATTGAGGCACAAGAAACTTCAAATATAGAGATCCAAAATGGATCTACCGTCATAAGACCCATGGAATTTGAAACAGAGTACACCGAAGAAATGGAAAGTTTATTCAAGACCATCGCTGATGTGCATTCTATAATTTTGGACTTCTCCTCAGTCAATTTTGTAGACTCTGTTTCAGTAAAAGCATTAAAATCTGTAAGTACTTACTCAATACGTTTACCATTATTAATACTGTTTACCTCAACACAGACGACAAAAAAAAAGTTGCCCTTTTGAAACTTGCCCAATGTTTCCCAGCAGGGTGAAAAGTTAAGACAAGTTTCCTTACTCACACACCTCTGTTTACCTAGCAGTAAGTAGGAACCTGGCTCTTAGTCAATTGGTAGATCACGTTTCCGGGGTAATAATAAAAAAAATTTGGTTGCTCAATCCACAACTGTTTGTGGGACACTGCTGTGTGCAATTGGCGTTTCGCCCACAAAATATACAGTCAATCCACTTTACAGTATATTCTGTGAAGTGCTTTGAGACATCTCAAAGATGTTATGAAATTTTATGTCGACTACAATCTAGTCCTGGGAGGAGCCAGACTTTGGGGGTTGATGAAGAACACATAAGTAGTAGCTTTTAAGGAGAATAGGACATATATTTGAAAAATATAAAAGGTTTGGGGATATGGTAGGGTTGTGGAATTAAATCGATAGCTTTTTTGGAGAGCCAGCACAAGCAATTTGAGCCGAATGGCCTCCACCTACCCGACTTCCCGTTAAAACTCTCCAAACCTGTACGCAGCCTAGGCGTCAGGTTCAACCCCCTATTATCCTTCCTCCCCCACATCCGGTCCCTCACCAGCACCTCCTTCTTCCACCTCTCTGCCAATACCTCTCTCCGAAAGCCGCTGAAACTCTGGTCCGTGCCTTTGTCACTTCTCGGCTGGACTATTCTAACGCCCTCCTCGCCGGTCTCCCCTCTACTACCATCCATAAAATCCAGATTATTCAAAACTCTGCCGCCTGCATTCTCACCCACACCAAACTCCGCTCCCCGATCACCCTAGTCATTGCCAGACTGCACTGGCTGCCTGTCCCAGAGAGGATAGATTTCAAGATCCTCACCCTTGTCTTCAAAGCCCTCCACTCCTCTGCACCCCCCTACCCCTCTGACCTCTCTCCTCAAAACAGTGCCCGTTGCCTTTGTTCCTCCGGGTCTGGCCTCCTCCTCGTCCCCCGAGTCCACCGCTCCACCCTCAGCGGCCGTGCCTTCAGCCACTATGCCCCAAGGCTCTGGAACTCCCTTCCTCATTCCCTTCGTCTCGCTCCCTCTCTTCCTATTTTCAAGTCTCTGCTGAAGACCTTTCTTCTTGACCACGCCTTTGGTCACTTTCCTCCCCCTCCCCCTAGCTCGGCCCCGGGATCCGTTACTGTGAAGCATTCTGAGACGCCATCCGGCGTGGAGGGCGCTATTTAAATCCAAGTTGTTGTTGCTGAATGGTTTCCTTCTGTGCTGTTAAATCTGTGATTTTTTTTGTCAGTTGGGAGTCTGACACTGAAACCCATCACCATGCTTGAGAGTAACACATACTGTTTTTGGAAATCTTTTTATCTGGTAACAATTAACAATTAACCCATTTTAGTACTGTAATATAAACTGCAGAGTAGTTTCTTTTAATATCTCCTTCCCTAACTAGTCTTTATTCCACTTTACCACTATCCTAGTTCTTATCTGAAGTTTGCATGTGGATTTGTTTTCAGGTCAGAATTTGTGATTAGACATTGGACAACAAGGAGCAAATTAGAGGTTTTTATCTTTGTGATTCTATTGACATAAGATGCTATATCAAATGCAAGGATTGTTATTAAGGCTGATCTTCTAAACCCAGCGCAGTGTTCCTGATTATAGTTCCAACATTTAACGTTTTTGTTTCCTTTTGATGAAATAGATGATGAAGAAATATGAAGAAATTGGAATCAATGTCTATATAGCCAGCTGTAATGGTAAGTATAAGGCTGTTTAAGAGAATTGAATACCTTTCCTATGCTGGCTCAGGGATTGCTCTTTGTCTTTGTATAGGCTTGCCCAATTATTGTTAAATTCTCATCTGTAGTGATTAAGGGACGAAGAAATCAAAGACCTCCAGGGCACCCAGGCTAACATTAAAACCATAATGTATGTGGGTATTATTAAGGTATTAATCTTACTCCTTCAGAGACTCAGATCCAATCTAACACTTGCATGAAAGGACAAGAGTTGTGATGATTTCTAAAGACCTAATAGCTCGCAGACTTTTGCTGTCTCAATCACTGGGTGAGGTTGCACAGGGCTATTGGTGCCTGTGGAACCATAACCTAGTGGAAGTTCCCAGCTTTAACAGAGGTGGAGATTCTGTTTGAATTTACCCACTTCTGTGAGAAAATACTTAAAGGCTATATGCTGGTCTTATCTGGTGGTTCAGATATCTCAACTGAATAATTACAGAACTAACAACAAACAAACTTTGCACATCCACAAGAGTTTTTCCAGCAGCAACTTGTATTTATAAAGCTACCTTTACGCAGGATAATATCTATGAGCTCTTTACAAAGATAGGATCTGATGCAGATTAAAGGTAGCGTGAAATAGGGAGGTGACCTGAGGCACTATTGAAGAGGTATTGCAGCAATCCTGATGCAGCCATCAAGCTGCTGAACTACCATCTCTCCACAACCTTTAATTCCCTAGCTCCCCTGATATCCAGGCCTGTTTCCAAATCCATCCACTCCCCCTGATAGAACAGTCATCTCCGTTCATTTAAAACACAAACCCGGACACTCGAGTGCGGATGGCAGAAATCCAGCCTCACGATTCACAAGATTCTATGGCTCGAGCAACTATCGCCTCTCCCTTTCACAGGCCCAAACTGACTTTTACTCCAAAGTCATCCTGGAGGCCAAAAACAACCCAAATACACTGTTTTCCACTGTCCATCACTTCCACCGTGCACCCCCTCAAGCCCTCTCTATTCTCACATCGAACACCAAGTGTGAAGAGTTCCTAGACTGCTTCGCCTCCAAGATTGAAAACATCCACTTGACTGAATTGCTACCACCCCACCCTCATGTCCCCTTCCACCCCACCCAAACCATCCACACCACCTTCTCCCTCTGCCACGACTCCTGCTACTTACACTTCTTTGCCCCCATTTATCCTCTCTCAAGCACAATCATCCAGGTGAAGTTCACCACCTGCTGCCTTGACCCCATCGCTATCCAGCTGCTGGTCATTCTACTCCCCCTCCTCTCCCCCCTGTTGGCCAACACGGTCAAACAGTCTCTCTCCTCAGGCTGTATTCCAATTCCCCTGAAAAACGCGGTTATCACATCCCTCCTCGAAAAACCCACCCTCAATCCCTCTAATCTCACACTACCATCTCCAACCCACCCTTCCTTGCCAAAGTCTTGGAACGCATTGTTGCAGGTCAGCTTCGGTCACACCTCTCCCTCCACTCCCTCCTCAAGCCCCTACAGTCCGGTTTTCGCCCTGCGCACAGCACAGAGACAGCATTTGTCAAAGTCACAAACAATGTCCTCTCTATCTGTGACCAGAGCTCCCTCTGCCTCCTTGTCTTCCTGGATCTCCGCCGCTTTTAACACAGTCGACCACGCCATCCTCCTCCACCGTCTCTCCTCCCTCATCCACCTTAGTAGAACCGCACTGGCAAGGTTCGAGTCCTACTTAACTAACTACCTCCATTTCATCTCAGCAAATGGATTCTCCTCCTGCCCCCGCCTGGTTACCTGCGAGGTACCCCAGGGCTCCATCCTCGGTCCTCTTTTTTTCCTTATCTATATGCTCCCTCTGGGCGATGTCATCTGCAAACATGGGGTAAACTTCCACATGTATGCGGATGACACATAAATCTACTTTCTCCTCCACTACCAACTCCAGGTCTGCCGATGTTCTATCAGCTTGTCTGGCAGACATCAGGGCATCAGGCCCTGGCTGAGTGCAAACTTCCTGCACCAAGGCAGAAGCCATATTCCTTGGCTCCTGTCAACGTCTTCGCTCCTGCGGATCTGAACTCCTCAACCTCCCTGGGCTCTCCCTCAGACTCACCGAACCAGTGTGCAATCTAGGTGTCCTGTTCGACCCCCAGCTATCGTTCCTCCTCCACATCCGGTCCCTGACCAGGACCGCCTTCTTCCACGTCCACCACATTGCCCGCTTTCGACCATACCTTACCCCAAATGCAGCTGAAATCCTTGTGCGTGCGTTTGTCACTTCCCGCTTGGATTACTCCAATGCACTCCTCGCTGGTCTCCCCAACTCCACCATTCACAAGATCCAGGTCAATCAGAACTCTGCCGCCTGGATGCTGACTCCATACCCACATCTCACCAGTTCTGGCCCAGGTTCCACTGGCTTTCCATCACCGAACGGAGCGACTTCACGATCCTCACACTCGTGTTCAAATCCCTTCGCTCTCTAGCACCTCCCTACCTCTCCAACCTCCTCACTCCCTAATCCACCTCCCGGCGCCTCCACTCGACTGGCACCGGCCTCCTGCCCGTCCCTCGCACCCTCCACTCCACCATTGAGATTGCGCATTCAGCCACTACGCCCCAAAACTCTAGAACAGTCTCCCTCAGTCCCTCTGCCTTGCCCCCTCTCTCCCCTTTTTCAAATCCCACCTGAAAACCATCCTCTTCGACAGTCCTTGCAGTCATCACCATCACCCCCCCACCCTGGCTCGGAGTCAGGCTCCGCCACTGTTAAGTGCTCTGAGATGCTACCCTACGTGGAAGGTGCTATATAAGTGCAAGTTGTTTTAAGGCAGGTCTTAAAGACAGATAAGAGAGGGACTGAGGGGAGGGATAGAAGGAGAGCGTTCCCAAGGTTAAGGGTTAAGGGTATAGTAGCTGAAAAGTCTGGCACAAAGGGGCAGGAGACATATAGCAATCGGACAAAGCTGAGCAAAAGGGACAGGTAGTCAGTCATCTGGCAATCAGGACTAGAGATTCTGTAGGCTCCTCACAACACAAGCTCTCCTTGTGAGAAATGTCACATAAAGTTCTTTGACTATCTTTGTATAGATAGTCAAAGGTTGAAATCTTTATGAGGTAAATATTTTTTGAAGATTAGGCGGTCTTTATCTACTTTTTTGTTGACTGTGTAAATCAAATTAGTTCAGTAACGGAATTAAGACTCAAATATATTCAACTTTCCTTAATCATGCAATTCTGTTTCGCAAATCGTGTGTGTTTATGGACAATTAGTCTCTTTTTAAAACCTGAGAATTTTTCCGGGTCTATTTTTGGTGTCAAAAAATGGGAGAAAAATGTCATACTCAAAATCCAACTTGGTAAAAACAATCTTTCTCAGTCTTTCTCTAAATGTCTCATTTTTCTATTTCTTTCTATGACTGTTTCTGTCTAACTCTACGTGGTACAAAAGTATAACAGTTTTTGAAAAAATACTTTAATGGTCAATTATGCTTAATGCTTTATTCTTCACATTTCTCTGTGAAGCTTTTTAATGCTTATCCTTGAATCTAATGTGCCTTTGTATTTTGACGATAGGGTCTGTTATAGCAGAGTTGACCAGGCTTCAGTTTTTTGGAAAATCTATTACAACAGACCTAGTGTTTCATCGTGTCCATGATGCTGTACTTTTCTGCCAACGTAAAGCAGCCTGTTTGGAAAACCCTCCTTTGTGAAGTTGAATATCTTTGAAAGAACGATCTCCGATGTAGCAGAGCATTGAGCAAGAGCAATTGCTTTGGTGTACTGTGCAGAAAATATTAGCATTGCTGGATTAAAGCACTTTCAGAAATTCTAGTGGCTTCAAATACTGCAGGTTCCCTTTGGAGGAAAATTAACCCTTTCAGGGTTAGCAAAAGCATCTGTTGTGCAATTTTTTTGTTCACCGTTCTGAGTAAGAGTTAGCTAATTTTATCAAACATCCTGGGCAGCTGTTAATAACCTATGTTTTGTTTAGAATTTATTTTATGAATTATCTGTTAATCTATTAATATACATTTCTTTTTGAAACATACTTTCCATATTTCCTGTTTGTTTGTACATTTATAACTGAAAACCCTGCCTAAGACAACAGGCTGGCAGTCACACTGTATCTCTGCTACTGGCTACTGCTTCTCTTGAGAAAATGTCTAAATCAGATCTGCATAATGTTACTTCCTTACAACTTTATACCCACCTCTTTCCTATTTCTTTAGACCTAAGTGGGGAATTACTAAGGGGAGGGGAAAGGGACAGATTTTCAATCACTCGGAGTATACAATGCAGCAGATTGTGCACGAAACAGTGGTGTCACTTTTTGATTATTGCTGTACTGCAGAATTACATCATGAGTTCGGCCTTAGTATTCTTGGGCTGGGGGTGGGTGGAAGGTTAAGACTTTCACTTCCTGAATGTCACAGGGACTTTTTCTGTGAATGTCTGGTAAAGGCTGGATAGGTGTTGCCAGCATTGATGCATTTTCCATTCCTCACCCACCTTTGCACAATTGAATGTTTTGCCAACATTTGTTGTCTCGCCTGACTCATGGAGAAGGGCAACTTGGGGGAAATACCAGAGCTCATTCTTTGGAGGAAGGGGCTAGAAATGAACACACAGCTTTGAATTGATGAACATGCCAGGTCACCTTAACCCTTATATTTGGGAAAATTGCTTTTTCTTAATGTTACTATTTGCCTAAAATGCATCTGCCATATCAAAAGTAATGTAAATTTGAAATACCATTTAAATACTCCTGTCTCATCACACTGTAATCATGACCATCTCCATTCACAAAGGTTAAGTTATAGTTCTAGCTTTATCGTGTTTCCAGTTTTGTCCATATAAAATTAGATTTGCTTTTTTTGTTAGCTAATGAGCAAGATGCAGTACAATTTGGGGTCTTTGACCTCCATTCAGTATTGCACAATTTGCTCATTGTGGAAAGCAAACTTTTTTAATTTCTTGCTGAATTTAAGACATTATAAAAGTTCTAAATTTATTTCAATACAAATTAAATTATTCTATTGAATTTGTACAGACAATGTCTCCTGTTGACCAGGAACATTCAAGTTACCTTCATTATGGAAACTATTGAAGTCAGCTTTATCTACTGTACGTTTCTTTACGGGTGCAAAAAGAATCTCCAAATCACTAATATGCAATGTGTCCAATGAAAAAAAGTTGACTTTTATAATTGAGTAATGTAAGGAGGTTTTTTATATAATCATTGATATTTGAGAGTGGGAACATCATATTTAATATGAGGTTTGTTATAATACTAGAATGTGGAGTTCCAAGTTTTTTATGACCTCAAAATGATTGATTTATCAAGAGAACAGTCCATTTTACTTTCAAGCATTGAACCTATATTTTTAAATACAGAGCAGATAAAAAACCAAAGGGGAACAGAGACAGAACAGAATGCAAGTTCTATATAGATTAAACAAGGGTGTGATAAGTAATTTTTAGGTTTTGTAAATGAAATATTGATATATTGCAGATCATTTCACCTTTCGGACATTTTCTATAACCTGTGTTTTGTGGTTAGTGGTATCTCCTTTTCCATTATATGATGAATAAAATCAATGGGGAACATTCTTCACAATCAGTGTGGCCTTTTAGCCAGTCACAGTTTTCATTTCATTGATATTTATAATTTTATTACCTTTTTGGGGAGGAAGAAAATTGAATACTACATATCAGGCTTTAAGTTTGAAACTATTAAGAATATTTTAGAAATGAAAGGTCCACATCTATGTGTCAAGTTGAATCACCTAGAAAACCAGTGTTAAACATGAACATCACAGTAGCGTATAACTTAATATTCTATAGTTCTAAGAAGAACCTTGATAATCCACAATTTCTGTATTTGCTTCCCTGACTCCTGTTTGCATAAGCTAACTCAACATTTAAAAAATATTCTTCAACAATAATATTGTATCTGTTTAATATCGCTTTATGTAGGTCATTACTTATGTGCAGCCTCCATTCTCAGCATAGTAACAATTTCGAGAAAGAACTGGACCACAGGTTAAGCTAACCTACCGATTTTCCACAACATTTCTTAAATTGCTTCACTAAATCCATTACCCCACAATCCTTTTAGTTGGCAAGAACTTATCTAATCCTTTTGTGTAATCCAATATTATTATGTAAAACCAGAATATGCCTTTGTAGTTGATAGTGCTTTGCTCTCTTTGGATCACAGGAAATTTGTTTTAGGTTTCGAGAGTGATTTCAGTATTCTTGTGCAATATACGGATACAATCTGCGAACTAGTATAAACAGTAACTCAAAATAGCATAAACTTGAATGATCAGGTTAACACGGAGCAATCTGAATTCTGAATGTTAAGGAAATGTCTTGAGTCTGTTGCTTGTGCACTGTGTTCTAAACAATTTTTGGAATTGGTAGAGGGATAGCTGCTAATTTCAATTATCCATCAGGGAGAGTCTAGTCTGCCTATTATGGTTGATAATAGAGATTCTGCTGTGACAGATTTGTAAGCAAACTTTCCTGTGGGAACTTGATACACTGACTTTAATTTATTAATTCTGTAAAAATTATGACCTGGCCTGAAATGGCATTTATTGATCCGCACAAAACCGTAAATTATCATTGCCTCAGTCCTGGAGAAACACCTTAATAAACTTTTTTTTGGGTAGATGTACCGTGAGAGCAAACGTCTTATGAATGTGTAATAGGTTTAAATCATGTAATTAAACATTTTTTGTGAGATGAAATGTATTTTTGTACTTTAGTATGAGGCAAGAGATGTATATTGTAAGCTGTATTTGTGTGTGAGACTGGTTTCATTGTGTTATTCGTGTGTGAAAATATGCAATTCATTTTATAAAGATTAGTTATTTTAGTAGTGCTTGAAAATACTCTTATTTTCGTGTGTTTTAGTTTGAAGTAAAATGCTCTTTTTTGTGGTTATCCTGGAGCACTATTGCTATATAAAATTTGGTTTGCAATACTCTGTATAAGTAGAGACAATAAGGAGATCCTAGTTTTGTTTAAGATATGAACATCTGTTTTCCTTGGCTACTGTATGAGAGTATCTCCTACAGCAACTGTGTCTGATTGGCTTTCAGTGTATTCTGTCCCATAAACGCTTCTAATAAATAAATAAATTATATATGAGAGTAAATTTATTTAGCTTTGTTTTGTGATTTAAAATATTGCGCCCAGGTTTGGAAACCACCTGTTGAAGACATCACAGCCGTTAAGCGAGTACGCATTCAAGCAGAATATTGAATCCTTCAGGATCATGTCTAATCGCTGGCATCTGACTTTGAATGCTGTATCAAGATGCCTGCCAGGTTTGGCGGACAGCCACGTTTGAATGAAAGGCAGAGTGTTTGTCTGTGGCTATCAGTAACTGAAGCCAATAAAACACTTGTGTACAGTACTTTAAACCTTAAGAATTACAAAACAAATTTAAGACCAATCATAGCTGATCTATAGCAATGTACGTGTTCTTGGTAACCAGGGCTTAAAATGTAACCGAATGACTAGAAGCAAGAACTAGGAAAGAAAGGGAAGTGTGGCACAGTCAAAAACTGAAAGCCTGGTTGAGTCCTTGAGGGGAAAGAAGATCACATGAGCCACATCATCGCAAATACCCCGTGATGTTTATCCCTTGTGAATTATCTCCTGTGGTGCATGAATCATCTTCCTGAGCCTACATGGTGTACATAGGCAAAACCTATCTATGACCTCTCCCAAGGGAAACATTTCTCTCTAGTCTGTTATTAAATGTTGGTTGACTGTACACATGCCACCACAGTGAGCCCTGCAAACTAAGAGCCATTGTATTCTATGGATCATTTGATTAATCTGGAGTCCTGTAGCTCAGTGGTTAGAGCACTCGCCTTGCAGGAAAAGAAAACCTGGGTTCAATTCCAGGCAGAGGGCGAAACCTTGGGCAAGTTTCCTTACTCCACACAGAGCCTAATAATAATCCCTCCAAAACAAAAATAAATTGGTCATTTTCAGTCCACGACTGTTTGTGGGACACTGCTGTGCGCAATTGGCTGCCGCATTTTGCCCACAAATATACAGTCAATTCACTTTACGGTATATTCTGTGAAGCGCTTTGCGACGTCTCGAAAATGTGAAAAGCGCTATATCAAATGCAAGGATTATTATAATTAAATTTTCAATAATATTCTTAACCATGAAAACATTGGGCTAAATTTTAATAAACTAAGTTAATTAAACAACTGCAACAAGTATCAGCACCCCAGTTGCCATGACCATGGGACTAGTAATGCGAGCAAACACTGTTCCACAAACATCCTCCAGGAAAGAAAAACGAAATAGGAAAGGAAAAGCTCACCAGCATAAGCAAATTGCTTGTGATTTTATTTAAAAGTACAAAGTTGGTTTGTTAGCAAGTTGAGTTAACAATTGTTCCATTTTAAATTAATGAATAATACTTTGTACATGTACAAGACATTGCATTGTACACATTTGCAATTGTTTTCCACAAATTTGTGCCATGAAAAGGTGTCGGAAACCTTTTTTTTGAGTATATGACCCAATTATTGACTATCCTCCTTGGAGTCGAGTTGGCTTCAAGGTGACATACTTGGCAACAGAATGTCCAAATCGAGTCACTCTATGGCAGTCTGGAGCTGACGAAAAATAAACGAGTAGAAAAGCCTGACAAATATTTTACTTTTAAATTTATTTGCAGCATCGCACGTGGATAAGACTTAATCAGAAAACATTTTGCGCCATCTGATGGTTAAAATAGACATGTACACCTTGTGCACTTATTACTTTGAGCTGTTTGCACGACATTACTTAAATGGTTTGCATTTAACAGAAAAATTAATGGAGCAATTTACAATTTTTTTAATTTAAAAATTAGTTTTCCTTTCAGATGTTTGGTTTGGACGGCCTCCGTTCCACCATCGTGGGTCGTGCTTTCAGCTACTGCGCCTGGAACACTCTCCCTCAAGCCCTCCACCTTGCCCCCGCCTTCCCCAGTTTCAACTCGCGCCTGAAGTCCTTTCTCTTCGACCATGGTTATGGTCACCTTATCCAGGCTCAGTGTTATCCTCCACTGCTGTCAAGCGCCCTGGGGTGGTAACCTGCGTGAGGGGGCACTACACAATCGCCAGTTGTTGGATGTCCTGGTTTTCTGCCTCCCCCCGGACTGTTGACTCCACTTGGCTATTTTCTTTTTAAAAAGATTGTAATGTAAAAGGGGGCAGATGGCTGATTTGGTCTGAGCACAATTTATTTCCTTGTAAATATAAGGAATAAGGACGTTATTTTACCTGGGGGGGGGGGGGGAGAAGATGTGGCCATACAAGCCACTATTGCAAAGCAATCCATGTTTCAATAACCAGCCTGAAAGTTTATTCTAGCTCTTTAACTCTTCTGGTGAGAATCCTGATGAAAATTTAAACTTCTTTTCAGAAAGGTCTGAGTTCCAATCTAAAAAAAAATTATTAGCTGCACACTCGACCCCCAGCTCAAAGGAAGAGGATGGTTGGCAATTGCCCAGCTTGCTGGATTTTCCAGCTAATAATAATAATCCTTGCATTCTATATAGCACTTTTCACTTCTTCGAGACATCTCCAAGCGCTTCACAGAATATACTGTAAAGTGAATCGACTATTTGTGGGCAAAACATGGCAGCCATTTGCGCACAGCAGCATCCCACAAACAGTCGGGGATTGAAGTGACCAATTTATTACTTTTTTTTTCTTGAAGGATTATTATCAGGCATGTGGAGTAAGGAAACTTGCCCAAGATTTCACCCTGCAAGAAAGCAAACCGACATCTCTCGCTCGCGAGGCGAGTGCTCTAACCACTGAGCTATGGACTCTAGCTAAGTGCCAATGCATTTAAAATAGATATCAATAAAATAACCCTGTGAATCCTACCCAACATTTAATCAGTAAAAATAAATCCTCTTAACATTTAAAATAAAAGAATTCCAAAAATATACAGACAGCTGTGGGCCGTGTGGAGTGGGGATGTGCTAGGAAGGTCAGGCTCACAGCAGTTTGGAATAGTTATAATGTCGGTCCAGCTAAGTCCAAGTCCCAGATACTTGAAGTCTAGTTAGGCAGGAATTGACTATTTGAATTATGTTTGAAATGAGACCACTCAAACTACCATTTTTAAGAAAATATGCACTGGTTATATATACACAATTAAATTGCATACCATACATTTTCTTAATTTCTACCTGCCAATCATCAGACTGAAGCATTTGATTTATTTATTTGTTTTTATTTCTATAATAGAGCTTAATAGTGGAAACAACTGGCTCTGAATGTCTTAAATCAAAGCTTGTTTCACAATTGTTAGCTACTCAAAAGCACAAACAAGCTACAGAATGCAAATATACACTGATGGAAGATAAACAACCATTGTCAAGTTAGTTGTAGGTCATGTATCTTGGTGTAGCACTGAACTTGGCGTAGGACTTGATAACTTTGTTCACAGCTTCCAAGAAATCTTTCTCGGTGGCGATTTTCCGACGAGCTCTGATAGCAAACATTCCAGCTTCCGTGCACACACTGCGGATCTCAGCCCCTGCACAGAAGGATCAACAATTATAGTTTCTTCTCCATCAAACCAACACAGATGGATCTCACCTTACCTTTACTCTTCATTTAACAGGCACTGGGAGTTCATTAAACATTTAGAGGGAATGTTAGCCTTCATCAAGGCGGTGGTTTTCACTGATGGCTAACCAAATCCATTCAATATCAGCAACAAGCATTAATAGGATGGGCACAGCTTGAGGAGGACACACAGTAAAACCCTCCATGTATCAGCGATCAATTTGAATTATGGCCATCAGGGTTGCAACTGTCCGAATGAATGTCACTCAAGATCCTACAAGGCAGATAGAGTTTCAACCCACAACTGGATTCAAAGCAAGATGCTCTCCTACATGACTGCCCTGTCTCTCAAACACAGTGGAACCAGCAGATTCTTAACAGCACAAGGATGCCAATCAAGCCCATAGTTTTATCATCAATGGCAAATATTCAATGAATCATGTAATCCTTGCATTTAATATATCATCTTATCACATTGTTGAGACATCTCAAAGCACTTCATACTGTAAGTGCATACTATAAAGTGAACTGACTATATTTTGTGGGCGAAACACAGCAGCCAATTTAACAGGCAATGTGTCCCACAAACAGTCATGGATTGAGTGACCACCTTTTTTTAATAAAAGGGATTATTACCCCTGGAAAACGATCTGCCAATCATCTAAAAACCAGGATCCTAGTTACTGCTGGGTAAACAGAGGCAGGTGAATTAAGAAAATTTGCCTAAGGTGTAGAAATAATTAAAGCAATTATAATTTAAAAGTATGCATCGATTAGCCTTACCTGTGCTATTTGGACACAGTCGAGCCAGCAATTCAAATCTTATGTCCCTTTCCACGCTCATGGATCGGGCGTGGATCTTAAATATGTGAGTTCGACCCTGAAACGGTAAGAAGTCATTGGCTTCATATGAATCAAACATTGTACATCATTTATCTCTTTGTAACACAGACAGAAATAAACGTTTCTGTGAAATAAACGTTTCTGCGTTAGAAGTGGTTCCAATTTACAGTTTTGATCACTTCTGTTGCCATAGATACATTTGTACGAGAAGAAGAATCCTTTTGATTGTAGTGCCTTTCTCGTCAGGAGGATATCTCAAAGCGCTTCACAGGATATTGTAAAATGCAATGACTGCATTTAGCCGAGTTCCTTGGGAATACTACAGACCCAACTGGCTCAGAAACTGTACTACCATAAAGGGTTGACTCGATTCCAATATTACAAGCTCAGCCTCAAGCAGACCCTAACTACCTCTCTCCCCAGTAGGACAGTTACTATTTAGTCATTTAACATTAAGAAGTTGCAGATCTGAGCCTCCACTAGATAAAGAGCAGAAACAGAAATCGCATTTATTACTCACTATTCCAAATAGGTTTTGCAAAGTATTTCCGTACCTCGAGATCTGGCAAACTAAATTCAATTTTCCTGTCTAAACGGCCGGGCCTCATTAAAGCTGGATCCAGTGTGTCAGGCCTGTTTGTTGCCATCAGTACTTTGATGTTGCCTCTGGGATCAAAACCATCAAGTTGGTTAATGAGCTCCAGCATTGTGCGCTGCACCTCATTGTCACCACCAGCACCATCATCAAACCGAGCACCTCGGGAGAGAAATACATTACGTTAAGTACAAACACACCTTTCAATAAGTTTCAAACAGTACAAAAAGTGACACTGATATAAATAGTACATTATTTCCCTGCAAAGAAGTAAAGAGGTAATGACTGGCAAAGTCATAATTTTAGCAGCCTGCCTTATTATGGGATTTCCCCAGTTACCCATAAATGCATAATTGTATATACCAAGTCAAAACCCTAATGGGTTAGGGTGGTCCTAGTTGGACATGCAAATTGTCAGGGACAGCTTGCCAGACATGTCTAACCTAACTAGAGAGTGGAATTTCACATGATAGTTTTAGTGTGTAACTACAGTGAAAGAAAGAGTGATTTCAGATTACAAAAACTAATTAAAACATACATATAAACCCTCAGCCCATAAACTATGGAGGACACGGACCTGAAATAGATTTTGCTTCTTGCAGATTTTTCTTAAAAAGAGAGAAATCTAATTAAACCATTTACTCTCTACACTTAATGACAGGGCTATGTGTATTTACCAAATACATTCAAAATGTTCCAGAAAATTACCATAAAAAAAATTACTGACTGAAAATCTGAACCAGACTATTACATGTTTGGTTTCTATTAAATTTCACTGAAGGAAAAAAAAACTAAACTTGGTGCAACTTCAACTGATTGGAAAATAAATTGCTTCCAGGTGTGTTCTATGTTCTACCACAACCATTTTATTCATCATTTATTCCTAATGGAAATCACTTTTTTTCATGTATAGAAAACCTGTAAATTGCCATTGAAATTTCCCCAAACATAAAATATACATAAGTAAATATACCTCCAATCGCATCAATCTCATCAAAGAATATCAAACACGCTTTCTTGGTTCTGGCCATCTCAAAAAGTTCACGAACCATCCGAGCGCCCTAGATTTGATAAATAATTGTATTCATTTATATTATGACAATGTCTGGTACAGTTAAGATTTAAGTACAAAACTTCCTAATAGTTTTAGGAAGTACTGCCCACAGCTCTTGCATCCGTTCAACACAGCACAATGTGGTGCTTGAACCCACAAGCTTCTGATTCAGAGGTGAAGGTGATACTAATTGAGTCAGGCTGACATATTACAACCCAGTTATGTGATTACTAGGGAGTGCCTCCTGTGGACACACACACACTGGGATCTTTATAGAGACTTTTCCAACTCCATCCAAGAAAGACAGGCAGAGAAGACATTTGTTAAATCTTTGTATTGGCCTCAAGCCTGAAGGGATGGATTTTGCATTTAAATCCAACATAAAAAGTAATTGGTAAATGTAACCATTTTCTGCAGAAAAGAAGCATCAGAAGAATAGAAACCTGTGAATAAATGTATTTAAATGATGTTTGACTTTACCTCTCCGACATACTTCTGGACCAGCTCAGAGCCAATTACTCTGATGAAGCAGGCGTCAGTCCTATTGGCTACGGCTCGGGCACACAGAGTTTTCCCAGTTCCAGGTGGCCCAAACAGCAGGACTCCCTTTGGTGGCTCAATGCCTAGGTTAACAAAACTCTCTGGCTGTAACACAGAAGGCAATGAATAGTTAATAATAATACTTGCATTCACTACTACCGTGTGACCTGATCACTCTAAATACTTAGAAAAAAACAAGACAAATTCTCAGCAACAATTTAAAAAAAACACAGTAAATACACAAAATAGTTAAATACACAAAGGCCTCGTTATTTATATGCTCAATGTTACGATCACTTCAGTCTCGAGAATAAGATGGATGCTCCAAATAAGATCCTTGCTCAAATTTATTTATGACTTGAAGGAACATATTCAAACCTTGCCCAAAGCAGCCAATGTAGCAGACTGAGCACCATAATTCTTTAATCAATACAATACTGTTATGCTGAACATCAACTTACGTGCAGCAAAGGTGTCTCCACCACTTCTCTCAGTTTTTCTATCTGCTCTTTGCATCCACCAACATCGCTGTAGGTCACATCTGGCTTCTCCTCCACCTGAAAGGTGCACAGCAGCAAGAGTTGCTCGAATCAATTAAAAATGTTCATTTGAGTACAATACACTCATACAGCGCTTTTCACGGTGGGAAGAGGCCCGAAAGTTCTCAACAATTCCTCCCAGGTACTAGAGTTGAGAGAGGTGAGGAAAGATTAACGAAAGCAAGGCCAAAAGAGCTTATGTTTTGAGATGTACCTTAGGGAGGGAGTGTAAATGTAGCATTTCACCAGCGCAGTCAAATTATTAGTCTGAAGAATTAGAATTGTAATCATTGTAATGCTTCAATAAATCCCAGTACCACATGAAATACAGCATCGCAAAATGGATTTACCTGCATCATAGTCACAGTGGGATCAATCTTTGGAGGCAATGGAATATGGATCTGGTACTTATTTCGATCCACACTGAAATTCAAAACATTTCTAGTAAGTTGTGTTGAATATTTAATTACAGACAGATGTGAAGGGAAAACAAAAAATAAGATTAGTCTGAAGCTACCCTGGCTCAGTTACTTTTCATTAAATATTACAGAGCGCCCTTCACACGAGGCAACGACTCAGAGTGCTTAGAATTTACTAAACAAATACCGAGAAGTCTTCAAGAGTCGTGCAAGTTATAAATTCGGTCCGTACCCAACTCTCATTCCCTCCTCAATGTCCGTGGGAGCCACTTGGTCGCTCAAATCAACCACAAATTTTGCAAACTGCTTCACATTGATGATATACTTGGGATCCTCTGAATCTGCATTGATGATTTTTGTACATCTGCAAAGAGGAAAAAGTGAAGCGATTTGTTAATGTGCCCACACATTATACACTCGAAACAGAGATCAAGAACAAAGCAACTGAGGGACAAAGGTGCAAACTCTCTGCCTCCTCACAAGAGAATAAAATTTCCACAAATTATAGGATAAAGTCCAGAGAAGCACTTTTTGCTCAATGCATGCGATTTAAGAATGAGGTAGAGTTACTAGGAAACTTAGAAAAGTGTGCGGGGAAAAACAGCTATCTTAATTTTAGAACAGGGTAACAGAAGAACTCCCATTGGTATACAAGGCAAGTCCTATTATGGAACACAAGTCTTCTAGCCTTTGTTTTCCTTATCAAGATTTAAATGAGACTGTTTCAGGTAACTGTGCTCAGAGAGTACATACAGTGAAATCAGTACGTGAAGCTTTCTTGCTGCTTAAAGCCCAAATGGGACAGCCCAGAAGGATATTTAGTTTAATGTGCAATATTTTAGAATCCGTACCTTGCAACCTGTAATGGCTGCTCACTCTGAAGTGTCTGCTTGTCTGCTGCCAGGTCCCACAATGCTGGAGGAGCCAGACCTGTGTCCGACTCCTTAATACCTACACAAAGGATTCAGTCATTAAGAACTCCATTTAGTCAGTCTTCATTTCAAACAATTCTAGTAGATATCAGATACTCTGCGAAGGACAAGCCTTTTTGAAGCTCTAATATTAAGGAATACATCTGGACACACACCTGGATTAATCAAACATCTGTCCAAATGATCAGCCCACAGAAAAACCTCTCCATTAAAGAGGACAATTAACAAAGGTAACGGTTTGCCAGGAAGGGCTGCAGGATCCTAGACATTCAAGAAACCGCTCGATTCTGTAATGGGAGTATGGTAAGGTGTTTTTTTTTCTGGAAGGATGAGATCATATAGGTGAAAAGGCCTTCTTCATCTGAACTTGTCATGATTTTGTGATGTACGTTTGTGTGTATACATATCGGCAAATAATAGTAATCCTTGCATTTGATCTATATAATGCAAGGATTATTATTATTATTTGATATAGAACCTTATCTCATCTTCAAGACAACTCAAAGTGCTTCGTAGAATTGACTGTATATTTTGTGGGCAAAACGCAGCGGCCAATTGTCATGCATCTTTAATTGAATTATGACCTCAAGATTGTACATAAACACTATTTGTCAAATTGAATCTCGAATGGACTTTATAAAATCACATGTACCTGTCAGCTCATTGATTTTCTTGAGAAGCTGCTGGATGTCATCCTCCACCTGTTTGATTTGTCTGGAATATGTACTCTGGCCCTGAAAAATAAACCCAGCACCACAATGGTCAAATGCAAGGGTTATTATTATTGGTTACACCTCTTTCATAAGAGTAGCCAGTAACCAGTAATTAATTTAAATGTTAGGTTTGGTCAGTGTGATGTTCCATTGTTACATATGGAAATACAATCAGACCACAAAAAAGTTGCAACAAACAGCCCCCGCAATGATTTCTAATTTTGCACAAAAACCCACTTCCGAAATGGATCACTGCATACTAATCAGGAACAAGAACCATAATGGATTTAGCCCCCTTTTGAAATAGAAAAATTACATAAATTTCATAACTTAGCATTCATGATCAAATTAACTGGCTGAACCTTCAGCAAATTAAGTGTTTTTTTTAAAAAAATAGATTTCCAAATATTTACATCTAAATTTATATGAACTGATGCCCAATGCTTTGGACCCAGAGAATCCTGTGTAATTTTATGTCTGAAATTTTGAAGTGTTATAACAGAACCAACTTAACATTGGTTTTGTACTTACATAGGTCTTGAGGAGGGCAATGTCCCCTTCATCCAAAGCTGTAATCAAGCAGGAAAAAAAACACAATTAGAAATTAATCATATCTGGTACACGAGTCCTCAAAAATGTACAAACCTTTTAGAGAAAAGTTTTTCATAAATTTCTAAATTATTTAGTAAAACTATTTTTTTCAGGTTGTATTTTATCAAAATTAAACTTCAGTTAAACTTTTCTCAGAACTGTTACTAGCTATTCACTCCCAAAAGAAGGACCCGGACCTCAATGCAATTGCAATCAAAACATGTTAAAGTAACTACCTCTTTTCAGCAAACACCTGCAGTCAACAACCACCCTGGAACAGTCCAGACCGATTTTCATAATAAACCACATAGAGCAACAACCTATCAGTAATCACTCTTTTTAATAATGTAATGTAATAATACATTTAGTAATGTAGCCACTCTTTTTAAGTCCTGTCAGTGTACTGACGGCCTTTTCGATGGTCAGATGTGGGCCGGTGGGCTGCTCAGTACAGTGTTGATGTGTGTTGGGAGTCTACATAGAAATTTTGGGCCTCCAAAAATGGAAACAATTTGTATTTTGTAACTGATTTATTACTTTATGAAAACTAGTTGATTTATGGTTTCTTATGTGTGTTTTTTTTTACACGCTTAAAAATTCTACATACACAAACAAACCCTCACTCACAGATGTATGACACAAAGAAACCAACTGCCTAAAGAGAATCCAAACCAAACTGTATGATAGATTCTGCATGACAGAATCATAGAATCATACAGCACAGACGGAGGCCATTCGGCCCATCGTGTCTGTGCCGGCTCTTTGAAAAGAGCTGTCCAAATCAATCCAACTGCCACGTTCTCTCCCCATAGCCTTGCAAACTTGTCCTCCCCAAATAATTATCTAGTTCTCTCTTAAAAGTTGTTATCGAATCGACTTCCAACATATGCAGGGAAATATCCCTTTCTCTGGAGTGGATGCGCATTTTCTCTCAGGAGCGATGCACCCTGCTCACCTCATCCTGCAAAGTTTTAGACGTAGGTTGCCAAGAGTTTAACGAGCTAAAAAAAGCATCTTGCTGCTGCAAACGCTGTCTGCCAAGCTTGTCTCGCTAGGATCACCCTATCTATTAGGGCTTTGGGTGACAGAGTTAAGAGAAGCCAAATAGGAAGAATCCCAGTATCCATTGTCCCTCCAAACGCTGCTGACAAGGGCCATTTAAGTTAACATGTTCATTTGGTGGGTCATACCATAAAATCTTATACATAATTCATTATATACATGATGTGAGCTGTGCAGAATGCATAGGTTTTAATAAACGTCTTGTATTAAAAACCAGAGAGTCGGTTTAAAGAAGAAATTGAGTGCAGTATAGTATATCAATACAATTTTGGAAACTACTGGGTGGGCTGCCAGATATCATCCCTGCAGTCAAATCTTTGACACCCCTACCCTATAACAGGGGCTCCATATAAATAGCGATTAACGCGCTCGCCTCACATTTGAGTGGGCCTGGGTTCGATTCCCGGGCAGGGCAAAACCTTGGGCACGTTTCCTGACTCCACACGCCTCTGTTTACTTGGCAGTAAGTAGAAACCTGGTCGTTAGTCGATTGCCGGATCGCTTTCCGGGGATATTGTTTTTTCCCAGTTCGGTTAGCAAATGGTCTGGCCTTCTCGGACATTCCTTGATACCAGGTTACACCGCTTGCATATGTTTGCTGCGCAACCTACAGCTTCTATACTATAAACAAAACCGCACTGTGTGAATGGCCATCTTCAGATACAAAAGGCAATCACTACAATATAAATGAATGGCCTTCGCTGTGTGTGGTACGTGGAACAGTCTCCCGACAAGAGTAGCTGATGAAACAAAAACGCAAAATACTGCAAATGCTGGAGATCCGAAACAAAAAACAGAAGTCGCTGGGAACACTCGGCGGGTCAGGCAGCATCCGTGGAGCATCCGTGGAGAAAGGAAAGTGAGTCAATGTTTCGGGTCCACGAAGGGTCGACTCACTTTCCTTTCTCCATAGATGTGCTGCCTGACCCGCCGAGTGTTCCCAGCGACTTCTGTTTTATTTAAGGGCAGCTGAGCTGATGCCCCGTCAGTAACACCTTGGGGGGGGGGGGGGGGGAAATGGGACAGGGAGAATAAGGTGGCACCCGAGGGATGAAAAACATCCCACTGGATTGTTCGCGGGACACCGCCGTGCGCCGTTGGCTGCCGTACTTTGCCTATAAATAACAACAACAACAACAACAATAATAATCCTCGCGTTTCACACGGCGCCCCTCGTCACACCATCGAGACGCTCGAAGGGAACCGCCTTCTGCGCGAGAAACGCGGCCGCCGGTTGCAGGCGGCAGCGTCTCGCAAACAGCCGCGGGGGGGGAGGGGGGGGGGGGGCGGGGGGGCGGGGGGGGGGCGGACCACCGAATTCTATACCGTCTGAAGGGAAGCGGAGCGCCCCCACCCAGGAAGAGCGATCCCGCCAACCGACCCCGACGGCCTGGTCCCTTAGGCCCGGCGCTCAGCCAGCGGGCGCGCCTGGCGCGGGGCATAAGGGCCAACCCGGCTCGGGCGCGGCGCCGCCACCGCCGCCGCCGGCACCGCCGACCCACCGCGCGGTGCGCGTCCGCGAGGCGCTTCTTCCGAGGCGTCCGGACGCCCCGAGAAGGCGCTATCGTCAAAACACGAGGAATGTTATTGTCATCGTCGTCGTCGTCAAGGAGGGGGTGTTAATGGGGAGGGGGGGAGGGGGGGGGAGTGGGTCAAGAGGCCACACTGTGGTGACCCGACTTTAGTCAGTCAGTCAGTCAGTCAGGGAACCCTCTTTACACGACCCAAGGCGAGGCCTCTCTGCTGAGGGGAGGGAGGGAGGGGAGGGCGAGGCCTTCGCTGTCTGTCATGACCGGGTCCCCGGCCTCCAGCAGCTCCGCGGCCTCGCGTCTCGCGCCTCACTCGCCGCCGCCGCCGCCAGAGTCTCCGCCCCACCGGGTGTTTTACTCCACTGACCTCGGATGGGTTTATCGGCTTCCTCCTTCGGCTCCTCTTTAGCTTTGCGCTGGTCGGTGCCCAGGTAGTCAGGCATAGTGGTGGTGGTGGCGGCGGCGGCTGTGGCGGTTACCGGGCCTCCGGCTCGAGCTTATTACACAGCACTTTGAAGCCGCTTCTCCTCCCGGCAGCCACCGCGCCGCCCGCCCTCTCGCCCGCATGCGCGCTGCCTCAGATTGCCGGCGAGCGCTGCCATCTTTGATACGGGCAAAAGAGCCGAGCCCTCAGTTGTGCTGTACACCCAGCGGGGTGGGAGGGGAAATGCTGGCGCTGCCATCTTTGATGCGGGCAATCAGTGAAGCCCTCAATCGCCGTGGCTGGGGTGCTGGCGCCGCCATCTTTGCTGCGGGCACAACGTTAACCAACGACGGACTGCAACGTCAAGTCACTGGACTCCGGCGATTCGAGCAGATCGTGAACACTTTTCCATCATTTCGGATTTGCTGATGCGCTGTAGCCCTCTATGGCTTTGTGATATGTTCGTACCGTCGCGTTTGGAGGTCTCTGAATAGAGGTTGATGTAGGAATTACCCCCCTCTGTATTTTCTGACGACTTCTACCGTTAAAAGGGCAGAGTCTTTAACAAGAAGCTTCGGGGGTTTCGCTCACATCATCGTGAGGGCTGTCAGAACTTTGGATGCATATATATATATATATACATTGGCAAACTGCACCTGTGTAGCACCTTTCATTTAGGATGCACGTCTCAAATTGGTTCTCTTACACTGCACAATGCAATAAGAGTAAATCGAGCAGTGGAAAGGGAGAGTTAAAGTCCACCACCAAAGGCACAGCTGATGTGATATGCTTTAAAGAGGATGTCGAAGGTTTGGGAAAGAGGAAGTAAGGCAAAGAGATTTTGGAAGAGAGTTCCAGAGGGCAGGTCCATGGTGCTTCAAGCCTCAGTCAGCAATGGTGGTTATAGAAGGAATGAGGAGCAAGCAATACATTAATCGGAGCAGAAGGTACAGAGAGGCGGGGGAATAGGTCTTATTCCATAGATAATAAGAAAACAGTCCCATGAAAGGACTTGAATGCAGGGATCTTAAGGCTGATCCACTGGAGAACTGGTGGGTGAGTGTCATGGCTGTGCAGAGTCCAGTGTGGGAGAGAACACGGACCACATAATTTTGTACGAGTGAGGGTGGAGTTATTGTGGGAAGGTTATTGTGGGGAGAGGAAATTGCATTTGCAAAGTCGCTGGAGTAAACCGTGTTCTCTCCCACACTGGACTCTGCACAGCCATGAGACTCACCCACCAGTTCTCCAGTGAATCAGCCTGAAGATCCCTGCCTTCAAGTCCTTTCGTGGGACTGTTTTCTTATGATCTATGGAATAAGTAAACGCAACTAACCCATCACCTTGAAATTTCCAGGAGCTTCTTTTATTTTTGTGCGGGGGGTGGGGGGGGGGGTAAATCTATCACAGTATCTACTTGCACGAACCCTTTCACCTTTGTTTGTTTTTTGCACATATATATATATGTGTGTGTGTGTCTATTAAAAATCCACGTCCCTTTCACTTGTTTTAATACTAGATTCCGCCCAAAAATAAAACCCCCGAAAACAACCCGATCTGCGCGTTTCCTGCACGAGCTCGGAACGTTTGTTTTCTCTCGGGCCGACGGAAACGGGCCGCCCGGAACCTCTCAGCGGTGGGACCCGCGGGTGGGAGGAGGGGAAGAAAGGAAGGAACACGTGCCGGAAGTACGCGTGCGTCGCGTGCGCATTGCGCGAGTCGCGTGCGTGCGTGCGTGCGTCGCGAGGAAGCGGGCGAGCGAGGCCGGTCGGGGTCGGTCAGTCAGTCAGTCAATCAAGACCAGTCCGGTCGGTCAGTCGGTCATCTCCACGCGGAGAGGAGTGAGCGAGAGCCGGGGCCGAACACACACACGCGCGCGCTCGCACACCAACGGAGGCAGTGTCGCGGCCTTTTTTTTTCCCCCTTCTCTCCCCCCACTCCCCGGTGTCACGGACCGGCGGCTCCGGGTTTAGTTTCCGGTTGGGCCGCTCGAGGGCGAGAGTGCGGGGGGTGTGGGGTGTGGGGGTGAGGGGAGACGGCGAGGCTGAGGGAGAGGATGCTGGAGGCAGCGCGGGAGGAGGGCCAGGCCACCGCCGTCTTCAAACCGCTCTCAGGTGAGTCGAGTGGAGTGAATGTGTGTGTGTGAGAGAGAGAGAGAGAGAGAAATAGATAGACAGAGTGTGAGAGAGGGAGGGTGTGAGAGACAGAGAAATAGAGTGTGAGAGAGAGATAGAGTGAGAGAGGGAGAGTGTGAGAGAGAGAGGGAGAGTGTGAGAGAGAGAGGGAGAGTGTGAGAGAGAGAGGGAGAGTGTTTGAGAGAGAGGGAGAGAGTGTGAGGGAGGGAGAGGGAGAGTGTGTGAGAGAGAGAGGGAGAGTGTGTGAGAGGGAGAGTGTGAGAGAGAGAGGGAAATAGATAGAGTGTGTGAGAGAGGGAGAGATAGAGTGTGAGAGAGAGATAGAGTGTGAGAGAGAGATAGAGTGTGAGAGAGAGGGAGAGTGTGTGAGAGAGAGGGAGAGTGTGTGAGAGAGAGGGAGAGTGTGTGAGAGAGAGGGAGATAGAGTGTGAGAGAGAGGGAGATAGAGTGTGAGAGAGAGGGAGATAGAGTGTGAGAGAGAGGGAGATAGAGTGTGAGAGGGAGAGGAAGATCGTGCTAAGATGTTGGCTGCCTCGTTTTGCCCACAGTCAAACACACTTTACAGCGTATTCTGTGAAGCGCTTTGAGACGCCCCCATGATAAGGTGCGGTATCAAATCCAAAGGATTATTGTAATTATTGTTGTTATTATTTAAATGGGAGGTGAGGGGATTTTCTGCTGAGATTCTCACTCATTCTCTCTCTCTTCACCCGCCACCCCACCACCCTACCCTCACAGGCGCTTGGTGTGTTTCACTGCCTGATTTACACACTCTTTGGTTTGTTTTTACTGTTTGATCGGTCAATTTCCTCCCCCTCCCCCACAAAACACACAGTTACTTAACACTTTGCAGTACAGTCTGTGAAGCGTTTGAGACTTCTCAACGAAATGCTGACATAATGATATGATAAATATAATCCTCACATTTGATAAAGCTGCTCATCGCGTCTTTGAGACGTCTCAAAAGCGCTTTCACAGAATACACTGTACAGTGAATTGACTGTACATTTTGTGGGTGAAACGTGAGCAAAACACCCAACAAATTAAGTAAGAACCCGGCAGCAGAGTCCCACACGAAGTCGTGTATTGAGTGACCAATTTATTATTTTTTATTACTTGAAGGGATTAATATTATTACGATTATTATCAATCCCGTGGCCAGCAGCGTGCAGCTCCGGAGATGCCGCGTGTGTTTTTTTTGCTGCTTATTGATGTGATTCACGCGTAGATCTGGAGAACTTTCTTCTTGCACCACCCCCGTTTCCCCATGTGGTGATCGGAAGTATCCATGAAACATTCACTTTGCATCCAACTTTTTTGTGGCAACGGGAGCAGGGGCGCGTACACCAGTAGCATGTTTTGTTGCTGTCACGTAAAATAATAATATAATAATTCTTGATTTGATGTAGCATTATATGGAGTCCTGTAGCTCAGTGGTTAGAGCACTCGCTTTGCAAGCGAGAGACCTGAGTTCAATTCCAGGCAGAGGGCGAAACCTTGGGCAAGTTTCCTTACTCCACACAGAGCCTAATAATAATCCCTCCAAAAAAACAAAAACAATAATAAATTGGTCATTTTCAATCTACGACTGTTTGTGGGACATTGCTGTGCGCAATTGGCTGCCGCGTTCGCCCACAAATATACAGTCAATTCACTTTACAGTGTGTTCTGTGAAGCGCTTTGGGACGTCCTCCCGACGTGAAAAGCGCTATACCAAATGCAAGGATTATTATTATTATTATTATTATATCACGTCGTTGAAATGTCCCAAAGCGCTTCACTGAATATATGTGGAGTCCTGTAGTTCAGCGGTTAGAGCACTTGACTCACAAGCGAGAGGATCTGAGTTCGATTCCCAGGCAGGGTGAAACACTGGGCAAGTTTCCTTACTCACACGCCTCTATTTACCAACCAGTAAGAACAGTATATTAAAATTCACCATTCTTGTGAGTAACTTTACACTTTCAATACAATATATTTAACCAAACAGATCTTAACACCACTGAATGTTAATTTGGCACCTTGTTAATTTCTGTTAGATTGCCTAAATGTCATTAAAACTTTTAATGGACACAAAATCCAGAAAATAAGATTTTGCCTCTTCCCGCTTCATTTTTGTATTGGTTGTGAACAGTCATTGTAAAGATATCCACTGGGTGGGTTATGATTGAATGGGTTATGATTGAAAATTTGACCGTTTTACTGCTTAACCAACTCGTATCGAAGGTGGAATGCTCCAGTTTAATAAATATATGTATTTTCTAAAAGCTCAATTCTATACAATTCTAATTTGGTACTATTGTAGTTATTATCAATTTTTGTAGGTATTTCTTCCCAGCGCTATTAACATGTAGGTGTAGTCCTAATGTGTTGGATAAGAGCAGCCTCCTGACTGACCAAAGAAAAGAGCAGAAACTTAGCCAGGTGCAAGTTAGTACTTGTATGTTGCAATATGTTTTTTCATGTTCGACAGTAATTATGCCAATTCTGTAATTAATATTGCAGCATATCTCATACAATGAAATAAGTTTTACTTATGAGGAAAATCGGAGAGGTTAAGAGGATACCTGATAGTGTCTTTCAAAATTATGAGGGTTTTCATAAAGTAAAGACTTTATTTATTTATTTATTTATTTATTGACCATTGGTCAATGAGTCAGTAAGTAAAAACCAGAGGACACGGCCTGTGATTGAAGGGGGGTAAATTCAGAACAAGTTACGCAAACACTATTTCAGTGAGCGAATAGTGAACCTGTGGAACAGACTCCCTCGGGAGATGGTTGAAGCAGAATGTGTTGATTCTTTCAAACACAGATTAGACTTTTAGAAGATTTTAGAAAATAACATGATGGGATTTAGTAAATAGGTAGTTTGGGATGTATACACATGCGACCACCAGGAAGGTGGAAGGCAAACTAGATGGACTTCGGTCTTTATCGTCTAGCATTTCTTATGTAAGTAGGCGGCAGAAATTTAGGCAAAAAGTTAAGAAAGAGGGTTGTTAAGGCTTTGAATGCCCTATCTCAAACAGTGGCTGAGGCAGAATCCATATTAGCTTTTATGGGGAAATTGCTAAATATTTGAAGGTAAATATAAAAGGGGATGAAGAGGCAGGAGAATGGGACTAAATGGTTAGCTCTTTCAGAAAGTCAACACAGAAATATGGGCCAATGGCTATCGTGGCTGTAAATTTCTATGGTTCTTAGTAATTAGACAGTCACTGTAAGAAATCAACAACTACTTACATTTAGCTAGTGCCCTCCACACAGAGCGCCTCGGAGCAAATGTTACCAGAAATACTGTAAAAATCGTGTTTATTGGCACGATAGTGGGAGAGCAATGCAGGGTATTAAGGCTAGAGGAGCAGGTACATATCTTTTGTTTGACCTGATCTGTTTGATCTTTCTTAAAGCATAATCTATTCGACTACCATGTTGTAATGGGTAGAATTAGTAACTTTGAGCTCCATCGAATATTATTGACGAAACTGATCTGCCAGGAGAAGAGAAGCTAAAAGCGTCCTTGCTGCATCCTATCACAGCTGTTTGGAACAGTTTATAAAAAGGTGACATGAAGATGCCTTTATTTTGAGCATTAGCAAAATGAGTTTGCAATGAGCGAGAATACATGATCTATGGCATGTAGTCCAACTCCACTGGAGTTCAGTGTTCTGCACTCAGGGGTGTTGGTGTAAAGTGACCAGTGTAGTCTAGATTTCAACAACAACAACTTGCATTCATTGATAAAGTACTTGAAGTTAATGTCGGTAACACGATTGGGAACCTACAAATTTATAATTATAGCTTCTAAGGCNAAAAAAAGAGGTTGAACAGTTGTTAATTTTGTTATTCCTCATTTTCTTCTGTCTCCAGGACCAAAATAAAATAATCGCTCTTTGCAGCAGTTGATTGAAATTGGTCGATAATGCTTAATTTGTCCTCTTCTGTTATTGAATACCAACCTCTTCTGCAAAGTTCTACGAGAATATCTAGTGCAGTTCTTATGCAAGGCCTGTAGCTCAGTGGTTAGAGATCTCGCCTCACAAGCGAAAGGACCTGGGTTCGATTCCCGGCAGGGTGAAACATTGGGTAAGTTTTCTTACTCCACGTGCCTCTGTTTACCTTGCAGTTAGTAGGAACCCGGTTGTTAGTTGATTGGCGGATCGCTTTTCCGCGGGTAATAATTCCTTCAAACAAAACTTAGTAATAATAATAAGTTTGGTCAGTTCAATTTCCGACTGTTTGTGGGGACGCCGCTGTGCGCAATCGGCTGCCGCGTTTTGCCCACAAAATATACAATCAATTCACTTTACAGTGTATTCTGTGAAACGCTTTGAGACATCTGGAAGACGCTATATCAAAGGCAAGGATTACTATTATTAACACAAGGATTCAGCAATAGACCATTTAGATCAAAAGCCACAAAACACTTAAAATATGATATTGTTGAAGTTGATATTGATTATGGCTTGGAACGTCCTGACGACTTGAAAGACGTAATATAAATCTAAATTTATTGTTGTTGACTACAGCATTTTATTCTATTCTTCACTTCTCCTTCTTCTATCCCCACCCCCCCACCCATATCATTACTATTGGGTCTGTTACAAAATTGCCCTCAAATTCATTATCATCTTAACCTTAGTTGGCACTCTTGTCTAACCCTATATTTGTGCTGTTCGTTCGAAGTGAAGCTTCTTTGTTGACAGCAGTATAACAATGTAGAGCTGAAAGCCTGGTTTGTTGAGATCTGAACAGTTTTAGCAACTCGCTAGTGCAGGACTCTGAAACCAGGTGTTGTTCAAGATCTGGTCATTCGACTGTCTCTTCAAAATTATTAAAATGACTAAACTGTTGAATATTCCTACTGTTGATTTTCTGGCAAACCTGCAGTACAAACGCAGGCTGAGAAATGACAATTGTGGGTGGATTGTGAACAGATATCTCTGATGTGTAATAATAATAATCCTTGCATTTGATATAGCGCTTTTCACGTATTCTAGACATCTCAAAGCGCTTCACAGAGTATACTGTAAAGTGAATTGACTGTATGTTTGTGGGAGAAACACAGCAGCCAATTGCGCACTGGAGTGTCCTACAAACAGTCATGGATTGAAGTGACCAATTTATTATTGGTTTTTTTTCCTGAGGGATTATTACCAGGCGTGTGGAGTAAGGAAACTTGCCCAAGGTTTCGACCTGCCGGGAATTGAACCCAGGTCTCTCGCTTGTGAGGCGAGTGCTCTAACCACTGAGCTACAGGACTCCACAAGGGAGTTTCCTTAAGACTGCAGTTGGAGCCCTTTGTTGCTGTGGAATAGCAAAACCCTCATTTCTTTTCTCAGGGTTTAAAATGCATTTGATTGGCAGAATGATATGGTTTGAATGAAAGAAAGCATTTCCAACCCCACTGTTTTCATCGGCAGCTTCTGTACAGCACCAGGTGGAACCGGTTGGAAGGTGGTTTGAAGCACTCGTAAAGCGAAGGGCCAGGAATGTGTCTGCCTCATTTCATGAGCTGGAAGAGGAGAAGGAATCTTCGTCCGAGTCAGAAGATGAGGAGCTTCAGCTAGAGGAATACCCATTACTGAAAACACTTGATCCGAAGGACTGGAAGGTACTTTTCCTGATTTTTTTAAATTTGGAGACGTCTTAACCACATTATGAATAAGCCACTAGCCACTATATCTAATGCAAAGGTTATTATTATTAGTTTTTCATGTTTGTAATGAAACTGCTTCAGGTCTCCCTTTGTATAGTTTTGGGGAATTGAATCTTGAACCTCTTATCACTGCCTTAAAACATACAAATCTTGGAATAGCGAGAGATAGAAAAGTTCAGATACTCCAACTCACTACCATTTAGGTCTGTTTCAACTATGTCTACCAACATGTTTTCATAGGTGCAGTGAATGATAGTAATCTTTGCATTTAATATAGTATCTCCCAGTCAGTTGTGAAAGCACTTCTGAGATATCCACCCGACATGAAAGAGTCAATATAAATATATTTATGTGTAATTTGATAATTATCTTCATATAAACCCGTCGCACACATTCTTACAATTATATTTAGTGCTTCTTCTACAAATCAAAAGAACCTGCTGTGTTTAATGTACTTACAGTTGCACTTTTTTGTCACTCTTAATATTACTATTAGTACTCCTTCTAACATCCCCAAAAAGCTACTAACAATGTTCTATTTACTTGTGGTTCTAAGACGACCATTTTTATGGTCTTTAAAATAATAATAATCCTCGCATTTGATATAAAGCCTTATCGCGTCATTGAGACGTCTCAATGCGCTTCACAGAATGTACTGTAAAGTGTGGGCTATATTTTGTGGAAGAAATACGGCAGCCAATCGCGCACAGCAGTGTCGCACGCTTAAGCAGTCATGGATTGAGTGATCCTTAAATGTTTTTTATAAGGGATTATTACCCCTCCCACCTCCAGAAAATGATCAATTTCCTGCAACTAAAGTTGTTAAATCACACACTGCCATAACTGTTATAATATTTTTAAAGCAGACAAGATTGTTGCTGGCATTGAAGGAGAAATTATGTTCTATTGACGTATGAGAACTGACATATTGCTAGCCCTGGATGTACATGCACTTTTTTAATACCTTATCTTCTTCTGTTTAGGAATAAGATATAGGCGAGGTGGGGGTTAGAATGTTAAAAGATGTTGGTTCCCTGGAGGTTTGGAAAGCATGCCAAGAGTATAATTTGTATTTCACAGTTTAACAGCACAGAAATTAATTGGGAAGTTTGCACAGTGAAGTAATTTAGGTTTGTCCCCTGTCAAAAGAGACTGTGCTATCAGAGACATACCTGAGATACTGGAACTGAGCCAAAGTCCTCGGGGGAGATGGGGAGAAAAGATTTTCAATAAAATAGCAATGATGCTGAAGTTTCTGTTGTGGTTGTATATACGGAGGCAGTGTAGAATGAATATCAGCAACCTGGGGTTAAGAGTGGCATGCAATTTCTTCAGTTCCAATTACTGTAAGCTTTTGATTTCCTTCTCCCAACATTTTCACTTTTAATTTGTATCTCGCTCCTTTCTACAGAATCAGGATCATTATGCTGTGCTTGGACTGGTGCATTCCAGGTATAAAGCCACACAGAAGCAAATCAAAGCTGCACGTAAGTATTTTACTGACACGATATGCTGCCTTTGAGTCCCTCCTTCTCTTGATTCTTTGGTGGGATTTTGAACCTCAAAGGAGCTCAGGCTTGTTAGTTGAGCTTCATTTGTATTGAAACCTAATTATATTTGAAGGGTTGGCATGTGAATCACTGCATCACTTTATATTTAAAAAGAACGCTATGTTCATGAAACATTGTCAGCCATTTATTCTTTGTTTGGGAAGGCAGAGGTGAAATGTAAACGGAGTAGAGTTGCATCCCTGTTGAAACCTTCATTGCATTTTGTAGAGTCCTGTAGCTCAGTGGTTAGAGCACTCGCCTTGCAAGCGAGACAGCTGGGTTCAATTCCAGGCAGGTCAGGGCGAAACCTTAGTTAAGTTTCCTTACTCCACACGCCTAATAATAATCCATCCAAAACAAAACAATAATAAATTGGTCATTTTCAATCCACAATTGTTTGTGGGACACTGCTGTGCACAATTGGCTGCCGCGTTTCACCCACAAATATACAGGCAATTCACTTTACAGTATATTCTGTGAAGTGCTTTGTGACGTGAAAAGCGCTATATCAAATGTAAGGATTATTATTATCTTATTGAAGGCCTTTTTTTCCACGAGTGCTGCTCTTTTGACTGTTTCAAAACGCTTTTCTCTAATATAACACAGATTCAAGATGATTGACTAGAGGAGTGATGAGGAGAATTTTCTTCACCTAGCGAGTTGTTACAATATGGATTGTACTGCCTGAAAGGCTGGTGGGAGCACATTCAATTATTACTTTCAATGGGGAATTGGATATTTAGTTGAAAAGAAAATTGCAAGGCTATGGGGAAAAATTGGAGTGGGACTAATTGGATAGTTTTTACAAAGAGCTGGCACAGGCACGATGGGCCAATTGCCTCCTTCTGTTCCGTAGGATTGTATGATACAGACACAGTGCTTTATTTGTACCATTACATATGCAGTGCAGCCTTTTCTACTTGAAAGCAATTACTTGCAAGCAAATTTCTCCATGCAAGGTTCTTTGAAAGTCATCAACGAATGCTCAAGTTGAAAAATAGTGCACAAGAAAAACTGGAACTGGAGGGAGTTTCAGTATTTCTTAGAAAGTTATATAATCTTTCATCCAAGCTTAAATATTCTATTAAAATGTCGAGTGCTAATGCACTCATTTCAGTATTGATATGAAGAAGTTCTGAGCCTGTTGGTAGCAAGTAATTGGGAGTAATCGTGGTTTCAAAACTAGTAACAATTGAACTGCCAGTTAAGTGAGTTCATGCATTGCCAGTCGTTTATCCTTCGAAGTCAGTGATATTCTTCAAATCACTTTTAAGTCATTTATTCTGTGTGAAAAGTGCTACATAATCCCATATTCTTGTGATAAGAATACCGTCAGCACTTGCTATTTTGAACATTTGAAAATTTTCAAAAATGAGCAGTAAACGAAGGGATATTAATCGTAATTCTTTTAATTGTTTTTTTTAAAGAAGACCAAATGTTATGACATTGTTCCAATAAATGTTTAAGTTTGCTTCCTCTGGCATTAGAAATAGCTTTTTCAGGATTTAAATGGAAGGATAAGTGGCAAGTTCCTTGACTGCCAAAATCATCGAATCCGAGCATTTGTTTGCTGTGCCTTGGCAACAATTTTTAGAAATCCTGTACAAATGTTCATGTATTTAGGTAATGTGCAGAGCACACATGGGGTTTCTGGACTCCCGTTGTCTCTGGTCCATTAGTACGGTAAATCTATTGGTCTGATTATTCTAAATTGCTCCCTGATTCATATTCACAGAAAAGATTAATTTTTTTCATCCAGTCTCTCTCTCATTGCTGTCTGTGGGACTTTGCTGGTACAGATTAGTTGCCACCTTTGCCTACATAACTGCCACTATACTTCAAAGCAACTCGTTGTGTAAAGAATATTGAGGTATTCTGACTTGCAGCGCTAGATCAAATGCAGTTCATTTATAATGTAATTGGAGAATCTACTTTCGTCGCCTTTAAGCTCATGTAGCACTTGCGCTGAAATTGCTTCACAATTACAGGAGCTGTTTAAGAGAGACTTTGTGCACATTGACTCCGTGTTTGGGCTCACAAGAGAGCACCTTCCCTGTCACTGAGTACTGCAGGCCAAATGTACTGTGTGTAACTGCAGGCATCATATAGTCCGTATGATTCAGTCAGGGTTTGGATTTGAAATGCATTATTACCTACTTGATCGTGGGATTCTGTAGATATTGGATGGAGAGATTCACATTAGACTGGTGCAAACAGCTGGTGAATCTCCCTGTATTGGAACTCACATAATCATACATATCAGAGAGATAATCTTCGTTCTTCCTTCACCTAACCCCCCACGCCCCCCCCCCCCACCTCTGCCCCACAATTACGATTGGTCTTGTGACAGCTCTTTGTAAAATCCTGGGTTACAACTACAATCTCTACAGAACTGCATGTTTAAAATGTTTTTTTTCTCTCAGAATCAATTCACTGGACTAAATGCTGCTCGGGATTTTAAGGCTATTGTATTCTTTCAGATAAAGCCATGGTACTGAAACATCACCCTGACAAAAGGAAAGCAGCAGGAGAGCAAATTGGTGAAGGGGACAATGACTATTTCACGTGTATTACAAAAGGTAAAGAATTGCAGCAAAACGCCTCCTTTGTCTCTCTCTTCCCCGCCCCCACTCCTCCGCTTTGGTCCGAGTACCTGCCATGGTACATTCTGTTGAATAATCAATCACTCTGTTTGTGTGGACGTGTAAAAGTGAATGAAGTGTGTCCTTCTTTCCCTCTTACAAAAATGTATCTGAAGTTCAGATTTTTTTCCATAGTGGATCACTGTACAGCTGGTGAATCTCCCTGCACTGGAACCCAACTCTGCTATTTGTTTGTCAAATCAGATTTTTTGATCACGAAACTTTTGCTTCTGAGCGAGTTGCCTTCAGATAAGAATTTTGCCCTTTTATTCTTTTAAACGAGCGCTTTCTTACTTTTCCAGCCAATGAAATTCTCTCCGACCCTATTAAACGTCGCGCATTCGACAGCGTGGATCCCACATTTGACAACACGATACCCTCTAAAAGCGAAGCAAAAGATAACTTCTTTGAGGTCTTTTCAGCAGGGTTTGAGCGGAATGCCAGGTAAGAAAGAACAAATCCAAATGATAAGCTGATGTGATGTGTGTCCTGTGAATAGCTGCGTTGTGCATGGGTTGAAGTAAACAATAGCAATTATATTGGGATATTTTTAAAAACCTACATTTTAAAACTCAAGGTCAGTTTGCTAAACTCTACAAACATGTTCTAGGGAAATAGACCCAAAGGTGCAGACTTTGTTTTTCGTGCTGATGTATTATGCCATTTGGTTTATTAATATTGCATTGTGCAGTTTGGATTCGAATTGTATAATTATGCTGAATTTGTTTTGTAAAAGCACCACTTAGGCCTTGTGCAGCATATCTGATACTCACTATTGTAAATCAACCTTTTCATTTTTCTCAGATGGTCCAACAAGAAACATGTCCCCAAATTAGGTGATCTGAATTCAATAATTGAAGAAGTCGACTATTTTTATTCATTCTGGTAAGTTCCTTTTCTATTTTAGTCAAAATTAATTAATTAAAACCCGGGCAGTTCAGTTGGTTAAGCTTTAGGTGCAGGGCCAGCTTTTCACAGGGCAGACTTTAGAGGGAGGTGGGGCAAAGCAGACTCGATGGAGTTTCGGAGATCTGTAGCACAATGGCTAGAAGATTGCCATCAACGAATCAATTGGCCAACTTGAATTTGATCTGCTGGGGGCTCTGGAGCCAAGCGTAGATGGTGGGGTGGGGAGGGAGGCATGTGGAGCTTGGTGCAGAAGAAGACATGCACTTCAGAGTTCTGCGGCTTATGTGGGGAGGAGCTGGGGTGGAATAATCAAGCCAGGATGTGGATGAGGCTCTCGGCACCCAGGTGGGTGGTGGAGGCTAGCCATGTTGCTGACGTGAAGGAAAGCTGAGCGGGTGAAAGTCTAGATGTAGGGTTTGAAAGACAATTGGGAGTCGAACATGACATCAAGATTCTGCATTGGCTCCATGAGATGGAGTGGGCATCCATGTTGATCAGTGCCGAGGCTTAGCTTGCATTGGAGCATTGTTCAGTAGTCACTGTTTCATGTTTGGCAGCGCAGTGTGAAAATAAACCAAAACAATCAAATGTAACTCAATTAGTGGGTTTTATTTATTTTTTAAAAAAGTTAATGTTTTAGGACTTCTACATTTCAGTAGAAGCCCATACACTATACAAATCTTTAGTTTCCTTTGACAGTGAGAATAAAAAAGACTAAAGAATTGTTAAGTACCTAGTTAGTACAGCAGCTCAGTTTTACCAGCACCAATATTCAAAGCTATTAAATCCTGAATATTGCTAATCGTGTATATCCTGAGCAGATCAATTTTGGCATTGTACCTTTTCAAAAGAAAGCTGATTCCCAACGTATTATATACGTTATAAATATTATGTTGGGCTCCCTCGCTATGCAGTATTTCCTCACAGTGCCCAGCACAAGTTTCTTTCTTTATTTGTCTTGTGCATGGTTCTCCAAACTATTTGCTTGGTGAGTAGATGGGATTCTCCACATCTAAAACCAGGAGGTTTTTTGTTAGAAAATGCATATTGTAGGTCTATTGTACTGTATTGTAGATGTGTGAGATCATTTTAAACAGCTGGTACCTTTTCTATCTTCCCTTGTGCTTGCCTTCCCTTGGGAAAGCGAGAAATTTGAGTGAGACTGCTCTCTTTCTTCACATTTGACTACGGGTATACCAGGTAGACTTGAGAGTTAGTTATCATTGAACAGGCCACAGTGATAAGTATTCGAATTGCTTTGGTATTGGCTTGTGTTCTATAGGTGCTCTTAGTTGGATATTGATTTTATAATGTTTCACCATATTTTGACTTATTGATAAGAAAGTTGTGATTTTTTTTTTGATCCAAAAGTTGCGGCCAGAGTTTGTTAAAGTTGTGGTTTTGATGTGGTCAGTTCAAGTACCTGCAGTGATGAGCGCTCCCTTGTACCATCCGCCTGTCCGATCAATCTGCCCCACGTTCCAATTGAACTATCAACCCGTCCATCAAATCATCTTGCACTCTCATTCGGCCAACCTACAGACAGGTGGGTGGCCCAATGAGAGTGCAGGATGGGTTGTACGCGGTGTGTTAAAAGTTGCAGTTTCCTCAACAAAATTGTGGCCCATGATTTTCTTACAGCCGTATTGATGATGCTTTAATTCCTTTATCTTGAGGTATGACTATGACTCCTGGCGGGAATTTTCCTACTTAGATGAAGAAGAAAAGGAAAAGGCAGAATGGTATGTTGTCTTTAACTTTAATTTGTGGTTCAAATTGGTCTTTTCAAAACTCTAGTGTAACTATATTTGTACAAATGTCAGAATAGTCAAATACAATGTGTGTGTGTGTATTATATATGTCTGTGCGGGACAGAAATGTTCTTCTATCTTCTTGTACTTTTAAGGGACCAGATCTGATCAGACAGCTAGAAAAGCCATACTACTGAGTACTGAATTCAAACAGCGTTGAAATTATTACAAATGAAGAGTCACAATACGCATATATTGAAAAAAATATTGGTCTGGAAAGATGTGACTTGGGTCTATTTAAGAAGGAACATTTCTGGATTGTTTACTTTCTTCCGTCCAATATGGAAATAATGACCAATGGTAAAATGTGGGTCCTTAAGCACCGGCCTCTTCTCAATACCTCATCCCAATGGTCATTCTCACAGCGAGAGCCTGAAATAGTTGCTGTCAATAGTCGTGAAAATCACAAATTTTTCCAAGCGCAGAACATTGGATTTATGCTTGTGCATTGTATTTCTTCTCTGCCTCTTCCTCCAAATAGCCCCTTTTTCAGAGCCTGGATATGGCGAGGCCAACTTTAGAGTCTTTACTGCAGCTGGAGCTTGGCTCTCCTCACTGAATGAACAGGAATTGGCGATCAGATCTTTGTCCGTTTGGCTCAGTGCCACCACGGCATGGTGCGTTTACCATTAAGCTATTGGATGTGCCGTATGAACTGGAGCCCTGTGTGAGTGAGTCCACTCGAAGGTGGAAGAACAATTCTGATCTTGTCTTCACATTTTCGGTGTCATTTTTGTTCTTTCTGCAGCCGAGATGAGAGAAGGTGGATCGATAAACAGAACCGAGCTGCGCGGGCACAAAGGAAGAAGGAAGAAATGAATAGGATAAGAACACTGGTTGGTAAGTCAGAGCGATTTTAACAATGGCAGACAATATCGTCTTTATTATTTATTTATTTTGTATTTTGAAAGGCACTGTTCTAAGCCTCTTTCCTTGACTGCTGATAACTGTCTGTTTCTGCTGTGCAATTGTGGGAATGTGCAGAACCAAAAGGAGAGACTACAATAGAGACACTGTCTTTCGTACTAATTGGGACTGCCCCATTATGGATAAGAAAACAGTGTGGATAATTAGTCATTTCACAATATGTAAATTGACTGCAGTGCTAACCAAAACCTTCTGAGACCCTCCTGATTGGCTCGCGTCAGCACCTCCGTACCTCAGGCGCTGACACCATCAGCATCCAAGGCTGCACTCTCCACCTCTCAAAGCCAGTCAGGAACCTCGGTGTTCTGTTCGACCCTGAGCTGTCCTTTCTCCCTCATATCCGCACCACAACTGGCACCGCCTTCCATCACCTCCGGAATGTCGCCAGACTACGGCACTACCTCACCCCTCACGCTGTTGAAACTCTGGTCCACGCCTTTATCACCTCAAGGCTGGACTATGGGAACTCTCTCCTCGCCGGCCTTCCCGGCACCTCCCTCCACAAGCTGCAGGTCATTCAGAACTCTGCAGCTCGTGTACTGTCCCGCACCAGGCTTCGGGACCACATCACTCCCACCCTCGCTCGCCTCCACTGGCTCCCCATCCCCCAGAGGATCGAATTCAAGATCCTCATCCTCACCTACAAGGCCATTCACGGCTTCGCTCCCTCCTACCTCTTCGACCTACTATCCCCCTACTTACCTGCCTGTACCCTACGTTCCTCTGGCTCTGGTCTTCTCCACATCCCCCGCCCTAACCGCCCTACCATCGGTGGTCGGGCTTTCAGCCTCTTAGCCCCTAGGCTCTGGAACTCCATCCCTCAGTGCCTTCGCCTTGCCTCCTCCCTTTCCTCCTTCAAGGCCGGTCTCAAGACCTTTCTCTTTGACCGTGCCTTCAGCTCCCCTCTCGACTCTCTACCCCCTCCCTTCCCTCCCCCTGACCATTTCCCCCCTGCTCGGGTCCTGACCCAACTGTACAGCGCCTTGGGACGTCCTCCCGAAGTGAAAGGCGCTCAATAAATGGAATGTTGTTGTTCTATCTCTCTCATATCTTTCTCTTCATGTTTCTCTCCCACACTGTTTCCCCAACTCAATTGTTACACTCCACCTTTAACAGATTGCTAAAGTAAACACAGCTATTTGCGTACGCCCCTCCGTTTTCCACACCATAACATTTGGATTGTTTTTTGGCCTGATTTAATAGATACTGCCTACAGCTGCGACCCTAGAATAAAAAAATTTAAGGAGGAAGAGAAGGCCAAGAAAGAGGCGGAGAAGAAAGCAAAAGCTGAAGCAAAGAGGAAGGAGCAGGAGCAAAAGGAGAAAGTAAGGGATGAATAAGTACCTTTCTGATTTTTATCGCTGATGGAATATTTCTGCATGTAACACGCTTTTAGTTATTAAAAAAAAGGCTCAGAATGTTGTAGAATACAGGGTTGGAGTGTTAATCTTTGTGTTGCCTACCAGGAAACTCGCAGGGAGTTCCTAATACCTACCATCCACCTCATGAGGGTTGAAACCTGCGTTTATCAAATGTCCCTCTTTAGCTTTCTTTAGAAAGTTTTGGTTCTGGAGCACATCAGGTTTGTCTTACAAGAGAGGGGTTTTAGATTTTGGTCGACGACATTTACATTCATAAAAATTTACAGACAACAACAGCATTCATTGATGAATACCGAAAAGAGACTGAGTACTTGCATGAAACCAGTTAACTTCCCGGATTCATCGTTGCTGTAATAATAATAATCCTTGCAGTTGATATAGGGCCTTATCACTTTGTTGCGACGTCACAAAGTGCTTCACAGAATATACTGTAAAGTGGATTGACTATTGTGTTGTTTATTAAAATGTGTTTTTTATTTAACCCTTAGCAAAGACAGGCTGAGTTGGAAACTGCCCGATTAGCCAAAGAGAAGGAAGAAGAAGAAGCTCGACAACAGGCCTTGCAAATAAAGAAAGAGAAGGAGATACAGAAGAAAGCCATTAAGAAAGAAAGGCAGAAGCTACGCACAGTCTGTAAGGTGCGAGGATCCAGATTTCTGTGGGGATGTGGCTGGTCCATACCAGGGATATTATAAATATAGTTTGCTTTGAACATGGCCACAAAGAAAAGCATTGCAATTCATCAGCAACTGCGATTTTATATAACTGGTGCGTTCACTTCTATGTGGTACACGTTTTCACACCCAGTAATGTAGCCTGACAATATTGTGCTAGTGTGTGATTTATGAACTGTCCCAACTGAAGTCTTCAAACATCTATTCTGTTCCCCTCCATTGCCCACTCCAGCATCCATCCCCCAAACTGATGTAGAATGACATTATAATCTTTGCATTTGCTGTAGTGTCTTATGTCTGGAAGATGCCTCAAAGCACTTCACAGAATTTAGGGTAGTGGAAATCTGGAACTCTCTACCCCCCAAAAGGCTGCGGATGCTGGATCCATTCAAATTTTCAAGACTGAGGTGGATAGATATTGTTAGGCAAGGGCTAAGGCAGGTATTTGGAATTAAGGTATAGATCAGCCATGATCTAATAGAATGGCAGAACAGGCTCAAGAGGTTGAATGGCCTACTCCTGTTCCTATGTTCCTAGTGACAAATGCAGTAACTACTTTCCTTCAGTCTTACTCTTACTATTTTCCCCAACCTAGATTTCTTCGTCCCTCCCACTTCCCATAAGAAAAAACAGGACAACAATTAGTCAAGTGCTTTTGTTGCCTTAGTAATTGTGTCTCCGCGAGGCCACTTGTTTCTGTTTGTGCTACTAATATGTTTTCAAGTCTTTAGTTGAGACATTGAGACCAGTTCTAAACGTTAAAAATGAGATCAGCTAAATCATAAGAGACCAGCAATTAAACCCGGGATCTTATTTTCCCATTAGAATTACTTGAATCTTTTATTTGGATTATTACTTTGAAATCCTTGTCTGCTATTTTGCTACTGTTACAATCAGTACAGGTAGATTGTAATATTAATACCCATTATTGAGCTTTGCAGGGTAGTTATTGCAGTATGTCTGAAATCATCTTTCCTTTTTTTGAAGAATTGGAATTACTTCTCGGATAATCATGCTGAAAGTGTGAAAATGATGGAAGAAGTGGAGAAACTCTGTGACCGACTTGAATTAATCAGGTAAATACATACGCTTTAAGAACAACAAAAATTATAATACGTCCTGCGAAAGATTGTAGGGATGTTGCCCCCCACCCCCAAAAAAAAAAGGTGTAAAATGAAGCAGAACTATGGGTATGCATAATAACTTGTTCAGTGTTGTTCATTTTGCTGTTTATATTTTTTTCTCCTTTTCCCAGCCTACAAGCCTTAAATGAAGTACTTGCATCAAGTGCAAAGGATGAAGGTAAAACTGCAGTAGAGAAACAGGTAAGAAGTGTGATGTTTTGGATGGAGAAGTTTGATATTTGGGGTGGGGGGGGAGGTGGATGGTCAGAATCTATTAAAACTGTCAGGAAGGGTTAACTCCATTTTACCCATCTCTATCCACAAATAGAGAACCTATTTCTGTTTTCCCTCATCTGCTCTCTTTAGTCCTTAAACAGGATGAGGAAGGGAGCAAGTCAAAGGTACGTTTATCTAAAAGAAAAAGCCTTAGACTAAAATTGGACAGTGATGAAACTTCCTGCATTGAAAAAAAACTTCTTGCAACCACGCACTCACTGCCTTTCACATAGGTTAACGTCTCGTTACAGTTTGTAGAGGAAGAGTAGAAACCAGTCAGATGGGAAGCGGGTTTGGGGGAGAGGACAGTTGCCTGAAGGGATGGTTGAAGAGGTAGTAGGCTTTGGAAATCTAGGAGAGAGGGTGGATGGGGAAGTAGTTCCACAAAGTGGCATAATGAAAGCTTGATATTGAATGAATGGCATCTTACATTTGATTTTTTAACTCGTCTACAGATCCAGGAAGTCAACGCACAGATGGCAAAAGAGAAGGAAGAGGCTGAGGCACGTGTGCGTCAGGCTATGAAGAGTTCGGAGCATTCTGCTGGAGGAGGAGGAGGCGGCGGAGGAGGTAGAGCCTGGCAGGAGGACGACTTACAGCTCTTAATAAAAGCTGTCAATCTCTTTCCTGCGGGGACAAATGCAAGGTAGCGTAAAGGGGAACTTACAGAGTAAACAATGGGATCTCTCTGGAAATCAGTGCTGCATCGATAGCTTACAATAATAATCCTTGTGCTTGATATAATGCCTTATCACGTCGTTGAGACATCTATATTATATATATGTGTGTGTGTATATAATATATATATATAGAGAGAGAGCTTATGATGAAAAATACTTTCTAATGGAGATGCAGCCAGGAATATTTGCAAATGTGAATCTGTGGAGGGAAGAGAGTTTGGTTTTGTCCATTACATTATATGAGAGGGGTGATCAAAGGTGAATAAACCTTCACTTAAAATAAGAGAGAAAGACTAAGATTAATTTGGATAATTCCTCCCCCCCACCTTACCCATCATGAGCAGGAAAACCTTTTTTGCTGCTACCTCAGATAACCACATTTTCTGCCCCGTCACTTTCACACTCACCTTAAAGGTGCTGACTTGTATGTGCGATGGCCACATAGTTCTTGATGCCCCTTCACTATCTCACAGTGCCCATTCTATATTGCATGCATGCAGTTGAACAGTAAGTGTTCAAACAGTAAATTGCAGTTAAACTAGTTCCTGTCGTTAATTAGCGTAACAGCATAGCGTAATTTGTAACTTTTATTTTTGCCTTTTTTTTACCTGGGCGCTCCTGAGATGCTACCTTGCATGAAGGGTGCAAGTAGTTGTTGTATTAGCTAAACGGTGATCTGTTTTAGATCCAGCAACTCAGCACAAGGATCGAATCAGAGTTCTTCTAGATTTCTGGAACTCTGCACCATACAATGCAATACTTTGCTGGCCCAATTAGACAGAGTCTATCAGCCAGAATTTTAAAGTGCCTTATTTATCTGAATGTGCACTCCCTCCCCGCCCCCCCCCAACCCTACCCCTCCACCGTTGAGATTTTATAATCTGAGCCCATTCCAAACCTACTTTTTTCATTTGAAAACTAAAGGGCTGTTAATCTTGCTGATTTTTTTTTTGCTTATACTGTAGCTTTGTTCTTTCATTTCCAGATGGGAAGTAATCGCTAATTTTATCAATTCGCACTCAACAAGTGGAATCAAAAGGACGGCCAAGGATGTAATTAACAAAGCCAAGAATTTGCAAAAGCTCGGTATGTTCAGGATATATGTTTATTTAATCCATGGCGTGTTTTACATTCAAAACTCTAGAACCAGCTAACGTGTTTGGAACCCAATGCCACCTTCCATGGTTCAGCATCAGGGTCTATCAGAGACATCAGGGAGATTTATCGAGCTATCTTTGTTAACTAAAATCACAAGTTTGAAATATTAATAATAATCGCGCATTTGATGCAGCACCTTATCACGTCTTCGAGACGTCTCAAAGTACTTCACAGAATATACTGTAAAGTGAATTGACTGCAGATTTTGGGGATGAAACGTGACAGCCAATTGCACACAGCGGCGTCCCACAAACAGTCATGGATTGAGTGACCAAATTATTTTTTTCGTGAAATATTCTCATGATGTTGAGTTTTAGCGGTCACTTTGGAGCTCCAGTGTTGCTTTGACCACTTGGGGGAGCACTGCGCTTGAGGTTCATGCCTGAGAATTGCTGAATTATTCAAAATACAGTGGATTTGCCTTCAAATTTTCATCTCCAAAATACAACCCCTATATCTGATTTGAACTCGCCACCTCCTTGGTTTGCCTGCAGAATAGCAGGTGATTATTGATTTCCGAAAGATAGGACGTCATAGAAAGGGTTATGCTGGTAAATTGATTTGTCAAGCTTCGTAAGATTAAAAAAATTAAGCTGATTTGGGATTACTGTACCTATAAGAAGGGCTGAATGAGAGTTAGTGTGATGATTAGAGAGAATGTGATGATAATGGCTGATTACAAACTATTAAAACTTTTCATCCTGCACTCCAGATCCTGTACAAAAGGATGAAATCAACAGGAAGGCCTTTGAAAAGTTCAACAAAGAGCACAGTACAGCAGCGGCTGCTGTGGATAAAGCAGTCCCATCAGAGCGATTTGAAGGTAAGAATGTGAAATGATAACCTGCACATTTTTGTTTTGTGAATTAAAACAACAACAAATTACATTTGTATAGTATCTTTCACACCAGGAGGATGTCCCAAATCGCTGGGACATCTGAACATCAAATTACCATTACTTTTTTTTCTAAAATCTCTAATGTGCACTGAGAAACTTCTGTGTTCACACATGTGGCATCTCAAAATTTACCAAATTTTTCACAAAGGAAAGTAAAAAGGTTTGTCTTCACCTCCTAATGGTGCCAAGTCATTCATACAAAATGTATTTAATTCCTATTACAACATCGTTTCTAGTTCACAGTATTGAGGTCCGTCTCAAAACGAACATTTATTGATTGGCGGATTGCTTTCCGGGAGTAATAACATATTCTGTGAAGTCCTTTGAGACGTCTCAACAATGTGATGAAGGGGCTATATCAAATGCAAGTGTTTTTATTAATATATCTCTGACCGTTGGTCATCTGTCTCCTCCCCACTCCCACTGCCATCCTTCAAGTCCCGCCTCAAGATCCTCCTCTTCGACCATGCCATCGCCCCCCCTTCCCCTCCCTCCTCCCCCGCCCCCAGCTCGGGCCTGAAATGCTGTATTGTCCAGCGCCTTGGGACGTCCTCCCGACATGAAAGGCGCTATACAAATGTAATCTTGTTGTCGTTGTGAAGCTTTTCTGACATGAAAGGTGCTATGGAAATTTGTTTTGTATTCTCTTGACCATTTGAAAACCATGGTTCTACTTTAGTGGATTGTATGATATGCTTCATGGCTATGAACAGCTGATGTATACGTGCTTAGTGTCATTTCCAAATCCAATTCTCCCTTGCACTTCAACAGTGTGCATCACTAACTCAAGTTTCCGATTTCGAGTACCAATTCCTGCAAATTGTAGAATTTTTGATAGATTAACCAGTGATTACAAGGCAGTTATCTCTTAATTAAGTAGTTCAGATGGACGGAATCCCCAAAGTGCACAACAAATCATCTGAATCCTCCTACCAAATCTGATTTACAGCCCTTCAGTCTATCCATTACTTTCTTTATGAAATGATCTCTGAAGTACTTTTATTCTGTAACAGCATAAGTAGGTACTCTTGCAGATGCCCAATGGCTAGTTTTGACTCACCACATCCACACTGAGGAATTAGATTAATTTATATCACTCGATTTATTGAGCGAATCAATTATATTAAACTGAAAACTTTTGTAGCCTCAGGGACCCTCCAGCACATTAGTCTCATGAAAGTAAGAACAAATATGTTTAGCAGTTCTCCCGATGACCTATGGTGTTGCTGCAGAATAGCCCTGTTATAACTCGTTGGGAGTCCGATGTCTCAATCCTCATATTATTGTAATGAAGTATGGAAAAATCTGTACCTTCCTTCGCTAAGTTACATTAGGGGCACTTCCTGCCCGTAGTGAACATGCATAATATGCAGGAAGTGGTTGAGGTAACTTGGAAATTAGGTTATTTTTCAGACGGCTCAAACCCGTGCTTGTTTGGATGTCACTTGACCAACTAAGTCTCCTCCTTGAAGAGTAGATGAGCAGAACTAGCTCCAAGACAACATGTTTACTAAATACAATCAATCCACATTACACCATATCCTGTAAAGCGCTTTGAGATGGCTCAACGATGTGATAAGACGCGATATCAAATGCAATTATTATTGTGTTTGGCAACGGGATGCCACAATCAAGCCCACCCTCTGTGGCCGTCTCGGTAGTCCAATTCCTGAGATAAGCAGGTCTGCAGTACTCCTGGGCATTGCCGATTGCAGCACAGCCAGACTGGCTCGTTGGCAGGACTTGGAAGGGCAGACCAGTTCCTGGAGGCAGAGACTTTTTCCATTAACCTTGCAAGCCAAAGCCTAATGGATGGGCGCCAGCTGGACAAGCGGCAGGAAAGCTTGCCAGGCAGTGATATCAATGGCAAATTATGTGGTTTTGGCTGGTTAAACTCCAACAGTTACCCCAACACGTACTCTGGATTCCCCAACCCTTGGCTCTTGCCAACCTGCGCCTATTGCTTTCCGGGATTAGGTAAGCAGGATGCTTCCCTCCAGGTAGAGTGTGCATTCCATTTTAATAAATATCTCACATGTAGGTGGGATGCATGTAACTCTTAGGCATGGCGATGGGTTTTTGCATTGTGTTAAGACACCCGGCTAACCAAAACAAAATGGGCAAGAAATCAGTCCACACACAGAAGCCAACTCACGATCCACAGGGTTCCTGCCTTATATAAGCAAAACTAACCATATAATGAACAACATTTCTTTGTTGGAAGGAAACCAGAAATAACCAATTAAATCTGAACCATCCAGGATTTATTGCCTGATTATGTGTTTATAGAAAATGGAAAATTAGATTGTTTTAGTCTGAATTCAATTGGTCTACATTATAACACTGTGCTTGAGCCAAGCACAATAGAGGGGGAAGTGATTTATATAATCCACCCTTTCATTGCAACTGAGTGTGCCAGAGTAGGTTACAGAATCAATGGTTTGTTGTATTTTCGGACAATTAGACAACATGCAACTACCTTTTTTTTATAAACGCACCGTTTCCCTTTCTTGTTCTTCCCCAAATAAGGGGATTTGAGATGCAGCCAGAAAAATTACCTCATTTTGATCCGTCTTTCTAAAGCTTTTCGTTGTGTGTTGCAGCTCCTGGTGCTGATACTAACCCTTGGACAGCAGAAGAACAGAAACTTTTAGAACAAGCACTGAAATCCTATCCGGTTAACACCGCCGAACGATGGGAGAAAATAGCAGCAACTGTTCCAGGAAGGACTAAGAAAGACTGCATGAAGCGATACAAGGTGAACAACCCTGCTATCAACTGCTCTTGTAGACGCATAACTTAAGATGCCCTTGCAACTCAATCTTTTAAAGTCGCTTTAAAGGTTACATTATGAAAACANTTTTTTTCTGCCTAGAATTGCTGAAAGTATTATACAGTTAAACTCAATTCCTCAATTCAAAAACTGATACTGCACTTTTGATGCAGTATAGGTCTCCTTTTTCTCACCCCATTACTCAATTCTGCCTGGTGAGGAGAAAAACACAAGGCAACCTGCTCTGGCTATGTGCATTTTAACTGATTTCCATGGGAGTAAGTTGTGTGGTTTCAGCTTAGCCGGTCAGGAAGTTGTGGGTTGAAGTCTAACATCAAGGCTCAACAGTGTAGCACGTGTTCAAGGTGCTGTCTTTTGGATGAGATGTTAAACTGAGAGCTCATCTGCTCATCCTTCAAGTGTACATTAAAAAAGATCCCATTACCCTCTTTGATCAATTTTATCAATGACTGTTGGTCAGGAAATTTTCATTCACCTTATTGGGCTTTACTCGGTTTACAATGCCTGCCACTTTTTTGCCTATTACACTAAGTTGATGGTCACTAATTACAGTAAAGAGCTTTGAGTATAAAGTTCTCTCTAAACTAATTATAAATCATTATAATCAAGCCTGGGCTTTGAAATATTTCCATGTGCAGCTGTCAGCTAACCATTTTCTGCTATAGAGATCATGCAACTGACTTTCAATAAATGTTTTGCATTTTAATTATCTTGTTCAATTCCCGGCAGGAACTTGTTGAAATGGTCAAAGCAAAGAAAGCTGCACAAGACCAAGTGAATGCTACGAGGCCGAAGAAATGATGTTCAGACTCCCCTTTCTCCTTATGTGCATGTGATTATTTGATAATAAAATGATTAAAACCAACTACAAAGAACTTGCTTTATTATAATTTACAGAAAAATGGTAAATGTTATAAGATTTAAAAAGATGTAACATTTATTGCCTTAGCCAGTACATAGCACTCCGAATTCTGTTATAGTCTGGGAGTTGTTCAATAGGACCTGGAGAAACAGAAACGTATTAAAATACTGAAACTCCACAATGAAGCAATAAATAGTATGTACACTACAGTACTTACCAACAGCAGCAATAGCAGGACACTTATCGTAGAGGTACTTTGTGCAAACATCCCTGATTGTTTTCGCATCAACAGCCTAGTTCAAGTGCAAAGCAGTAGTTATAGCAACTGGGTTTATTCACTTTTAAATCATAAGCAAAATACACAGCAGTCAATCCACTCTATGAAACACTTTGAGACGTCTCAACGACGTGATATCAAATGCAAGGATTATTATTTATTACAAATGCCACCTTTTAGGAAATTATAAAGGTAAAAACTTATTTCCCTTAAGTCCCTGTAGCGGTTGCACAGTCACTTACATCAATCCTTGCATCCAGTTCTGGCAGTGGAATCCTTCGATTATAACACAGCATCTGTCTACCAATGTCTTCACAGATTGGCGTTGAGCCTACAAAAAAAAATAAAAAACATGTTAAATTGCTTTTTAAGGCAACGTAGCACAACAGCAGATTCAAAATGCTGTACAAACCATCGAGCTGGAGCAGCATGTTCGTCTTTAGGAGGTTTCTGGCTCGAGCAACCTCTGCTTCGGTTACACTTGTGCACAACCTCATCCTGAAATCAAATGAGAGCTGAAATAGTGACAGTGGNAAAAACCACCTCAGTATCTCTAAAGCTTCACATTCTAACACTGCTGTAATGCCAAAGTAACTTTCTACAGAGCTGCGTACAACGTTCAGAACGCTGTATGGGAAGTGTTCTGCTTTGAGAAACTTAATGTTTACTATTCAGCACCTGAACTTTCAATAGAACAGTTTGGGGTCCAATTGGGTGACGATTAGAGCACTCGCCTCTCAAGTGAGAGACCAAAACTAAGCATTCTACGTGTTCAGCTTAAAGCTTAGTTAGCATAACTTCTGAACGTGTATTTTACTGTTCCATTGACTAGCAATCTGCACTTGTATAGAAGCTTTCACATGAAACGGACATCTTTTTCGCCCACAAATATACAGTCAATTCACTTTATAGTCTATTCTGTGAAGCGCTTTGAGACGTTGAGAAGACGTGAAAAGCGCTATATCAAAATGCAAGGATTATTTTTATTATTATCTCGTGTTTCAAGACAATTGTGAGGAGAGAAAGAAGAATTTAAGGATGTTGATACTGAATTGCTTAAAGATCACATGACAGGAAGATTTTCCCAGCGTCCTGGCCAACAGGGCACTGGAATAAATAAAAATAAATAATTCCCTAAATAAAAAGGGTCCTTCACTTCATGGCTATTTGTGGATCATTGCTTGCACAAATTGGCTGCTGGGTTTATCTACAAATACAGTCACTACACTTGATAGTATATCATGTGAAGGGCCTTGAGACATCCCCCTGAAGAGAACGGCACTATATTAAATGCAAACATTATTGTGCATTCGCCCACAAATATACAGTCAATTCACTTTACAGTATATTCTGTGAAGCGCTTTGAGACGTCTAGAAGATGTGAAAAGCGCTATATCAAATGCAAGGATTATTATTATTTGGTCTGAAAAAAGCTTGTAAGTGGTTAAATCATTTAAAACTCAGCCATTATAACTGTCATAGGTATTATGCAGAACAGATTCGCTTAAACCTGAAATTCAACAATCCATTATAGCAATGTTTGCTTTTATGTTTGTTTTTTTAAATCTGTTTTCTATGCCATCAAGAGCAGTGTGTACTTGACAAGCTCTTAACTGCATAAAAAGGTACTTTCAGAAAGAGTCTGATTAAAATATGCCACAAAGTGTTAGTGCACAAGATCTGCTGTGTCAAAACCTGTAACTGCTCTCAGTGAAATTGAGAGGACATTGGGAACGTGTGGAATCCTCGAGACGAGAAGAGAATATATTGCAAAGTTTTAAATGGCCACTGTGGCTGAGATTGCTACCCGCACAATCTCAAATTAGATGTACGATTATGCTTTAAATGTTTTGTGCACCTCTATACCATTCCTCGGCCAAGTATCCCGTTCCTCGGTTCTGTTAGTCCTGCAAGTCCTGCACAAGTAGCTGCTGATGGACATGCAATAGAGGCTGTGGGTTATGTGGGATGTCAGCTTTTAGTATCCTACACCTCTTGTCAATCCGTAGCTAATTCAATTCGCACCTTAAAAGGCAAGTCTCCTCTTCGATCACATGAAAATGTATCTCCCCCCCCTCATTTTATATGATTCTCTGTTGGCACGTTGCTAAAATTTCTGCTACATGATGAGAGATGATTTTATGAGACTGGACATTAAGCCAGGATACTCATACCAACTTTACACTGAGTGAAGCAGAGTACAATCATTATCTCTTAATTGCAAAGAAGTGTTTTTCACGCGATGTGATAATGAACGCCGTACAAAAAGGATCTGGGGTGCGTTTTGCATGCTCGTGCTCCCAGATGGGTTCTCAAGTGCTCTCTTGCCCACCCCGCTTGCTCTCTACCGCTCTTGATTCCAAACCCCAAGCTGTCCAGGAGCCTTGACACATCTTCCCTCTATAAAAGTGATTTGTTGTTGTGGTCTAGGGCATGCACATATCGTGGGATAATCTGCATTTATTCAGCATAGAGTGACGCGATTTTCCCACAAACTTTGATTTTTTTTTAAATTTCCAAATTGAAAATAAATACATCTTTAACCAAACCAAGCAAACAGCAAGATCACAGGAAGCTCGCCTCCCCCTTGTTCGGGCAGAAAACAGGGATTGTGAGGCATTAACTGAATGACACGTACCACTCTCTTTGAACAAAGTGCAGCATTTCTTCAATAGTGTTGGGCTCACAGACCATGTAAAGCCCCCAGAGACCGGTGTCTGTGTAGCAGGTGTTGAACGACTGGAAGCTATGGCAGAGGTTACCCTGGCAAGTAACCTGAGCCAATTTACTGGACAAATTCTGTTTAAAAACAAAAACGCACAATTCTCAGAATCTCAGACTTGAATTGTTTAGTCAGAGGCGATGACACATTTTATTGTCCCCATTAATAATAATAATAATCCTTACAATTCATAGAATCATAGAATTATGCAGCACAGAAGGAGGCCATTCGTGTCCATGCTGGCTCTTTGAAAAGAGCTATTCAATCCAATTCAATCCCACACCCCCGCGCTCTCCCCATAGCCCTGCAAACTTGTCCTCCCCAAATAATTTTCTACTTCTCTCTTAAAAGTTGTTATCGAATCGGCTTCCATTTGATATTCCGCTTATCTCATCGTTGATACATATCAAAGCACTTCATAAAATATATTGTAAAGTGCATTGACTGTATTTTGTGGGCAAAACGCAGCAGCCAATTGCGCACAACAGTGTCCCACAAACAGTCATGGATTGAGCGACCAGATCTTTTTTCACTTTTACTCTTTTTTGTTGTACCACAGCAAAGTTGAAAAGCACCAAGTACCCAATATTTGTACAGAGTTTGTTTTTTTCAAAGCAAAGCTCAAATACTTAACATATAGTTAACATAATACGTTCATTAAAACTGTTGCACCCTCCCTTCCCACCCCAAGCTTTAAGTAGTGTCATATATCTCTCTGCTATTAGCATAGAGAATAGACAAATCCTGCGGTTAAAAGCTCATGGAATTCTAGACATAATTAGCTAACTGGATTGAAAACTGACTCAGCAATAAGAAGCATAAGGTGATGATAAAGTGACTATGCCTGGAGGGCAGGGACTACAGATGTTCTACAGCACTTTGTTCTGGGTCCCCCTGCGGTTTACACTATTTATAAATGATAGCAGTGCATCCAGTTTATTGCATTTGCTAATGAAACCAAGCTACACAGCAAGTTGACTAACATTATTACCAAACATGCTGCTGTGCTCTGTAGTGCTGGGTCTGTGGTACGAACATAAGTCTGAGATTTTCTCCTAATTACCTGGGGGAGGGGGAAAGAGACGAGAGAAAGAGGGGAAAGACAGAAAGCAGGGAAGAAAAGGCAGAAAGGAGGAGCCAGAAAGGAAGAGAGATGGGTGTGAAGGGAAATGAAGGGAGTCATTTCATCTCCTGCAGGAAATACACAAGTTTTAATGCAGCCTCTAATTGTACTCATCTTCCATTGATCTTACTGTCAAAAAATGTATCGCATTTATGCTCTTCCTGCAGATTCACATTTCCAAATCCAACAATTCCTTACTCATGTTGTGTCCACCACGCAGGGTCAGATTGGCAGGATGTGACTAGTGGAGTGCCACAAGGATCAGTGCTTGGGCCTCAATTATTTAGTCTATATCAATGATTTAGATGAGGAAGTAGAACTTAACTTATCTAAATTCGCAGACAATACGAAGCTAGGTGGGAGAGTAAGCTGTGAGGATGACACAAGAAGAATTCAAAGGGAAATAGACAGGCTGGGTGAGTGGGCAAGAAGGTGGTGGATGGAGTATAACGTGGGGAAGTGTGAAGGTATTCACCGAGGTAGTAAAAATAGAAAAGCGGATTCTTTTCTAGAGGGGGAGAGACTAGGTAGCGTTAGTGTTCAGAGGGATTTGGGTGTCCTTGTACACCAGTCACAAAAACTTAGTATGCAGGTACAGCAAGCAACTAGGAAAGCTAATGGCATGTTGATGTTCGTTGCAAAAGGGTTAGAGTACAAGAGCAGGGAAGTCTTGCTGCAGTTGTATAAGGCCTTGGTGAGACCGCACCTAGAATATTGTGTGCAGTTTTGGTTTCCTTATTTAAGAAAGGACATACTCGCCTTAGAGGGGGTGACGCATAGATTCATTAGGTTGGTTCCTGGGATGAGGGGATTGACCTATGAGGATAGGTTGAGTAAACTAGGCCTATATTCTCTAGAATATAGAAGAATTAGCAGCGATCTTATAGAAACCTATACGATTCTTAAGGGTCTTGACATGGTAGATGCCGTGAGTGTTTCCCCTGGTTGGAGAATCTAAAACTAGGGGTCACAGTCTCAGGATTAAGGGTCAGCCTTTTTGAACTGAGTTGAGGAAACATTTCTTCACTCAGAGGGCAGTGAATTTGTGGAATTCTCTACCCCAGAAGCTGTGGATACTCAGTCCTTGAACATATGGAGTCCTGTAGCTCAGTGGTTAGAGCACTCGGTTTGCAAGCGAGAGACCTGTGTTCGATTCCCGGCAGGGTGAAACCTTGGGCAAGTTTCCTTACTCCACACGCCTGATAATAACCCCTCAAAAAAAACCTATAATAAATTGGTCATTTCAGTCCATGACTGTTTGTGGGACATTGCTGCGCGCAATTGGCTGCCGCATTTCGCCCACAAATATACAGTCAATTCACTTTACAGGATACTCTGTGAAGCGCTTTGAGACGTCTAGAAGACGTGTAAAACGCTATATCAAATCCAAGGATTATTATTAATATTATATATTCAAGACTGAGGTTGATAGATTTCTAAAGTGTAGCGAAATTAAGGGATATGGGGATAGGGCGGGTAAATGAAATTAGGTTAGAAGATCAGCCATGATCTTATTAAATGGCGGGGTAGGCTCGAGGGGCCGAGTGGCTTACTCCTGCTCCTACGTCTTATGGTCTTATAATCTTTCACCAATGACTTTAGAATCTTAAGCATATAAGTAAATCAACAGGTGAACTTTACATTACTACCAGAACATACATGAAGATACTGTCTCTTATACAAATTACTCCAGACCATCACCTAAGAATCAGCCTTGGTACTTCGGTGATGGTATTGATCTAAGTTTCAATACCTTGGGTAGTGAAAGGCACTATACAAATATAATTTGTTGTTACTGTTGATAAAAATTGCCTTTTTATGTGGATTGTGAAGCCAAGAGAGAAGACTCCCAGTAGCAAGCTCTATAAACAGCAAGTGACTTTCTGGGTTAAGGTGGTCTCACTGGAAGGACTTCAGGTCAGGACAGGCAGCAGGAATGGTAAGAGGCTGAGGGTCATGTTTCTCTATTGTAGAATAATCGACTGCATTGTAAGAAGTGCATCACATTGTGTAAAAGAAAATACCAAAAGGAAGATCGCCACCTTTTCTTTGCTTTGGCAATAACTATATTTGAAATGTATGACTGTGGAATTTCTAAATGCAGAACGTTGTAATCGTAAAACATGTCTACAATGACGGGTAAAACAATATATAAGCAGCTTTAAATATGTATTCCTAGTGCAATTCACAATTAGCGACGTTTTATCTCGAGTCAAAGAACGATCTTGTTTTCACTCTGTAAGCCTACATTCTTCCACGTGGAGTCTAAATGTTGGCTGCAACCGTATAAAAGTTTCTCTCCACTTTCGCCCAGCTCCCCCACCAAACAAACAAAATGCTGGAGCCAAATCGATACTGCCATTCATGCTTTTGATTTGAATACAAGGACATCTACTGTTTTATTAGTCTAGAGAGTAAACTAATTTAAAGTTAAACTAGTTGAAACATCTCAATGATGTGATAAAGGGCTATATAAAATGAGATATGGGCTATATAAGATTATTATTAGTAGTAGTATTAGGGACCTGGGAGTTTTTAAACTCATCTCTGGAAAGATTTCCAATCTCTGGCAAAGACGATGCAAATCCAAAAAATTTTCGCTGCAGTTAGAGGAGACCCTGCAAAAAAAGTTTCCATCTCTACTGAAAAGTTCTTCCTGATTACTTACCACACCTCCGCCAAAAGACCGGTCCCAATTACCAATCAGGGTGTTTGCCACCATCAGAGGAATGGTGTCAGAGTTTGACCAGCCAACAGCTTCAATAGCGACTGCAATGTGTGCCAGAGGCATCTTGTCGTCTCGGACACGAATCTGCAAACAAATATCAGTATCACTGGAACAGGTGCCTGACAAACTCTGCCATCAAGAGCACAAAAGGCATCTTTAACATCTATAATAATAAATTGGTCACTCAATCCACCACTGTGCGCAATTGGCTGCTGTGTTTCGCCCACAAAATGTACAGTCAACTCAGTTTACAGTAGATTCTGCAAAGCTCTTTGAGAGGTCTCACCAACATGATATGGTGCTATATCAAATGCAAGGATCATTATTTATTATTATTAACCTGGCTGACAGACAGTCTGTTAATGATGTGAATTTAAGTACAACACACAGTTTCAAATCCGAATAGCTGTGTGTTACTCCAGAAAGGTAGTGATGCGTCTTAACATGAGCACGACTTCTGCCCACCCTGTCAATGACCCAATGACCACCAGGTTGATCTGATCGGACACTTCTATGTACTCACCTCACTGCCTGTGAACCTGCACACAGGCAGGACTGGTGTGGTATCACCATCGTAAGTGGACGAGAGATTACCAAAGTGATGCTTTGCCAAATCAGTCAACTCTTCATGTTCCACTCCTGTAAACAACATTCAAATGTCAATGTTTACAGGAAATGAAGCTAAAAAGGTTAGTAATTACTCTGGTCAACGTACAAACAGAACAAAATAGGAATTCAACTGTATGCTCGAAAGTTCAGGATTAGAACAAATATTTCTTACTAAAATAGCAACATCTAAAAGTACAAAGCTCTATCTATGTTCATAAAATACTTCAGTGAAGTAAACTGATTAAATGAGAATGTGAGGTTATTTTATCCATGCCTGATGGAAACCTCAAACACAGCTGCATTGTGGAGCACATCACTTATATTTAGTAAACCAAAATCTATACAACAGCACTATTTACAACCCAAGACAAGATTAAAATAATAAAACTTCCTTTTCATGGCCCTTTCCTCAATTATGTCAGTTACTATCCCACAAACTGTGGCATATACTTCCAATGGTATCCCTTCCTCATAACATCCCAACTCGTACACAGATGGATTGAAATTCAGAGGGAAGTGCAGCGAAGCTGACTCCAACATTTTTAAATGCAAGAAACCACAATAGTCAGCGTTTTGTTCACAAACCTGAAAAATTGTTACAATCGTGATTTTTCGTGGGGGTTGGTGAGGGGAGGGACACACAGAATAAATTAAATCAAATTTCTTAATGAAAATGTTCCGATTTACTGCTCCCCCCGTTTCAGACAGACATAATTTGCAGTCCCTTCTCTCTGGAAATGTACAGGGTGTCCACAAAGACACGTTACCCACATGTTTTTTTTTTACACACAGCGCGTTGACAAATGAAACATGTGGCAGAATGATGATAATTGCATTTCAGGCAGTATGAAAAAGGGGAGAGGGGGCAAGGCGGAGGGATTGAGGGAGAGGGTTCCAGAGCTCCAGGGCAACTGAATGTGCGATCTCCAATGGTGGGGCGGAACGGTAAGAGGACTAGGCGAACACCCTGTACATTCAATATCAACTTTGAAAACAACTACTGGAGGTGCACAATGTCACAAGCAGGCTTCCTGATGCCTTACCCATTTGCCATTTTCCTTAATAATTCAGCCCACGTTCCGAATCGATTGTGTGGAACCCAGACATAAATCCGTGGCACAGCACAGTGGTAGAATCAGCTCACTATCCCAACAGTCCTGCTTGTTCATTTTCACTTTCCACTTGAGGTTTAGAACGGTAACTTCCGATTCAATCTCATGCTTTAAGTTTGCAACTGGAAAGGCAACTCCAGAATTTGAAATATTCTGGAATTCGCCCGGGGCTTGATCAAAAACAATGGCCGCATTCACGCACGCTATTTTGCCGAAACATATTGTAAACAGGGTCACTAAGGAAACTCATGACCGAATAGAAGCGACTTAAAATGTAACAACCTCCAGCAGCAGCCAGCACGATCCTTGGTCCTTTGTAGTGAGTTGTGATGTATTCCACCAGGTCACCCTGGTTTATGGATCTATTACAAAAACAAAAGTATAACAGTCAGCCGTTGTAACCTTGCATTATATTTCAAAACTGTTCTTAAGAAAGAAACCAATACCAATACATACTTAATGTTTTCTGTGGGCCCCAGAATGGTACGGCCCAAAGCTGTATCCTGATAGGCTGTTGCGTGCAGATAGTCAAATACAACTTCCTGAAGATTGGTTTCAACCTCTTGCATCTCTCTCAGAATAACTCCTCGCTCCCGCTCGATCTCAGCCTCCCCGAGAGTGCTGTTTTGGATGATGTCGGCAAGGATTTCCACAGCTGCATACGAAGCAGAAGACAAAGCATGGTTTAATAATAATACTTGTATTTGATATAGCGCCTTCTCACGTCTTCGCCCCCTCCTTAGCCTCCTTCAAGTCCCGCTTCAAGACCCTCCTCTTCAACCATGCCATTGGCCACCCCCCTTCCCCTCCCTTCTCCCCCCCTGACCCCAGCTCGGGTCTGAAATGCTGTACACTGTCCAGTGCCTTGGGAATTCCTCCAGACTTGAAAGGCACTATACAAATGTAATCTTGTTGTTGTTGTCGTCTTCGAGATATCTCAAAGTACTTCAGAGAATATACTGTAAACTGAATTGAATGTATATTTTGTGAGCAAAACACAGCAGCCAATTGCACAAAGATAGTAATAATATTTGCATTTGATACAGCACCTCACCACAATTGTAAAATTGACTGCATATTTTGTGGGCAAAAAGAAACACATGCATGTCTAGTTTTTTTAAAAACAAAATAGCATGTTCAATTATTTTTCTCTACTTTTCTCTCCCATTGGCATATAACTCTCTGCTTCCGACATGGCTTTCTCTTGCTAGGGTACAGTTCCGCAGACACCGGTTGCCCTCCGATACCGCACCCAAGTTCCACTTATTGCGGAGAGTATTGGCAAGCCATTGTAGAGAGGGCTTCACAGCCAAACCAGACATAATAATAATAATAATCCTTGCATTTGATATAGCGCTTTTCACGTCGGGAGGACGTCCCAAAGCGCTTCACAGAATATACTGTAAAGTGAATTGATTGTATGTTTGTGGGCGAACGCGGCAGCCAATTGCTCACAGCAGTATCCCACAAACAGTCGTGGATTGAAAATGACCAATTAATTATTGTTTTGGGTTTTTGAAGGGATTATTATTAGGCTCTGTGTGGAGTAAGGAAACTTGCCCAAGGTTTCGCCCTCTGCCTGGAATTGAACTCAGGTCTCTCGCTTGCAAAGTAAGTGCTCTAACCACTGAGCTACAGGACTCCACAAATCTCCCCTCCTGCCTGTAACACACAAGCGCAACCAGTAGTGGGTGTTGTAGAGGGGTTGGGAATCCTTCTCGAACACTGAGGCGGCCAATACTGAGACCAGTAATCTCAGCGTGGAACTCAAACCAGCTCCTGATCAGCAGGCTGCAGCTCTATCCGCTATACCATCGGGGCTGCCCACTTGTTAAAAATATTTAATTAGTCGCCTTTATACGTCCTTTACACATGACCAAACCCAACACTGCCAATTAACCGAATGCTTTGAGTACTGATGAATAAAGGTAGTTTCTCTCGAAAATACAAAGCTGATCTTGAGGCCGAAGAAGAGAAATTAAAACAGGTCTAAAGACGTACTCTTTGAACCCCAAGCAACTTTAAATTACAACAGCGTTCTTCCAAACGAGAGCCTTTATGGTCTGCAGGACTGAATTCCGAAAGCCAATTAGGCATTATTTAAATAGCCAAGTACCTCGAGGCAAATCTTTGGAAAACGCTTTGGCATAATACACAGTTTGTTCTCTTGACGTATATGCATTCAGATGGGCTCCCATGTTCTCAATCTCAAGCTCCAGGTCTAGCTGAGAACGTTTCTTTGTACCCTGCGGGGGGTGGAGAGGAGGAGAAAGAATAGACTTGCTGGTTATGTGCTAAGTTACTAAAGGACAATGGCGCATACTTTCATAACATCGATAGCATTAATGAGTACAAACCAAGAACACAAAGTAGGAGCCGCATTACTTACTTTGAATGCCATGTGCTCCAAGAAATGAGCTGTTCCATTGTTCTTCTCGTTCTCATAGCGGCTTCCTGCATCGATCCACAGCCCGACCTACGCAAAACAACAACAGGCTGGAGATCAGAGAAGCAGCTGGTAAAGCAGGCATAATAATAATCCTTGGATTTGATATAGCGTCTTATCACGTCATTGAGACGTCTCAAAAAGCTTCACAAAATATATCAAATGTCAAATATCACATATATATTCTGTGAAGCGCTTTGAGACATCTCAATGATGTGATAAGACACTATATCAAATGCAAGGATGAAATGAATTGATTGTGTATTTTGTGGACAAAATGCTACTTTATGGCAATCCCTACAATGAGACATTTAGGTCATTGAAGAGTAATGTTGAGAGCTAGCAACTGGTTCTTTTTAATAACTTAAAGAGCTGAACATGCACTTAAGCCTCATTATGAATGAATCTTTCTTCCCATTGCCCAAAAAATCCAGGGTAAATTGAAAAATTGAAAAGTGCTCCCCTTGGGGCTCATTGAGTTTATCCAGTGAGCAGCTCGAGTCACACAGACCCAGGTTCAATGTCCGATTGCAAAACATTATGTTTCGACACTCAGATATGCCATGGAAGCTGTAAGCATTTGAAACCCTGCAGTTTATTGGCATCAGATCAAAACATTGTGACCCCAATGGGAACAGATTGTACGATTTAACACACAATTTTTTTTAGTGGTGGTGTACGTCAGTCAGTACACAAAATGGAAATTTGGGATCCAATGTCAACATCAATACCCCAACTTCACGAGCAAAGTAAAGACCCTCCCATTGAGCGTCAGCACCTTGTAACGTCCTTCAGACGTGAAAGGTGCTATATAAATGTAATTTTTTGTTGTTATTGTTAGTCACTGGCTTTAAAGAGGCAAAGCTCACATCGCCAAGAAGGAAAAGAGAGGTAGCTGTACCAAGCAATTGCCTTCATCTTTTGTCACAAAGATGTGCTGACACAAATTGCACATGATTGTGAGTTTTGCCAAACACTTTCTATAATACAATCCACCCCCCCATTCCGCCAAACTCAAAATGATAATCCCTACAATGAGACATTTAGGTCATTGAAGAATAGCTGCTGAGAGCTAGCGACTGGTTCTCTTAACAACTTACAAAGCTGAACAGACACTCTAGAAATATTATGGGGCCTTTTTTAATCAGAGGCTGAATTGAATTCTCCTATCCGCTTGTAATGCTATAGCAGTTCAAATCGCTCCCCGAATTACCTCGATTCAAGGTGATTTCAACAGCACAATTTGCTTTCAGATTGTGAACCTGATACAATACAAATCTACATTCACATAGCACTTCTACATTGGAAGTACATCCCAAGGCACTTTATGATACTGGTACAATAACAATAATAATCCTTGCATTTGGTATAGTACCTTATCACGTCTTCGAGACGTTTCAAAGTGTTTCACAGAAAATACTATAAAGTTAATTAACTGTATATGTTGTGGGCAAAATACAGCAGTCAAGTGACTCACAAACTGTCATGAATTGAGTGACCAAATTATTATTATTTTTGAAGAGATTATTACCCCCTACAATAATACTGCAATAGTTACTGAAAAGCAAATATGTACAGTAATAAACGCAGTAAGGATCAGCTTCCTACTCACAGTACAGGTTGGAAGACCCGAGTCTTCAGAGGATACTCGCAGTCCATTATCCAATGTTGTGACCTTTGTTTCTGGGATGTTCAGAACTTGTACAGCTGTGGCCTGAGTGGCTCTGAACCTCTGTAGAATGGGCTGAAACAACCCCAAATTATCGTTAATGTTCATTGGTGATTGAGAACAGGAAGAGAATATAATAGCCTTAAAAACAACAATCTTGGTAACGTGTAACTGTGAAAAGATTAACAAGTGATAAATTTCCCACTGCTTCCAATTTGGCTTAATATTCTGCTAATGTAAATTACAGTCACATACACAAATTAGATTTAAAAAGATCCGCAATTATCTCCAGTAAAAATAAAACCGATTTGCATTTTGAGCAACACGAAAGGAGTACACGTTGTTGGAGGTGCCGGCTTTGGGATAAGATGTCAAGCCGAGACTCTATATGCCTATTCTGATAGTTCAAGTCGGCGTTAAAATCCCATGGCATCATTTTGAACCACAACAGCGTTCTATTCCTTACAATTTCATCAAAATTAGATTAATCAATCATTCATCTCATTACTCATGCAGATTATCTGCCACATTTGCCCACACAGCAATCACCTCATGTCAAATTAACAACGTGATGTATTTAATGAGGCATATTCCCACAGAAAAATAAACAAAACATATGTGTAGTCAGAGCCAATTCTATTCCTGCAGCTGTGCAACAGGTAACTAAATAACTTTAATCTCATTAAATTGGCACAACAAGATAAATATTTTGCATCTGAACCTGTGTGTTCTTACACCTTTTGATAAAATAGCCACAGATAACAGGTAAACCAAAATCATTAGTTTTCTTTTTGAAGTGCATATTCATACGTGGAGTCCTGTAGCTCAGTAGTTAGAGCACTCGCCTCGCAAGCAAGAGACCTGGGTTCAAGTCCCGGCAGGACAAAACCTTGGGCAAGTTTAACAATAATCCCTCAAGAAAAATAAATAAAATTGGTTACTTCAATCCACGACTGTTTGCGGGACACTGCGGCGCGCAATTGGCTGCCGCGTTTTACCCACAAATATACAGTCAATTCGCTTTACAGTGTGTTCTGTGAAGAGCTTTGCGACGTCTCGAAAACGTGAAAACGCTATATCAAATGCAAGGATTATTATTATTATTCTATAATGTAGACTAGGCCACTGGCCCTTAACTGTAGACAGAAGTACATCAGAGAGCCTGAGGCGCTTCTAAGCATTCAGATATTCTAAAGATCCCGCGGGAAGGTCTTGGAACAGCAATCAAACATGACTCTGCACATTTCCAATCGCCAGCTCTTTTTGCACTCTCCATGTAGAAAGCCTTCCCTTCCTGGTGCATTCAAATCCTTTGAATAACCAGCAATGAAATGAAACGTAACCGAACTGGGTACCAGCAGCTAACCTTTGAGAAACTATTCAAGAAAGACAAAACAAGAACAATAACTGAGCGGGTGACCCACCCGAAAAGGAAGACTTAGCTGGCGCTGGGCTGGGGGAGGAGAGGGGGGGGGGTGACACAGGAACAGGAGTAGGCCATTCAACCTTTGGGGTCTGTTCCGCCATTCTATTAGAGACGGTTTCGGCCACAGAATAAGTAGTCAATTCACTTTCCAGCGTATTCTGTGAAGCGCTGTGACACGTCTCAAATGCGAGGATTATTATTATTTATTATTGTTATTATTGGGGCTGATCTGTACCTCAACTCCAATTGTGGTGCTATAATAATTATTATAATAATAATTACATGGGGCGGGAAGGGTAGAAAGGGGGTGTTGTTAATATACCTGACCCTGGGGGTGTGGTGGTGGGGGTGGGGGTTGTTAATATACCTGACCCTGGGGAGTGGGGTGGGGGGTGGTGACATACATGACCCTGGGGGAGGGGGGGGTGTTGACATACCTGGCGCTGTGGGTGTGGGGGGGGTGACATACCTGGCACTGTGGGTGTGGTGTGGTGTGTGGGGGGGGGGGAGGAGGACATACCTGGCGCTGTGGGTGGGGGTGTGTGTGGGTGGGGGGAGGTGGTGGGTGGGGGTGTGTGTGGGTGGGGGGAGGTGGTGTGGGGGTGTGTGTGGGTGGGGGAGTGTGGTGGGTGAGGGTGTGTGTGGGTGGGGGGAGGTGGTGGGTGGGGCTGTGTGTGGGTGGGGGGAGGTGGTGGGTGGGGTGTGTGTGGGTGGGGGAGGTGTGTGGGTGGGGGTATGTGTGGGTGGGGTGTGTGTGGGTGGGGGAGGTGGTGGGTGGGGGTATGTGTGGGTGGGGGGAGGTGGTGGGTGGGGGTGTGTGTGGGTGGGGGGAGGTGGTGGGTGGGGTGTGTGTGGGTGGGGGGGAGGTGGTGTGGTGTGGGGGAGGTGGTGGGTGGGGGAGGTGTGTGGGTGGGGGGAGGTGGTGGTGGGGGAGTGTGTGTGTGGGGGGGTGTGTGTGGGTGGGGGGAGTGTGTGTGGGTGGGGGTGTGTGGTGGGTGGGGGTGTGTGTGGGTGGGGGTGTGTGTGTGGGGTGGGGGAGGTGGTGGGTGGGGGAGGTGGTGGGTGGGGGGAGGTGGTGGGTGGGGTGTGTGTGGGTGGGGGTGTGTGTGGGTGGGGGTGTGTGTGGGTGGGGTTGTGTGTGGGTGGGGGTGTGTGGTGGTGGGGGACGGTGGTGGGTGGGGGGAGGTGGTGGGTGGGGGTGTGTGTGGGTGGGGGATGGTGGGTGGTGGGGTGTGTGGTGGGGTGGGGGGGTGGTGGTGGGTGGGGGTGGGGTGGGTGGGGGGAGGTGGTGGGGGGGGGGGGGGGACATACCTGGCCCTGTGTGGTGGGGGGGTGTGTGGGTGGGGGAGGTGGGTGGGGGGGTGGGGGGGACATACCTGGCGCTGTGGGTGGGGGGAGGAGGTGGGTGTGGGGGGGGGGACATACCTGGCGCTGTGGGGCCCACACCCCGCGGA